GGTCTAATTCAATTTTTATTACAATAATTAAACTATATAAAAGAATTTTTAATTATAATTAGATTTTATTTTTAAAAATACATTAAAATCTCTTTAAATTTTAATAAAATAAATAAAGAAATAATAATAAATATTATAATGAATTAAGGTTAACTCTAAATTTATTAATATTATTAATGGAAATCTATTAGTATTCAGATTTTAGATAAAATTAAACTGAAAATCCAAATTGAACTAGATCTAAATAGGCATTAAAAAAATATATGCTCTTGGACTTAGTGAACTAAATCACTTCAATTCACTGTATATAGGATCAGAACCAGACCATTCGGGTTTCAGTTCAGGTTTGGTTTGGTCCGAACCGAACCAAATGACAGCCTACTAAGTATTATTAGACTATTTTATTCTGTATTATTATTATCTATTTAGGGAGCATCAGACATCTTAATTCTAAAAGTAATATTGAAAGTATTACTCATATTAAAATCTTTAGATTAAAAAGTTTTATTTATTTTATTATTTTGAACTCTTTTGTGTCTTTCTTTTTTCTATTTTTTTATATTCTTTTTAAGACTTTATTAAGTTTCAATAACTTTATTTAAGTATTTTTTTATCTCTATAAGTATAATAATCAGCGCTATAAAATAAGGACTTAGAATGAGTCAGTCTATTAATTTTTAGATCTAATAATGACATTATATCTATAATGTATACTATATAAATATTTAAGTTAGTTAATCACAAACTGATATATCTACTTAATCTAACTCTCTATGAAGGCTTATCTATATTATAATAAGACACCTACATGTATAAGTTTGAAGAGAGTAAGAAAGAGAAATATAATTAGATATTGATTAATTATTTTTACTTATATATTGCTATTAATTTAAGAGCTTTATATTTATTAATTAATTCTAATCTTTAATTACTTATTATGGTTAATAATAAAAGCATTAGTTTTAAAAAAAGAAGGAGTAGTGTTATAATTAAAAGGTTATTATTATAGTAAAACTCTTTAGATTATAGATAGATGTTTTTTATATATCTTTAGCTATCTATATAAGCTTTAGGTCCCTTTCATGTACAATAGAACAATCTTCCACACATAACCTGAATGCACACATGCCTTAGATTATAACACCCCCAGTCCTGCCGGATTAGGCCTAAACATGCCTCCTGGGTCTATCCCTGTTACAGATATATCATTTATATTTGCAGTTGTTCACAATCATGCGTTTGCCTTATAGATATCACAAAAAGAGTCCTCCTACAAGATAAAATCCCTAAATTAATAACATTGTGTAATTTGGCTTTTAATAATTAAGCAGCAATGCAGGAACTATTAAACTTAACTTTCCCTAAAGGTGTACGCATACAATGCATGGTAGCTACCAATATCGGCTATATATAACCCAAGCTCCTGCTGTAATTATACAAAAAGTCCCAACATTTATCGCTGCACCTACAATATATTTTTTTCCAAGTCTCATTTCCTGACCTGCCCATCCTGCAGCCGCATTGACATGTGGGAAAGGCTCATTAGGGACTGGCTTGCCCAAGAACTCACATAATGGCTCCCATCCGTCCTCAACTGTCCACTCCAGTAGCCGTTCCCTGCCTACAAGTCCCGAATCATGTTGCAATGTTCTACCGAACAAATACCGTAATTAGCGCAAGTTCTTAATATTAAGAGGGGAGAATATCTTGAATGGAACCTGGTTAGATGTGATCATCAACTTACCTCGATATACCCACTTCCCATTCCTCGCCATACCTGTTTCGATATTTCCATCCAGCGCGCGGAACAAGCCTGGCCACATAAACCGCACAAAAACATGCCAAGCCCAGAAGCACTCCCGGCTTAGACACGAGAGTATAAAGAGTGGCCAGTGACCGTTGGAACGCATCAGAGTCGTCGTCGCGCTGTGATGCCACGCATCCAGGTCCTTGCGGTGATTAAGGATGACCTTAGCCTCTGAATATGCGCCAATAAGCTCCGCAGCAAATACAGAGCCCGCTGCATCCGTCACAGCAACAGAGTGACCAATAAGGGGGTCAAAGTCCTCAGCTGTGAACGTAGTGTTGCCGTCAAGGGGCCCAAACCATCTTTCCGTGTTAACGATACCAAGGCACTGGTTAGCCCGGAATGTAATTAATATGAGCAGCACACAGCCAGGTCTGGATATTTCTTACTTCTTACGACACAGCTTTACCCACTGCTGGCAATAATTCGGCTGCTCATAAATGATATCCCATCCGTGGAAAGTATGGTCATATCCCAATGTCAGGAGAGCTTGCTGCAGAGACTCTGTCCCGGAGCGAGGCATTCCTACGCACAGCACCTCCATGGGCTTGATCCGCTTGCGCGGTGGCGGCTCGCGCATGGCATAGACATAGTCCTCGAGGAACCGAACGAACCAGTTGTTTACTGTAAACATTCTTCTTTTTTTGCCGCGTAAGGATTTGTGTGCACTGTGCACCGTCAGGTTGTTGATTCTATATCGAGAAATGTATGCTGAGAGTGATCGTGTGGAGGGTAGCTGAATCTTTTAAATCCGCCCAATTGCTCCCGCCCCCACATAGGACTGTTCTTCTTGTGTGATGGCGCGCACCATGGCAAGCACCACACCACGGTGTCACGCACCTGGACCCACTGTAGTTTGTCACTGGATGTGTTGAGGAGCAATACAATAATGTAAATCATACAGAGGTTTCTTAAGAGTAACTAGTAATGATATACTAAGATTATTAAAGGAATTAAATAATTATAAAATATAATGTAAATAAGAAAGATAATGTAAAATATTGTAATATTTTACTAATTTTTTCAATATAATTAAAATAATTTATATTAAAAAATTATACGAAAATAAATTAGATATATAAGAATCAATATATTTATATAAATAGATATATTTTAGAAATGTATATTAATTATATATCTAATTATTATTCTTTTTTTTTTATATTTTTATTATATAATTAAATATATGTACTTATATAAAATGCTACAATCGGCATAAATAGGAGTTTATAGTATCATTGAATGAGAATTCTAAGTGTAAGGAAAGAATTATGTACAGCTAGGCTGTCATTTGATTCGGTTCTGGTCCTGAGTTTCTGGACTAAACCTAAAAGTGGATTGATTTAGTTTGATCCTTAATATTAAAACTAAAACTGAAAATTATATAATTCTAGCTCTTTAAACTGAAACTAAATTATATTAAAGAAGAATTACTAATTATAATTAGATTAATCTAAATCTAATTCAGTTTTTATTTAAATAATTAAATAATATAAAAGAATTTTTAATTATAATTAAATTTTATCTTTAAAAATATATTAAAATCTCTTTAAATTCTAATAAAATAAATAAATAATAAAAAAATTATAATTAATTTTTTATCTAATTATTAAGATATAGAAATATATATATATTTTTTTCTTTAATTAACTATATAACATAATCTAAAAAATATAAATAACAAATAGAAAAGATATTATTATTATCTAAATAATTCTTAGATTATAATTTAAATACTAAGAATTCATTATAATATTTATAAAAATATCTAAAATAAAGTTTTAATTTAAAAAAATAAGAATTTAACTTATAAAAAGCTGTTTTAGAAATAATTATATAATTAATAATAATTAGTTATATAGATATAAAATTAAAAGAATTAGAATTAACCCTAAATTTAATAATATTATTAATAGAAATCTATTATTATTTAGATATTTAGAATAAATCGAATTAAAAATCTAATGTAAATTAGATCTAAATAGGTCTTAAAAAACTATGTAATCTTAAATTAAGTGAATTTAACCACTTTGGTTCACTATATATAGGATTAGAACTGGACTATTTGGGTTTCAGTTTGGATTTGGTTCAGTCTTAACTGAATTAAATGACAGTCTATTTAGATTAAATATTTTAAAAATAGTTAGTATATAGTTTTAAATATTATATTAAATATTAATTTATAATTTTTATTTAATTATCTATCTATAGGTAGTATACTGTAAAGAGTTTTAATTTAATTTATAGTATAGTATGCTATATAGTTATTTGTATATTATATAATATCTAGATCTTAAATATCTTAATAATAGTGTTTTTTATTAATTTATATATCTTTATATATTTTGAATATACTGATATTATTAGATAATATATTAGATTTAGTAGTTATATATATAGATTATTGTTATTAAAAATTATTAGCTGATTTTTGCATAGTAGATTATGATACTATATCTGTATAGCTAAAAGTATAGAATAATCTTTATATATTGAAGTCTGTCTATAGCTAAGAACTAATGAATAAGAACTAAGGAATGACAATTAAGGAATAAGAATTAAAAAATTAGAATTAAGGAATAAGAACTAAGGAATAAGGATTAAGGAATAAGAACTAAGGAATAAGGACTAAGGAATAAGAACTAGGGAATAAGAACTAAGGAATAAGAACTAAGGAATAAGAAATAAAATGCATAGAAAGAGAAACTTACTGCTTTTCTAATTTTGAAAGAAAATGAAGGAAAGATGTGTAATTATGTCATTCTATATATCAATACTCCCACCTTGATGTGTATTAATTCAATTTAAAAGTCACTTTACTATAGACTTTCTATATAAAAGGTATAAATTGTTTTTTCTTAGGCTGTCATTTGGTTCGGTTCTGGTCCTGAGTTTCTGGACCAAACCTAAAAGTGGATCAGTTCGGTTTGGTCTCTAATATTGGAATTAGAAATAAAAACTGAATGATTTTAACTTTTTAAACTGAAATTAAATTATACTAATAAGAAATTACTAATTATGATTAGATTAGTCTAAATCTAATTTAGTTTTTATTCAGATAACTAAACTATATAAAAAACTTTTAATTATAGTTAGATTTTATTTTAAAAAAATATTAAAATCTTTCTAAATTTTAATAAATTAAATAGATAAATAATATAAAAATTGAAATTAATTATTTAAATTATAATTTTTTATCTGATTACTAAAATATATTAAAAAATAAATAAATAATAATGAATATTATAAAATAGATATAGAAATATATATATATATTTTCTTTAATAAATAGATTAATTATTAGCTATATAATATAATGTAAAAAATATAAATAAAAATAGAAAAGGTATTATTATTATTTAAATAATTTTTAAATTATAATCTAAATATTAAGAATTTATTATAATATTTATAAAAATATCTAAAATAAAGTCCTAATTTAAAAAATAAGAATTCAATTTATAAAAAGCTACTTTGGAAATAAATATATAATCAATAATAATTATAAAGGATTAGAGTTAATTCTAAATATATTAATATTATTAATAGAAATTAGACTGTCATTTGGTTCGGTTCGGACCGAACTAAAACCAATCTGAAACCTGAATAGGTCCAGTTCTGGTCCTATATACAGTGAACCGATGTGCTTCAATTCACTAAGTCTAGGATCATATGGTTTTTTAAGGCCCATTTAGATCTGATTCGATTTAGATTTTTATTTTAGTTTTATCTAAATATCTGAATACTAGTAGATTACCATTAATAATATTAATAATTTAGAATTAATTATAATTCTTTATAGTTTTTATTGATTAGATAATTATTTCTAAAGCAACTTTTTATAAGTTGAATTCTTATTTTTTTGAATTAAGACTTTATTTTGAATATAATAAATTCTTAATATTTAGATTATAATCTAGAAATTATCTGGATAATAATGATATCTTTTCTACTTTTATTTATATTTTTCAGATTATATTATATGGCTAATCTATCTATTAAAGAAAATATATATATATATTTTTATATTTCTTCTATAATATTCACTATTATCTATCTATTTTTTAATATATCTTAACAATCAGATAGAAAATTATAATTTAAATAATTAATTCTAATTTTTATATTGTTTATCTATCTAATTCATTAAAATTTAAAGAGATTCTAATATATTTTTAAGGATAAAATCTAACTATAATTAAAAATTCTTTTATATAATTTAATTATCTGAATAAAAACTAGATCAGATTTATATTAATCTAATTATAATTAATAATTCTTCTTTAGTGTGATTGAGTTTCAGTTTAGAAAGCTAGAATTATTTAATTTTTGGTTCTAATTCCAATATTAGAGACTAAACCGAACCAATCCACTTTTGGATTTGGTTTAGAAACTCAGGACCAGAACCGAACCAAATGACAGCCTAATAGAAATTCATTAGTATTTAGATATTTAAATAAAACCGAACTGAAAATCTGAACCGAATCAGACCTAAATGAGCCTTAAAAAACCATATGGTCCTAGACTTGGTAAACTGAACTGCTTTGGTTCGCTGTATATAGGACCAGAACTGGACCATTCAGATTTCAGATCGGTTTTGGTTCGGTCCGAACCGAACCAAATGACAGGCTAAAATAGACTTAAAATAGTCATAATCTTATTAAAATAGTAAATACTGCTTTACTATTTACTGAATTATATTTAGATTAAGTTAAGAGTCACAGTTCACTAGATTCTAATTTTAAAACTTTATTTAGAGTTAGATAATATAGATCTAATTAAAATAAACTTACTATTAAATAATTAACTATATTCTAAAAGAACTATATATTTAAATTTTTTTATTTAAATTTTAATAGCTAATCTAGAATTATTATTTTTTAATTATTAATAAAGAAATTATCTTTAAAGTTTTAAAATATTAAGAAATAAATAAAAATCTTTATATTTTTATAAAATTATAGAATTATTTAATTAATAATAGAACACTCTAAAATTTAATCTATAAAATATCTCTTTAAAATCACTATTCTATTAAGATAATCAATCTTTAGAATAAAGTAATTTAGATATATAAAATATACTAATATCTTTATTTTTAAATAGATATCTTAAATATACTTGATATATAAAAAAAATACACTTTTTAATATGGTCAGATTAAATTATAGCTTAAATAAAAATTTTATATTATAATAGATACTAATTATTATATTTATAAAGATAAAAATATTTTAATAAAGTTATTAAAGCTTAATAAAGCTTTAAAAAAAGATTAATAAATAATAAAAAAAAAAGAATTAAAAAAAGCTAAAAATAGTAAAATAGATAAAATTTTTTAGTCTAAAAGATTTTAATATAAGTAATACTTTTAAGATTATTTCTCTAAATTAAGATATTTAATGATCTTTAGATAGATAATAATAATATAAAATAAAATGATCTAATAATTTCTAGATAGATAATAATAATATAAAAATGAAATGACCTAATATTCTCTAAATAGATATATTAATAATTAATCAACTATATAACGTAATCGGTAAGCGATCCGCCCATGTAAGTGATCTGCCTACCTCTTCCCAAAAATATATTATATATTGATTTTAAATCTTAATTTTGAATCTATATACAAATTATATATAAAAAATTAATTATTAATATGATTAGAATATCTGGTTATTTTATATTTTTTAATACTATAATCACTGCAGTGAAATTGATATTGTATAGGTGGATGAGAGATTGGGAGCTTAGGCTTGATTAGAGTAGTAGTAATAGTTTGAGATGCTTTAATCTAATTTTATATAAATGTTAGAATTTTTTTTTAATAATTCTTTAATTATGAGATATCTGTTTTTTAGATTTTTAATATTTTTATATCTTTTTTTTATATATAGTTTATAGATTATAGATTTTCTTTTATATAATTATAAACTTATTAATATTTATTTTATAAGCTTTTAATATTTATATAATTATTTTATTAATAATTTTAAATAGATTTTTTATATAGTGGTTTATTTATTTCTTAATTATAATTATTTAATACTTGAATTAATATAGATTTTAAAGGATTTATAAATAAGATGATTATATATTATTTAATTAATTTAAAGAAGATATTAAAGTTTTTAATTAAATAGTAAATTATTAAATAATTTAATTTAGATTAAATGATATTAATTTAGTTACTATAAAGTTATTTTGAATAGTTTGAATTTTATATATTATTATATAAGTCTTTAAAAATATAATAAAAAAATTAATTTTATTAATATAATTAAATTTAAGCTTTATTTATTATTTAATAAGCTATCTATATTTTTATTTTAAAATAATAAAATAGCTAATATTAAGAGGTTATAAAAGATAAAAGAAATATAGAAATATATAGATTAGAATAATATTATTCTTAATATATATATAGTTAAATTTAGTAATTAAATAACTTTTATGATTATTAAGAATAAGTATTCAATATCTTTCTATTATATAAACTATTTATATAAAGAATAAAGTGATAAATAAGCTAATCTATATTAATTTTATCTGTTATCTATCTATTATTATTGACATAGATTTTTTAGTTAGTTAGAAGAGTTTTAAATTAGCTTTTTTAAAGATATTTTTTAGCTTTAAAAATTATATATAGAGGTAATATCTATCTAATAGAATTAATTATTTTAATTATAATTATTTATTCTTGATTTCTAGATTATAATAGCTTTAGTTGAGTATATTAATTATTTTTTATTATAATCTTTATAATTATATAAAGTCTTATAGTAAAGCTAATCTTATTAAAATTATAAATATCTTTTAATAGAATTCTATATTTTAAGATAGTCTTTTATATATAATTAAAATATTCTTTAATTATTTTTAGATTTTTATATTTAGTATGCTTATAGTTATATTTTTATAAGAATTTTAAATTAATTTTTAAATAATATTAAATAAGATTATATATTTATTTTTTTTAATCTATTGATTTTTATATTATGAGAGAAAATAATTAGTTATTTCTTATATAAAAGAATGCTAAGAAGATAATCTATATTTATCTAAATTTAAAATCTATATAATAAGTGATTTTTTTTTAGATTAAGTTAATTTATAACTGTTAATATGTAGTATATATTAATATTGTATTTCTTTTAATTGATTTTAGAGAGTTGTATAAAGAATATTATAAATTTTTGTAGCTTTATGAATATTTGAAATTTTTTTATTTTTTAAATTAGAAATAGCTAGTTGGATCTTTCTTTCTATTTGAGCTGATTTTAAGGGATCTTTCTTGTGAATTGGTGGTATGATGACGCGTTGAAGTTGTATAATCAATATAGAATGTGTTTTTGGGGAGAGGTGGGCGGATCGCTTACATGGGCGGATCGCTTACCGATTACGTTAGTAGTCAAGCTACTATATTAAAAAAATATTAATATCTTTTAAAATCAAACATTGAATATATTATCAATATTATAATCTAAAGTATATATACATTCTGAATATATATAAAAGATTATTCTATTATATATAGAAAGGATCTAGGGCTCATATATAGAGCCAAACGTATGCAAAGAACATCTATCTATAGCCTGGTGGGTTTCACTATGGTGAAAGCCCTTTGATCACGACACCAATCATCTATATTAACAGTTGTCTATAACCATGTATATGTCTTATAGAATGAAGTACAGGTTACCTATTTCATGATACCGAAAATGATGGAGCTTCATCGCTTCCGAGCTATGCAAGGCTATGCACCAAGGATTAGGCGTGCAGACATAGCTGCGCTGCTTCGACCCCGCAGCTGAAGTGTGCTTCACCAAGTCCTAGCAATCGACAAAGGTCTGCTATATGGCACCTTTCTGGCATTTTAGATACTGTAACAAAACTGTGCTAATGCTAGAGAATGTCATTTGACTAGGAGAAAATCAGTTACCTGAAATCGGTGTACGTACTGAGCCAACTATGACTTTGATAGGCTCTTCTCCTCTTATTTCCCTCCAGCGATTACTCATTTCGATCAATTCCTCACAGCCTTCTAAAACCCAATTCCACTTTTTAAGGAATCCCGGAGTAGCCTCCCAGTTCTCTTTCTGGTGCGCCTCTCCCCATACAATTAAACCCTTTCGACCAGCAGTGATCATGTCGTCATCTTCACCTTGAAGTAGCATTTGGGTAGATGTTGAAGAGGATTCACATGTATCCGATGTGATAGATAGGTTATTATTGACAATATCTCCAAAAATATCCCTTAGGAAGTCCAAAACGTCAAAATACCCCTCCCATTTAATCAAATTGTCCCGGATTTGTGGAAAAGGGAACATGTCTATCCAGTTAGAGTGGGGATGGATCATTTGTAAAGGTGTTGGAAAGAGTGAGCTTGGAAGGCCCGTATGGAACGGGTGGATGATTGTGGGACCATCGCAAAGTCGTCTGCCACGGTGCGGATTGTCAATATCATTACTTTGGGCGATAGTTTTTGCGAAAAGTTTTAGAACTTTCTTATTGGAAACTAGTGCTCGGAACACATTGTAATGTATTAGGTGAAGCAAATGATCAGAAGGAAGAGGAAACTGGGTCCTATGTGATCCGTCAGACTTGACCGATGTGGCGACTAAGTCTGATCGTTGGTGGCTATTTCCAGACCCAGGTGAGGGCTGGATCGCGCTTCTCAGATTGCTATACGATGAGGTCCGGGTATCTAATTCATTTGTTGAGTTCCAAGCGGTATCTTCAAGCTGGGAGACGTTGAAATCTCTGATTCGCCAACGATCCACTCGATACGGGTGTCGTCCAATTGTCGAATTTTGGGTTGTTTTCTCGCTAATTCGTCGTCCTGAAGAATTCAATAAGCTCGAATAGTCAAAGAAAAAGCATGGTGAACTTCATGAAGGGCGTTGCACTCACTATGAGCTCTTTGGTTTAGTCGATTTTGGACTTTCTTCCGCTCTTTCCTGGCTTCGATGCATGTCCAGTCATCAGTAATTCCCTTTCCCTCACTAGGGCGGCAAGTAGGGTTTGATAATAGACCACGGTCTTTGTAATCAGTTTGCTGTTTGAAGTTCATGGTTTGAGAGCTTGAGAGAAATATATGAAAGAGGAGAAAGTGGTCAGCTTTCATGAGAGCTTCGTTCGGGTGTGGTAGCGCACCAGTTGCACACTAGCCCAGATGCGGCAAAATTCCGTCAGCCATGCTTGTACAACGGATCGGTTCTGTAATGCTTGGCGTGTCTCCACTTCGTTAGGATGGAACGAAAGTGGTAAACCCCTGTCAGCCAGCTCCACATCCTTAACTCAAAGCGATTGAGCTTAGAAGGAGGAATAGAATGCAGCAACTTAGAAATCGTATAAATCCCCTGTTGTTTCCTGTATGTAGTCCTCTACTAGATTCATTCATTTCACAACTTTCTCCCCTGTTCATCCGCACACTATAGCAGTCTTTCTACATCTGCTGCCATCCGATGTCTCGATACGCAGCAGCTCACGCTAGTCCGCAGGGTGCAGGTGACTCTCGCCCAACCGCATTACAGATAGTCAAAGATGAAGGAATGGAAGGCAAACTGAAGGGTAAGGTGATTGTTATCACCGGAACCTCCTCCGGCATTGGCATTGAGACAGCTCGCGCTCTCTCCACCACAGGAGCGACGCTGTACCTGACCGCTAGAAATGTCATCAAAGCCAAGGCTGCCTTGGCAGACATTCTTGAGCCAAGCCTTACAGAATTTATTGAATTGGATCTGGAATCCTTCGACAGCGTACGTACCGCTGCGAGGACGATCTTAGCAAAGACCGACAAGGTCAATATTCTGATAAACAACGCTGGAATCATGGCAGTTCCAGATCTTCAATTCACTAAAGATGGCCATGAGTTGCAGTTTGGCACCAACCACCTCTCACATTTCCTCCTTTTCCAACTATTGAAGCCAGCGCTACTTGCTGCCAGTACCGCTGAGTTTCATTCTCGAGTTGTTAATGTGTCTTCCTCGGCCCACCGTCTCAACGGTATCAATGAATCAGACAATTATGACTTTCAAAAAGGGGGATATAATGCTTGGGTGTCCTACGGGCAATCGAAAACGGCCAACATATACATGGCCAGTGAGATCGAGCGCCGCTACGGATCTCGTGGGCTTCATGCAACGAGTCTCCATCCAGGTGGAATTGCAACTGGCCTTTCGAAGTACATTCCTGAAGCTGAGATCGTGGCAATGTTAGAGAATGAGACCCTAATCAAAACGTTGAAGAGCCCGGAACAAGGTGCTGCAACCACGGTGTGGGCTGCAATTGGCAAGGAATGGGAGAACAAGGGGGGCAAGTACCTCGCTAATTGCGCTGAGACGAATAGTGGCAACGATGATGGAAATATATCTGGTACAGACTATGTCAGTCACACCTACAATGCAGAAAGCGAGGCCAGACTTTGGGAGGACTCTTTGAAGATTGTGGGATTGACTGATGATCAGTAATGTGCAGGCCAATAGGAAGAGACAGTTACGGATTTTGTCATCTATGTAAATGCTAACTTAACTAGTATAGAGGAGGATAGTCGTATCAGAAATCATAAAAAGGGGTTAAGGTTCCGCCTGCCTTCTATGTAGTGATGCCTCATGAAAACGGTCTAGAAGAGGAAATGATGTTTCTGTCACGACAAAATTTGAGGTGATTGTCTTCAGGCCATTATTTGCTCTTCTTACTGTCAGAATATTTGGCACTAAGCACATTGGGAAAGGATTGGAAACACCCAAAATTATGATCATGTAACAGGGATAGACCCAGGGAGTATGTTCAAGCCTAATCCGGCAGGACTGGACGGCTTGTCACGCACCGGGACCCACTCTAGTTGTCACTGGCTGTGTCGAGGAGCGATACGATGGGTTGAATTACACAGAGGTTCCTTAAGGGTAACTAGTAACAAGGTATAAGGTTGCTAAAAGATAAAGATAAAGATAAAATATAACTAAAGTAAGAATAATGTCTTAAAGTATTATAATACTTTAATTAAAATTATCTTATTAATCTTTATAGTATAATTAATAGTAATAATTATAATAATTAATATTAAAGAACTATACTAAAGTAAACTAAATATATAAAAATAAATATATTTATATAGATAAGTATCTTTATAATCTATATATATTAAAAGTATATAATAATTATATATCTAATTACTTTTCTATTCTTTCTATACTTTCTTTATACTTTATTATATATCTGAATATAGATACTTATATAATATATAATTCTGTATAAGTAATAAATAAACTATATTTAGTTATAATAATTAATTAATTATAATATTAGCCACTTTAATAGGTACTTATTCTGAAGTAGTCTAAGACATCCTAATCTATCCTTAGCCTTGCATATGTTGGTTTCGTAACACGGCTTAGGGATATCTCAGAGATCAATTGTGATATATCACAACTGATATCATACAATCTTAGATATGATGCTAATACCTCTTACTTCACTATATATATCTTTATCTAGTTAGATTAGATATTAATACTCTAAGATAGAAACTTAGACATATAGATTTAATTTTCTATTTAAAAAAAGGAAATCAAATAATATCTTTTATATAATCTTAAATATAATTTTCAATATAAGCTTGTTTAACTTCAAATAGTCTTCGACTCAAAGTCTTTCCTAATTATATAACCTAAATTGATAACTTTCTCCTTAGTAGCCTTGTTCTTTAGCATCAATATCAATCAGTGAGGCTTTAACTCACCCACATCTAGTCAATCCAGACACCCCGGGACACAGTCCTGTCAGACCGTGTTACAGATCAATAGCACCAAAACGCTATGCCAAAAATCGACAGTACTTAATTTTCAATGTCTTATCCCTGATGACAAATATTAGTATAAATTCGTATATAAATATGTCTAAATAGATAAGTTCTTTATAACTTAGACTTATATCTTAGCCTATTCGAATTTAACACTGAACTCAATTATTTTTAAACAAATATTACTTTTATTATTTCTATTTAACAACTTCAAATATAATTTATTAATTTCTATTAAATTCAAATAAATTAAAACTATCTAAAATGATATTTAATAATATTTTTAAAATTTTCATTATTGTAAATAAATAAGGTGATTAGAATAATTGAATACTTAATATCTAAATACTAAATATAATAAATAATATTTAAAAATATATAAATCTATATTTTAATAAATTATTATCTACTATACTATTATTTCTAGATATTTTAAACTTCAAATCAACTCAAAGAAGTATAAAAAACAATCAAATAAAATATTATAAATAAGATATAGAAGTATATAAAATATTAACTAAAAGAATTATATTTATATTTAAGATATTATAAAGATTAAAGATTAATTTAAGATATTAAATTAATATATAATAGCTTAATTAAATAGATCTAAATTAATCTAATAATAATAATGTCACAAGAATCGATAAACCACGACCAATGAATGTAATAGCGGACGCTATTACATAAACAGTTAATAAGAAATATATATAGGCACCATATATATATAGAATAAATGTGAAAGACAGACACTAAGTGGAGACTACTTAGTGAGTAACAGTGAACGAGATTGTTATTAAGTATAATTAGGTATTATAGAAATAAAGCTAAAAGCAGCTATACTTTCATCTAGTTATAGCTATTGATATAGTAATAGTTAATATTATGAATTAATATCTTATTCCAGTATATATTTCAGTATGTGATCTAGTAAAGCAGATGCTTCTAAACTTAGAGACAGATAATTCTAGGTATAGAAGTAAGTAATTTTAGATATTAAAATAGAAATTTAAATATTTCTAATATATATAGACATTTATTTACTATCATATATTTAGTTAATCATATTTTATATTTATACTTGAATAGCATACTACTATTAGTATTCAACGACTTTACTATTCTTATCTTAATGATAAAATAGCCCTATCTTAACATTGCTTATAGCTAGGCTGTCATTTGGTTCGGTTCTGGTCCTGAGTTTCTGAACCAAACCCAAAAGTGGGTCGGTTCGGTTTGGTCCTTAATATTGGAATCAGAATCGAAAACTGAACGATTCTAACTCTCTAAATTAAAACCAAATTACGCTAAAGAAGAATTACTAATTATAATTAGATTAGTCCGAGTCTAGTCTGGTTTTCATTCAGATAACCAAATTATATTAAAGAATTTTTAACTATAGTTAGATTTTCTCTTTAAAAATATATTAAAATCTCTCTAAATTTTAATGAATTAGATAGATAAATAATATAAAAATTAAAATTAATTATTTAAATTATAATTTTCTATCTAATTGTTGAAATATGTTGAAAAAATAGATAAATAATAATGAATATCATAAAATAGATACAGAAATATATATATATTTTCTTTAATAAATAGATTGACCGTTAGCTATACAATATAATCCAAAAAATATAAATAAAAAATAGAAAAGGTATCATCGCCATTTGGATAATTCTTAGATAATAATCTAAATATTAAGAATTTATTATAATATTTATAAAAATATCTAAAATAAAGTCCTAATTCAAAAAATAAGAATTTAATTCATGAAAAGCTGCTTCGGAAATGATTATATAATTAATAATAATTATAAAGAATTAGGATTAACTCTAAATATATTAGTAAAATTATTAATGGAAATCTATTAGTATTCAGATATTTAGATAAAACTGAATCAAAAACTCAAACCGAACTAGACCCAAATGGGCCTCAAAAAACCATATGGTCCTGGACTTGGTGAACTGAACTGCTTCGGTTCGCTGTATATAGAACCAGAACCAGACCATTCGGGTTTCAGATCGATTTTGGTTCGGTCCGAACCGAACCAAATGACAGCCTACTTATAGCCTTTTTCACCATATTAGCAGAATATCCTGAGTGATTCTCTCCGATCTCAGACAAATCGTTGTATACGTTTTGACAAATAATTATAAAAAATAAAATAATAGTTTGTATAAAATATCTTAATAATTAATAAAGCTGTATATAAATTGAAAATCTTAAATTAATATAATTGATTTAATCCAAATAATAATTAAAGATAATAAAATGTTAATTAAAAATATAAATAGATTAAGCTGTCATTTGATTCGGTTCTGGTCCTAAGTTTCTGAACCAAATCTAAAAGTAGATCGGTTCGGTTTAGTCTCTAATATTAGAATTAGAACTGAAAACTAAATAATTCTAACTTTCTTAACTGAAACCAAATCATGCTAAAGAAGAATTACTAATTATAATTAAATTAATATAAGTCTGATTCAGTTTTTATTTAAATAACTAAACTATATTAAAGAATTTTTAATTATAGTTAGATTTTATTCTTAAAAATATACTAAAATCTCTCTAAATTTTAATGAATTAGATAGATAAATAATAATAAAATTAGAATTAATTATTTAAATTATAATTTTCTATTTAATTGTTAAAATATACTAAAAATAAATAGATAATAATAAATATTATAGAATAGATATAAAAATATATATATATATTTTTTTTAATAGATAGATTAGCTGTATAATATAATCTAAAAAATATAAATAAAAAATAGAAAAGATATTATCGTTATCTAAATAATTCTTAGATTATAATCTAAATATTAAGAATTTATTATAATATTTATAAAAATATCTAAAACAAAGTCCTAATTTAAAAAATAAGAATTCAATTCATAAAAAGCTGTTTTGGAAATCATTATATAATTAATAATAATTAGTATTATTAATGGAAATTCACTAATATTCAGATATTCAGATAAAACTGAACTAAAAATCCAAACCGAATCAGACCCAAATGGGCCCCAAAAAACTATATGGTCCTGGACTTGGTGAATCGAACCACATCAGTTCACTGTATATAGGACCAGAACCGGACCATTCAGATTTCAGATCGATTTTGGTTCGGTCCGAACCGAACCAGATGACAGCCTAATAATAATAATATCTTTTTTATTTTTTATTTATATTTTTTATTTAGATTATATTATATAGCTAATTTATTTATTAAAAAATATATATATATATATTTCTATATTTATTTTATAATATTTGTTATTATCTATCTATTTTTTAATATATCTTAATAATCAGATAAAAAATTATAATTTAAATAATTAATTATAATTTTTATATTATTCATTTATCTAATTCACTAAAATTTAAAAAGATTTTAATATATTTTTAATGATAAAATCTAATTATAATTAAAAATTCTTTATATAATTTAATTATCTAAATAAAATTTAGATTAGATTTAAATCAATTTAATTATAATTAGTAATTCTTCTTTAATATAATTTAGTTTTAATTTAAAGAGCTAGAATTATTCAATTTTTGGTTCTAGTTCAAATATTAAAGACTAAACTGAACCGATCTACTTTTGGATTTGGTTCAGAAACTTGGGACCAGAATCGAACCAAATGACAGCCTAGTTAATATTATAGTTAATTAATTATTATGCATAAATATAGTTTATTCATTATCTATATAGAATTATAAATTATAAATATATTTATTTTTATATATTTAGTTTATTTTAATATAATCCTTTAATATAAATTATTTTAATTATATTTTAATTTTATCTAAATTTTTTAATAATCTGAGGATCTTACTATTAATTATTTTTAAAGAATCTCTATGTGATTTAGTATATCATATTGTCCCTTAACACAGCCAGTGACAACAAGAGTGGATCCAAGTGCGAGACACATCGCCTTGTCAAAGCCGGCCGTCACAAGCAGCCTCATTTGTTTTGCGCTTGAATGTATGAATTTACCAAGACATCGGTAATTGATAGTCTTGCCAATGATCTTCTGTATCAGCCTCCCTCCATTTCTCTATCCCCCCTGCTACACCGTCAACATCGACCGCCCACTTTCCTTCCTCCACCATTTCTGCCCAGTGCGACAACACATGCTTTAACTGCACATCGTGAGTCTCAATAAAATGGTTGAACCCCTGTTGGTATAATTGCGTGCTGCATGGTACTGGACTCGCGGCTGGCCCTTTAGTGTGAGATTTGTCGCCGAATAGTGCGCCATCGCTTGTCCGAGCCCAACCATTGCCTCCGATAGCGTAAGGCAGAATAAGCTTGCAGCCGTCTTCAAATGGGTGTGCTCCATCTGGATCTGTCTCTGTTAAATACACACCGGCAGGATAATTGGTTATAGCTTGAAAATGTCGTGGGAATGGTGATAGAGGGACTTCTTCTCCCCATGGTGCTCGTTCCGTATCTTGATGGGCATTCTGGCTGCTTTCGAACAGCAGTATAGGCCTTAGTTTCCCTTCTTCAATATCGACTGAAGAGAATGGCTGCTGGCGGGCTATGCGAAGGCCAGGTGCGATCTGGCTAAAACGGATTTCCCGAGCCCGCACCAGGAACTGGTATGCGAAGGTGTTCGGGGCGAGTGCGCTCGACTCGATCGCATCACTAAGGCGGTGCATTTCATTACCGGGAGCCCCAGGCATACGAGTTTCAACCGCACCTGCTAGCCGTTCGAAGGCTTCGAGAGTCTCATCCACATCAGAGACTGTATAGGAGGGCATAATCCAAGGATCGATTCTCTCTTGGTTGCCATCGTAAGACGAGTCCACCGCAAGTGCTTTACCTTGGTCTATCATGTCAAGGAAGCCTTCAAGGATGAGCTCGAAGGGCAACCAGATCTGTCGTCCATTCATCGTGACGCCCGTGTCGTGGATAGAGATATGCTGCATTGCCGTGAAGGTCTGCTCATCAAAGACGAGGCCCAGTGGATGACTGGCGCCTAGTGCCCAATTAGCCATGTAGAGTGTCACGTAACGCTTTTTGTTCAAGTCATCTTCGTCTTCGCCATAATTGAGGTTCTCCCAAAGATCATCGGGTGAGCAAAGTCCGGCGAGGTATCTGAAGAATGCGTGTGGTGGTTGTGCAGTATATGCGTAGCCATGCCAAGCCGCTTTGAGGAACGCAACCACCGAAGGACTCAATTTCGCGGCGTGTGGTGACAGCTCCGCATCTCCGCCATAGCACTCCCACCAGGTCTGGCGATGCAAATCCCTCAGGCTGCGACCGCTTGCTGTCCACCCTCGCTCAACGATGAGGTTGTGTAGGGCGGCGCACCGTTCATGGTCAAGCCCGTCGACTTCCCGGAGTGGGCGCTCCGCTGTGACTCGCCATTGCGACATGTTTGTGGAGGGACCAAGTAAAGACGGGATGTGGCTGAAGGAGAGGATAGAACAGAACAACCAAAACTTATACACCGTTGCTCCTTATGGTAAGATTACCGAGACGTGTTGCAAATAGTGTAAAATAAGTGACACTAACCAGATTAGGGACATCATATGGACTAGACTCAATCATGAAGATGCGATATAAATAGCAGAAATAATAAATTTTTTAAAAATCCTTAGAAAGATGTATATTGAAATTTTACTTTAATAATTATATATATATTATTAATTATTATTAGGCTGTCATTTGGTTCGGTTCGGACCAAATCAAACCTGAACTGAAACCCGAATGGTCCGGTTCTGGTCCTATATACAGTGAACCGAAGTGGTTCAGTTCACCAAGTCCAGGACCATATGGTTTTTTAGAGCCTATTTGAGTCTGGTTCGGTTTGGGTTTTTAATTCGATTTTATCTGAATATCTGAATACTAGTGGATTTCCATTAATAATATTAATAAATTTAGAATTAATCCTGATTCTTTATAGTTATTATTAATTATATAATCATTTCTATTTTTATATATATTTTTTAGATTATATTATAATATTTATTAGTAATTCTTTATTAGCATAATTCAGTTTTAATTTAAAGAATTGAATAGTTTAATTTTTAGTTCTAGTTTTGATATTAAGGATTAGACTGAACATGATTTACTTTTGGATTTGGTCCAGATATTCAGGACCAGAACCGAACCAAATGACAGCCTAATATAAGTCAATAATTATAAAGCTATTAATAAACTTAATAATAAAAAATACTTTCAACTAATCTATTTTAATAAATTAAATATTTAACTATTAATAGAGAAGTAATTATTTATTAAAAAAGATTTATTTAATATTATATTAATAATTTAAAATATATATATAATCATTCTATATTTAGTATAAATGATATAAAGATAGGCTGTCATTTGGTTCAGTTCTGGTCCTGAGTTTCTGGACCAAATCCAAAAGTGGATCGGTTCAGTTTAATCTTTAATATTGGAACCAGAACCAAAAACTAAATGATTTTAGCTCTTTAAATTAAAACTAAATTACACTAAAAAAGAATTACTAATTATAATTAAATTGTTTTAAATCTAATCTAATTTTTATTTAAATAACCGAATTATATCAAAGAATTTTTAACTATAGTTAGGATTTTATCTTTAAAAATATATTAAAATCTTTTTAAATTTTAATGAATTTAATAGATAAATAATATAAAAATTATAATTAATTATTTTAATTATAATTTTTTATCTGATTGTTAAGATATACTAAAAAATAGATAGATAATGATAAATACTATAGAATGGATATAGAAATATATATATTTTTTCTTTAATAGATAGATTAACTATATAATATAATCTAAAAAATATAAATAAAAAATAGAAAAGATATTATCACTATTCAGATAATTCTTAAATTATAATCTAAATATTAAGAATTTATTATAATATTTATAAAAAATCTAAAACAAAGTCTTAATTCAAAAAATAAGAATTCAATTTATGAAAAGCTGTTTCGGAAATGATTATATAATCAATAATAATTATAAAGAATTAGGATTAATCCTAAATATTTCAGTATTATTAATGGAAATCCACTAATATTCAGATATTCAGATAAAACTGAACTAAAAACCTAAACTGAACTAGACCTAAATGGGCCCCAAAAAACTATATAGTTCTGGACTTGGTGAACTAAATCACATCGGTTCACTGTATATAGAACCAGAACCGGACCATTCGGGTTTCAGATCGGTTTTGGTTCGGTTCAAACTGAACCAAATGACAGCCTATATAAAGATCAAAATTAGAATTTTTCAAAGAAGTTTTTTTCATATAGATCTAATAATAAAAGATTAAGATTATTGAAATTTATTTAAAGCTATATTATTATAAATTATTATATACCTTATATATATTACTAATTATTATAAAAAATATATTTATAAATATATTATTTTTAATATATAAAATGATATTATAAATCTATATAAAGATAGATATAAATAACGTAGATTAAAAAATAATCTTTATAATAAAGTTATTATGTATATATAAAAATCAGTTATATTTATATATAATAATGATACTGTAACAGGGATAGATCCAGGGAGCATCTTTAGGCCTGATCTAGTAGGACCGAGGGCTCAGGGATATTCTAGGGGTCAATTATAATATATCTATTATAATCTAAGGCATTTGTGCATTCTGGGTATATGTGGAAGATTGATCTATCGTACATGAGAAGAACCTAGAGCTCATATATATAGCTAAAGATATATAAAGAATATCTATCTATAGTTTGAAAAATTTCACTATAGTAAAAGCTTGTTAATTATAATACTGTTATTCCTTTCTTTTAGAGCTAATGTTCTTATTAATAAATATAATAAATAACTAAAGATTAGAATTAATCAATAAATATAGAGCTCTAAAATTGATAAAAATTCTGAAATTAAAAGCACGGATTTCAGCAAGCTACGCACACCAGTTGACATATCTTGCTTAAGAAGAATAGAAAAATACCTAGTTATACACACACTTGCTGAAAGTAACTTCTTCGCAGTATGATGGCAAATCCTTGATTGGTGCTGTAGCCCAATAAAGGTCCTTTGCAATGTACCCGACATCCGATTCTGGAAGAACGAAACCCAGGCGCTGGAGTACCACCCATATCTCTTTTTTCCATGATTGCTTCGTGGAAAATGGTGAATTCAAGTTCCCTTACTGTCGAAGACTCTAGGGTTGTATTCAATCCGATCGTGGCATCAAAGTACGTCTCAACGTCATAGAAATACAGTTCTGTTTTGTTGTTGATGACCAGTGGGCTTGCCCATTCGCTGGTGTTGTAGAGACAAAGTGTGTAGGTTTCCTCACCGGAATGATAGCCTTGTACGTTGAACGTGAGAAACCAGTCGTCGTTGTCGGTTTTGGCGTATGTATTGTTGTTTGCAGCGAGAGCGGGCGAAGCAGCAGCAGCCGCAAGGCTGAAGAGGGAGAGAGAAGAGGTACGCATTTTGATGAGAGGGTGTATCAATTTGATAGGGGCTCAGGACCTACCTTTGGAGATACATGACCTTGGTTTAAATAGTAGATATTGGCATATCGAAGGAACAACACAAACAAAATACGAAATGTTGGTTTTCAATTTCCGTAGTAGTAGTAGTCCTAGGTAGTAGTACTAGATAGTAGTGTTGGATGTGTGCCGGGGCCTGATTCTATTTTAGTATTAGTTCTAAGATAAGCACCCGGGAGTTCGGCCACCCCAGAGTTCGGCCACCCGCCAGAAAAGCTTCAAAAATCAAAAAGATATGAATTTCTAACTATCTCCCCCATATTAAAAAAAATCAAAACATTATTTTATTTATTTCAAGCGCCTCTACTTCCTCTATAGCCTTTTTAGCTTAATATTTGATTCTTCTTTTTTAATCTTCTCTATAGCAGCTTTTATACTTGTAATCAAAAGAAATACACTATTTAGATTCTTTTTAATCTATTTTTTTAATTTTTGAATTTTAAAGCTATTTAACTAACTAGATTAATATTTTATAAAATCAGATTAATATATATTATTAATCTATGAGCAGCCTAAAGCTTTAATTATTTTTTATACCATAAAATGCACCTCTTTTAAAATCAATATTATTTAAAAAAACTGATATAATATATTAATTATCTATCATTCACTTTGAGATGTCTAAAAATAAGAATTTAAAAATAATTTAAAATTTAAAGATATATATAGTCTTTCTATAGACTTCTAAATTTAAATTTGAATTAAGTTAAGCAGTTTATTATAATCTAATAATATAATTTCTAATATTTTAAAGCCCAATTTAATATATAAATTAATTAAATATTGACTTCTTATTATTTAATAAACATTTAAAAATTAATACTTTTTAATAGATATAATATTATTAAGATATAAAATCTTTTTAATTTCTTTTCAATATACGGTCTTCAATATTAAAAAAATATTTAAATTTAAAGATTATAATAAATAAGAAATATATAAAGATAAGAATAATAATTATACTATTTTAATATAATATTTCTATAGAAAATTAAAAACTTTATAGATACTATGATTATTTATTATTAAAAGTCAATAACTATCATCTTCTAGTTTTAATTCTAATAAAAAAATCTCTTTTAATTATATTTACACTATTACTGATAAAATAAATATAGTTATAATCTATGTAAAATATCAATCTAATAGTATTTAAAATCTAAATTATAAAGAATTAGATATAGTGTCTTTAAATATAATCATTAACTAAAGCGATTTATTTATTATAAATATAGTTTTAATAATTAATATTTACTTACATATTTCTAGATTTTAAATATAAGCCTTTTTTTTAGAAGCTTTATAAAGTATTTAAAAATTTATATATAAGCTTAATATAAGTCTATATTTATCTATATTCTAAATATAGTAATTAGAAATCTTATATTCAGCTAACATAGCTTTATATTAATTAAAAAATTTATTAATTATCTCTAATTGTGTTTCTAATATTTTTTAAAATTAATTTTATATTTTATGCGTGTAATTATCTTAAGATAATATTATCTAAATTATTATATTTATCTTTTTTTTATAATATAGTTCTCTCTATTTTATCAAAGAATATAAACTGTTATTTCTCATATAAATAGAATTAAAAAAAACCTTTCTTATAAATCCAAATCCAGTATTTTAATTCACTAATAGCTTCTTTTTAATAAAAGTCAAAATCTGGTCTCTAGTATGCGCGCTTCGATAATCTTTCTAGCTGTTGATTTGGCTGCTTAAAGTTGATTAAGATACATTATATATCTTTGCTGCAGTCTAAACCGATTTAATTGTTCCAGATTCCAAATCTTAAAGTGTAGCCTGAATCAAGGTCTCATTTTGGAAACTTTTTGGCATCTTGTTGTTGAGTGGGAGGCTTGTAAAATTCACGCGACGCGTTGTTGCAAGGTGGCCGAATTCTAGGGTGGCCGAACTCCCGGGTGCTTATCTTAGGTCATCCGTAATTGGCGCCAATAAAATAACTATAAGTGAGACATATTTAAGAGTACATTCCCCAAAGCCAGTTAGCTCGGCAACTATCTGTGCATAGCGTAGTCTCGTCAAGTATCAGAATGGGGCTGATTGATTTTGAACTCCTTATTATTTGATCAACCGATATCATTAACACAGGCGTTGTTCTATAAACAAAAATGGACGGCATACTTGCAAATCTGATTACAATCACTCTTGTTGGAATTCTTTAGACAAAATGTTGGCTACCAACGCCTTCTCCAAGACGATGGGATTATTAAACCAACCGTCGGTAAGTGTACGGCACGCATCTGTACCAGCTTCTAGTCGTCAAATGTCCACAACACCACGAGACTAAAGACTACCTCAATTGGTAGGGTGATCTTGGCTGTGCACATCTGTGTGATGACCGAGCTGATCGCTCTATGTGTATCGATATGTGTGGTTAGTACCCCCTTTCCAAACCGAACTCTAAGTTTGAAAAGCTCTCTGCCACGTTTGGCTTTTTCCCAGGATTATTCCCATTCACTTTTCATCGTCCGACGGGTGGTTGATTTTGTGGTTGCCATTAGGGTTTGGATGCCTTACGGTTCTGACTGTGGCTCTGGTTTCGTTCATATGCTCGGATTGTAGCTAGCCGCCTCCTTGGCTGCCCGGTCGGCTGCTTCGTTGTCTGGTATATGTGGTCTAGAATCCATCAGATCTACACCTCCCAACCCTAATCTCGGAGATTGTTGAGTGATCGTATACCCTCCGCTAGGATATACTGTCCGCAGGGGCATTTTGAGTTAGCTATCGCTTGATTAGCGGCTTGATTGTCGGTAATGACTACTCATTTTCTTGGCGTATTCATCTTTGCGTGTATGTCAAATGGAATCTAGAATGCTAGATCGATCTCTCTTAGATCTACCGTATACATATTGTCATCAATCTGACATCTAATCAATCTATCTTTGTTGCTATTTTAAAATTTGCTAATCGTTTCAGGGCTGGAGCGTGCGCCAGCCCGCATTACCAGTGCCCTGAAACGACCAAAAAGAGGGAAATTGCGCCAAGCCTCGCGCTGATTGGTCTTTCACCGCGACCCCTTCACGTGTAGGGAGTGATATTGTCAGGGCCCACTTCTGACATGACATGATTTCGTCAGGTTTGATAAATTTTCGGGAGTGTAATATAGACCCCATTTTATTCTATGAGAGAAATATCAACATATCCAACCCAATCTAAACTTCATATTTCTATATAATTTTGATATTATAAAAAGTTCATCTTTTTATGAATACTAGTGTAAATTCGCATATAATTATGTCCAGATAGATGAGTTCTCTGTGACTCAGGCTTATATCTGAATCCAATCGAATTTGCCACTCAGCTCAATTTGTTCTAAAGCATAAAAAGAACGACAACGCTAGCGTCTTGAATACGTCGATAGTATCTGTAAATCGGTGGGTCACTATAAGAGAATGTCCTGTCTTAGATTTTAGGACCCATTTATCTCGCCTTTTCTTTTCTTTTCTTTTTGATTGCAATCGATATTATTGAATGATTAAGCCGAAACAAATTCATGGTTGGACGCAACTCAGTTGCATATCCAACTAGTGGACTGATTTACATCTCCGTTAACGTAAAGTGCTAACTGAGGATAAGGACAAAGTGGTCGCTGGCGCTGGATGCCCTTCGAAATATCATCATCAATATACTTAGTAGCCACTAGGTAGTCCGGAGCTGTGTCGTTTTCTGTCCATGCCATCAAAGCCAAAATGCTATCATGGTACCGATCTTCATATCCTGGGACTCCATATGTTAAACCTTGCACAGCCGCTGGCTGAAGAGCAGCTCCAATGTACCATGGTGCCTCCTGCATGGATGATGAAGTACAATGCTCCATTCCAGGAATATAAAAGAATCGATAAAAGTCTGTAACGGTTGTCAAGGAATTCAAAAAAGCTCCCCTGACGTGGTCATAGTAGTATCGACTGCTCTCAGTCGGAATAATTTCATCAGCGTAGCCATGATAGTGTATTATTTTGCCGCCTCTCTCTTTAAATGCCGATATGTCAAACTTTGATGCTTGTGCTGTTCCAGGATTAATGGCATTTGATAGTTCAATCATACCGTAGTTAAGGTCCGCCCAGTTGTAGCTTGTGACATTGAGGAGGAAGTCATAGATCCAGTCTGCATCCAAAGATACAGGTTCATCGCCTTCTGTTATAGACTCATTGAGATTTGTACCTAAAGAATAAGCAGGAAACGCCAGAGTGCCGTTTACCACCCAGTCGTCCAGGATGTATTGAACAGTGCCCATCTGTGCGTCTGAAAAGCATGTAGATGAGATATTGACAGATGAGGTGCAGTGCAATGGCTCCAGAGTGAATTTACATTCACGCGGTCGCATAACAATGCCGTCTTCGACACCATCCTGAGGATCGCATTGACGAACGGCTTCGCGAGCCAGCATTTGTAACTGTTGAGGACTGACGTGGTATGAGGCATTCACCGGAAGGTTGTGAGCACCCAACCAGGCTCCGTAAACTGGAAGATTGTCCATCCACCAGGCTGGTGCACCTATCAGGGCACCATCAAAATCATCTGGAAACTCTTGCACTTCTTTCAGACCTTGACGGCCTCCCGTTGAACATCCAGCGTAATATGAATACTGGATCGAACTGTTGTAAAAACCTGTGGTAATGTTTTTCCCTATCACCACACCCATATGCATGGCACGCCAAGCCCAATTGATGATTGCTTCAGGATTGTTCAGTGCCCAGCTCCCATCGAGTTGGCTAGACTGATGACCAGTGTTTGTTGACAAAGTCGCAAATCCATACTGTGCCAAGGCCCCCATACTTATCCACGCTGTATAGCCACCAAATCCCCCATTTCCCGTTGCCATGAATCGGTTATTCCAGTCGGATGGTAAGTACATGGCCATTTGAAATTGTGATCCGTTGGCAGTTTGAACTTGAAGCCCAACAGCGCAACCTTCCGGAAGGGAAGTTGCGTTTCCGTCAGCCCAAGAGTCAGTAAAAGTGCCGTTTTCAGGAACATGTGAAGCATAGCTCAAAGAGTAATTCTGAGGAAGAAGACTAGAAAAGAAGCTGGCCGAGCATTTGGCAGCCGTGACCCTTAGAGTCAACCATGCGAAAAGCAGTACACACCTCATTGATATGAAGTATGCGATAGATTAGAGTCATAAATGTAGTCTGAATCAGGTTTTCTTATGTTAGAGTATTTACCCCAACTTAACATGAAAGTGTTTCCCACTATTTCAAATATCCCGAAGTGGCAGCCTCCGCTAAGAGAAGCCCTAGGTGTCCGACGCGACGCGTACAACATTCCAAACCTGAGTGTACCAAAATTCCAGAGGCATACCGTTTTTACAACCAAGAATGATGCCAATTTATTTCCAGGCAACATTATGTCCCATGCATAAAGGAGTAAAGGTCAGTCAATAGAGAACATACAACAAACAGATACAAGCACAACTGTATTGTGGGTAACATGAGGTTTTCATGGAAAACATTTCCGGCCACGAATCCACTATTTAATGTCTCACCATGGCGGTGAATATGTCGCATTTAATAATTCTTCGTACTGAGTCGTGAAATCGATTACAAGAATAATAATGATCAATAGATGACTTAGAGGACGCTCTCTTGTCGAGTAGTTAATCGGAAGTATACATACAGCTGCAGTCTCTAAGAAACCGTGGACATTAATATCCTTTCGCATTTTGTCTCCATAGAAACCCTTTTTTATAGAATGGACGACCAATGAAAATCTGTTATTTGATCAATATCCAATACAAGCATAGACGTGCATGCAAAAATACAACTACCTTTCCAGTCCGCAAGCGGTGGCTTTCCCACAAGGTTTCCACAATTCAAAATCTAGATTCAAAATTAAAATGTTCCAATACTTGAACCTCTGGTCTATCACATGAAAATTGAGGTTTTGTGCAGAAAACACTTTCTTTCAGTAATATGTAAGCATCATTATGAGCACATTTGAATTATTAGCCTATTCATTATCGATAGAGTTAAAAAAATGATACTGTTGAGTTTGAGTATAAAGGCATGCGTCGAGCGCACTTGTCAACCATAATCAGAGCTCTCCTAAGCAAAGGGACTTTACGAGAACAGAAAGGGGAGTACAAGAAACCACCATGCAACTCACTATTTGGCCGAATTATCTTCTCGTTATAACTGTCCTGATCTCTTCATCAACTGGGTTTCAAACTTCTGCCGGTCGCCCGAATGATCTGAACTTTACAGCGGCCCAAGCACAGGCAGCGAGTTGTGACCAAGCATGTCAAACAAATCTACAAGAGGGAATTGACGGGGACGTCGCAACCTTTGGTTCCGTACCTTTTGATTCTAGCTTCTACGCAACTGCTCCAAATTTTACTAACTCACAGCCGGGGGCCCTGTTAAAATTACAGCAGCTAAATGAAACTACACTCGACATTCCGCCAGGGACATCATTCTTCTTGATGCAATACACGTCTGTAGGGCTAAACGGGTCGATTGTTCCAGCCACTGCCTTTGTAGCCCTCCCATTCTCGGCGGATATAGCGAGTAATCAAAGCTCCCCAATTCGCCTTGTGGCTTTTGCGCATGGAACGATCGGGTATGTTCCTAGCTGTGCTCCGTCTTCTTCTTACAATGGATATGATTACTTCACTTGGGAAATTCTATCATATCCTGGATATGGCGTGGTGGCAACAGACTATGCAGGACTGGGGAACAATTATACTACTCATAAATATGGCAATCCCGTCCTCAATGGCAATGATGTTTACTACTCGGTGGTCGCGGCACGCGAAGCATTCTCAGGGACTTTTACAAACCAATGGGCTGCTATTGGTCACTCTCAAGGTGCAGGAGCAGTATGGGGTCTAAGTGAAAACCCCCTTGTGGCTTCCAACGCTAGTGGTAAATATCTGGGAGGGGTTGCTGTTGGCCCCAGTGCTCGACTCTACGACATTCTTACGCTGGCGAATCCTAATTCTGGCTATTGGCCCATGGTCAAGAATATATTTGATGGGCTGCCTTTTCTACCACAGCCAAATCTGCTCACACCAACCGCGTTAAATCGAACGCAGCTCATATCTGAACTTCAACTTTGCTTTGATGCCATTTCCGTCTTGAATGAGGACCTTCCAGCGTGGGGCCTCGTAAATTCAACTCCTGCCATTACTGCGCAAAACGGCAACGCCTACACGGCATTTCAGAACATGTTTGGAGCAGCGACAGGGAAGAAAGTTTACCAAAATCTTCTTGTCGTTAATTCCGTTGATGATCAAACAATTGTTGTCAACGCTACTCTAAAAGCGTGGAATGCATCATGCAGTGCAGGGAATAGCGTCCACCTCAGTCTGTACACGGGAGGTCTCAGCCACACGCAAAGTTTTCCTGCCTCATCTCCCGAATGGCTTCAATGGCTTGATAATCAATTCACTAGTGGAGGAACTGCCAATGCAACCGGTTGCTCGATCTCGACCGCTACCCCATTCGTCAGCCCAATCGGTATAGTAAACAATGGCTGATTGTTAAAGCAACTTCGAAATGCTTCCTTCCGGTCGAGATGTTTCATTCTCTCACTTGTTTTTATGTTCTTGGGTTAAAGCTTCCATTCTTTTCTATCTCTTATCAAGATGAGAAGCGGTCTAAGTGTGTTTTGACTAGGATTTTTTTTTCTTTTTTTTTGATTCAAAGCCCTCAATCTTTTTATGATGTTAAAATAATATAATATCAGCATCATGACAGCCTTTTAGCAATGTTGCTTTGTGTTTATGTCAGTAATGCTGTTAGGAATTCCTGGAAACGGTATGTGCCGATTCGAAAGGTGCTACGCAGAGTAAGATCTTCGCCAAGGTGTTAAAGTAAACCGATTATTAGCAGTGAAAAGAAAGTATATCATTGTTGCTATTTAATATGAATGGATTATTGGCTTTACATGCTTCTTCATAGATTAAAGGAAAGCTAACCGCAAGAACAATATCTATAGGAATGAATCCGTCTCTTAAAAATAGAAAACTAAAACTTAATCCTTCTTAACCCTATTTTGTAATATTGCTCGCCATAAAAATCTGATCATATAGATCAATTACATTAATAAAGATATATAAACTCCTTTTAATTCGTTTATATAAGCTCATCTCATTTAGTCTTTTTAAAGCATGTATACAGTGCTTTTATTTATATTGATCTACCTATATGAGGTTCTTCTTGATTGTGCTCTCGCAACATTATCTCCGTCTTAGAGACGGTATAATATCATCCCAAAATTCCGAAAGTCGACACTAGATAAGTTTCCCTCTAATGAATTATATAGTGACACTCCTGTAATCATTATATTAACAGCAGATAGTCGTGAGATATCGATGGAGCAGTTAGAAGAGTTACCGCTGGCGGATGCTGTGAAAACCAGCCTGCCAGCTGCAACAGTCTGGCTATTGCTTTCAACTGGACCCTTTCCCTGCTAATGGTAGTAAGCAATCAAATAACTGAACAAATGAAACGAGTATGGACAACTTGTGTGGTTGGTATTAGTTGTGCGGATTCATTGGGAGTGAGAAGTGGGTCGATAATTGCAGCAAGAGGGAGAAGAAGATTGTAGCTTTCCGACGAGTTGTAAGTCCATGGAGTTCCGTGCTAAGCTAAGGGATCGTATTTGCACAACCAGAGGCATTCTACTTATACGTAGAAATAAAATTGAACGAAACCAGGGACTTTCACTGTTTATAAATGACTCTATTCTGTTGATTCGGACATTAATAAATAGTGTCAAGTATGTCACGGTTTCTTCTAGTCAGTGTTGCTAACAGAACGTAATCAAGAAAGTTTACCTAAGCGCTTAGATTAATCTAATGGAGTCACCGTCGCCACCATCAGCCGTACCATGATCGAACAGAATTCCCTTCCTAAAAAGTGGAGGGGCCGCCCATACTTTTCCCCATGCAATCATTATGACGTCCATAACGTAAGAGCCCAGAAAGAGACCTTTACTGCTACTGCAACTACCAGCTGATAATCTTCCTTTTGGTACAAACAACCCACACTAGCAAATAACAAGTTTTACCACGAGATACCTAACTCTGGTTTGCCTGGAGGCTCTATGGACGTCCATACAAAAGCTACCCAGTGTTAAGCCTAATTAGGAAAAGCGTCGTCAGGACCTATAAGATATCACGCACCTAGACCCACTCTAATTGTCATCTGCTGTGTCAAGGAGTGATACAATGTAATGAACCGTATAGAGATTCCTTCAAGGTAATTAGTAATAATATACTAAGATTGTTAAAGAAATTTAATAATTTATATTTTTATGTAAATAATGAATAGGCTATACCTAGCTATAGGAATTGTTTGGCTGTGGTGTTAGCTGTTTTAAGGGCTACTGTAAGGCTCCTTGGCACTGCCAACCTCTAAATGTCAAAAAGTAATACTGAGGTAATTGGGCCATTGCCTAATTCCAGGGTTGGCACGCTTATAAGCCTCTGTGAGCCTGCAGCGCTCTCGCTGCTGCCAGGCCTCACAGCTACTTGACTTTAAGTAGTTTAATTTGTTCTAGCTTTATGTATGTTGGTTTTGTAATAGTAAGTTGCTTTAAGGGCTGTTTGTCTTTAAATAGCCTAACTTATTCTTAGCTTTATGTATGTTGGTTTGGGAATAATAGATATTAATATGTTGTTTGTGGTTGGTGGCTGAAGGTCCAATACACTTATTGATTATGTAATATATGAAGTAATGTAATAGGTTATATCTGACTGTAAGGGTGATGGTCTGTATAGTTGCTGCTGAATATTTAAAAAGAGTAATTTATATATTTAGTAATTTATGGAGTGGCTGGTGTATAGCTAATCAGATACTGTTGAATGGTTTTCTATGGCTGATTGCACCGCTCTAAATAGGTATAATTGACTAATCCCAAACCGAGGCAACATCTTTAACCGTGATAGTGATAGCCTTAAATGCGTTGGCAGTATACAACAGAGAAATGAAGTTATTGTCATCGCTGGTAAATATCTGCGCTGTGATCACGCTCTCACCCCGGCCTCCAAGTACCTCCACTAACGACCGGTCAACCAGCATATGGAGCACCACTTTCCCCTGTGTATCCGGCGTCAACACGGCATAATAGATACCCGGAAAAACTGTGCTAAAGTTGACATATCCCGAAACTGTTCAATCAACAAAGAGCTGCTCTCCTGAGACATCGTAACCAATAACTGTTGCCTGCGAACCATCCTCGTTTGATCGGACGCAAAGTCGAATGGTATGATCTTCTTGAGCAGTGTAATTGACTGTAGATATGACCTCGAAATTTAGTGTGATGTCTATGGATTTGCCTCTAACTGGAAGATTCAATTGTGAACCAGGTAAAGCGACCTATTTATGAGTATAAATAACTAGTGACTTCTCTAAGTGTGCTAGGCTATAAGGTTCTTGTATGAGTGTGGCTTTGGAGGCAATAGTGCTGAGGGAATACTTGTACATCACTGACATGGAACTCTGCCATGGGCTTGTGGGAATATCCGCTCTGTAGGCCCAATGGTTGGCCTAACCAACAGTAACTCGCTTATTCTTGGGGAGACTGTTGTAATTTGCAGCAGTGTAGTAGTCTGGACAGAGGTCTACCTAGTTTGTCTTTTGGCCTTGAGTAAGTGACTCGGAGAAGACAATCTCGTCTATGATGATGTGGCCTTAGCTTTTTGTGCCCGTGCTGAAATCCGCGAGCACTGCAGTTTGGTTGATGAGATTCGTTACGTCCCAATCTTGTGACAACAAAGTAACAGAGTTTTGGCTGGTAGTATTGCGGATGACCTTACCTTTTGACCTTTAGATTGAGAGAGGTCTGTATATCGTTCATAATGCCGTAGGTGGAGGGATTGTATGGGTGATATCCATCAGCGATTCGAAAAATGATGAAAGGTTCATTGATGCCGAAGGGTTCGGATATTATTGTCCAGTATTGGTGTCTGCGCCGAAGTACGTATCCAACACATTACTAACGGTGTCCTCTCCCGTCATAGGTATGATGTCAACAAACTCGCCAGTTGCAGTCCAATTTAGAGCTACGGAAGAAGATTCTAAAGAATAAGTATTTTTCCAGTCTTTAATAATAGAACTACCTGGAGGTATGCCGTTGGCCTCATACATACTATCCGCATTCACCGTGAATGCAGTGCCATTAAACGATCCCACGAAATACTGAGTGCCCGAGCCGATAGTAGGCCCTCCAGGATTTGACCTGATCTGCGTGACCCATTTCACCTTATTTGTATCGCCCTCCACTAAAAGCTGAAATAGCCCAGGGCATTCCCACTACCCAGAGACAGCATTTGCTGGACCAAATGAACTAACATACATCCAGTCGTTGAGATTCTTAGAACTGTAGATAAGTAGCATGTGATCGTTGGCTAAGGACACCACCATAATAACCCAATGCTCCTCAGCGGCGTACCAAAAAACAAATAGATCTCGAAAGTTCTGGAGCGAATCTGCAGTAATGTATTGTTCTAGTGAAGTCTGAATGACTGCGTTCTGCACGTCGTATATTGTCCACGCCATGCCGTCATTAAGGCTGTAAGCGATAGACTGTGATTCTTGGCCACTATAGAAAGTCTTGCTGCTTGTGAGTGATATTTTCTGAGCGTAGGACGACGTATAGATGGCGACCAGCGCAGGGTTTGTATGTGTACTGAAGCCGCTGGTGTTGTTGGTGTATATGATAGCACTTCTTGCGTAGAAATACTCCTCAATATTGCCGTTTTTATCCTTGCGAACCTCTAGAGCAATAGGTTGCTGAGTCCAATGTAATAAATCAGTGCTGGTGGCGTGTCCCCAAGAAATGTTTCTCCAGGTCATTCCTCTGGGGTTATACTGAAGGTATAAATGTATAAATGGTAGACCCCTTATGGTAAACCATCCCATTAGAGTCATTCATCCAGTTTTTCTTAGGCGAGAAATGATATTGATTGCAGTACTGCTCCTTGTATGTCTCCGCTGCAAAGAGCACACTCAGTGTAAGAAACAAAATAATCCTCCAGATAAAAGTTGAGCGAAACATGATAGACGGAATGCGTTTGAATTAACAGTGTCAAAATTGACTGATGTCTGGCAGAAAAAGAATTTCCCATTCATATTTCGATGTCGGCACAAGGTTTTTCATAGCTATTTCTTAAGATTGATAACCACCTAGTGTACTAAGAGAAGTTACAGTGGGGGTTGCTAAAGAATTTGTGCACCGTCTCACGCTAGGAACAAGTCGGGAGCAGCGCCGCGAGGTAATGGTAAAGACGCTTAAAGCTCTTTAACTCGATTATTTGAAATTGTTTGCGGCAATTTATTAGATTTAGAAGATGATATAATTTGATGACACATTGAGAGCGAAATATCTTGAGTTCTTGATGTCTAGCCCAGTCTCCTCCCGCACTAAAACAGTTCAAAGCTTTAACAAGTCGGATACGGGGTTCATTATCAGCATAGTGATATTGTATCTGCCGTATTCCACTACATATTGGAGCATAAGTGTCGTAGTGCAGAATCATTACTATAGTTCCACTCGTACGCCAAGTTTCTGGTCGAGTACAGACCTGTGGCTTGATCGCGAGACTAAATAAGCTATTGTTCAACTTCACCGAAAGCCTACATGTGGAAAGGAAAGAACACTTGAAGTCTCAGTCGGTGAGCCATTGATGAAATCAGCTGGTGACTAGAGGCTGTTCAGATCCAGATTTCAAATTTTGTGTGGAGTACAGTTGCAAGAAAAGGGCTCCCAATGGTCGTTTATGCTGATGCCCGATCGGTCTTTGTTCCTTTGCTCATGTTCCCTGCGGGGACATCGTCTACGGGCAAGTTTTCCCCACCTGTGAGACCCTCAAGCTCGGGCTTAGAGCCGTTTTTCCCTGGATTGTTCAAAGGAAGAAAATTCTATGAGCAATTATCGATGCAAAGCTGCCTGATAGGATATGTAGCAGCGTGAGGTTCAAGTTTTGATATTTAGATTTTGGTTCTTATTAATTCATATATAAATAAATATTCTGTATATTATATTCTCTGTTATTTCTGACTTATAATTACCCCGTAGAGAAAAGTCTCTTGATTTAGGGATGAAATAAGGAAGAGTGGTCATCTCTGCCATGATCATGCCACTATGGACAGTTTGGGTTGCCTTCTAAATTCACTTCAGCTTACTTTGGTCTTTTTAGGAAACTGCATTTTTAGGAGACTGCGGACATTCCAATCAGGAAATATAGTACTAGTGATTTCCAGTTATGTAGATGCCTCTCAGAGTTGTCTCTAACGTTGACGAGCAGAAACATATTACCTGTAGAACAATGGGGAATTTCGCGGAGCATATCTGAGACTCCGCGATCATCGCAGAAACTGAATGCCCTCCGCGATGCATTATCCCATACTTTTACCTCATAATCTTCAACTTAAAGGGATCATGTTGCAACCTGAGGTGGAGATTAATTGGTATCGCTTTTCTATTGATCCAATCTAAGCTTTTTTTTTCTTCCTTCAGCGTTTCACAATCCTCCAACTTTGACCTTAACAATGGAGATATGGAGAATTAATAGAATATTAAGTTTATAATTTGAACTCATAATAATCTAATAGACTTTGGGAGTTTTTAATATGGGGTAGTGGGATTGCGGGGTCCGCTATCCTTCCGCTATCCTCCAGCGGATGAATATTGACAAAGGGCCGTGATCTCGATTATCAAGTAAATCTACATATCAAGGTCTAAAGAATGTGCATTGGAGGAGTAGTGCTAACTAGACTTCCTTTGCTGTTATATTACTCCCCTACATTTCGACACCCCTTTCGTCGTCGTCGTAGCAGCCCTTAAGTTACCCTACCGTACCTAGGCAGTTTTTGCGCATTCCAGCTTCTGCGCTATAACGTTGTTGTCAAGATCTGGGCGATAATGCATAATTAAGTGCGACTGTAGGCGTGCGGTTAGTTACTACAGTAATGCTTGACCCGAGTCTTGTTTAGGTACCTAATGAGGAAACTGGGAAATTGCTAATTTCGTGCTCAGGCCTATGTTGTTGTCATGTAATGGCCACTCCTTGGTGTTGGGCAATACCACTTATAATGCCGGGCTCAATGTAACCTGACAAGTATATATACTGTGTCAGTACCTGGTAACTAACTGAGGTTAGGCCTTCAGTAAGGTCACTCATCCTTGGGTAGGCAGCCTTATAAGTAAGAACAAAGGGAAGACGTTAACCTCGTTTAATTAACTAGGTAGGACAACCATCCAAAGGGCCCATCCATCATCGTCACAATGCTGACATTCGTCACATTTTTCCCAGAAGGGCTGGTACTTCACCTTTCTTCATTTCTGTTGTTCACCTTATATGCCAGTACAGTTGCTGCCAGCCAAACCAGACCCAGTTATCACATCAACCCCGAAATGAAACGGATGAATGACCCCCAACGTCCGTTCCGTCTCGGGGATGAATGGCATTTCTACTACCTATATCACTCCAACTTCGACATCTCAAACCCCGGTTCGGGTGGGACAGAATAGTATCACATTACGAGCACCGACATGGTGCACTGGACTGGCCAGGTGTAGCAATCGAGAAATACAAACAGAACCCTCCCACCGGTGTGATCCTGGGTGACATTGAGACCGGCAGCGCAGCAGTCGTCGACACGGACAACAGTGCTGGATTTGGCCAGAATTCCGTCGTGGCCATCCTCTCACAGATGGCGGATGAGCTGCAACAGCAGTCCCTTTTCTATTCCACCGACAATGGGTACAGTTTCCTCCCTTACGCGGGCTATCCTGTAATGCCAAACCCCAACCCGGATGCGAAACCTGCCTTTCGAGATCCCAAAATCCTTTGGGATGGCGAAGCGGGGCGTTGGGCCATGTCTCTCGCGGAGGGTAACAAGATTGGTTTCTACACCTCTCCAGATCTTAAGACATGGACATATATGTCTGGGTTCATACCCGAGAACTCCGGCGTAAACCTGGGCATCCTCGAGTGTCCAGATCTATATCAGATCGACCTAGATAGGGACACCACAAAGCGAACCTGGATCCTCGGGGTGAGCGCGAATGGTTACTTCTATAATAGGACAACGGATACCGTATATTGGACCGGAACATGGGACGGCAATGGCTTCACACCCACGAACGGTTTTCCGCAATGGATGGATGACGGGCCTGACTTCTACGCCACGGTCAGCTGGGACAACTTGGACGACACATACGGCAGCCGGTATGCAATTGCCTGGATGAATAACTGGGGTTACGCAGATTCGCTGCCTTATTACGGAGATTTCGCTGGTCAGGATAGTATGATCCGGGAGGTCAAGTTTAAGACTATTAGCAGTTCCCCCACCTTGGTCAGCGTCCCTAGGAATGTATGAAGATGTCTTCGCACCTCCAAACTCCGTGAGCGGGAATACCATCGCGATGGATCCGGCATCTGCATCTCTTCCCAGCAGCCCGATGGGAGGTGCGTACATCATCAACGCCACGGTCGCCAAGAACAACGGCGACAACGGCAATCATGTCCACTTTCGCATTAAATCTGACGGGTCTTTCAGCACGACCGTAGGTTACGACTTCACGCATTCCCAGGTGTTTTTGGTCAGGGACTCCGACGGTTACGCGACGGATTCTATGCCGTCAGATCCAAAACAAATATACGATGCTGTGCGCATGGCGCCAAATACTTCAGGTGGGAACACGGTCAAAATGGTGATATATGTGGATTGGAATTCTGTGGAGGTGTTCGTGAATGATGGTGTGGCAGTGCTATCGGGACTAATTTATTCCAAACAAGCGGCAGAGGAAATTCAGGTTGTGTCCGATATAGGAAGATTGACGTTGGTGACGTTTAGTTATGCTGGACATGTGATGTAAGTTCTAGTTGTAGAATGGTTAGAGACTAGGGTTGATTGCTATATCACCTTACTTTGATAAATCTGTCTGTTCCAAAATTAGTAGCACTCTTAACGCGAAATTTCGTAGAAAATGTCGCAAGTCGTATATGCAAATCAGCATTCCACTAAAATAATGTTCCTAACTCCAGTTTATCTGAATCCCCAGCAAGCCACTATACAAAACAAAGCTAACGCTAAGCCTAATTAGAAATAGCTTTGCCAAGGCTCTGGTTCTAGTTTGGGCCCTGCCCGGACCGTGTTACAATAATTACTAATTTAAATATTGATCTCTATCTTGATATAAATGGAGATATAAGAAGTATATATAATAAATAAATTCTTTTTTCTAGTTTATCTAATATAACGGTAACATTTGTGAGCAAAATTAAATCCCCCCTACTACTAGGGGCTTTTCGCATTGATGTAGGTCCAGAGATCCCACATTCCTATCCAACAGCCACCGTACTTACAGGTATAGCTTTAATACGAAATGCAAGCTAATAGATATTATTAAGATAATTTCCCATTCAAGAAATGACAACCCTGCATTTATGCAATATACACTTGTTTATTGTGAGCCGACAATAGCTAACTTTCGCAGCCTTTTACCCTAAACATGCCCCTTCAGCTGTAATTCATGAGACCACCGCTACCACAGTGACTGTTATCGGCCGGGGCCCGTCTCCCATTCAAACACTTGCTGCATCTAGCTGACGCCACGCACTTCTGGGGTTTTCGAGGTTATCAATCTGTCCATTCCCCTTGTTTTGCCCATTCCACGTTATAGCCTCCATTCTTTCCACAATATGGCCATTTGGTAAAAGCGACCTGTGCAACATCTGAGCGAAAATTCGGTGAAGCGAGTAACATATGGACGCAGTGGCTAGTGTGGTGAACAGATGATATAAGGCCATCAACCTTGTTTCCACTACTGATAGCTTTATGCAGCTTCTTGAACAGAAAAGCGCAATGTGCCCGATGATAATCTTGTTTGACAAAGTAACCGTGACCGTCGCCTCTCCTCACTTCTTCAAGGGGGGCTTCTTGAGTATAATTCAAATCTCGGTAGTAATGAAGATCGAGTTCCAGAAACTCGGCCTCGACTGTCAGATCCAAACATTCTTTTGGTAGCCACGAAAAACCAGTCATCTCAAAATGACAGCCCTTTGCTCGTGCTTCTGTAGCTGTGGTGCCGCATTGATCAATATGCCTTCGGCCAGCATAGAATCGATAGATCGTAAAAGACACAATAATGGCTAGTATGCCAACAATCAACAACAGGAACAGTCGTCGCCAGCTCTTTAGTGGTGATGAAGTTCGTACTATTTTAGGTTCATCTGAATGAGGAGAATCTATGAACCTTTCTTGATCGTGGAGAGCCATATAGGCAGTTTGCTTTCGAACATCCATAATGAGAAATTTTTGCTTTGCGGCCTTCTGCTTTTTCTAAAGTTGGTCTTTAGTCTGCCTGATCTTGATGCTTTTGTTAATACTGTTATCTGAAGATCCGTTTGTAAGCAAAATAGTCGGTGTGGAAATGGCCGGAGAATAACGAGGTCTAGGAAGTGTACTACCGATTCCGAGAAGATGTACAGAGAGAGCTAAGAATCGGCAGACTCAGTGATATCAGAGAAAGGCTACAGTCGCTTTGAATAACGTCTAGCGGTCGCTCCTTTGAGCAGTCAAATTACACTAGTCATTTGTAGTGTATTTAAAATTAATACCAGTTCTACCGATATTCGGGGGGAAAGAAAATAACTTAGGAAATAGTGTTATTCTTAACTTAATTACATGAACGTCAAAATAAGCGAATAATTAATTTCTTCGTGTAAACCAGGTTTGAATTTCTATGGATTTTAAAGTAGATTACCAATAATTTAATTCGATTTTTACATAAAGCAATAAATATGCGGAAAGAATTTCAGGAAAATGAAAACTCCATAGAAATTTAAATAATTCTTAATTAATATACTCTTAGTGTACTTATATGTATTGTCAGGCCCCTCAAGGAAAGTGAGGAACACGGCTAAATCCGGAGACTCTATTCGTAGAACCGAATGAACGATCCTCTTGATATGGTCGATGTTACCCTACTAATGCGAAGCTGCTAATCACAAAAGATAAGAGTACTATTAGCAAGGCAAGGGTGTTGGTAGCACGGCAAGAGTGTTGGTAGCAAGGCAAGAGTGTTGGTAGCAAGATACGGGTGTTGGTAGCAAGATACGGGTGTTGGTGGGAAGATACGGGTGTTGGTGGGAAGTAAATCTATCAACGACCTTCTAGAGATAGTCGATGTTACCCTACTTATGCAAAGTTGCTGATCGGAGAAGGTAAAAGTGTTGGAAACTAGGAAATAGGTAACAGATACGCGTAAATCTTCACCAGTGAGCATTGTACGTTCAAGCAGCGACATGTTATAATTCAGCTGACAGTATTTTATGCTGCAGTGAACATTGTCACTAAATAAACGCTAAATAAACACCTTCTACATGAAGCAAATTCTTGTCCGGCCATACCCCACATGCTGTGGGGCATGTGCATCTTGGCAGTCTTTGATTTGATATCATTGCTTCTACAAATGATATACTAGTCAAATTTTGGCAGCTAGCTCATACATTTGTACTTGTCATTGAGCAAGTACACACTCTATCAGGCATCTCGCATGCAAGACACAAAAAATGGGAGAGTCGGTAAGCTATATGAAATTGGTTCTACTCACTACTATCTAAGAGCCTTTCTATTGTCTAGCTACTATGGTGTTTTTTTGTTTCATATGTCTCGGTATCTCTTACATTATATTACTATTGATGCGACCTTCTAGTTATAGTAGTTAACGAGCTACTATATCTATTTTTGTTTACCATGCTTTGCACAATATCATCCTGAATTACACCAAAAACTGTTCCCTGCTGGGGCACTGTCACCTTATCTTTACTTAGGCAGCGAATCAATAACTACTTATACGATCTTGAACACGGTTTAAGCTGGAGGCTGTCATGCAGCGTAACAATAATTGCTAGTATTAGATTTATCCCTAGCATATAACTGGATACATTCTCCGTCTTTGACAGCCTAATGCCCGAAGCAAGTAAAATCTAGGCTGCAATCAATTGCCACACTTGGAATCTCTCTCCGTCTTGCCCACTCAAATCAGGTATGTCGTCCTCAGTTATCTCAATTCTTGATTCCGTAAAAGACCTCTGAACCAGTAGTAATATCGACATTAGTCACGGCCTCACCACCGCGTTTCTTGATGCCGTAAAAGGCCTCTGAACCAGTGGTAGCATCGACATTAGTCACGGCCTCATCACCACGTCTCTTGATGCCGTAAAAGGCCTCTGAACCAGTGGTAATATCGACATTAGTCACGGCCTCATCACTGCGTTTCTTGATGCCGTAAAAGGCCTCTGAACCAGTGGTAGCATCGACATTAGTCACGGCCTCATCACCGCGTTTCTTGATGCCGTAAAAGACCTCCGAACCAGTGGTAATATCGACATTAGTCACGGCCTCATTACCACGCTTCGAAACCTAAAATACTTTGCTTAATAGATATTCTGAAAGGTTATATTACTGATACTTACCTGGGAGATATCTCCTATAGGTATAGCAGTGGCATACGATGTCAAGAAGCTTGAGAGGATAATAGTGGAAATCTTCATGGTGAATACTGAAAAGAGACTCTTAGATCGTATAAGAGGTGGCGATTTCTGGAATGAGCGATAATGTCTTCGAAGGAATTTTTAATTCAATAGGATGAAGATGAGAAGACCTCTACCCTTATAGTAATACTCATATATTGATCTGACAGTGGAGCAGGCATTCGGCATACCAACAAAGGCTGTCAACTCGATCATCATAATAGTGTGTCATATAGACTTACTCGTAATGCATATTAAAGCAGCGTGTGGCGGCCCTATCGGCCACTTAAGATAAAGATCAAGTGACATGAAAATTGGGTACGCAGGTCGACCAACATACGTCATATCCTGCATCCAACCCTTCGTCTGGACAAAGTGGCAACGCTAGTATAGTTTGCGAGAATTCTCAGCTCTGCTATGTCGTATAATACTAGGTCTCTCATATACAATTTTGCGAAGCTTACCCTTATCATTATCGTCGACTTAGACTCATTATTGGAGGAAATAAATATCATTGCTAGCGTGGTCTCTTTGTGCCGGACAACGGGACACCTAGCGCTGTTTCCCTTTTAGCTTCGTCGTCTTATGAAGCAAGTTTGGAGTTCGGCGAGGTAAACTTTACTTGATTCTTTCAAGGCTCTCGTACATCCATTCTCCTCGAATTTTCTGGTTCTTTTCATATTTCAAAATGGCATTTTCATTCGTCAAGAGGGATATTCAATATCTCCCTATCCGGCAACAGGATCAGAGTGAAGCCCTTCATCAAAAAACCCTCGAAAGCTGCAAAAAGTTTCCTTTCTCTACTCTGAACCTTTCGCTTTGGATATCATGGATTATTATTCTATGTCTCGTGCTCTCAAATTTGTATACATGGGCAAGTCTAAGAAGCATGAAGACACACAATACGGTATTCTGTAAGTGAATTTACTAGACTTGTGTAAAGATAATTTAACCTCAAATCCTGATGGTTTGATTTTAGCTCCTGCATTATCTGCAGTTAGATACAAAAATCTTGTTTCGACAGCTGGGATCGCTAGTCTCCATGATACCTCTCCATACCAAGGTCCACCATCCGAATATAATAATCAACTCTGGGAAGATCTATATCAATGCAAGCTATGCCATTGACTCTCAGATGGGCCTTAATAGTGACTAATCGGTGGCTATAGTCGGTATCACCAGAATACCCATGAGCGAAGCTACCCAGCTGGCAAACAGAACCGTGCCTATATCAGATGATCCGGGCTACTACGCTGTGACTCTAGATGTCTTCCATCAACTTCATTGCCTAGTGAGACAACCCTATTCTAAGTGCATCATTTATACCTCATAACGTATCCCTAATGTTATTCAGAACATGATTCGACAAACTGTTTGGCCAACTGGTCCGATGGATTTCAATCCAATTCATGTGGATCACTGCATCGACTCGATTAGACAGAGTCTCATGTGTTCTAGCGATATCACTCCCATACCATACATTTGGTTTACGGAGTATCAAGAGGCCCTTCCGGTAACTAATGTGTTGCGTACGTGTCGTGACTTCGATGTGTTACGGGATTGGGCTCAAGAACGTCAATCTTTTACCTTCAATTCTACGATCTATGTAGATGACCCTCTGGGCAATGTTTTGATTGAACCTATAGACAATATGGTGGTCTGATTGTTATATAGTGGGGTTATATTGACGGTCAAAACAGGATTTATTGAAATTGTAGACGCGATATATAATGGATATCCCTAACACACTACTCACTTGTTTTAACTGAGTAACTAGATAATTTAGAGTGTTTATTACGCCTAGGATGGTGGTCAAAATAGCTGAACTCAGGGACCATTTCCCATTCTACTTGCTGGCCCCAACCCTCTCACAAACTAGGTATTGAACAACAAGAAGAATCATGATATCATCGGGGACTTGGATCTGCCGGACTTGGTTCTTTCGTGCTGTTTCCGTACTTGGTGTCCTAGACTGTGATGAAGCCCTTAACCTCACCCCAAATTACTATAGCGATCCCGTGGTTAAGAAGACACAACAGTGACGGGATCGGCAGGTAAGAGCGATGGCGACGTTAGAGGCAATACGGTACTCCATAAGCAAGATGTCGCTGGAGGCTCCATAAATGCTTGGTATATTAATGACGAAGAGATCGTGAGAAATATGGACAAGAATCTATCTCCACGCCGAAGTCAGGCCAAGTCTAGCGGCGAAATTTATATTCGTCGCGACAACAACGTTGACAGCTACAGCGCTAGGTCGGTCGAAAGTGGTAGGAGACACTGTCCTACAAGCTGTGGCAACTATTATCATCTGGCGATGACCTAGTGAAAAGGCGCAAACACCAGTATCAAACATCTACCTATTATTGGTGGAGCATAGTTGGGAGGAGCTCACCGCTCTGAGTGGTCACTTACTCATGATAATAGCCATTCCACAAACAGCGGCGACTACAATATCAAGTATCAACTAGTTTATCTGTTCCTACAATCTCATATACTACAGACACGGAAATACAGTTAAGCCGTGGTGAATCAGGTTACTTGTCGAGTGATAGTCTACCAAAACTGACTTATATCAGCTTATGTTTACGGTCCTCGCAGCCCCTGCGCTTTCGCAGCCGTCGTTCGCGATGTCTGGGAGGAGAGGGGGAATTTTTCAGCCGCTCTGCCCAACATATCGAGGCCATAGGCTACATGGGATACTTAGGCGAGTTCATCATCAAGCCACTGCAATAAGATTTCCTCGTTTTGACCGACATATGCCATCATTGGACCTTGTAAGGAGTCGCGAGCCAGCCGTTTTGATCTGACTTAGAACCACCAAGACTCAGATTCAGATTCCAGGATCTTGGAGTCGCGATCCATTATTAGATACAATATCTTTATAATTATATATAATATTCGTTATTTTTAGAATTTTAGAATTTTTATTAATAATTTATTAAATCTTTAATATACTAAAGTGATAGCTAGTATATATTCTGATTCTATAGCACTACTTCTATGATCTTCTAACCCTGATATGAAGGGGGTACCATATGCGTTGGAGATATCATTGCCAAAGGCTTTGCAGATCTCGAGGCATCCATCGCAAAAATCAATGCTTACACTAAACTTTACTGTAGAATTTTAGAAGTGAGCTCTGTTGAATCGGTCGATAATTGGATTGGAGACATTGTCGCAAAGTTCGGCGACCAAAACGGTGCCGCAAACGTAACTAGTGTACCCCAAGCCATCGGAGTGCGCCAAATTCCTGCCATCCTCGAAGAGACTGACTAGGATTGGAGCCATATTCTAAAGATCAATTTTGATGGTATTTTTTTATTGCAATCGGACTTAGGTTAGAGTTATGAAGGATTTACCCGCGGGTAATCGTGCTATTGTCAACCTGGCTAGTATGCCTTCCCTACAGCACAATCCGGACGCCTACGCATATCATACATCCAAAGCGGCTTGTGCACACTTCACGACAAGTGTTGCCAAGAATACCAATCGACTTGGTATAGGGATCAACTGTTTCTCACCTGTTAGGATACAAGGAATATTGCTGAGTTACAGCCTTCAAACTGTTATTAATTAAGTTCTGTAGGGGTTACTGATACACCGATGTTGACCAGCTTCATACCCAGTGCTGCTACTTCACCCCAGCTCGAAGAGGGCTGGAAAAACCAAGGATAGGTTCATATGGATCCTGAAGATGTAGGGCGGGTGATTGTATGGCTTTTATTGGAAGAGTCAATGCCAGTGTACGGGTCAAATATGAAGGTCGGGGCTGGACTTCCCTGGTTCGTGTCGTCTTAAGGAAGTTTATTGGAAGAATATATCTATATACTAAGGAGAATAAGATTAATAGGTGTTCAGATCCTTCAACCTACCCACCCTCAAGTTTCTGATTTCTATATCGTTAGTATAGGAGCATTATTCATTCTCTATTAAATAAATCAGTTGTTCAAAAAATCGAAATTAGGCTAGAAATTGCTCTAGATTTGGGGAACTTTCGTTCATATCTTAAATTCTCGTTTGACCTTTGGATTAAAAATTGAAATGAACGGCCTGGCTAGTTTTACGGAAGTCTTTGAGTTCTTGAGAAGTGTCTTGATCAGATAAAGCCTCAATCGGAGTTATAGCCAGGTCAACAACCTTCGACACTAATCCCTCGTGATACATGCTGTTGCCGTATTCGAACATGGCCGCCGTTGATTCGAAGCTAGAGATGGGTCAGTAGTAAACTTGGCTATTCAAGAGTTCATTACAGACCTCTCAACTACAACAAATTGATTCTTTTCCTCAGCCCAGAAGTGAAATGCGATAAGAACTCCTGGCACATTTTCACGAATATCCGTCAAATTTTTACTCAGATATTGCTCCAGCTAAAAATTATAATATCGATGGTTAGCATCAAGTATAACCTAAACAGGCAGGGCTCGCAAAGCCAGGACAATGTCATATCACACCTCGTTTTTCTTCCCCTCCTGAGGTTGCAGTAAAATAACACCATTAGCGGCACCACCGGCAGACATTATTGTTTGTTCTAGCTATATTTTCTGTTTCTTTATTAAAGGTGAAAGTGAAAAGAGAAGTGCGGGGTGCTATGAAGAGAGAAAATGGCATTTTAATACGGAACAGGTGAAGCCCGTGGATAAACCGAAGCAAACTTGATCGATTTTGTGGTCTGTGACCACAATTAGCAGCATCTCCACAAAACCCCTATACATGAATCGTACATTATACAAATATGGCGTTCTCGCCTTTCATAGTTCTCTCCGGGCGTGTTTCACGACTGATATTATTATTAGACGGAGCGACTAGATTTCTTCTAGCGGGGACTCAAATTTGGGATCATCGCAGCTGATACGATAAAAGCCGAGATTGCCGAAAGATATTCTCCCGGTTTCTAAAGGTAAGAGCACGCTCAGGAACCCGAACCTATGAATATTGGTACAGATGACTGAATTTCCTGGTATCCTAAGGACGCATAAGGTAGCCACATCAACGAGAAAGGAAACCTACTGTGGACTATAGAAGGGAGGTGGCAACTTTTTCGTATACCTTAAGCATTAGTGACAACACTATCAGTCTTTTAAAAGACAAGTTTTTGTTATCATTTGGAGCTCTGCCGGTATTGGACGAGGATGTGCTTTTGAATTTGTGAAGCATGGAGTGAAGGCCCTCGTCCATCGTTTGGGTCAGAAAGCATTCTGAAGTACGCTAAGTATGTTGAACAAAATTTAATATCGCTCTACTCCACTGGTTTGGTGTTATATGGTGCGCATTTGACAGGTGTCGGAGTCTCTGAAGAACTGACGGAACAAGCATACCATGCTTTTGGAAGACTGGGTATCCTCGACAACAATGCTACCTTTTCCATCCGTCATCCGCAGAGGTAGAGACCAAGTCTCTCATCCAACAATTGATATAAACTACACCGCCGTGTGGCTGGTCAAGCAGGCGCCTATGAAGCGGCTGGTAATATAGGGTCAGGGTGGGAGTATTTGTTATCCTCCAATATGGTTATTACCGGAGCAAGTAGCCTAGCTTATTATACAAGCCAGCATCATGGCAATATCGAACAACTCTGCCGTAGACTTCGGGTCGCATGGTATCCGATATAATTCCATGTTACTAGGCCGAACCGATACAAATATAGTTACTGACTGTGTCTAGGACCCGATGCAGAAACAAGTTATGGCAGCTATATCTCCCATGGGCTACTTAGTTATACCGGAGGACATTGCCGGGGTGGCGGTATTTTTGCCCAGCGATCTGGCTAAGTTCGTGAATGAACAGCGGTTGACAGTCGATGGTTAAGCCACATATCGATTACTGTAGATGTCCGGGAGAGAAAGTACGAACGGGTATCATTATTAAACAACATTGAATATGACTGCGTAGGCTTAAACAAAATCAAGCGACATCTATTGCATAACCTATGAGTTTTTAAACCCATTGCAAGTTGACAAAATGGTTTTCCCCGGATTTTACAGTTCCCCGCACCGGTTATCCAAGCTGATTGCCACCGGGGGGCCTGTGCACTGAAAATAAGCATCCAATCATGTTTGCGTGCTGCCTGTTTTTCGGCTCATCTACCCCGGCTTCATCACACACCCTACTCCAATTGGAAACTTGAGTTCCCTGATATAACCTAAAAAATGTAAATCGGATGTGTTGCCTCTGAAAAGACAAGCACTAGTTTGTATAAATTGCCAGCCACACCGATCTTAGTCGCATAAATACAACTATCGCCGACTTCTCTAAACCTTTACTCTCTTTTCTAGGTAGCAAGATTTCTTGACGTTTCATACTATGGCCGAGTTTACTTTCAATTGGAATCTAGCATTAGTTGGCCTTTACGGTCTCCTTGGATGGCTAGTTACAAGGACCATCTATCGCCTCTATTTTCACCCACTTCACAAAATCCCCGGGCCACGTCTAGCAGCGGCAACTCATATTGTCGAATTCTATTACGATGTTGTTAAGGGTGGTAAATATATCTGGGAAATCGAAAGAATGCATGCAAAGTACGGTGAGTTCGTTCCACAATTGCACATTTTGCTATCCGTTGCCTTCGTACGATGTCTGAATAAGGATTGGTTAACAGGCCCTATTGTTCGCATTAATCCGCGTCAAATCCATATCAACGATCCTGAATTTTACGAGCAAATCTATGCTGGAAGTAAAAGTACGCGGGACAAGGATACCTCGTATCCCCCGCGGCTATCTGCTTCGCTGTCAGTAATATCAACTATTCCTCATAATCATCACCGGCTACGCCGTTCTGTGATGAATCGATTCTTCTCTAAGCAATCCGTAGTAAATCTGGAACCGATCATTCAGGATAAAACTGATAAGCTGGCGGACCATTTCGAGGCAGCACATCAAAGGGGGACGGTGTTGAAAATGGAATATGCCTTTAGTGCATTGACGGCTGATGTTATTACTCACTATTGTTACGGCACGAGTTACAGATACTTAGAGGACCAGTTCCCGGAAAACGACCTACGTGATGCATTTGGTGGACTTTTTCTTCTTAATCATATCTTGTACTTTTTCCCTCCGGTGTCGAAGTTTTTAAACAATGTCCCGCCCAAAGTCATGCAATTCATTGATCCGAAGTCATCAGTTATGGCATTCGTGCGAGGCCGGCTATATAAACAATCAGTTGAGACACTTCAACAACCGAAGGTTACATCCAACAAGCAAAGGGAGACTATATTCGATGCTCTCCTCGACCCGAGTCTGCCTCCGAGCGAGAAGACTGTTGAACGTTTAACTGAAGAAGGATTTATTTTGCTTGGTGCTGGCTCCGAAACGACGGCAAACACGATGGCGCTTGCGGCGTACCATCTGACCAAGAACAAGCTCGTATTAGAGAAACTGCGTGCTGAACTTAAGCAAGTGATGCCTTCTCCCAAGAGCAGCCCATGTTGGTCGGATTTGGAGCAATTACCTTACCTAGTGAGTACTCATTCTTTTGTGGATTGCTTATGTATTTATTTATTGTGTAAAGACAGCTGTCATCAATGAGACACTTCGACTAGCTATCGGAGGCTCTTGGCGACTCCCCAGAGTTTCCCCAAATGAGGCATTGGTATATGAGAATTACGTTATTCCAGCTGGAGTGAGCCTTCTCTAATTCTCTCTGGTTTAGTGCACAAAGGCTAACATTTTAATCCCTCAGACCCCTATGATAACAGCAAGCTACTTCGTTCATATGAATCCCATCATATTCCCCAATCCGGAGAAGTTCGATCCAGACCGTTGGATCAGGGCCCACGAGAGTGGAGAGCGTCTGAGTAGATTCATTGTCAGTTTCAGCAAAGGTACTAGGCAGTGTATCGGCATCAAGTGAGTAACCATATCAACTATATTCTGTCACCCATCTCCGGGCCCTATTAACACTTAAGCACCTTTTGCTAAGCGTGGTATTTAGTATGGCGTATGCGGAGCTCTATTTGGTGATTGCACGTATAGTTAGACAGTTTGATCTTGAACTGTGTGAGACGACCGAGGAAAATGTTCGATTTGCTCGGGATTATGTGGTTCCGCACGCGGAGAATGGGCCATGGAGTGTGAAGGCTCGTATTATCAAGGTCATAGAGGAATAAATTCCCCTTTGACTAGAAATGCAGTGCACAATAATAATTAGGTTTAAACTCAATGAATAGCATCGTATTATTACCAACATCAATCGGTAAATGTGATGTTATTGAATTGACTAAATATTATATAGCAGATTCCTCGAACAATCCAAATTGTAGGCTATATCTACTCCTGGAATTTGACCTCTGAAATTTAAATTATCAATAAATATTTAAACTCACAGATACTATACTATATAATAGGCAAATAAACCCTATGGTTAATGAGGGCACGATGGCGCTGCTCCACACCGTAGCATTTACATGAGACTTGAATTTACATTGCGCCAAAGAGATAACTCTCATAGATAACGGAATCACATTAACTGATGGGATCGTGCAATTCTTAAGATATAAACCCCAAACCATTCTGTCATTTCATAATAAAATGCCTGTAGTTATCTGCAGCTATTGCTTCCGCGCGCTTTCGGAATTCGAGATTGTTGCCGAAATATCGGATGATCCTTCTTTGAGCTTTTCCAGCACGGTTTGAGTTGTAACCAGTCTGCCAAGAGTTTACCTTTACAGAAAGCAGGCCCTTTGTGCATTCAAACACATGCGCAGTCCACTCTGCTTCACCTTCATCATCTGGTGCAACGTAGGTGATGTTATGTTCCTTCAGGTATCCCATGAACCTTGAAATCCACTCAACGGCGTACTCAATAACATGAGGAATGTTACCTGTAGCTTGATGAGGGCCAAGAACATTGAACATATTAGGGAAGTTTGGGACAGCAAACCCAAGATAGGTTCGCGGACCATCCTTCCATTTTTCCTTCAAACTGAGGCCCTTCTCACCATAGTAGTCAATCTCTTCATATGATCCAGTGAGGGCATCAAATCCAGTTGCGTAGATGAGCACGTCAAGTTCAATGTTTTCTGTGGTGGTTTTAACACTATTCTCCGTAACCTGTTCAATTGGTGTCTCGAGCAAGTCCACTAGCTTCACATTGCTCCTATTGAAGAGTTCATAATAGCCGTTCTCCAAAGGCACTCGCCGCGTGCCAAATCCGTGACTTTTGGGAACCAACTTCTCTGCAATGACTGGGTTATTTACACGTGATCGAATTTTATTCCCCATCCATTCACTATAGAGGTTGTTCGCATCTTGGTTGGTGAAAATATCCTTGAAATTACCAACCCACTTGATGAGGCCCCGCATATTGTAGTGATTTTCCCAGAGAGCTTCCCGCTCTTCTTTGGCCAGCTCAATACAGTTTCGTGGGTCTGGTTGATACATGAAACCCATGGGACTTGATTTGCACTTTTTGATGATTTCTGGATATTGTTCGCGAATGGATTGCATTTCCTCCTGGTCGATAATGCTGTTACGCAAAGGAGCTGTCCAGTTTGCAGTTCTTTGAAAAACGGTTATATGTCCAGCTGTCTTTGCAACTTCTTGGATTACTTGGATTCCTGTAGCCCCTGTGCCAATGACGCCGACCCGTTTCCCCTCAAATTGGACTGAGTGGTTAGGCCAGCGAGAGGTATGGTACGCAACCCCTTTGAAGTCTTCAACCCCTGGAATGGAAGGCAATGTCGGGGTGGTCAGCGGACCAAGGCAATTTACGAGGAACCGTGACGTGTAGTTTCCTCCCCGCTGGTCGGTCAAAGTCCATGCTCTTGTCTCATCATCGTAATGAGCAGACTTTACTTCAGTTTCCAGTTGGAAATCGGAGCGGATATGGAACTTGTCCACAATAAAGTTGATATACCGAAGAGTATCCTCTTGAGCGGAGAAATGCTCCTTCCAGTCCCACTCATCCAGTAGTTCTTTGGAGAACGTAAACATGTAGGTGTAACTCTCCGAATCGAAGCGCGCTCCGGGATAGCGATTCCAAAACCATACCCCCCCTACATCTGAGCCGCGTTCAATTACCCTTGCACGAAGACCAAGCTTCTTCATAGAGATTAAGGTGTAAATTCCTGCCAGCCCGGCTCCGATAATCAAGACATCGTAGTCGGGCCTCTCAGGCCCGTCACGCAAATGGAAGGTCCCATTCGCTTCACCCATTTTGGCAGAACAAGATAGTATGTTTATTTTTAGACGTTAAAATGGTAGTATTAAAACAATTATTTTTGAGTCTGTAGTTTTGACATTATTATATATAGGTGGGACTGCATTCTGTCCATCTCTTATCTGTATTGATACCCTACGGCATACTTAGCTTCACTTTCCAACCACCGGTAGCACGTTTCGATGGTTCCCGTAGGCAAGGAATACTTTATCACCCGGCTCGGTTTAAAATGCTGCTCATTTTGCCGAATAACCGGATATAACCGGCGAATGTAATTCCCTTCATATAGCAACCTTCGTATCCCCATGGCACCGGTAATACCAAGCGGCAATGAGGAGTTCGTCTGCCGGGTGCGGGGTGGACGAGCGGAAGAAACTTCGGAACTTTCTCAACCCCAGGATTATCAGTCACCGCGGCTTATTTTGCATCTCTCTTCATAAGTAGAGTCTCTTCTTTTTAAAGACCAGAACAAACCGTGGTACCTAAACTAGAGATTATTTTATCTTCTTTGCCAGCATACACAAGTTAATGTGTAATTCATTCATCCTTTAAATATACATCGATCATTTACATCATAAATTTGATCACATTTTTTCCTGTATTTATCAAAGATGGTTGTCTCTCATATTGTTCTCCTGACCTTCAAGGCCGACATCAGTGATACTGAAAAGGAAGAGGTAGGAAGCCATTGATTGCTCCGTCAAGGGCTTGCTATGTATACCTGGCCAACTAACTATCTAATTATACAGGCTCTTACTCGTCTGCGAGAAATCAAAGACAAAGCTCTTCACCCTGAAACTGGTAAACCTTTGGTCAAGTCCTTGACCGGCGGCAAGAATAATTCCCCTAAGGGCTACAACGTATGAGAAAATATTTTAACTCTAATCACTTTAACATAAAAATACTGACTCCTTAGCAGAAGGGATACACTTATGCTTTCACATGGGAGTTTGATACCCCAGAAGACCGTGATTACTATACCTTTCAGGATCCCTACCATACTTCCATCACCCCAGTTATTTTGAATGCTATTGAGAATATCATTGTAGTGGACTATACGCCCGACGAATACTGATTTCTCTCGGGTCCAAAAAATAAAGACGAGTTTAACATATTGTAGGGGAAAACATTGATATTCCTCACGGAAATACAATAGAATTAGGTACACTATGTATATACAAACTGTTGCAGAACTCCCTTGTCAAGTTCATAGTGCTACTTCTAAAATGGCCCACCAGAATTGATTATATACTTTCACAAAGCATGTACTCTTCTCTGTGTTAGTTGCTATACACTATAACGTATTTCACAAGCGAACAGGTCAGACACCCGAACGGGCCTCCCCTTCAATTTTACCTCAAATTTATCAACTATATATTCTTTAAAATTGCTAAACCATTCCAACATACCTTCAAATGCTGTAAAAAGATTTTAGCTATAAAGGTAAATTTATACTTACTATTAACATGTAAAAAATCAAAAGAATTATAAGTGTGTGCCATATAGCATATATTAAGAATATATTAAGAATAATACTTTCAAGGTATATAAAGAGCCATTCTGGACATGTTAAAATATATCTAAATTCATAAAAATTAATGCTTACTAAAGGGAATTCGTTTGATAAATAAATACTTAATAAAAAATCTAATAATAATTAAAATCTAAAAATATTATATAATATAAAGATATATAACTATAATACACTGTACTACTATTTAATAAAAAAAGAATATTTAAATTATTTGAAATTATTAATATTTCTAAGACTTAAGAAATAGCTATAGTAATACTAATATATTCAGAAGCTTTATAACTTTTTTAATCTAAAAGTATCTCTAGAAAGACAACAGTATATTTATATATATATTCTAATTGTAAAATAGTAGAGCATATTCGGATATACTGTTCAAACAGATCTACATAGAAATTCAAACGATTTATTGATATTGGGTGACTAAATTTTATATATGTCAATTTGGAGGTGGAAAGGGTTGCCCGTTCGGGTGTCTGATCCGTTCGCTTGTGAAATACGTTAGTGTGTTAGGGGCATATAATTAGCAGTGAATTGATTGATCATAATTTACATTGCTTCTCCTGATGTCCTTTTCGACGCGGTGTCGAACATTTTTGCCTTGATTATTTTCCTTTGATTACCTTTCGGATGCTCTCTACATATTTTAAGTGTTGTGTTAATCCATGGGTGGAATATTCTTGATTTTATAAATAATCAACCGCAATCACAAACATCTCGCCAAGACACTATGCAATAGACGTTTCATAGTTAGCTCTACAACTTGCTATCTAAGTTATCATTAACCTTGGGTAATAATCGTCGCATCACCTTCCCACTGGCAGTCCGAGGAATCACATCAATGAAGTAGACACCCGCAGTAAGCCACTTGTGGGGTGCAAATGTCGACTTTATCAACTCTTCAATATCATGTGCCGTGATATTTTTTGACTTTCTGACGACGAATGCGCGAGGGTAATCAAGACCGTTTCTAACCTTGTTAGCGTTATTTGTACTAGAGTTTTCCTCGTGAATAAACATACACCTTAGCCCCAACAACAGCAGCGTCACTCACGTCTGGGTGCTGCAAAATGGCAAGCTCAAGCTCAGCAGGTGAGACTTGTAGGCCTTTGACCTTGAGCAATTCCTGTAGATACAGAGGCAATCTTTGGTAAGTATTCTCAAATCTGGACCAGTTGAGAGGGATATTGACGGTACCTTCAGTCGGTCAACTATATAGAATCTGCCCAGTTCATCGACATATCCGACATCCCCAGTTTTCATCCATCGCTCACCGTCTTCGTGAACAATGGTTTTTGCTGTTTCCTGTGGTTTATTATAATACCCCTTCATGATGTTCGGCCCCGAAACCCATATCTCACCGACCACGGCGTCACCTGCTGCTGTTGCGCTGTAATCATCTCCTTGCACCGGCACAATCTTTGCCTTGCAATTTGCATTCAACCAACCGATCGATCGTCCATCATCTATGTCGTCCGGCGCAAACTGGAAAAGAGAACAGGTGGTTTCAGTAAGGCCCATACCCTGCTTTACAGTGGCATGCTCGCTTAAATAAAGCTGTTTTAATTTTCGAGCCGTATCAGGACTGAGAGGCGCAGAACCAGATACTACACCCTCGATCGATTTAAGGTTGAAACTTTGAGAATCGGGATACTTCACAACCATATTCGCGATAACGGGGACCATCGTGGAAAACGTGATGCGGTAAATGTCAAGATAATGAAGAAACTTCTTCACGTTGAACTTGTTCATAATGAACACCTTTGCTCCAATTTGTGCGGCATTCATGCAATACCAGATTTGTCCCTAAAGATGCTTAATAATTTGCCTTTCGCACGTCATTCTCAAGAAACCTGGATCCTTACGAACGCGTGATACATGGGTAACGGGGCCAACCATCGTTCCCCAGAGACATCCAACCTGGCTTTTCTTGCTCGTCCTTCGGGACTGTCGGCTACCAAAGACCTTTTTTGGGTGATCTGCACGGTGTTTGCGATAACGTTATAGTGCGATAACTCTACACCTTTTGGGGTGCCGGTAGTCCTTCAACAACAATATGTATGTTAGCTTTCTTACTATAATATGACAGAGTAAAACTGGAAATTACCCGCTGGAGTAATTGATGATTGCTGTAGTTTCCATTGCTTCTTTGAGGGTTGTTATCCTATGCCATTGCCAGGACTTAACATCCTCCGGGGAGCACCAGAAATCCGTCCACGGTTGTATTCCATGCGACGAACGTTCGACCTTTTCTCCTGGGTTCACGAATAGCCAGACCGATTTTGCCGGTAATCCGAGCCGTTTTACAGTGCGTACTGCCAATGCAGCAGCAGAAGGATGAGCTAGAATGATTTTAGCGCCGGAATCTTTCAGTTGGTAGGAAAGTTCTGATTAAGTATTAGCATCAAATGTTGAAAACATCTCCAAAATTGAACAAGCAGACCTGTTTCAGATGCAGTCGGAGATACTGCAGTGAAGACACATCGAGCGGCAATGACTCCCCACAGAAGAACAGGAAAGAAGAGCTGATTTGGAGAGAGCAGAAGGACCTTGTCATTCGGCCGTAGTCCAAGGCGTTCGATGCCACATGCAACTTGTTTGACATAAGTTTCAGCGTCGTGAAGGCTGAAGCACTTGGCCGGATTATCTGCATCGAAATATTGAGGGCTCCGACGGGTGACTTCCGTCCCCGCAGAGAATACCCAACAAGGGATGTCACTAACCGGGACGTGAACCCCGTAAGGCGACTCTACAATTTTGGTATGGGTTGGCATACTTCCAGATGATGCTCAAGTGGTCTACAAGAGAGGATTGATTGGATTTCATATTAATTTGAATATTTAGTGTAAAAATGGTAGTAGGGCCGTGGGAGGCGATTATCGGCGCTCAAACTATAACAAAAGTTCGGCTTTCTGGTAATTTGTTTCGCCGGCGGCGTTGGAGCATGCTGTTGCCCCTCTCCCGAAAATAAGCCGACGTGATGTCCGTTGCTTAGAAGCACTACCCCGTTATACTTGAAAATTTAATTAGGCACCGAAAACGGATTCTAAGGGACTGCTCGGCACATATTTCATCCCAAGGTACTTGTCATTAGATTTCGCCCGGCTTTAAAGGGTTGGAGGCTGTTACAGCCGATATCGATATCGGCCTACAAGGGTCTCAACCATACCATTATCTGGATACGAACAACAGCTTTCCCCGACCTGAATGTATCCAATATTTCATATATGTTTCAGAAGTTATCATTGTCAGTCAGTCAACCTTTAGTACTATATGGAAAATAACTGTAGACATTTAATTACGTCTAAAAATCCGGTTATATGTACATTAAAGCGGAATAACAGTTCTGCTGTCTGACACCTTTCAAAACCAGACTTTACGTAAAGGCCTAAGATTGAATCTTGGCATAAATTGATTTAGCCTTCTAAATTCAATACATTAGCCTTTTCACGCCAGCGAACCACCGTCGACTGCCCATACAGCAGCGCCAGTCACAAAAGCGCTTTTCTAGTCCAAGAATACAATGAAAACGCTGAACTCAGAAACTTCTCCTACTCGTTGCATGGGCCCATACGCACTGGACTATTTAAGTCTACCAAATACCTCCGTTGCTTGATTTAGCAGTACAATGGCAGTTGGACCATTAATTTCTCCATGTCAGATTCGATATTACTTATGGAGTTTGAAACAAGATTGTACATGCGATAGAATAGAATGACCCCAATACGATGATGTCCTTCCCCCATGGCATTGCTCCTTGTCAAATCAATAATAACATATTTGCTGATAAGATAACCCCCTCCCTTATTATGTCCCCGAAGTGAATCTAAACTTCCCACATCAACGATGCTAGAGAGACTTTTCAGACCTCCCAGAATCATTGGCTCAGCTACAAAATTAAAAGATCCGCAGATGTTTACAACCATCCTAAAGTCACATTCTTCCGAAGAGCGCTCCCGGAGCGCTTGCCTACCGAACCCTTTACCTATTGTATCTGCAACGCATCACACGCTTAAATAGCCTCATGGTTGCTAGAAGAAAGCGCTTTGCTCGCACGTGGTTTCCCACATACAATGCCTGCAACTTAGTGCGGCAGCCTTAAGACTCGTCCAGCGCGTCATATGAGTCCGCAGATCCTTCTCGGTGATATCGCAAACGCTGACAGCTGCACCTCGAGCGAGAAGACATTTTGCTGTCAATAAACCGATTCCAGCAACTCCACTAATAATGCAGAAGACTTTGTTCGCAGTTGACCTGTCATGGCTGCAAAGATTGAGGGATATTTCAAATTAAATCAATAACAAACTCAAAATGTAAATTTTTGAACATCTAGCAAGCAAATATATTTTTGTATTCTCCACCTAGCTTTAAGCCAAATTTGAATAAATTGCAGCGCGCCCGAGTGGAATTTTCTTAGTACTGCAGTATAGTGTATCTGTAAAGATCCCGAAAATGTCTGAAGCGAGGGATTTTTCAGCTCCATTCTGGGAATTCCGTTTTTGGAATAGAGTCCCATGTCAAGTTCCCAGAACGGAGTTGCAGTCGCCTAGGGCAATCGTACAAAGTATAGGGAACTACAGTTTCTGTGCAATTATAGTCTCTTTTTGCTCGCTAATCAGACACTGCGGCATGTATTCCGGTCACCGACCTCGAAATAATCTCCCATTAGGGACATTTTAGATTTCTATACCATAGCGACCACCAAAAATAGTGTTTATGCATCATAACGTCGCTGTATGTAAGAGCGGTAATCGGTGGGTGATGAGTGACGGCCGATATTTCGTATCTTGATTACAGTTAACATTCAAACTGTGTATACATATATAGGAGGTTATATTAATCACGCTCTAATCAAGGCATGTCACAGGAGTAACGTAAACATAAATAATTTATATAAACATAGAGTGAAAACGATTTATTCTCGCATCAAACAGAAAGTCATGATCAGCAACCATTCTCATAACTCATGGCACACGGCCGTCAGCCAAACCCAAGAACTCAGAGGAATCTTTCAAGGGCACTCCTTTCATGATTTCATGGTTACCTGAAAACTTATCGAGGTACCAGGTGAGATCCTTTGTTCCTTTAAATTCCCAATCAACAAACCCATTACCCATGTAGCTCCATCGATTTCCACGCCAGTATTCGATTTCATAGTCTTGGAGCATGGGATGTTCAAGTAATTCGAAATATGATAGTCGAGATCCAGGCCACATCACTAGCTTCCTTGCATCACCACTGCCCATCTTGTACCAGCTATTACATGGATCGGCCCAAGTTGTACGGGGAAGATAAGTCTCCGCATGTTCAACAAAGTCTTTAATAGCAGATGCTCTAGGGCTCAGACGACGAATATGTTGCTTTCGCATTGTCGTTATAATCTCCAGGAAATGGTGAGTTAACAGCGTCAGGATAGGCAAAACTGTCCCTTGCGCGACAGGGGTAAAAGGGCCACCGTATGTGAAATAATTGGGAAATCCATCAACACTCACGCCCAGATAGCTGGATGGGTAAGTGGACCATTTTTCAGACAGGGTGGTATTAGGATCTATGCCTATTATTGGGAATCGGGGCCTGAAAGAGGTGTCAAATCCAGTAGCACAAATTATCACATCGACTTCGTGCGCGTTGCCATTAATATCGACAATACTATTGGCAGTGACCTCGCGAATGCTTCCAGGAAGGACGGTTGTTTTATCCCCCAATAGAGCTTCAAGATATCCACTTCCAGGTGTTGGCCGGCGGCAATTCACGCTAAAGGTCTTCGGCATGAGCTTTTCTAGAATATCTGGACGATCTTTTAGTTTAGTTTGCATTTCGAGGTACGCCAACTAACAGTGATTAGGATTAGTCGAATGTTTATTTAGATATTCAGAGAACATACCCCATTAACCTCATCCGATTCTGCAGTGTCTCGCAAAAGAGTTCTGAACCTTCCATTGAGACTGTTCTCGACAGTTTTGTGGTAGCGATGATACTTGACTGGATCTCTCGCGAACTCTGCCTTTTGTGCCTCGGTATCTGTTCTAAGGTCAGCAAAATGTACGATTGCTGTGCTGCGCCAATGAGAAAAGGAAAAACGAACATTCAAAATTTTGTCCTTCTTTGCTGCCCTTCTTTTGGCCGATAGCAGCAATAATCCAAGTTGGGCTGCGAACCCATGCATATAGCTTTGAGGCGTGCTTGTAGGCTTCTGCCACTACTTGGATACCGGAACTACCATTACCAACGACGGCAACTCTCTTTCCGTTCAGGTTATAGTCTTCCTTGTAATTTGCGGAGTGAAATAGATCGCCTTTAAAGGAATGAAGCCCCGGAATATCTGGCCACTTCCAGGAGCTGTCCCCGTACCTGTAAGCGGATAAAAGAACCTCGGGTGAACTTTATTGGGGGTTTGACATACTTCAGAAACCCACCACCATTAAGCAACACGTCGCATTCTTCCACAACCTCTTCCTCTGAGCCATCGAGATTTCTTACTTTCACCTGCCACTTACTCGACTGCTCGTTCCACGTTGCACCTACAATTTGATGGCGTAGGCGAATATATTCCATCATCCCCTCGTCGTCCACAATGTCCCTCAGGTACTGCCAGATCTCTCTAGATGAAGAGTAGAAGTGAGACCAATTGGGATTTGCACGCCACGGAAAACTATAAGATATACTAGGGACATCGCAAGCACAACCCGGATAGCGATTCTCCAACCAAGTACCTCCAATGTCGGCATTTTTTTCGTAACACACGATACTCACATTCAGATCTTTGAGAGCGCTCGGAGCCCAGTGCAGGAAATCGATGCACGCTGATCCGGCACCAATGAAGATGATTCGGAATGGTTTGTCAGGCAGCGGCTCGTTGATCATAGTGTCAGCAGGCACATAGCCACGTGCGGAAGGTATATCCCACTCGGGATGGTGAACTGGCCGTTCAACAGAGCGCGGGTGAGGACCTCCACTGTTTCCACCAATTTTCAAATCCCCAGGTATACCAAGGGTTTCAAAGACTGGGTTAATAGACGCGTCTCCATTGCGCTGCTCGATCTGAGTCATATTGGCATTCATAAAGAGTGTAGATGAAATCCGACAACGAGGTATGTGAAATAGTTGAGAAGACACAGAAGCTAAACACTAACAGAGATCTATATATATAAATTGTAACTTCTTGTAGAGAAGTATTATGGCTCTCGCAATGGTTAATTCTGTTGTACTAAACGAGCAATCCACTAAGATTGCCGAGTTAAATCCCGCTTTAACCGAAAGCCGCAGCGCCTTGGATTTGCCTTCGGCATATTTTTGTGGAGTGACTGAAGAAGAACAAGACCCTCGGGACCAAACTTATGAGCCATGCGGGGAAACCGCCACTTTCCCACTGAATACCGCGAAGCAGCTCGGTCAGGAAGCTTCGATGTTCAAACGTCGGTGGCATGTAATTTTGAGAACACAATGCATTAATGGGTCGCGCCATTTTCCATCCTGAAGGGGCTGCACTTTTACACCAAAGCCGATCAAGGTATCGGAAAGAATTTCAACTAGTCTAAAGAGGCTAAGCTTGGCCATTTTGATATTCTGACAGCTAGAGCATATGTTATCCATTGTGCATAATTAAACAAACATAAACGGTTCCGAGACATTTATATGTCACTCTTTCGGGATCCAGACCGGTCGTACAACGGTTTCTCCAAGTTTGAAAGGGTTGCTAGCCAATAGAGTTGCGACGAATCGAGCAGGGTTATCGGACGATGGGTTCACCCATTTATGCAATGTTCCACGCTGGACAATTGAGTCCTACAGAGCCCAGTGTAAGTTAGATTTGCTCCGCAGTATGAGTGATACTAGATGCTCCTGGGGAGAAGTGAGAGCACATACACCTGCTTTCAATAGTATCTTTGTGCAGTCTTCACTGTCTTCGCCGACCTCTAACACTAACTCGCCTTCCACTACAGTCACAAAGTCGACAGAAATAGTCCTGTGCCACACGGAACATGAGGATGGTCCGAAGTCCCCTTGGACGAAGTTGGCACCTCCTGGAGTGACGAGCTGAAACGAGCTTTGACTGGTGGCTGGAGCGGTAGTGGTGTTATTGTGGCCATCCATGGACAAATAGTCATTTAAATCTTTGTCGTCATTAAGATTTGCCGGTACATTTTCAAGCCCATACAGGCGGGTGATTGCGTAGCCTCCTCTATCGTGAAAGCGAAGGTCAGGTGAGAACAGGGTAACGCTTTCTCCACTGGGCCCCAGCCCTGTGATGTACCGCGTCGTCTTTCGCAATCCATATTCGGTGCATGAACTCGAAGAGGACGTCAATTGTGCAGTCATGGTCTGTTAGAGAATCCCAAACTTAGTTAAGAAATGAAAAAGACAGAAAGAAGCCATATCGGTTTATGCTATGAAATAAGAGAATGAATAGATTCGGCTTGGTTCTATTTTTATTTCTGCTTTCGGGGAGGGGCGCGGGGATAAGAAGTGGGCTCGGCAAATCATTAGTCTATTACCGAAGAAGTCCAGCGCTTTATAACTCGCTCATATACTTACTTTCCTCCCATTTCGCGAGGTACGCCGAGAATTGCAAAGAGATAGACGACTACATTACTGTTGCAATGACATTGGAATATGATAGCGAACGACAGGAGGTAGGCAAAAGCTAGAAGGTTAAAGTTTGAAGGGCTCTTTGTCGAGAGATTTACTCAATTCAAGCTCCCTGAAGACGTCGAGGAACCTATCCACTATGTGCTAGCCAAGGATAGCCATCACGTGCATTTTATTATTTCCGAAAAAGAATCAATGAAGCAAAGGCAGGGGATCTGTCATCGTTCATAGCCATGGAGGAGGATACTTCGGCTTGAGAGCAGCATTCAGTGTCTCCGCATTAGCTGCCTATCTGTCTCGTACTGAAGTCCCTGTATTTTCCATTGATTACCTTCTGGCTCCAGAACAGCTTTTTCCGACACCTCTTGAAGACTCCTGCTTAACACTCCGGTGGGATAATTAAGAATCCAAAAGTATTTCCATTGAGCCTACTCGTGTTACCGTCATGGGAGAGAGCGCCGGTGGCGGTCTCGCGGCGACTCTGACTCTCTTAGCAAGAAATCGAGAGCTGTCACCGCCTTTGGAAAAGCAAATTCTGATCTGGGCCCCATGGTCGATGACCGGACATGGACAGACCAAAATGGAGATCCTGTTTCTTCGACGTTGATGACAACATTACTAGATAGGGAGCTTACCATCGAACAGATATTGGTACCAACAAACTTTCACCTTACGCAGCTCCTTCTCGGGTAGAAGACGTGAGTAGGCTTCCGACGTTGTATCTCGAGTGTCCTCAAGTGGATATATTCTTGCTAGAGAAATTTGGAATATGTCCGGAAGTTTTCGGCGGCCAACATTCCAAGAGTTCCACATCTTAGAAGGCATCACGTGGTTTTCAATCCATGACCTCCGCTGCAAATGTAACGGTCTGTGTATTCGCAATTAGATTGCGTGCAATGAAAAGTTTCTAATCATATAATATCAGCACTATAAATAGTTAATATGACCCATGGAGCCCAGTATAAATTCCCTACAAGAGATGATAGTGGTCTATGCAATACTATACTGACATATGCCCACTTATTGAATTTCACATCCCGAAGATATTCCCCTCCAACATCAGAGCTGTTTCCGGATGAAGCCCGCAAATGTAATATATGTAATAGTAGTCATATAATAACTATCCAAGGTCTCCGAATGGTGAGGATATTATTAACCTTACAAAATTCCAGGATAGAAGCCTTGGTGTTCAGAAAGAAGATCTTGTAACACGAGGAGAATGTCAGGCGCCAATTCTTGATCACAGGGAGGAAACTCAGAATCACCACTAGAAAGGAGAGCTCCGATCAGGGGACTTGTGTGAGTCGAGAGATAAGGGAAAAGATCCATCCATTCCAAGCCATGGTCAGGATATATTTCATGTACAACCGACGAAGAATTGTGATGCTCCATGCCACCACCATGGGGTCCAGGGTGGAGTGGTTCAAAGCTCATTGATGCATTCTCTTTATCAAGAAGCTTTTGTATGCCCTGACTAAACATCTTTCCTGGATACGAAAAGGGGGCAAGCTGAGTTAGGGCAGAATGGAGGGTGCGGATTTCGTCATCAATGTACAATGCAAGTCCACCCATACGACGTGCATGGAGCAAGGCTAGCATAGCAACAGCAATACTCCATGTGGTCTGGGTAAGTAGGAATCGAACAGATCCCCGTGCTAGATAATCCTTGAAGATACGAGCGATGCAGGATGCGGCGATGATAGCCGGGGAAGACGCAGTGGGGATTGACCTCTCGTTCTTCTCCATATGAAGTAATATAACGATGGTCAAGTAACCCAGATGGAGGTCATATACATCACGATTGAATCCAATCGTTCTGTTGGTATTGAACGGCAGCTGCAGCGATGCTGGAAGGGAGTGGATCCAATCGATCAAATCCTGGAGCATTGTAGGTTTGTGTAACAACACACCCTTTGACTGGTACATCTTCTTGTGGATCCTTCCCACTATTTCCCACATCTTAACCCAGTGTATGAAAATTAAAGCTCTCGAGTCTTGCGGATCGGGGAAGTCTTCCAGTGTTACCATTGGCACGTTGCAGTAATCTGGGTCAATGAAACAAGGCCGACCTTGAGCCATAGCTACAATCCGATCCCTCGCCTGATTATGAATGAAGCTCAGCTTTTGTGTAATTAAATCTTTCCCCTTTTCTTTGTTTTGGGTAATACCAAAGTGGGACTTGAAAGGGGCATACTCACAAACAGCGTCCACCAGATCCGGCGCCTTAATCCGGAGGATTCTCCTACATAGGTCTCTACAGGACATAACTCCTGATGCAAGCCAATTTCCTCGGCGAGATGGATGGCTGTAGAAACCCACCACCGACCAGTGTCCAAGCTAGCCACGTTAGGAGGGCCGGGAGACCACCAGTAGAAGAGCATAATTGCAATGATCTGAACTAAAGGGTTAGTCTCCTGACCTCCGTAAATGATATTCTTGGCACGTATATAGTGGTCGCTCGGCTGGGCATGCGCAATGAGAGGCGGTCGAAGTCTCGTGCCGCACAGAGCCAGTGCATTCTGAAGTAATGGTGACCCAAAGACCTGAGGATTTTGCAGTATATGCCGGTCCAAAACTGGGCACCACACGTAGGCGAATTCAAGGTATGTTTCAATGTAACTATCTAGGAGGCTATCCGGAATGGCATTCAGTGTAGAGTTGCAGTCCACCGGCATGATATCAAGAGTTGTGTGCCTAACGGGAGTGCTTTCGCTGCCAAATATCTCCATATAACCGGTGTTGCCAATATATGTACGCTGTTTGGGATTGTCGTAACTCGTGTGACGTTGTCCATCCATCTGCACAGTAAGTGGGCTAACATCTGTATGTTGTTGACTGTCCAGCAGGCTCGGCTGGGACAATAATGGAGAAATTTGTGCGGTGTTGTGTTCTAACGGCGCTTCCATCGACTAGGCCACAGCAGTGGTTAGTATCATGACATCAACTACCTGCAGTGTCCCATTTAAGAGCAAAATTACCGATGTATATGGAGCAGATTGCCTGGATTCTAACAGTTCCGTTTCATCTTGAAGTTGAGTCTGGCGCATAACACGCCCCTTCCTGCCTCGTCTCGACGGACGCAGACTTCGCGCAGATAATTATTAGTCATGTGATTTACATTAATGAGGATGAACGGCGACTCACTTGCATGTAGAATCTGTATTGATACAATTAGCGCATCGCCGAGAAATTTCGGTTCGAAGATTCAGGTCGCATTTTATCTATCTTCCTGTCAATTTTCGATATATCCAGCATTCATCTCCTGCATTCAAACTTCTTTTTGGCATGAGGGGGAGACTCTGTGTGTGTGTGTGTGTGTGTGTGCGTGTGCGGTTCAAAGAGGAGAGAGTACCTTTTTTTCGTGACATCGTTGACAAACCTGACCCGCACGTTTATTCGGTTTTCGACGAGCTCCCTGGGCGATTTTGTCCATAGTCGCAATGCAAGGGTCAAGGCGATTCAGTAGTAAATGAAATGGACGTCGCGTGTCAGCACTCAGGTATCGCTCTGACGTAAAACGTAGTACGCGACAGGGGACAATGCTAAAGCCGATGGCAAAGGATGTTGGAGCGAGTGGTAGGAGATCCCCACAAATTGGGGGCTGAGGGAATGCGGGGAGAGACCGAACCTCACGTGATTCCAGCTCCTTGTATGGATCGGTATATTACGGCTACAGGCCAAGCCTGATATTGTAAAAGCCGACATGACAGACAAATATGCGTGATTTTAAAGCGGACCGGTCTAGTTCAATAAATATAACGACGTAATCCACCCCCAAGTTGGCCACTACCATCCAAAAAACACATTCTATATTATTTTCAAAAATTTAACATGTTAATATGCGGTTGATTCATAATAAAAATCAGTTAAATTCTCAAAAATAAAAGCAAAAACTTTTACTTTATATATTAAAATACAGAGATTTGTAATATCAGATATTTAATTCTTTAAAATATATTTTAAATTTAAATATATTAATAATTAATTTTATATATAACTGTTATATACTTGAGAAATTGAACATTAAAATCAATGTAGAACGCATTTTCAGACAGAAGTGGCCAACCCGAAAGGAACAATTGCAGTTGAAGAGAGTATTATTGGTCTGCCTCAGTGCAAACATTCGCACAAAATCAGGACCTATTCAATTCAAGTGACAACGGAGAAAGGGCTTGCTCGGCCTTTGAAAACAATCTTCTTGGTATTCACAATGACCGCCTGGCGCAGGTGGATGCGGAAGATGAATACATGCACCTCTCGTTGACATCACCATGTTGCCAAGGTAAATCATATCCTGGTCGTGCTACAGAGATGGCCCATAAGGCCGACAACCACGTAACGGCAGAAGTTCAGAAACCCCCGTATCGGTTCGGTGCTCTTGCGGTCTTGTCAATGCATAACCCTGTGCGAGCGGGAACTGAGTTACGCATGGCAGTAAGGAGCTAGGAATGTTTGGAGGCTTAGTCAATGGCTACCAGAGCACAACATCAGGCTCCCTGAAAGAGTATTATTATATAGCAAAGCATGACGCATTTTGGGTGTGGGAGGTCGTGCAAGAGCTTGATGTTCCCGTCCCTTTTCCCCCGCATTATCCGACTACCGAAGGTCTCGGCGCAGGAAACAAACTAGCAACAAGAAGGGATCTAGTGGGTGCAGGTGTGCAGCTCACCTCAATTTACCTTTCCACATATATGCCATATGCTCGTCAGGTCTTTTTGACCGCTTGCCTTAAGTACAGATTGTGGCCGGCCATCTGATGGGAAAAGTGAGTTTTGTTTGTTTTCCCGCAATACCACGGCTCTAATCCTTCACTTTAGTGTTCCCCTTCAACCTTTGGAGGGCATGCTATTGGTATAACCGACCATAGAAGAGAGCTGTTCGCCATCAAAAGAGGATTATGCATACCATTTCAAGCCCAATGTGGCCATAACGATATTTGGTAACTATTCCACCACGGGCTTAAAGTATTGCATAATGAAAAAGGAGTCGACTGTTGTATGTACGCGATTGGTGAGTTTTCCATTATTTTCTCCCCTAGTGCCAGCCACGGGTATTTGCTTTAGCGGGGTTTGATGTCTCTTTTTGTTCTTCTTATTCCTGTCGACCTACCGTTGGTATATCTTAGCGACAATTCTGGCTTCAATAATTTACAGACTATCCTTATGACTCGATAAAGAAAGTCCAAGATTGGTGGAAAGACATAGATTTGCCACCTAACCATAAGGAAGATATCGCACGAGCAAACTCCACAAGGCCATTTAGGCTGCCAAGCAGCCAGCTGCTAGAATAACTAAAATATTAACTATCTCCTGGAATTTATTACAGACTGCAATAAGTTCTAAGCAATTAGGTAGCACCAAAAAAAGTTAAAGTTGTAAGCATTCTTCTAAAGTTCTGTAATGTGGCAGGCTTTATATCTTTTCTAACCGAATCTGGCAATACTGTGACACCTTTAGAGGGCTGTGAATAGCCTCAGAGGGTAAATATGGTATAATATAAACTAGGATAGAGATGTATAGTGTTATTAAGTCAACTTGCATGTATTTAAGATGAAGCTAAGCTAAGAAAGGTGTCATGATACAAGGGCTTTCATCATAGTCAAACTTCCCTATATATTTAGAATGCACACATTCCTTAGGTCGTTAGAAACAGGTCAAATGCTGCTGAAGCAGCTCATTGTGAGGAAGTTATTTGGAAAGCGGGCACAGCGTTAGAATTAAGGTCAATTATAGGGATAGTTGTCACTGGCTGTGTCGAGGAACGCTAGAGTAACTTGAACCGCGCAGGGGTTCTTGAGGGTAATTAGTAACAATACAGTAAGACACGTTAGATATCAGTAAACTGACATCAACTAGAATGGAAGAGATCCATCGAGCTGCCATAGAATCCCAAGTGTAGACTGTCTTGCTAACCCTCTCAGCAATAACCACCGTAATAAACTCATACACTTGCCCAAAGCCCTGATGTATACTCTTTGTCTATGATCGCGTGACCTCCATTTTATATATATTTATAAAATATGGATTATTATGCAAATTGATCGATTTCATCTGCCATGAGAGTATCTTGGAAGAAATCCTCATACTGGTCCTCAATGCACCACGAGAGAGGGTCCCATGGTATTTCTTCTAGCCCCTGGAAGTTCGAGGGCATGTGGTTATTGGTATTGAGAGGTAGGTATCTATGTTCTTGAGCGGTCAACAACTGCTCGTTGGGCTTCCATGAGCCTGAATTTGCGGGAATTTCGAAAGACGGTTGGCTTTGGGTGTCCTGCACCCGGGGCCTATAGCTATTGCGTCGGATGTGAACTTTACCTAGCAGTGGAATCTTTAACGTTAGCTCTTGCATGTTAGAGGTTTCGTCATCTTCCTGGAGTAGTTCCTTCAGGGAGCGAAGTGAATTAATACAATGCTCTGCAAAGTGAGAGATAGCAGTATTCTTAGACTTTTCATCCATAACCTCGATTACTTGTGTGACTATACTATCGACCTTGACTTTGTTGATTGGCAAATTTGGCAGATCTGTGCACGGCGAGCTATGAGATGTGAGAAGGAGAATAACCGTAGCAATGAAAGCCTGCAGATCCAAGCACCGGGATATAAAAATCCCAGATGGGAGCTCTCGACGAAGAAATCGATAATGTTCTGTAACTGATTCGCACGCATCCCTGCAGGTCAAGCGGCTGTAGATATATTCTTCATCTGGGTCTTTTCGCATCGCAAAAGACAGATGAATCCGCATATTGATACAGCAATGCAAGAATTGGACTATATGATCAGGTTTAACGCGCTCCACGTTTCGAGCCCACCATGATTTCGGTGTCTTTGATGCAAGCACCTTGAGCTGCCTGTCAAGTTCCAAGGCAGAGGCAAAGAGCTCAGCACTCGATCCTTGTGTCATATTTGTATTATCCCGGTATTGAATCTTGCTGGTGATTTCTATCAACCTACTAATATATGCCCGAGGTTGAATAACACCGTCAATAGCTAAAGTTTGAGGCTTCGGCCGTTGGTATGGACTAATAGATGGAGGGAGATTTAGTACTACCCCAGAGATACCGTCGGCAGAACATAGGGATTGCCATAGCTGAGCTTTCTGGAGCTGTGTCTCATAGTCGTCTGATGTGTTACACTGGCTAGACTGGATAGCGTGACATGCGTTGGGCAACCCCATAAGCTCTGCAACCGCTATGAAATGGCGTAATCGAAGCCATGCCTTTTGTAAATTGCCTTGGCTCATTTGACTATAATCGCTATCAGTTATAATTTAGGTAAAGCAAAAGAGAAACTTACAGTCGAACGAAGTGCATGGCCATACCAAGGCCCTCAACTGTACATATCAGTCTATCATAAGAAATAAGTGTACTCTCTACTATCTCAGAGACTACTCGAGAGAATCTTGAGTATTTCTGACAACCATCGAGCTGGATGGAAGGGCTGTCATTTTCTTGGGGTACTTGCTGGGCGGTAATGGCAATAGTTATCAGCCACGTAGCTAGACTTATGGCATTTGTGTCTGGTTTGCACATCTCCTCGTAGCATTCAAGAATTTCCTGGTGAGATTTGACCGCAAATGGCTGTGGAAGTAGAGTATGGAGCAAGTCAAGCCACCTGGATGCGGATCTGGTGATGTGCGAAACCTCATACTTTGACGGAACCAATTTCTGCAGCGCGTGTCTCGCTGTATCTAGTAACTGTGTAGAAGCCCTTGCTTCACGGTCATGTAGCTGTTCATTTTGGCGGTCGGTATTCACGCTGAGCCAGTCATTTTGGAAAAGTGAACATATATGCGATGGTGGTTCTGTAGCGAGCACATCCGACATACTAAAATTATCATCCGACTCGTAGATTTCCGGACTTGATACTGCCAAAGCAGAAGTTGCCTCTGACAGTTGAGGAGGGAGATTTCCGAGCTTAATCTCAATATCACGTATGATATTGCTTAGACTAGCAACTTTTGATTCCAATTTGGATATCCGATATCGTGAAGACAATCTTTGTGAGTGAGGCAGTTGGGAACTGTACGTCTGTGGAACACATTCCGAGCCACGTTCTTCACATCTTCTGCAAGTCTGTGCATCTTCGGGCTGCCGAATACAACGCACTTTACGACGTCTACCTACTTCGAATGTCAGAAAGGCGCAGCTAAGGTTTGTGTTCCTTTTTCATTGTGTTTTCTTTACTTACACTCGGTACAGCTTTTCGTCCCTCCTCGAGCCTTTTTTAGAGGCTGGCCTTTGGACATGGCCACATCTATCTTTAAGCTATCCATTAAAGTATCTAAGTCTGTCCTGAAACTATTTCGAGCGCCAATAAGAGTGACAATGCCAGAGACGGCGATGGCACTTCTGTCGCTATGCAATACGGAAACATCGTTTACGTACCTTTCTCGGTGCGGACGAGTTTCGCTTCCGCGGTCGAATTTAGGTCCGACCGCACCATGGTGGTCAACCCTAATCTTGCATCAAAGACAGCCGCCTCAGGCTCAGACATTTGCGCGGTCCTGGAACTCCGAGTACCTCCAGATATTTTATCTATTTAGGCCAACGTTTCCCCAAAGATGAAATGGCCAAACAAATATCCTCACAGTCTTATCCCCCAAACAAACCTTCCAATTAACCCTGACGATGCATCAGTCTTACATTCCCACCGAAGCCCTCGATCGCGTCGCCTGGATGCGCGGCGGCCACCATAAGATCACAGTCGATCCGGCACGGACCGCACATGTCGTAGTCGACCTCCAGGTCGGCTTCATGGGCGAGGGGGCGCTGCTGGAGGTACCGATCGCGCGCGGCATCGTCGAGAACGTCAATCGGGTGTCACGGGCGCTCCGGTCTGCCGAGGGAACTATTGCCTACGTCCAGTACAAGGTCGATCCCGACGAGCCGCATCATTGGGGATCGCATTACGACCGCATGACTCCCGATGCGGTCGAGCGGATACGTGCGGCGTTCACCGTCGGCTCGGAGCAGCATGCCCTGTGGTCCGGCCTCGACGTCCAGCCAGAGGACCTGATTGTGCCGAAGACACGGTGGAGTGCCTTCATTCCGGGCACATGTGATCTCGACTCGCTCCTGAAGGCCAAGGGCATCGATACGCTGATCGTCACTGGCACCACCACGAACTGCTGCTGCGAGTCGACGATGCGGGACGCGATGCAGATGGGCTACCACGTCCTGTTCGTGCAGGACGGCAATGCGACGCGCGGCGACGCGGTGCACAACGCCAGCCTGGTGAACATGCTCCTCTTCGGCGATGTGGTCACCGCCGACGAGGTAATCACGCGGATCGAGGCCGGGCGGCACAATGAGGTCGCGTAATATTCGTCTACGTAGATGTTCGCCCTCCCAAGAATCACGGACGACAGCTAGTGAGACTGGTTGACATATCAACTGCTTTAGAGGAATTACCAAGCTCTTTGTTTACGAATGAAATAGAGGCTAAAATAGAACGTAACGGAATGATATTTATACATTTTTATCTTATAATTAAATACGGTATTTACGAACTGGGTCTGCATGACCATACGTGTATTCCGTGGACTAATGGCTCTGATTGTTTCCTCTAACCCCTGACCAATTTCAGTAACGACCATAAAAGACAGTAAAACTATAAACTATAAATAGTGGCGTGAGGAACGTGGCAAGGGCTTTGGAATCAAGCAGCGCCGTCAGCCTGTCTCATAAGAGCTAGGCAGAATCCATTAAGGTGTGTGATACCGACTGCAAGAGACTATACAGCGTGGTCTAGGTCTGCTAAGTTACGAACTATGGCGAGTTATTACCTAGGTTCATCATTCTTTCCCAGTATCCATTGCTCTCCCCTTGAAGAAATGTACGAAACGTTTGGAGCTAAACACAAACCCTACTGATTACTTCTAGAAGAACATGGCTGGACAAAGCCTCTTGCCAGTACTTAGTAGGGTTGGCCACCAAGGAGTTGAGACTCCAGCCTGATCTTTGTTTGGAAAATCGGCTGCTTTTTGCTCAACTCCTTACACAACCAGGAATGTGATATCGTAAGTCAGCAAGCCTGATTATGACTAAAGAGAAGAACCTTCCTGTTTGATCTCATTATTCATATAACCTATACATATACTTAAATTTCCATCCATTGTACTTAGGTCCTACTTATAATATATCAATGTCTTTGACTACCTGAAGCTTTAATATTAACACAAACAGTGTGAGCAACAGCTCCTAGGACTGTTAATCTATCAGACATTGTCACAGTCAAAAACTTGTATTATGATGAACCATTGAATGCCTATAATCTAAGCCTATATCGATTTTTTCTTGATATGTTGAATCTGTCCCAGAATAGTACTCTTAAAAATGCTCTATGGGAGATAATTCACTTTTCTTGTTCCCGGTTCCAATCAGTAGGTCAGAAAAACAGCATGTCGTTCTTGTGGGGAGAATAATCCTCTTAGGGGGACCATGGAACCAAAAATAACGAAGAGATCGTAATATCTGAAATAAATGTCGATTGATTAAGTTTTATTTGAGCCTCCAGTTGTTATTAGACTTCGGAATGGTCAATTACCTTTTGTTTGACTCGAAGTTTGTGGAACTGGAAAACAGATAAATTGATGACCATACTTTATATGTTTGGGAAATAACTGCAACATTAATTCCCCAACTGCTATGCGGTACACCGTCAACTGGGCCAGCATTTCTCAATTCAACAAAGCCATTCAGTACCCAATCCATATATTAGGTTGTCCATCATCCCGAGATAAATTGAAATAACCAGCATTTTCTAGGTTCGACTGCAGTGTTCTAAATTTGCCCCTTTTAGCTTTCCTTTCGAAGAGAATATCAATTTCAAGGTAACTCAAACCAAACGTTTCAGGAAGTCTAAAATAACACCAAACGATGCATAAAAGGTTTGTTCCAATGAAGAAGAAACACGTCTTTCCTTTCCAATCCCACGCAGTCGGGTTTAGCATTTTCGTGGTGATGGTATTTATCAGAAGAAGTGAGACATTGTAAGCCACACGAGCAAGGACAAGTGTCTTAATACGAAGCCGGGTGGAAGGGACTTCAGCCACTAGGACATAGCAGACGGGTCCTATCGTTACGTTGTAAGTAAGCGTGAAAAGGAGTACCGCGGAGCCAAGGACCCATGCCTGGGCGCTGGATCGAACAAGCAAACTGACGATTCCACCGACAATCAGAATAATAAACGTGGCCAAAAGCCCCGAGACATACAAGCGGCGACGGCCAATGGATGGGAGGAGGAACCACGAAATTATGCATCCAAGTATACCGAGGCTAGACATCCCCATGGCAAGATTAAAAGCGTTCGGCACTGAGAGCCCTACTTGCTCATTAAAATAAGCCACGTATGCAGTCAGTCCACCACCAGAAAATGCTTGTGATAACCAGACAAGGCAGGCAATTTCTGTGCGCCGCAGATCGGTTCCCGTGAAACATTTCAAGTATGACTTGCGGCCGTTACTCATGTATTTTTCCATCTCGTTTGTATGTTTCATCATTGCAATGGTCTCGTTAACTCTGATATTGTCCTTATTCCATTTTGTCAGCCGTAGAATAGATTCTCGAGCTTTCTCAGGTTTCTCATGTTGTATCAACCACCCTATGAAATTCAAAGCATTAGTTAACCATCAGCCAAACACCCTATTTTGACGATACTTACATGGACTTTCTGGTGCAAAAATAATGCCAGAAAGTATCGTTAAAGCGAAGGCCCATTGTAAAGCAAACGGCACTCGATAAGACCAACGTGTTGAATTTCCAATGAAACCGCGCAGTACGGCAAGAGCGATAAGTTGCCCTACCCACCAAAACATATTTATATTTGCTAAGATAGGTGCCCGTAAGGTGACTGGCATGATATCAGCGGCATACGTTGCTGCCAGAGTCTGAAATATTCCCCATGGAATACCTTTGGCATCTAGTATTAGTCACAATTCGAAAATTTGAGCTGATAATTCCACAAAGCATCTTACCGCATAAAATTTGGGCGGCCAGTAACATTTGAATATTTACTGCAAAAAAGGCCAAAAATACGCTTCCGCATAACCAGAGAAGAGCTGCGATTGTAGTGCGACGATAACCAATTCTATCAGTGAGAAATCCATTACCGAATAGGCCAATAAGCTCTCCTACCAGCGAGGCGTTGATCAGTGCTGCCTGCCATGCGGAAGAGATTTGATATACTCTTTGGTCTAGAGGGGCATCCGGGTTGACTGGGTGGCCGTATGACTGCCTAAAGACTGGAAAGGCGAAGAAAAAGTTCACAAGAGCTTTATCATAGCCATCCATAATAATGACAAAGGATACAATGACAGACCAGGCAATAGCCTTAGGGTAAAGTCTACAGCCACCAAGGAATGTTGTCCTGTGTTCCGCATCTGTCGCCGCTTTTGCACCAACAGACCAGCTCTGTAACCTGGGCACAACTTGAGCGACCCCTGCGTCCAATGAAGGTAATCCTACATCCGCTTGAGCAGCAGGCCCTGATACGCTATTCGGCGCCAAGGCTTGCAACCCATCTGCAGCTGGTATGAATTCTGGCGCGATCGACGTTATCTCTAGGTATTCCCGAGACTTATCTTCAGACACCTCTCCGATCCTTGATGAGCTTCTACCGGTCGAGGGAGTTTGCATTGTTTGTTGCCGCCTATTGAAATGGCGGCGGTATGGGTATATAGAGACATAATGTAATAGATGAAGATGACATCCCGAGAGATACAGGCGATTGCTTTATCCTTGTAGAACGTGGCAACCTGCCACTATAATGTTGTTGCCATTGCGATAATTGGCTGTTTGTATTGAAACTTTCATAGTCATGACGTGCTTGAAAACGGAGTGGAGAAGCAAACCAGGCCGTGACAGGAGAGACCGGAATAGAGTTTGAGAACCCGTACGAAATTATATCTTTTCCGCCGCAGGGATTGAGCTTCGTAAGGAGGCCCCACGCTAGACCGGACCTTAGGTTTTATGATGATATCTGAGTTCTTAATAATAATAAATATTGATTTTAATAAAAGTATTCTTAATAATAAATTAAATATAAATAGATGATCCACCTGATATAACTAGGGGACATGTGCATCGATGTGATATGTGACATAAATAACAAGTTTTCTTCTATCCTTTTCTCGAGGAAGTGCTGTAGACAGGGAATACTAGGTTTCAACTTTGAAGCAAAAGGACCAGGAGCTATTTCGAATACAATGCTTTCTATTGTTACACTAATTTGATTTGCAGAGTAGCAACTATCTATCTATCGTAAACTTCAGTGGAGTTGGCACGGGGTACCACTGTGGCCGGCCGATCTACCCAGTCCCCGGCATCACGACCACTCGGCAGCATTAACACGGTCTGCGCATGATCCTCTTCAGTGCCCTAGTTCCACATCTCAATAACCTCCTTCTTCAATTGGCACCGAATTTTGTCACCAGGAGCCTGGTCGCACAAAATTAGATCGTTAATCTCTAGTTCCTGACTCCAGGACTCCCCAGCAACTAGGCCGATCCATCTTCCATCCTTGCTGACATTCACAGCAGTCTCGGTATCGTATTTTAAGTCCGTTATGGCACATTTCACACTTGGATCCTCACAGTGCTCCCATTCGCTGTTCCCCCGGGACCGAAAAATCCATATGGAGGGTACCATAAGATGGAAGGCATGGAACATTATCGCCTTCGTCGCCGGTTCCCAATCAGCGTCTCGGTCTTTTGAGACAAGACCTTGATGTGTGACTATTTGTACAAGCTGAAAGCTCTTAAATGTCATTTTTGCTTTCAGCGCCACCCACGTTATCAATCAGAATCGGTGTCCCTAGACCATACAATAATCCAGTTAGTGATATTCCTTGCAAAGAGTAGATTTATAATGTGGTACATTGGGGCTCTGGGCTATCTGGCCGTGGTGTCTCATATACAGAAGTTGGTGGCTCCTCAACCATAGATAACTGCACACGAGGCGTCCCCAAAAGAACGGCACGAGGTAGACCACCACGCGATCTACTCTCATTCTCTTCGATACTCCCATCATAGCATCGAGCCAACTCTCTAGGATCCCCGCAAAAAAACACGTACTTTCACCAGGCTTCAGCTCAGACAGACCTTCGGTATTTCGCGGAATCCGAGGCTCTGCCGAACCATGCATACGCCGTGGCTCAGACGGTTTATTCGCTCTTTTCAGTAGGCTGTCGGCGTTGTATCGAAGGAGCACTAGGCCCTCGGAGCCCCAGGCATCCACGGCAGCAGGCCAGGAGAACGAACACGGCCGGTCGTGGCCGTCATTGTCTCGATGGATACGGAAGACAAGGCCACTATTGGAATTCCCTTTGGCAATTTTGGAGTCGCTGAGTCCTTACAGCTCTAGCAAGTGTGAGGCTTAGGATATCAGATGTATTAGCTGTAGCCTATTGCTCGGTTTAGCAGAGTAAGTACCTTTGCTGCATCGGCGGGTAGGTAATTCAAAAATGGAGCGATCTGTGCATCGTCCATGAGAGTCTTTTTGGTTTGATTGTATGAATTATGGGATGAAAGTGATGGCAGTGAGGTATTCCGAATCGCTTCAAACAACTCTGCACTGAATCCGAGTCTGATGATCAACGTTGATCTGCATTGGAGGGGTAGGCAATAGAAAGAAAGCTAAACTAAATCGATTTGGCTCTATATAAGCGATAAAGTACGTGTGTCGATGTCAAGCTTTACTAGGGTGGTAATGTCATTGGTACCCAGCTTAGTCTCTAAGATGATGCTCATAGGGTCTTGTCAGGAACTGAGTTTACCCTTATTTTGGATGTCTTAGGGTCAACCCCCCGACCTCCTTCCAACACTACGGCTCGCATCTATCACTAACGCCACTTCATTGGACAGCGCAAGCAAGTCACCGGCTTCAGCCATACAGACAACATCCAGATCGGCTCCACACCCACGAATAGTCTTCGTCATGCTCTCGAGCGAAGATAGTTAACGCCTCCTTCTTAATATTGACCCCTCAGAAGGCTTTGAGACGACTACACCTTGATAACTTCCATGGAACTCTCATTAAATTCTGTCTGACTCTTATGCCTGTACTTTATAGAAGTTTTATAACCTTTCATTTCTATTTATAAGAGTTGCTAATTTCTGGATACTCGATTTTCCGCAGCGACGATTTCCTCCTGCCTGAAAGGTCGTCGACCATTTCCCGGAACGGTAAGGACTACAAGCCAACAGAGGGCCCTTGTCGCTGGCATCAAGCTGCGCCTCAAATTTTCTAAGCTCGTCCTGTACTTGTATCAATGGCCTCGCCTACAACTTGTTGAAACAATGTATAATCAGAAAGCTCCGGTAACTAGCTACGAATTCGCGAAGACTCAGGTAACCATTTAGCGATTCGTGAACTGGATCGCAATCAGGCCACGTCCAAGATTCTCGCAAGCGACGAAGAGGCACCGAGATAACCGAATGACATCCTGTTTCGGCGTTTTCGCTGAACTATTGATCTGATTCATTCGCCGCTTCGATTGCACCGATAGAGTTCTCGGGAAAATGATCCGATGTGACTGGCCCAGGCTAGTGCCTCTGATTCCTTCATCAGATTGCTGTGTTTGCTACAAAATCATCAGCTTCTCAAAATTGTCTCATCACAGACTTCTTACAGTTTCCTGGTGGGGTTACTTCCACGCGACCTGGATTGGGGGGGGGAAGTCTTCCTTTCTCACCCCGAGATGCGTCGGCTCGGCCATGGTCAAAGTAGACATAATGATTACGTACAAGGAATGAAAAATCAATTCCATAAACTTGATTCTGGAGTAAAATCATCGTGAAGATGGTGGGCCTGGTTCGTTCCGTGCGATGGAATGAATGGGTGGTGATACTGGTTTCTGTCGACTTGACCGATTGTTTGCTTTCTCATGCAGTGATGACGAAACTTGGAACTGTGCGAGGAGGTCAGGTCCTCAGTCAATTGCCCATCAGTTCGCAGTATTACAATGTATGGGCCAAAAGAACCGGTGGGTCATTCCCTGGTTTAATAATACCTCCAATGGCTTAAACATCCAGCCCGACCGATGACGGAGAAGTAGGCGGACAACACAAATATCACACAGTTGCATATGGCGTTTAGTCATCATGAACAAATGGCTCCTCGCCTCTCTCCATCCGCCACCGATTTGTCGCCTCTAACGCCCTCGGCAACCCTTCAAAAAACCACCCCCATTTCCTCAGAAATCCTTCAGACATCTCCCAACCCGTGATGTCCCAGGGCGGCGACCACGCAATGATGCCGCGTCGCTGGATCTCGTCGTCGGGAAAGCCCTCGTACAGCCCGCCGATACAGTCGGCCCACAGCTCGTCCTCGTCGAAGGTGCTGGAGGCCCGGATCAGGCGGTCTCGTACCTCGGGATACGGGAACAGGTCGATCCAGTCGCCGTGCGGAACCGTTTGTTGAAGGGTGGTGGGTAGGAGTGTTGAAGGGAGTAGCTCGGGCTTGGTAGGGTAGGCGATTACGTGGATAACCTCCTCATCACAGTCGAGCGGTGTGACGAGAATACCCGAGATTAGAGTTCGGTTGACGGCCAGGGCGCGGAGGGCGTTGAATTGGAGGAGTGTGATGAGATGGTCTGGACAGAGGGAAAGACCATGTTAAACTGCTCTTTTCTAGATTTATCTGGCAGCAAGGGAGTTCTCGCATTGTATAGTTGCTTGATACGGGATGCCGGGATGATAGAGACGGATTGCTGCTCGATGTCCCAGCATTCCACCAATGCTTCTGATTTTATCAGTGTCCCAGTTGCGGCACTGGATGCTTCGGCTTTCTTTGCTAGGGCTTTGCGTTTTCCTACTGGATTGTTAATTTCGATAATTGGGTACCCCTTGATCGGGCTGGTCCTGACCCCTGATTTGGACGAAAAAGAAAACGAGGCCTTACTTACGGTATGCCCTTGTGTTGAGTCTAGTCTGTGCCCGTCTACGCGCTGCGGCATCCTTGGTCCCAGTCCAGTCGTCTTGCCCGCTTATCGCCTGTATGCAGTGAGCAAGTCATGTTTCCTTGGTGATTGAAGGTGGCCTGTACGTACCTCGGCCAATTGCGGCATGGACGCAAGTTGGAGGCGTGGTCCTGTTGAAATTGCAGGCTGATACATACTAATCATGATGCTAGCGGTTGTTGGAATTGCGGTGATGATGAAACTGGTGATGAATGATGCAAGTTTCTTCGGGCCGGCCAAGGCGGTTTATGCAGCCTGCTCACAATGACGAGTCGTGACACTCGGGAACGGGGGAATAGTTATGCCTACTATTATTCGCTGAGGCGCAGACAGCGGTTGTTGAAATGGAACGATATCATTGGTTACTATTTCGATATCTAACTATATTAGGTCTAGCGTCATGCAGCCTGCTCACGTTGTGGACTAGGATCATCGAAATATACATGCCCATTGACAACTCATAAGTTATGATTAATTTAGACAGTAGCTACGGTGTTGGGGTTCGGCAGTGAGTCACACGCTTCATGCAGCTGGCTCACTCGCTCACTCGTTATTCTCCTATTGGTCCAAAGCTTCAATATGTCCAAATTGAATGTGACATGATTGGTCCAAGGTCATGCAGCTTGCTCACGATATCTGATGCTCGGAATAACATCCTAGGTGCAATTATCTCGGACATTGTTCAAGAAGAGCAATATAAAGATCCTAGCAGCACCTTAATCTCGACGAATATTTTCGCATCATCAAATACATAGAATTCAATCCAAGTCATTGAATTCTCTGTTTCTTGGCATTAAACGTTCACGCATTGGCTGAAGTACTCATTTTGAACATGACTTTCCATCCCGACACTCTCCCTGATCTCAAGGGCAAAGTATTCATCGTCACAGGTGGGAATTCGGGTATGTAAGTCTCTCCTCTCCCCTCTCCTCTCTCGCCTCTCACCACGAAGCCCGAATCGCTGATCTCACCAAACCACAGAGGCTACTACACCGTAGCTTACCTAGCAGAACACGGCGCCCATGTTTACATGTGCGCCCGATCCCCAGAGAAGGCCGCAGCAGCCATCGCCAGCATCAAGAAAATGCACCCCTCAGCCAACATCGACCTCCTGCAAATGGACCTCATGGACCTCACCAGCGTCGTCACGGCTGCCAAGCACTTCCTCGCCCTCGAAACAGCCCTGCACGGCCTGGTCAACAACGCAGGCATTATGGCGACACCCTTCGAAATGACCAGAGATGGCTACGAGGCCCAGTGGCAGACCAACTACCTTGCGCACTGGGTTTTGACAGAACACCTGCTTCCTCTGATGCTGCGGACCGCCAAGACGCTTCCTCCCAGCAGCGTGCGCATTGTAAACCTCACTTCATCGGGCCACTTAGGCGCACCTAAGGGCGGCATCAATTTCAAGGACCTATCGCTAAAGGATAGCGGCCCCTGGTCGCGGTACGGACAGAGCAAGCTCGCCAACATTCTACACACCCAGACCCTGCACAAGAAGTACGGGCCCGGCTCTTCCAGTGCGCGGAACGGGGAAGGTGAGATCTGGGTTTCGTCAGTGCATCCAGGTCTAGTTGAGACGAACCTCGCCACATCGGTGGGGGAGTCGGGGTCGGGCATGATCGGTGTTTTCTCAGTCTTACGCATGTGTGGACTGATATGGCCTGCCGATAAGGGGTCGTGGACCAGTTTGTTCTGTGCGGCGAGTCGGGATATGAAGGCGGAGCAGAGCGGAACGTATTTCGAAATTTTCCGGCGGTTTGGGGAGCCGAGGTGGCAGAGCAGCGCGGCAAAGGATGGGAAGCTTGCAGGGAGGTTGGAGGAGTGGACTGGGGAGGTGATGAGGAAGGAAGGGTGGATTCTGTAATGGCGTCAACTGGTTTCTGTATTTTCGATTTTATTAATAGATTTATTGTTCTATATTATTATATATTCTTATTTTCCTTATTTATTCATGTACGTTTTTATTTACTTTTATACTTTTAAGTATATAGTCCATAGTTTAATACCCAGTGATTCTTTATTTAATATCGAGATGTTTATATCAAAAAAATAACAGGCCCTCAGAACAACAGGAAACAGGACACCAGCGAATGCGCTCTCCCAGGTCGCACCATTGGTTTCGCTGGGGCTGGCGGAGCTTGAAGTCGTAGTTCCTGTGGTAGATGGCGGAATCTGAAGCCTTTCAAATGTAGGGGTAGATATATTGAAGAATGACAAATTTCTCCAAACTCAATCCCGAAGGGGGACTGTTTTAAATGACTATCCTACCAAAAAGCCAGTAGACGGGAGGGCCCCAGGTCAATGCTTTTGTAGTTTGATTTAAACTTGATAAGGATATTTCTGTTCTTAATTATAATTTAGTGGTTCCAAGAATATTACTTGACTCATCTACACATGCTACCTGCGGCCATAGTTAGAGCTTATGGTTCGACATGACACTTAATATGAATAATAACAATAAGATAGGTTGATAAATGTTGACGAGAATAGATTCGTATTGTGCTCTTAACCACTTCAACTTTCCTGAAAAGGAAGCCATGGCTGTTGCCCTGTACCTTAACAACTGCCAAGGGCTGTTTTAACATCATAGAACACGAGAGACAGGCACAAGGGGGGTAAATGGGGTGATATGCAGATAGTTTTCATAATCAAAGCTTATGTGGGGCATAAATGACGTGATGTTACATTAACCAGCAAAACACAACCAATTAGCAGCTTTAGATCTGTTTAGATCTCTTATCGGCAGATCAAGCAGGCCGAGCATGATGATCGACAACAAGAGCAGCCGCTGACACGAAAATCAGATTCGGGTCTGACGGCTACAATTGGTAGCTCCTGATCAGGTATGATGGATGTGCCGCTACAGCGAGCTAGAGAAACCATGCATAGTCGTGTTATTACTGAAGCTCGATTGTCCTGACATTAAATTTCTGTTGTCACCTAGTTACTCTCGATTCTATGGTTGTTATTACAAGAGGGTTACATGATCGGACTGTAAAGTCGACACATGTCCGTACATCTATCCATATATCCAAGTTAACTCCACTACTTGGTCTCATAGAGTCATTAAACACTGCATCAAAGTAGGCACTCTCATAGGTAGCAAGTGACTAAACTGCTAAGTTGGGCTTGGCGAATGACGAAGTATGATAAACGACTAGGCGCTGTACATCATTGCTATTTTTGGGGTAACAATCGATGTGCCATGCAACTGTCAGATAAATCAATAAATCGATAGTTAAAATTCGTAAAAATTACAAAGGACAGGATGGGATAATTCCGTGGGGCTATGGGCTTTCTCTGCTCGTGCCGTTTCTGGTATTTTTCTGCAAGCACATCATCACTTTTACCTGCGATATTCGTGTTAGTTTCCTTTCTCCGTTATTAGTCTGCTGTCGGAGCTTTGTCCATCATGTCTTGGCTAAGTGAAGCTATATCCAGTCCCTGAATACTCAGATGGCGTGCTCTTGCGTTTTGCGGCTTGGTTACATGCAACGCATTAGTAGCGGATGATATGATTTCCATCTAAAATGATAAGGTCGCATCACTTTATGTTCTTATATCTCAATCGCAGGGTTTATTATTTTTGGCAACTTTGAGCCAACATCACCTCATTTGCTTCAGAGTAATATAAATTGGCCTTTATTCCCCATCAACTCAATGCGATATCTTCAACCATCTACACTCGAAATTCTCACACGGCTTCTGCTATAAAGGTTGCATCAAAACAATGGCACCCTCCACCGTTGCTTTTTCTTTGGTTGCTCTCTCTGCTGTCGCCGCAGCTCTCCCTGCGACCCCTGCCAGCCAAGGATTTTCTCTGCAGCAGGTTGCTGTCCCCAAGGGCGTCGCCCGCCACCCAGCTGCTCACCTTGCAAAAGCCTACTCCAAATACGGTGCTGCTGTACCTAGCAATGTTGCTGCAGCTGCAGCTGCCACTGGTTCCGTGACTACCACCCCCGGCCAGGGAGAGGAAGAGTACATCACCAAAATCACCGTTGGAGATGCCACTCTTAACATTGATATTGATACTGGCTCCGCTGATCTGTAAGATTTATTCCTACTTTTCTTCCCCAGCCAAAGATTCAATAGAGTCGAGTATGTGAGAACAAAGTAGTGGAATCGCTGACTTTTTCATCCCAGCTGGGCCTTTTCTTCCTTGACCCCTGCCTCCGAGCGAAAGGGCCACAACTACTACAAGCCCGGTAGCTCCTCCAAGAAGCTTGAAGGCTACACCTGGGACATCAGCTATGGTGACGGCAGCTCTGCCAGCGGTGACGTCTACACCGATACCGTCAAAGTTGGCGGCGTCTCTTTTGACAAGCAAGCCATTGAAGCCGCTACCAAGGCTAGCAGCGAGTTCACCCAGAACACCGAGATCGATGGTCTTCTTGGTCTTGCTTTCAGCAGCATCAACACTGTCAGCCCCAAGCCTCAGAAGACTTTCTTTGACAATGTCAAGGACTACCTTAGCAAGCCAATTTTCGGCGTCCTGCTAAAGCACGGCGCACCCGGTGTGTACGATTTTGGTTTCACCGACGACTCCAAGTACACTGGTGAGATCACCTACACCGACGTCGATGATTCGGAAGGTTTCTGGTCTTTCACTGCCGATGGATACTCCGTTGGCTCATCCAGCGAAGACTCCGTCTCCGCCTCTGAATCCGTCACCGGTATTGCTGGTATGTAACACACTTAACAAAATATGCCTGAGGCATTTCCTTAGTAAACGTTACATCTGCCCTTTAAACTAACATAATCTCGTCTAGACACCGGCACCACCCTCCTCCTCGACGACAGCATTGTCGACGCTTACTACAAGAAGGTCGACGGCGCCGAGTACGACTCATCCCAGGGTGGCTATGTTTTCCCCAGCAGCACCACTCCCCCCGACTTGTCTTTCAAGATTGGTGGCTACACTGCAACCGTCCCCGGTAAATACATCGCCTTTGCATCCGTCGGATCTGACCAGATCTACGGTGGTCTCCAGTCCAACTCTGGCATCGGTCTATCCATCTTCGGTGATGTCTTCCTCAAGAGCCAGTACGTCGTCTTCGATTCCGAGGGTCCCCAAATTGGTTTCGCTGCCCAGAAGTAAGGTGGCAGAATCCACGGCGAGGGGGTTTGTGGTAGCCTTTTCACATATGATCTTAAGAGTCGGTTTTATGCGTTTGTATTTACACGTTATGACGCTCTATATAGTCTAATCACTTAGGAATTCCAATGGAAATATAGCATTAGAGAAATTCTCTTTTGGTCTCTAAGTTAGCCCGTCGATCGGATTCGATGTAGACTGGTGTATAGCTTGAGTAGCTAGTATTGGCAGACCATATTTGGTCTAGGTTATATAAATATGTAGAGGTAGACTTAATAGTACACAGTACGAAAATTCATTAACAGAGTTCTTATTTTCACTTATACTATTAGTAAACGCAAAATATTATAAAGAGCTGTCAGTGTTCTCTTACCATATAATATCTAGTAATCTCCACACACTGATGAATCAGCGGGTATCACTATCATATCAGGCAAGATCTTAGCACTCAAGAGTATTCACAGGCGACACGCCAGTACCACCAGTCTCTAGCAACGCCATTGGAAGGATCCCCGTTATTGCAATCAATGTAGCTGGTTTGCGAAGTAGACGGCGCAGCCGTGCAACTAGCTGTGAGTCCACCATCACAGGCAATACTCCCGACGTCGCTGCATTTGATCCGTGGTAAAAACACGACGAATGACCGGTCAGGCTGAAACCACCCAATTATGTCGGATACCAAGTTTCCGAGGCAGCGCTTACAGTAGTGCTATAAATTATTGGATTCGCCTTGTGATCACAGAGGCGCCAGACACCGCATCCTTGTCGAAAGAAACGCCATCCAACCTCCAGGTGTTTATTGAGCCGCTTTGTCTGGCAACCAAAATCTCTCTTGTATAGACCTCGAAAATGTACGATGGAGTCGGGGCCGCAATTGAAGTCAATCATGGGTTACTCTCGTACATAGTCTCTGAAATGTTATCACCATCTCTATGGAGGTTTTATCTGACTAGGCAGGGCACTTCACTAGCCAGGAGCGGCAAAGGGTGCTTGGTCGATCGGGTGAGCAGTATTCGAAAAGCACTATTAGTCACAGTTCATTGGACATGATCTCCAACATGTTATTCTTCTTCAACCGCCTCAGGAGAGTTTATTGCGTGTCGCTGGCGGCATGCTCAGGAAGAGAATCCCATTAGCTCCGTCCGAGCTTACCGATACGCATAAGCGTGCTATTTGCCAACATCCGGAAATCCTGGAGCTGAAACGAGAGAAGAAAGAGCTTCTGGCGGAGATGCGATCTCTGGCCTGCACTGTGAAAAATACCCAAAAGTCCTTCCCACACCTTATCAAAGGCACGAAGCTGTCAGCAGAGAAATAACCAAACTTCGCAAATATTTGGCAACCGATACGTGAGAGACAGCCAGAAAGGATTATTTCCCTATCGCACCTGTACTCGAACTGGACCGACAGATCAAGCGGCTGCTTTGCGAACATGAGGTTGAAACATGTGATGCTGACAGCTCTGACGATGAAAACTGGGAGTTGCCCAACCCGAAATACGTTTTTCCTGAACGGGCTGGCCTCGTGGAGATCTTTTGCGGGCCCGAAGCGGAGAACTATGACGAGGACAAGCTGCTCGCGCGTCGTATTCAGGTTGCCAAGGACATGGTTGCGCTCCTGAGGCTCTGCGAGCCCAGCAGGCGAGGCAATCGTGTTGATTGGAAATTCGACTACGAAAATGATGAGCCGCCAGACCAACCAGAGGGACCCTCGCCTCGTGAAGAATACAATATGAAATGCCTAATGGATGTCTGCATAATTTGCTATGTTATATCCTATCGCTCGGCGTCAAACCCTCCTCCGCATAGATCTCCTTCCAAGCGACCAGATTCTCTTCGTCGTCATCTCATCGACTCTTATCTGCTCCGTGCACACACACGACGGGATCAGCTGCAACGGTGAGGCTTGTCCCAACCTTCCTAGCTTTGCCAAAATCACTGAATTCTTGGCCCACGCCCGTACGGAGCACAAATATGATATCAGGATTAAACTATGTCATCTCTCCGGAATGCCACAGTTTATCCTCAGCGACGGTCCCTCTGGAGAAGCGTCCACAGAGTTAGAGACTCAGCAAGCCACCGAAACTCCCGCCTCCTCACTCAATTTTGACATAGCGAATCTTGACCCTCTGTTGATGGAATCCGGTCCCATCACCGTGGTGAAGTCCAACGTGCCCACCAAGCCTCTGGAGCCTCTGTTTCGTCTATTGGATGTCCAGTGACGAGCACCGATTCAAACATGGTGGAGACTTTCACACAGCGAGTGACCAGTGGAGCAGTAAAGACCGCAAGTCTGGAATCCGGTCCCAAGCCGGTATCTTCGCCAAAGCATGCGATGCCGTCGTATCGAAAACGTGGGTGCTCAGAGGAGCAATCTATAGGAAAGCAAAGGGGGCAATGGCGAACAGGTAAATTGAAAGCGTCCACTATCAAACCTACGCCCCGTTGGTCAAAGCAATTACGAGCTCGGTGATTTTTGGACTGGGAATTTTTTTATTTTGTTTGTATATTTGATTGCAATCCTGAATGCCTCAATAGTTTGTAAATTCTACCTCGAAAAGTCTTCCTCGCTAAACAATAAAATCAACCCTTAGATATCGTTTCTCTACTTAACAAGCTAAAAAAATGACTAGAGATATAACGGCAGTCAAGAGTAAACATTAAGAAATGAGAACAAGGGCCCAACCTGGTCAATTACTTCCAGCATAATATTTCCCCATGCAGCAGACCAAACCACGCCTGTTCATCCTCGACAAACTGCCTCCATCCCTTAGAAATATTTTCCAATTCCTCCTTTGTTGCATAACCTTCCTCGACAGCCGTCTTCGCCAAGCCCGAAGATCGAACCCTTTCCTCCATCGATCCACCCCAATACTGTCTCTCCTCCGGATTACTAAAGCACCACGACCCAGTGCTCTTCCTAATACTCGCCCGATCAAATCCAGCCTCTTCCGCCCAGACATGAATATACCGTCCAGGATGCGGATTCCCGCCTTTCGCCTTTCCCATTCGTTGAGTAATTTCGAGCCAGTTGTCGATCCCGCGATTTTCTGGGTACCAGATCATAGACGCGGATTCCCTTGCTGCGACAATCCCACCACGTTTCACAACACGCCTCATCTCGCATAACCCTTTGACAGGATCAGCAATATGTTGCAGCACCTGATGCACATGAACAATATCGAAGGTATTATCCGGGAACTCGAGAGCGTGGATATCGCCCAGCCGGAAATCGACGTTAGTCACGCCTTGCGAGGCGGCCAGGTGTCGAGCCTGGTCGAGCGGATCAGGGACGTTTTCGATCCCTGTGACATGACCCTGGTTTGCACGGCGGGCGAAATCAACACTGATTGAGCCAGGACCACATCCGATGTCCAGGATTTTGGACGTCGGAGTTATGTGTGGTAGGAGGTAGGTGGCGGAATTGGACGCTGTGCGCCAACTGTGGGTTTTGAGGACAGAATTGGAATGGTCGGTTATGTAGACAGCCATTTTTCCTTATTAGTATTCGGTTTGGATTGATCGAGCTGGCAATTGTTTAGTTTGGCAAGATTCAATCAAGATTAAATTTAATGCGTTTTATATAGACGGTACGCAAATGTCTGTAGGACAACCGTGATCGGAGTTCCGAACCCGGCTTCCGAGGTGACTAACCACACCAGCAATTTCGAGTCACCATGAGGCGGTCGCATTCGCTTGGCCACATATATTCCTTCTTTGACTAGCATGTAATCACTATTCAACCTTCAATGGCTCCCCGTTTCATACCCAAGCCAGGCACCGCTCCCAACGTCCCTCGCGACGCTAAAGAGACCTATAATACTCTTAAACGTGGAGGAGTCGTCATCATCCCGACCGATGTCGGCTACGCACTCTTGGCCAGCACACAGGCGGGAATCCAACGGATTTTCTCAGCCAAAGACCGTCGGGAGGGCCACAACATAGGCATCATCGGGACATACAAACAACATCGAGAGATTCACGTGCTCTCCGAGGCCAAGTTTGAGATGACACGGGTCCTGACAGAAGATATGGCGATGATTGTTGGGATCATTGCCAAATACGATACCGAAAAGCTTCACCCGCGTTTGGCAACTCTCGATCCCGCTACGCTATCCCAGGTTACCAAGGGTGATACGGTCAGTATCGCAGTTCCTGAAGGTCCATTTCTGCAGGAACTCGGTCGCCTTTGCGATGAGGACCCCGAGGGCATGTTAACATTCGGAACTTCGGCCAATCTGACCGGCCAGGGGCAACGATTTCGGATCGAAGATATTGAGCCGAGGGTGATTGACGCGGTAGACTTGGTGGTGGATTACGGTCTACAGAAATGGCATGTGTACAGGCGCGGTGGCGTGAATTTCGATGCAGAGAACATGAAGGTGCTGCGGAAGGGAGCCGGATACGAGGTCTTTCGCGACCGAATGGTAAGATGGTTTCCTCATTTACTGGAGGAGGCCGGTGTAAGCATTGAGGAGGATCCGGATTACAAGACTAGCGAGTCTGGAATTTGTGCGAAATAAATCAAAGTCTTCTGCAAATTGATCCTACACATAAAGCTTCCTCTGCTCTTTTTTAGGTTCGTAGTGTCGTCGACAGCTCTTCAAAGAGCTGTCCGATTGATTGCAACGTAAAAAATGTTGCCTACTAGACATTAGATTGAAGATATGCCGAGCTGGAGCATGATGTAGCAGTAATAGGTACCAATCACTGGAGCTGGCAGTGGGATAAACAAGTAATCAATAAATCTATAAAAGTAATTGTACAGAAAGAAAAAAGGAAAGGATGAAGTCTTGATGAAATATTAAATCTATGGGAGACCAGTGGACGCGGACAGCTTCAGAGTCTCAAAGGGAGAGGCATCAACCGCCGAGATGATCTTCCTGACAGGCCGTGTCAACTTTTTAGTTTTCTATATGTCGAAGCGGTATGCAGCAAGCGCAGTTGAAACCATGGCCTCTAGTACGAAGCCAATATAGCCAATATAGGGACAGACCTTGAGGTGTGTTAATTAGTTCGCAAATGGGCTCCAAGAACGCAGTCTCTTCCCGTACTATATTATACAAATTAGCAAATAATTCTATACCTAGTTTAACCCGACGGGACGCAGTCCTAGCAGCAAACTCACCCGCTGCAAAATAAAAGGTAAGGGCACCATGGCAACAGAGATGAACCCCAGTATGCTCGAGGCCCATCCAATTCCAAGTGAATTTAACATGCTTGGTGCAGCAAGCGGCAGTGCTCCTCCAAACGAGCTTCGGAAGAAAGTGTTACCGGCAAATACGCTTGCCGCATAGCGCGGATAGGATTCGCCCAGGTAATTGAGGATGGATTGAAAGGTGAGGTAGAAGCCCGGTGCAAAGAATGCTGTTCCGATGATCGGGACGATCCAGTGTACGCTGCGTACAGGAGGTTAAAATTCTCATGCTAGAATCAATTGACTCAAGTGGCTAGCTTACCTTGCTCGGGATGTCCATGCAAAGATGAAAAGACAAATTGGAATGCAAACAGCCCCTATTTGTCCAGGGACGAGGCGAGCCTCTGGCTCGGTAACGACATTTTCATTTGCCACTCGTGGCTGGTAGGAAAAGTATAACCACAGAACGTATGCAACGACCGAAATTGACGCTCCAACGAGAATACCGAAGAAGGCAACTGCAGAGAATCGTTGTTAACATAGTCTTTTGTGCAAAGTCAGCTGAGGGAAGCTCACGGCCTTGCTGGATTGCGGTGAAGTTATAAATGCCGTCAAAGACTATAGTATTACTCTGTCAGGATAACGTGGGCAAAATGCATCAAGGAGAGCTTAACTTACCGAATGGGAAGAACTCAAACCAAAGGTACAGGACACCGTAAACTAGCATTGTGTGAATGTTAACAAATAGAATGACTGGGTCCAGGCAGGCAAGTTTGAGATCGTTGCCCATGTCCTTGACAATGCGTACAGCGAGATTTTCGTTTGGTGATTGGATTTCAGCTTCACTCTGGTAGGCAGGATTGCCCGTCTGCGCGCGAAGACGCTTTGCTCGTCGTAGAAGGATATTCGACGATAACGTCTCAGGTAAAAAGAAGAAAATAGATACGGTCGTGAAAGCCGTGATGCCTGAAAGTAGCCAGAGCGTTGCTGTCCAGGTTTTCCAACGCTTTCTATCCGATAATTATTAGTTTCAAATAATATTCAGCAAGTAACAAGACCGATAACGAACATTACAAGGGTTCCAATAATCTGGTTTTGTCAAAATTAGTAAAGCCCTGGATGTCTAGATGTACGTAGACTGACATACCGGTCCCAGAATAGGCCCACAGACTCCGCTAACTGCGTAAAATGCAATTGCGTAGGGAACCTCAGTTGGCCTGTAAATTTCCATCAGCGAGGCGCCACCGACGCTGATAGGTGTGCTTCCGATGAGGCCCCCCAAAAAGCGCAGTACCAGAACGGTTTGTAGATTTTTTGCCAGAGCCGTTCCGATGTTGAGCAAGCAGAATGCAAGGCAGCCAAGGACATATACCGGCGAACGCCCAATTGTCGACAGGCTTGATAGAGGAGAAAGCTGGAAATATGCATGGTTAGTACAATCCTTATATCGGTGGTCTTCTTGAAGCGCAGACATACAATTAGAGGCCCAATTCCGTACGCAATAACAAAGAGCGAAAGCCCCAGTGTGCCCTCAGCAATGGTAGCACCAAATGCTTCTTCGATACCCAAGATACTCGGCGTAAAGATTGCCGATGCTGCATAGAAGCTGAAGTTCAAGAGCATTACATTGAGCCCAGCGACTGCCCTTGCCAGCGTGGGCCAGTTTTGAGGAATGTCTGGATCATCAGGGCCAACGAAGTCTACTATAATCCGGTGCTGGGGGTCTGGGCTTGGGAGGTCTTCATCTTTGAGGGTTTTGGATCCATTGTAAGAGAAAAATCGGCCCTTTGACGCATAGTTGAGCAACCGACCGAATAGGCTGTCACGGAGCAAAATGTTCAGGCTCTCCATGGTCGAAATTTGATAGGGCTCTATACTCGCTCTCTCTGAGTGCGTCGATGGCATTAAATACTTATGGACAGCGCGCTGAAGCCGGTCACCACTCCGAGGAGTTTGACGTTTCGGGCAGCTTGAACGCAGATTCTCTTCATAAGGATACCGGAATTCCGCGCAAAGCAAACACGCTGCTCAGAAACTGCCTGAGGCCAAGCCGCTAGACGATGATTTGGGCAGTAAATAAATCTTCGATACAAAAACTATCAATAGTACAGGACTACGAATCTTAGTGCTATATCCTAAATACCAATAGATATAACCGTGATAATTCCCCCGAACCTACACAATACGTTCGATATCATAGATCCGAACTTCGGAGTTCGTCTCGGAGTTCCGGGCTTGTACCCAGTTTGGTGGCGCTAGCATGACGTTTCTCCGCGGCGATCGGAGTTGATGACCAGACTTTCCGAGAACTGTCTGGATATGCTTTCTTGAGTTTGCGATTCACTCATCAGCTAAATAATATATTGACTGCGCGATACCGCGATCCATGGCCACGCCGACCACGCCCAGAAAGAAACCTCGTCCTCCACGCAGAAAAGCCTGCAGCAGTTGCGCGAAGTCTAAAGTCCGGTGCAGTCTAGAAAAGCCCGGATGCTCGCGGTGCAGATTGACAGACCGGAACTGCGTCTATGAGACGACGGCTTCAACATCGGAGCAACCAGACTCGCGCCTAGCACAAGGAGGCTTAGAAGTAGAATTCGGACGCTTGGATTATCTCAACGTGTCTTCTTTTACGGGTCCACTCTCTGCTTCAGCAGCATTACAGACGCCACTTTCTCCGTCGGATGCTGGTGCTCCTAGTAGGTCTCCCGTTGAAAATACCATCTGGTGTCCGCCGACCCAGCAGTCCCAGGGACAATCTCCCAGAAGGACTCCCAGAAATAACGAGCTTCACTTCGGAGAGATCGACCTGACTCCCAGCTCTGAGGCAGACGATATTCGTGCCCGATGGATAAGGCCTTACTTCGCGACTACACTCGAGCGAACTGAGATCCAAAAAGTCGTTCTTCCTTATACTATACAGTTTATTAAGCGGATACTGAGGACTTATCCGCGGAACATGCTGAAGGACGGACATGTCCCTCCAATCATTCATCACACCCAGGTGAAGGGGAACGAGATTCCTCGTACACTAGCAAACTGCTATAGTATAGTACGTATGTGGGAACACGCTGTCCCTGGGAGCGAGGAGATGGTTATGAGTACACTCAGGCGGGAGATGGATAGGCTCGCTAGTGAGGTATGCACTTCTCCCTGTTTATACGTGACTGTGCTGATGGCATTAAAGAGCCCAAATCAACACGACTACGACCTCCTGTCCGCCTTCCAAGCTTACCTTATTTACTCAATCCTGATGTACTTCTCCCCTCGCGGCGATTTCTCGGAAAACACCATGGTAACTCTCATGGATTTGGCCTTCCGGACAAGTAGAAATGGTCTCTTCTGTACCGCCGAAATAAAACGGACCAAACCAACATGGGAATCCTGGATTGTCGCTGCCGCGAAACGCCGTACAGTCTTTATTCTATACGTCTTCAGCAGTATCTATAACGCGGACCGGCTACTGCCCGAATTTATAGCGGACGAACTGAGAAACGTCTATGTACCGGGTCATAAGGCATTGTGGGAGGCGGATAACCGAGAAACGTGGAATAAGGTGTATGATCAATACCTATCGGATTGGGAAGATGGGAGTTTGGTGATCTCCGAGTTATGGCCATCCCCTGAGAAGGAGGAACCCAAACAAAGGGAAAGAATCGAACGTTGGGTTCAGACAGTTGACGAATTTGGGATGACGATTTTTGCTCTTTGCGCTCATATTCATGGCTGTTGAGTTGCTGTTCATCTCCGGCCGCCGAGCAGTTGCACCGCCTCGGAGATCCTACCCGGGATTCCGATCATAATATGTGCAGTTGAGCCGCTTTGGGTTGATTGCGAAGTTGCATGGGGCTTGGGAGTTGCTATTTTGTTGCTCGCTAGCTCAGTGAGAGGAATCGTTAGAGAGATCCAATGGTACCTACCCGAGGGAGGGTCATCGGAAGTTTGAGAAAGGTGGGCTGAATAACGATAATCTGTTGAGTTACGCCGTGACCCTTTAGGGCAACCAGGACCAGCTGGATGTGGTGCTCATAAGACTCCTCTGTCACATCATATAGCTCTTGGTAATCTCTCCCTCAATCCTTGTGGCCCCGTTTTTGACAAAATAGCAATGTCAGTTCTTTCAAGTTAGAGAGCATGGTGAAACCAAGGCTCATCAAGGTCCAAGCCCCTTCCAGTTTCTACGATCTCTTGCTGCCGGCACATGTCCGTCAAAATGACTGTTTTTTTGGACAAAGCCCCAGGGAAAAGGAAGGGGCACTTACTTTGGCCGTATTTGAATCATAATGAAATATTCTGTCAGTTTTATCAGTTATACTCGAGGCATTATGTACAAGAGCATCAAAAGAAGAGAGCAGCATAGGTTTAAATATTTAATCAACGTCTAACAAGAATATGTATCACCATCTTAGGGCTGCTTCAATGTGATTGGTTCAGGAGGCTAACTCAACATACCGACATTCTCGGTCGCCACTGTATCCATAGCGATTCGGAACAATCTGGAGGGTCTTGTTTAGGAACGAATGTACGTGCATACAGGTAAGCTGACCCTAAGTCGGCCTTGACGCTAGTGGAGAGGTCAACTGACCTGCATTCTGGGTAATCTTCAATATATATAGAGATTCTCTAAAACAAACAAGGATCGCTTAAGGCAGCAGCGGGAAAAACCCCCCCAGACCAGCCAATCCTGTGTTGGAGATGACTTTCGCGTGGCGGCCCACTCCGGACCCGTCTTAGCGCCCGGAAGGCTCTTCCCACTTGGGGATAGTGCATGGATGAGTGAATCTAGCGTCAAATTATTGATTGATTGTTTGATTGTTTTTGATACACCGATTGCTGTCTACCCTACGGCCAATGCATCAAGCCATAGAAACCCATCCCAAGGAGATTCTCAGAACAGCCACGATACAAAGTTGCGATAGAACCAATTCGCCCCGGCATGCTTCTCCTCATGCGTGGCCTTGCGTGCCAGAAACGCGGCCTCCTCGCGATCCACTGCATCCTTCCCGCTCCACAAATCGGCCTCGTGCGGCTTGACTGTTTTGCATCTGGTCGCAATCTTATACCCGAAGATGAGGATCAGATATAGCGGAATGCCCAGATACCCAGTGATGAACTTCTTGTAGTTGAAGTGGACCGTGAAAACATCATAGCTCTTGGTCAGGCAGATAATAATGCAAAACGCGAGTGCGCAGTACGAGCCGGCGACCCCAAAGGGCGCTTTATAGGCAAGCTCGCTCTCCGGCACCTTTTGCGCTTTGCGCGCCCGAACGAAGTAGATGTGCGTGACCAATAGAGAAATCCAACTGAGAAGGCCAAACACGGTGACTAAGTCCACGAAGTAACTGAACACAGTTTTCGAGTCGTTGGTGACGTTCATGTAGGCAATACATGCAATAGCAGAGCAAAGAGCTAAAGCATACACTGGAACGCCACGACTATTGGTTCGCGATAAGAATTCGGGTGCTTTACCTTCCTTTGAAAGGCCATAAATCGTCCTAGTTGCGATGTACAGATCAGAGTTAGCTGCAGAGAAGACAAATAACAGAATGCAGGCGTTGAGAATGTGTGGAAGAACGTCGATGCCTGCAGTCTGAACGGCAACTACGAAGGGAGATGCCGCAGCCGAGCCGGATTGCTTATTTGCAAAGATCAGGTCGGGCGAATTGTACGGGACTAGTGTACCAACAAGAAGTACACTGAGTATGTAGAAAACAACGATACGGTAAAATGTCAACTTGATGGCACGAGGGATCGTCTTCCGTGGGTTTTGCGCCTCGCCCACGGTCACACCCACCAACTCCGTACCCAAATAGGCGAAAGTTGCAGACACCATGGTGGCCCAGAATGCGTAGAATCTACCTGCTGCCCCATCGTCAATGTATGTGTTGAATGCGCCTGGATTCTTCCAATAGCGGAATCCTTTTCGGTCATGGTCCGGGCCACCACCGAGCATCAAGATGAAGGACAACAGAATCAGCCCCAGGATGACAATGACTTTGAAAGACGAGAGCCAGAACTCAAACTCGCCAAAGAATCGGATCCCAAAATAATTGATGCTCACGACCAACACGAGAAATACAGTAATCCAGACACCTGCATTGATACGTCCGTTGGGGTCCCAGTACTTGATTACCAATGCACCGGCAGTTAATTGATTCGGCGTGACGATTATGTATTTGAACCAATATCTGGGAGAAAGAATTGTTTTAAGCAATTATTTCTTGAATGTAACGCAAATGTAACGCACGGAATAGTGCTGGGAAACATACGTATAACCCAAGGCAAACCCTAGAGCCGGGTCGCAGAACCGCACTGCATAGCCAGTAAAGCCAGATGCCAGCGGCAACCAGGCAGCCATCTCCCCTAGGCCACACATAACCATATACACGACCATTCCGACGATGGAATACGAGATCAGAATGGACGCAGGCTAGATCAACGTCAGAGACAAGACCGTTCCCGCAGATTTAGAGTACAACTTACACCAGCCCTAAGGTGAAAAGCTTGATTAGAGTAAATTCTTACTTCCTTTCATCAAGAACGAACTTACTTCTGGAGAGCTGACCCGGTCCCGATGATCAAACCTGTACCAATTGCGCCTCCAATAGCTTTTTACTAGTCAGCTCGATAACTTTGCAATTGTTCCTTTGTGGTGGGGTGAAAATATGAAAAGAAAAGGTGGAATATACCGATCATCGTGATATGACGAGCCTTGAGGGCACGGTGAAGTTCATGGCCATCAGACTGAGTGACTATGCCGCCTTCCTCAGCCGCAATAACATCGGCGCTCGACTCATGCTTATCCTTGAACGCGGCATCTGTAGAATATTCGAACGCACCCATCGTGGATGAACTGGTGCTCGGGAAGACTGAGAACACGCGTAACAGAACAATGAAAAGTCTCACGTGATCCCCGCCACGATGCTGGCTAACAACGCAGAGAAGTGAAGCAAAGATATGGCTAGAGGGGAACAACACAAGATAGAAAACAGAGCCCCGGCTGCAGAGTTCTCTGCCAGGTATTTAAACAGTGTCCAAAGAAGCGACACAGTGCGGGGGTGGGCTATGTTATATTCCACGCTCAACTAACAGCTTGCCAGCCACATGGGCGGGCATTGCAATCTAGAATACGACCCTAGCAAGGCGCGGGCCCAACAGCGGAGGGCGCCGCTGTCTTGGCGCCAAGGCCGGGTCGTGTGGTTTATTCGAAGGCACATGTTGCCCGGCCAATAATATCGCGGCAGAGTCCTATCAGTACTACAGGACGACGTGTCTGCCTTAGCGTTTCTGATAAGCTGGTGCTACATGATAGCGAATACGAGTTGCACAAGACGCCAGGCGGATCTCTGGATTCGCCTTCAGTCGGCTATCATCCCATGTCCCTACATTCAGTAATATATCTGAACGTCTATTAAATGCTGTGAATATGTCAACTGGTACATATGTAGAAATATCAATTGATAAGCCTAGGCCGCATCAAAACTTTAACATAATGTAGCGAGAATCATTCTAAAATACATATATTTAACAAGATCACTTGCAACGCAATGTTCTCCATGGCGTGTTCATATATTGTATTCTTTTAAAGACATCTAAATGTAAATTATTAATATATGATTGATTTTATACTATTCTACTTAATTAGATCTATCTATATTACGATATGTAATTGAATTTCAATAGAATATATACTTAATCTTTCTTGGATATCGTAACTTGCTTCTATATTATCCAATTAATCAGATCTAAAATAAAGGACTAATTAGAAGCAGTAAAAATATAAAAGATGTAAAGGTATATTATGATCTATTTGCCTAATTACTCCGACACGATAACCATCAATGATATTATGCAATTCAATTTTACCAGGTGACGCATTTGAGCACCTCAGGCTCTCTTTACGGAGCATTATCAAAGATGGTCAGTGTTGGCGTCCTCGACTTAGTCACTGCATGTGTGGAGGCTACTAGTGAAATCATCTCCGAGCTACTGTGACTATGATGTGGAAACAAATGATTTGGAGAAATAGTACTTGGGAGGGGCAGGCTATCTCGACTTCTTTCATAGCGCGAACTTATTGCGAATCGAAATTTCTTGTGCCTAGTCAGCTTAGTTGTGGTCTAGATTTGTTACCTTGTGGGATGCAATATTCTTGTTTGAATTGGTCAGTCTGCGGTCTTTCGACGCATACAGAATAAGTGTAGGTCAGGGGAGACTACATGTTCTCTTTAACTTTATTTCCATCGCTATCATTAGGGTGGATCGTCGCCGTCTGCAACTCACCGGACTGTTAGTCATGATCCTCATGATGTTTGTGATAGACTTGTAGCATTGGCGCTAGAGTCTGAAGCACTTAGATATGCGTCGTCAATACCCCACCGTTATAGAATGCCGCTATGAGGTAACTATAGGCCTGGCGGCCTATAAACTTGTTAGTGAAACTTATGTCATTTATCCGATTTCACGCCAAAGCGGTTGCTCTGGCCTGAAACACGTAGATGTTTCCCTTCAGATTAATTACTTCGTTAGACCTTATATTCCAAATCTTACAGAATGCAGCTAGAAAGAAACGACTAATCCCCTCACTGGAGGTATTAACATCCTCTTTTTGGCTTGGGCATTATTTCGGAAAGCAAAGACCATACGTTTGTGGAGCGGGATGTTCTTTGCTCCAAAGCAGAACTGAAAACCAGAGATTTCATCCTATATAGTGATTGTCATGGACTATCAGGAAAGTCAAAATTGAATTTTGTGCAATGTGATTGCAAGAATTGGTTTGGGCGATTTAATAAAACACAATTTATGTGTTATATTAACACAGATATAGAAACGAATGAGGGTTGGAAAACATATAAGGATGAGAAAATATCAGAGCATGAGTATATGCATCTTCACCTTGGACTCAATCACTAAGACATTGTGAATAATAAGGATTTTGGATTTTGCATGTAGATCCCGACGCGCAGGAAGTAGCACCGGCCCAGTTCGCTCCACCGCATTGGCCATACAGAGTCTGTACGGGGCCAGAGCATGCCGAAGTTTTAGTTGTAAATAACGTGGAAGTTGCTGAAGACAAGGGAGGTGTTGAAGATGACTCAGCCACAGCTGTAGTTGTTTCCACCGCAGCAGTCGAGGTCGCTGCTGTGCTACTACTGGTAGAAGGCGCGGCGACGTCGGCAGAAGAAGCAGTAGAGGCGGAAACAAGAGTCGTCGTATCAGTGTCAGTTTGACCATAGCAAACACATGTCTCCCAGTCAGTTGTTGCTTGTCCTGGGCATGCAGTCTCTTCGAATTGGACCACGACATTATCGCCAAACACTTCACTTTGGGCCATGATATCGAAATGATAATTGTAGCCGTACTCATTAGTAGCACCAGGCTGTGGGCACCACTGTTGGTTTCCATTGTATGGGCACAAGTTTGTCACCATGACGATGATGCTTTCGCCCGCTACCCCTCCAGTTCCACAGCCATTGCATGCTGAAGAGCCTGTAGAAGTCAGGTTATAGCACTTGCCACATCCAGCGCCGCACCAGGAGGAACCGTCAGTGTCGAAAAGAGCTTGGGAGCCGGCAGCAGTGTAGACCTTTGGACTAATTCCAGTCTAATCATTGCGATGTCAAAAAGAGCTGATGCATCATACTGTTTGAGCTTACCTGCCACGAGTCAAGGCCAGAGCTAGTGCCACACCCGCATGCACCCTCCTGGCCATCGTAATAACGCTATTTAAACAATCAGTATCGGTAATCCATAAAATTGAATAGTGATTTCCGCTGAAAGAGGTTATCTTACTGTAGTCGTGGCCAGGAAAACGGCCGATGCCGAGCTTGCCAACGCCCAAAGGGGGAAAAGGACCAGCCTCATTTTCTTGTAGACGAAAAATTCTCTTCGCGAAAAATTTAACCGAATAGAGAAATTACGTCTGGTCAAAACCAAAAGCAACAAGAAAACCAGAGAATCGAAAGGAATATAAGGAGGAAGAAGGTAAATCAACGAGTGACTAAAGATTATATGAAAGTTGAACAGTGCAAATCATCAGTATCCCCTCGAGGAAACACCGGACTTTATAGTTCGGCTTCTCTCTTAAAACCAATATTATCATTTTCAATCTCGTTTCTTCAGCAAGCCATCTTATCTCGGGTTATTACAAGCCGTCATCATGATTAGATATAATTTTTGAATTAATCAAGCTGTGACAGTAGCGTATACTAACGAGCTACTAGCGTCGGCTCACGGTGTATAGTAATAACGCTGAGATTAATTTAATGCTAGATGAATAAAATGCTTGATCTGAATGAAACCCTCAATGTGCTCACTACTAATATTAGACTCAATTGAGTACACCGGATAATATCCTGCCAATTCTTCCGGGTCATAATTCTGGTCGGAATGACTGACCAGGAACTTACATCCCGAACTGAAACTTGGCCGGTTATTATTATTCTAAGTTTATATTTTATAATAATATTCATGGGTATTTCATATCCACAAGCCCCACACTCGGCACCTTTTTTAATTAAATAGTGTTAGATGTGGCTGTTGGTACTATCGACTCTGAAATCACATTGGTGAGAGGTGTTCGTAGCCCAGAACTGCGTCAAGCTTGTGTCTAATTAAGCGCCAGCTCTGGCCAGATGTCTTATTTGTATCACACACACCGAGACCCGGATGTCCCGGATTTGTGCTAGCACTCGCCTAACTCTTTTATGTCCCTTCTCTAAAATCCAAAATTATTCGACAAGCACTGAAAAACACAAACCACCCTAGTGAGTAATTCTAACTTTGCAGCTGATTCTGTAATGCTTTATATTGGGGCGCCTTCATGGTTGAAATACGGACGGAATATCGGCTTTCTTGCCTCCTGCCAGGAAGGTTACAAGCAAAGCTGGCTTACTGAAAATATTTAGCACTGTAGCTTGTTGAACGCTGTAGATTAGATGGTATGCGATCGAGCGACTCTGTTTAGCTTTGTATTATGGGCACCAAAGAATTTGGAAAGAAAAGATCAACCGGCACTTGTTAATATGGGTCCAAAGACACTTTGGATCTGTTTTAATGCCTGAAAATAAAGGGTGAAAGACCAGGCAGCCGCGGGAGGAAGGTCACGTGTTGTCAGGGGTAAGTCAATTCAACACGTGACCGTCAAATCCATGATGACCTTCTTTAACTTCCCTATTTAGGTTAGACTCATTGAAATCAGCGCATCCGTTCTATGTAGAGTTGTAGAGCTTCTCATTAGTCAATAACATCGCCGGGGCTGGAATGCTACACCAATTAGGCTTCACGCACCGCACAGCTCTGCTAATTACTACTACATGATCGGGGCCGGCCCCAACTTACCATCTTGTTGCAACTTGAATGGAATGTAAGACCTAATAATACTGTCCAATTACAATAGCTAGTCGAAAACATAAATGTTTTATTTCATTTTACTTTATTTTTTTCAAACTCTTATCATTAATCTTTTCCCCAGGGTTTTTTTGAATGACTCCTCCATCTTTGCGCCACCATGAGGATCCACACTCTTGTTGGCTTGGCTGCAGCCATTCTGCCACAGACCTGGGCAACTCTTCGTCCTCAGTATACTGCTAATGACCTCCTACAGAATAATGTGAGTGATACATCACCTGAATACCACGATGTTAACGACTGTAGATCACTTGGGACAACCAGTCCTTTTTCATCAATGGAGAGCGGCAAATGTTGTTGTCGGGCGAATTCCATCCTTGGCGGTATGTGGCATATATGTATGGAACGGTTTAATTGATTAATTTACTTGGTACAATATAGGCTCCCCGTTCCGTCGTTGTGGCTGGACATATTCCAGAAGATCAAAGCCCTCGGTTTTTCAGCAACATCATTCTACGTCCATTGGGCACTATTGGAAGGCGAGCCAGGCGTATATCGCGCAGATGGAGCTTTTGACCTGGCACCATTTTTTGAAGCTGCAGCGGAGGCAGGTATCTACCTTCTCGCGCGCCCGGGGCCATATATACAGGCCGAATCTTTTGGCGGTGGCTTTCCCGGCTGGATCGAAAGGATGACCGGTTCACTGCGGACGAACGACTCCGGCTTTCTGGATTCATTTCACACGTAGGCTTACCAGCTATCCGCGAAAATCGAAAAGAAATTGGGCGTCGATCCAAATTACTCACAGCTGTATAGTTACTACAGCAATACAACCTCAGTCATCTCTAAGTTCCAAATCTCCAATGGTGGTCCCGTGATTCTGCTGCAACCTGAAAACGAATATTCGGTCAGCCAGAGCGACTTCGAACCAACATACATGCAGTATATTATGGACGAGGCCCGATCGAACGGTATTGTGGTCCCTTTTATCAGCAATGACGCTGGCCCTTATGGGAATGACGCCCCAGGCTCGGGTGTCGGTGCGGTGGATGTTTACGGGCACGATTATTACCCGTGAGTAAATTGACCGTCTATCCCCACTTTTCAAGCCTAGTCGGCTAAATAAAGGGTGATACATTTAGGCTAGGATTCTCCTGCGTGAGTAGCACAGTATAATATGTGTGATTAGGGCCGAACCTTCGATTGACAAGATATTGTTATAGTCTAATCCGGACAACTGGACCGCGTTTACTTTCCCCGATAATTTCTATCAGCTTCATGAGTCCCAGAGTCCAACCACCCCGTATTCCCTGGTTGAGGTTAGTTCAGATCATTCTTCTGATTTCTAACAATTTCTAACCAATATTCCTCTTCTCTAGTTTCAAGGCGGTTCGATGGATGGCTGGGGCGGTTCTGGTTTTGATGGTTGTGCTCAAATGGTTGGCACTGAGGCTGAACGGCTGTGGTATAAGAACAACGTTGCGGCTGGTGCTTCATTCTTCAGCATTTATATGGTAAACCTAACTTCTTTCCAACTTTATGATGGATAACTGTTCGGACCCTAATAATTTCCTCTTATTGATTAGATCTACGGGGGGACGAACTGGGGAAATGTAGGGTACCCTAACGGGTATACATCATACGACTATGGAGCGGCCATAACCGAGGCGCGCACCGTCGACCGTGACAAGTACAGTGAATTGAAATTACTCGGAAACTTCCTAAAAGTCTCTCCAACCTACCTGGATGTGCAACCATCGAATAACACCATCTCTGTGGCCAACACAACAGACATCTCAGTCTCGCCTCTCACTGGCCGGACCAGTAATTCGTCTTTTTGGGTCATTCGCCATTCTGATTATACGTCTACAGACAACACCTCGTATACCATCACATTCCCAACAAGTAATGGTACCGTTAATCTTCCCCAGTTGGGAGGCGCCTTGTCTCTCCTCGGTCGTGACTCCAAGATATTGGTCACAGATTATCCGCTCGGTAATATTAACCTTCTCTACTCTACTGCCGAACTATTTACGTGGAAGGAATTCAGTGAGTATACTGTCGTAGTCCTATACGGGGATATAGGCGAACATGAAGAACTGGCAATTGGGTTGTCGAACCCCAATATCACAGTGTTGGAAGGGGATTCAAGTACAATACGTTACCAGTATGCAGGTAACCAGACAATTCTTTCCTGGGATATAACTGGTTCACGCCTCCTTGTAAAGGCAGGTAACATCTATTTCTTTCTCCTCGGTAAGCCAGCCATAGCTTTTTTCTTAGCCTGTCTGGGGCTTGTCTTGGTGTCTCTAATCTCACTTAGATCGCTCCTCGGCGTATAATTTCTGGGTACCGCAGTTAGTAACATCAGAAACCACCCACAACTACACATCCGATACTACGGTTGCAAGTTCTATTGTTCTTAGTGCGGGATATATGGTTCGCACAGCCCGTCTTCAGGGTGACGAACTTCATATTGCTGCTGATTTTAACGCGACAACAACAGTCGAGATTTTCGGCGCCCCTGCGAGCGCCAATAGTCTTTACATTAACGGCCAGAAACAGCAGTTTACTAAGGATTCTCAAGGGTTCTGGACAACTACAGTGATATTTGAAATGCCAAATTTTATCCTTCCGGATCTGACGCAGTTACATTGGTTCTCCATCGATAGCCTGCCAGAATTACAAAGCTCCTACAATGATAGTGGCTGGACAGACGCAATCCTATCCTCTACCTCGAACGTGGACTATGGGCTGAGCACACCCAAGTCTTTATTCAGCTCTGACTATGGATATCATGTTGGGTTTCTGTTGTACCGTGGCTATTTCACCGCTAATGGTCAAGAAACGCAGCTCAATCTCACCACTCAAGGGGGCAGCGTGTTTGAGACCGCAGTCTGGATCAACGACACCTTTGTTGGTTCGTACCAGCAAAACAGCCCCTATTTACTGTCCCTTCCAACTCTCCAATCTGGTTCTACATATGTCATCACCATTGTTATTGAGACTTTGGGCATAGAAGAAGGGTCTCGAGCGCCCCGTGGCGTCATTGATTACAGCCTGGATGGCGGCCATAGTCAATCGGACATTAGCTGGAAGTTAACTGGCAATCTAGGCGGCGAACAATATATCGATTTAGCTCGTGGTCCATTAAATGAGGGCGGCCTTTACGCTGAACGCCAAGGACTTCATCTTCCTTCGCCTCCTGTGAATGATAGTACTTACAGTTGGGGCAACTCCACCCCATTTAATGGAATAGAATCCGCCGGAATTGGCTTCTGGACCGCTCAGCTACCGCTTGATTTGCCTAGTGGCTATGACATTCCCCTCTCCTTCCAGTTTGATGAAGGCAGCATCTCAGGGGGCGAATATCGCGCTCAGTTGTATGTGAATGGCTTCCAGTTTGGAAAGTATGCACCCTCGGTTGGACCGCAGACCACATTTCCCGTACCGCAAGGAATTTTGAATTATAATGGCGACAACTGGCTAGCCATCTCTATTTTCGCATATAACTCTAGCGGAGGCTGCCTGAACACTCTGAAATTAGTTAATAACACTGTTGCAATCAGCCCGATAGTAGTTGAACTGGCCGACCAGCCGGTGTATACCAAGCGAGCTAATGCCTATTAGGCATGAAGAACACACTTACTACATGACAATATCCTTAGTTGAGTGTATATACAGGTGGCGACAATCTTTTGTTTTGGCTATATTTCACTTTATGTAAATCGATTCAAAATATTACACTTGTACAATACATGAAATGCTGTTCAGCATCAATCTAGACGTGTTCCATACAACAGTTGAAGGCAACTCGCTCGATAAAAGTAATAAGAGACAATACTTAACCCCTTTATCATTGATATAATATCGATCCCACCCAACATGGCAAGTGCTGTAGTAATTCCGTTGCAATAATTAGAATAACAGAGTGTCAAGCACTATCGGCCAGGCTCTTGAGTTATTTCTAATCCATAAATTAGATGAGAGGTTTACGAATGTCCGGTAAGCCGCTTCGTACGTATAGTGACCTTGTTGAAATAAAGATCAATTCTATTGTGACTGTGTTAGATAGCCTTTAATCGCACGTGAGATGTTGCAGAGTACATGCGTCACCTGAGCCCAGTTTCGGTATTGAATACCGGGTAGCATATAAACAATTATAGTGCTTTCATACCTCTGATTATCGTTTGATTGAGTGATTCTTGTCACTCCCGTAGTAATATAACAGCCTATTTGGCCTCTATTCAGTTGATTTTGGAGATGATTTACTAGAGTTTTGTAATCGAACATCCACCCCGCAACTCTTATGTGCCTACAGTGTATGACCTATAAAAAACATCGTTTAATATTAAATACCTTAATAAAAGTATTTATGATTAGAATATGGATTAAATTATGTACTAGAGATGTTTTAAAAGAACTTCAATTTATGAGCTTTATATGATCTGATAGCTCCGTCCTCTGGGAATTAGGCGAGATAGGCTGAATGTAACCCCACAGCCTCTTTTTGTGAGTCTGAAGAACTCTAATAGATGCTCCTAGGTATTAAAAAGGTTGGGCCACGAGATTAATATCGGGACAGAAGACACAAGTTGGTTTAATATTTACAAACCGACCATACATCTATTGCTACATATGTAGGGGTATTCGAAAATTATCTCTAGATCTGCCTTTATTATTATATCAGATATTTTTTCCAACTTCCATTGTACCAAATGGTGTGGCTTAGAGCCCTGTGTGGTAGTTTGAAACTCATCTTTCAACTCTCAATGTTATCACGGCTGCACAGGTGCAGATGCAACTCCTAGGTACGTATCGGCCTCGCCGAAGTACATAAGCCACTGTCCCTTAAATTGAACACACGCTTCGCTAAACAAGACGTTATTTACCTGGCCCTGCTTCTCATCCGCAGTGTCCGGGGTCAAGACTGGTGTCTCTAATCGTGCGACGGGAGGCCCATAAGGGAAGGTAATGGGGTCTATGAGCATCTGGCCTGTTGAATACTGCTGCTTGACATAGTTTCCTTGTGTTTGGGACGCAACGCCGTTGTACACCTTCAGCCATTTGCCATCCCGCGTCTTCACAGGAGGTGGACCAGATTCGATCAACGCCTGTTCCCACTCCAATATACTCGTTGCGTAAGTATTGTTTGTGGGCATGGTCCAGTGGATCAAATCGATGGAGGTGGCTAAGTAAAGTTGGTCGTCACCCCAATGCATATGGTATGTGCCGTCAGGTTGAATTTCGTCTAGAATGGCACCTGACTTGCTGTGTTCGATATCAGGTAAAACAGGTCCGGTCTTATTCCAGTTTAATAGGTCAACAGATGTGGCCATGCAAAGCTTGACACCATCGGAATCGCTGTAGCCTGTGTAGGTCATATAGAAAGTCCCGTTGACTCGGATCAATCGAGGATCTTCAGTTCCGCGATTTTCATAGGACTCTGTCGGATAAAATATAGGATCAGTGTAACGAGTGAAGTTGTATCCGTCCGTTGACCAGGCAAGACCCAAAGTCGAGATGAGGCTCGAGTTTTGCGCACGGTAAATGAGGACCACCATATCATCAATAACCATTGCTGTCGGGTTATAAACATAGGATGATTCCCATCCTCGTGCCTGATTGGCTCCTAAGATGGGGTTGTTTTCATATTGGGTCCAGTTTAGGATGGGAAAGTAAGGCGCTCTATAGCTCGAATCACCTTGCGTGGAGTTCCGGTTAATCTTTGGCGGCGTCCCGGACTCATATACGGGTGGTGTGCCAGCTTTCTCTGACAATAGAGGATTCACCGCAAGGACCAATGGGCAAAGCAAAAATGACAAAAGAAAAGATTGAGACAGCATTGTGTGAAACCGTTGATCTTCAATACGACGTATATGAAAGCATGAGAATATGGTAGATTAAAGGTACGCCCTAATGCAAATAATGTGAGAGACTTCCAAATATGATGGCGCAACTGTTATACTTTATCTATCACAAGCCAAGAACGTTGTTGTATGTATTAGTAGCCACTACAGGTATTTCTTTTGGCGAGGGGTCGGTTCAGGCGACCAGGCTCTCGTCCAGTGAGGTTACAGCGAATCTTTACTGGTGGGCTACATTGGGCCATCGGCGACTTTCAAATGCCCCACCCCGCATGGTATTCGCAGCTGAGTCGGCGGTTGAAAAGCAAGTAGAATAGAATAAGGCAAAGGAAGGACGATACGCTTTCAACTTTGGTGTTGATGGAGAGATTAATTATGGTCCATACTCCATAGTTATACCGAAACTGCATTTCGCTAAGCTTTATAGATACTTTTTTCGTACTGCAAGAGCTGATGGAGGCCGAAGGCATGCATGCCTTGGGCTAAAAGTAAATTGATATTACGAATTGAAATTACGATTTTGGTAGGCCATCTGTAAATCCCAAGGATGTGTTTTAATGTTCTACTTGATACCATAGACGAACTTCCGGAAGAAGGGAGGTTGAATGTTCGATAGGGTCAGGTGGACGAGTTTGAGTTTGTTCTCCCACCCATTCCGGTTGGGCTATATACACATAATACACCTCATCGAGTCGAAGAGAGTATAATAGGTGCAACAATAATGCCCAATTTCATCGGACCTTTTAAACGCCCGTTGTGTGATCGTGACGGCGATCTGGGGCTTAGCCTTACAACTCAAACCCACATGTCATCAATAATAGTGCCCCCAGCAGCCGAATGGAGACACGGATACTAACGAATGCTGAAAAGGTTTCGGTTTTTACCCTCGGCTTGACCCTGTGGGCCTTGATTAGTACTGCTCTAATCCCTTGGACAGCACTAACTAGCACTTTGGTGGCCTGAAAGGGAGTTACGTTGCGGAAATGATCATAGATCCTATACTAGTGAAAGATCGTATAATAGAGGCACCAGAGATTGACAACCTCCATCTTAAAATTGACAAGATGCCACGCAGGTATTGAGCATCATTTGTGGATATTGATTCTTGAACCTCCTCCCACGCTGAGTAGTTTTGAACAGGAGGACAGTTCATTAAAAATGAATGTGGCATGGCTAGACAAAGTATTTCATTCATCGTGATCTATAAACTTTCAATTGGATTTGCTGTTTACAAAGACTTGCTAGATTAATCGCCGACAAAATGAACCGCAACTGAATCCTTATGACTACACTATTGACTTGTGTTTTGTATAAACAGCACGGTTGCCACTACAAAAGCCAGCTACACTAGTAACAAACTCTCTTGATTTTCCTATCATAACTCCAGTCTGATGTTATATGAACTCATTTATCCAAATATTTCCCAAAACCACAGTGCTGATACCATTTATAATACGATACTAGAATAGTATATCTAACACCTTCATATTACGGTTCATCGGATCTAAATAGCTGCGGCACAAGGGTGGAACATTGGATAAACGATTTCACAGTATGCCATATGGCTTCATTGCTGATTCATTGCGGCTCATGTGGGCCAACAGCTTATTGACCTACGTGATAAATGTGGCTTATTAGTCTTGGATATTTGGGGGCAGAAAGGCGCGCAGACCAGGAAATAGTAGAAATCGAATCTTTCTAAGTATCGGGCATTTGACTGATCGGGGGTATTACATTTTCATTGGTTTTCACACTCGGAAACGCAGATATTATGGCGCTCCGGGACACGGTCACCAGACTTTTTCTGTTATTTGCGTTTGTCACGACTTTAAAAGTTATTTTCGCCGGCTCTCAATGTGGAGGTGCTTTAGATGATGTCTTTGTTATACTAGTAAGGAGATTCCATACAAGTCTGATTATTCTGACCAAACTAGGCGCACCTGTACAGCTCAATGTACCCAGGTCTAAAACATGCACCAGATGTCGATTCCGGCGAAAACCTTCTAGCTGCAAATGCCAGACTATATGATTTTACACAACAGATGTTCTTACGTACTACGCGGGCTACCTCGACTCGGGAGGAAATCGGAATACAACGATGTGTACCACTCCAACTGTTCCATTCGCCTTTGACTTAGCTGCTGCCCTACTTCGTGACTTTGGTCCTAGTAATTTGGGTGAGTCTAACATTGATTGACTTACTGCAATGACATCGGATTTTTCTTTGATTGCAACTACAAAGTGTGTTGCACCAATCGCTATGCTCAATATCGTAGTTATGGGGCTGAAAGTAGTACTCCAGTTGTTCACATTTTCCCGCAGCAGATGGAACTACCCCAAAATCACCCGTCTCTTTGACCTGGTTTATGGTCCAAGAGCACCAAAAGTTGACAGGTTGGGCTAATTATCACGATTCCAGGCAAGTCTCGTCATTATGAGCATCGGCTCCTCCATGTTGACTGTACTATCAACTGGCTCTATGCGCCTATTAAACCGACATGGCGATATGTACGGCATACCTACAACTGGGGGAAGAATTTGGTGATACTCACATGGCTATTCTTTCTTCTGCTTTCTCCTGGGGCCCCTATTCCTAGCTGGTCTGCGTTTCCACTTGGGTGAAGCAGCGATTCCTAGAAATGACAGTCCGGATGAGTCGTTCCGATTACTGGCTTCCGCTGAAGCGGACTTGGCAAAGCTTTTGAATCGGCAATTCAACTTATCTATTTATGGTCTGCTTGGATGGCTGGATTCCTTTAAGTGCAATGACGAATATTTTTTTCTTCCATAACAATTTCAGGTGAACGTCACCACCAGCAGTCATCGTATGAGTCTGTATGTTGTATGGAATTACTATGTGATAGGAAACGGGACACTTCACTTCATATCTGGAAGAGTTAATCATCGGACATGGCTTGAGGTATGTGCAAAGTTATCTCAGCAAGGTTGAATGCGCTATGGGATTACTTTCCGATGTAATATTTGACTCATATCTACATGTATATTCATTGATCTTAGCTTATTAGTCTGGGGTTTATCCATATTAGCGGTATATTGAGACTAGTCAATTCAATTTTGACATAATTTCAAATGCTATGAAGATTTCGGTTGAATAGTAATTCCATCAAAAGGAAGTTCTCTAAACAGTTTGATAAGAACTTTTATTCTATTAACAATCTCCCATCTCATCATTGTCGTTAAATGGCATTGCCCAACCAGTATGCCAGTCAGCATTACTCAAATACATTGCTAAATATTCAAGAGATGTCAATATTTCCCTAAAATAAACGGTTATTTATATGTTGTAGACATACCCATCACGAAGGTTGCGAAACTATCTAAAAGAATATCATTAATATCAATCGGTAGAAGAGGGCAACAATGAAACGACATATTTCTTACCAGCATTCAATATTGCACTTTCTGGGTTATTAGATGCCAGATGCGTGATGCATACCCATCCATATGCAGGATTCCTATTCCCCTCCCCGCATGGGACATCCTCTTTGAGCTATTAGTCAAGGCTCCAACTTGTCATTATTCGAGATTTTATAGTATTACCGAGTCCCGGGACCCCGAAGATATGGTCGGAATGAGAGAGTTCATGAAGTACAGCATGTAAAATATACCGCTTGGCAATAGTGTCCAAATGCATAGCTTCTCCATACCAGTCACGCGTGTCATGCATAACACTCATTCGGTCATAACCTTCCCATGTCTGAAATTGATTTGGACAGAATACCGCCATATGGTGGGTTACAACGGCGCTACTATATGAGTAAGCCACTGGAATGGGATTGGAAAAGCTACAAGATACACGGGTGGCATCAAGGACTCTCCCTCCTCCATTCGCTGCTGGCCTGGTATCTGTATACCAATCTACATAATATGTCGTTATTCAAAGTGCACACGGTAAACTCCACATAATTAAGATAAGCAATAGACATACCATGGGTGTCATTATCCGTAAAAGAGTATTGAAGGAAATCTTCATGACAGAAAATATGTAGAGAGGATGTAATAGGACCATCATAAAGTTGACCTATTCCAGTAACGAATCCTGCGTGTAAGAGAAATATTAATTTAACATCCCCCCCTTTTTTGGAAATTGATGTCTTAAGTGCTCACCTGAAATTTCTGCAACCCTTTCTCGTCCCCTTCGATTCTGCTCATCTGCATTACGGCTTTTTCTGTCGTATAAAACTTGACCAAAAATGGATTCAAATGTCATTAAAATCATCTTTTGTTTGGTATTTCCTGAATTCCTCCCACGCTTGAGCTCTTCGCACAAACCTAGAAAACTACTTAAATAACCAAGCTGATCCTTTGCATACTCAGCCTATCACATTTTTATTTATTTTAAGTTATCAATGTACTCTCAGTAGTGACGGGATGGACAGATCATCAGTCTTAACTAACAGCGGATATGGCGTCGTCGAAAGCATCCCATAACATTTGATCCCATTCATTGTCCTCGCAGTCAACAGTTGTCCTTGCTGCTCTTTTCGAATGGTTCCTTGAAACCTTGTGGGCAAGATTAGGGAGAGCGATTTGAAATATAAATAATATAATAATAAGTTGTCGGATGCAATACATAACAGAATCCTTCGTAAACATGCCGAGAAATCCTCAGAAATGGGATGAACACTCAAAAGCGTGAAACACTAGGCTGATCATGTCTACTTATAACAACGTCCGATATGAGCGTGCTAATTATAGATACTTCTAGATGCTATTTTTATTGTCAAGTAATGGGCATATGTGCGAAAACATCATCAGCTTTAACAATCAATTTCTGTGAACACACAAAGGTTTCAAGTTACAAATTAATTGGCTTCGTATTCATTATCTCGAATACAACATGGAGGTAAGCAGATGACTCCATGAAACAATTATATGATCGACCCCTTTTTTAATCTTTTCCAAAACTGTCAAGTTCAATTTAACATTGAAAGCCTTGGGGTATATGCATACAACAAAGAGCCAGCAGGCAAGTTTAAAATTAGGGCAGGGGAAGAATTTCATAGCAAATCACAAGGAAATTTTTAAAGTTGTCTTATTATTAGACATTTGTTTAACATCTTTATTGGCTATCTCAAGGTCCTAAAAGTATTAGACCCGCAATTATGTGACTGAAGCTAAGAATCATTACTTTCATAGCGAAACTGTTGGCAGTCTTGACATAACGTTTTCCGAGATTCTTTTATGTTTACACAAAGAATTGGAAGTATCATTTAATAAGATTTATAAAGTCATGTTAAAATGAAATCTTTTATTTTCTCATTGAACATTTGCAATATGTTTGCACAAGCCTAGTGACTATAGATTAACTAGGGGCTACATTTTCATCCACAACTGCAGCTGTCAACATTGAAGGTCACTCGAGCATCTTGCATTTAACTTGAAGCAACATCTAGCCACTTCTCTACAGCACAGATTCACCTCTTTAGTCTTTATCAACCTTTGCCATCACCATTATGATAGAATTCTGTCTTTTTATTGCCGCCCTTGGTGGGCTGTTTTCCATCGGAAACGGCTCTCCAAACATTTCTTCCGGTATTGGAGAAATTAGGGAACGTCTACCGAGGGTTGGATCTACAATGACTACGAAGGCTAGACATTCTCTCTCAAGAGAAACTGTAGACTACCGATCGTTGCTAATACAAACTACGGCATCGGCTACGTATCACTGTCCAGATATCACCTCCTGCCTATCTAGTCTCAAGTTAGAAACTGCAACAGTATATGGTCCTCATTATCTTCCTTCAGACAACTCAGCAACCCTACAAGCTATTGCTAGGTCGATAGAGCGTCTGGAATCTAGCTGGATGGAACAAGATAAAGCTGCTGCAAAAGTTACATCAAAGCCAAGGTAAAATATGGTTTCAGGTGCGATATCAATCCAACAGTCTAGAAAATTACAAAACATCTGGTTCAAGCAGACTTACAATTCGGCGTCCAGTTACTTCTGCCTCATACGCTAAATCTGCGGCCCTGTGTCTGCATCTTTATCTAATAGTACGGTCTGATACTAGCTAAAGGCAGTTAAAAATATCTCAATGGGTTTTCTATTGCGCTTAGACTAGTTAATACGATTACAGTAGTTCCTTGGGTACCAAATTCATCAATAACGCAATCTAGAAATAAGGAAGAATAGGCGCAAATCTGCTATTTACACAAATTATAAATTAAGCACAACCATTGACCAAAATAACTCCACTCCCTTTATTTCCTCAAAAGAGAGACGAAATATTTGCTCCTTTTTTTGCAGCAAACTGTCGATGGTGAAAAGGCTCACCATTTCAACGTTGCATCTCAGCAACTTTACTTCTTACTAAAAATTTACTACTGCCTATTTCTAACGGATAGGCGTGTTTAAAATTAGCTGGTAGCTCAAAAAATTCTATTTCTTGGCTACTTATAGCTGGAGAAATGACATTTTCTTTTTTGTATATTTAGTATTGAGTCTCGGTTTGGATCCATCTTGTTATGCTGATCTCGATCATATTCTGATCAATGTGAAATGCATACGAAAAATCAAACGTTGGCAAACAGGTGAATATTTATATACCTTTTCAATAATTTCTCTGCGCACCTTGCCGATTTTACAGCAACCCGAAAACTATTTACCGCACTCTGCTCCGGCGATATCTGGTATTTGTGTAATCCAGGATCTATCTATTACTCGCTTACCACGCTCAACGAGAAATGTACCGGAAAATGATTAAACCAGCCTCAACAGTAAAAATTGCTCACAATCATCCAAAGAATCGTTATCATACAATTATAAGCACTTTGCGACTAGTGCTTGCAATTTCTGGTGCAATTTCTGATGTTCTTTGGCTGCTGAACCTATTATCACACTATCGTGTCTTCCTTTTCTCTCTAGATACTCTAGACTGATTGCTTACTTGCAAAAACTTTTACGCTTCGACACATCCAACAGACTCAACCAAGAACCGGCAAGGTTACAATGGTTTATGGTGACAATCTATATACGATAGGGATTGAGCACGCATAAAAAACACGGTCATCGACAAGGGTACTCTCTATTTGTACTGCGAAGACCCATACTTGATGGGTTTAGAATAAAAATGCCATTCTCCTGTCTATTATATTACAAGAACTGGAAAGGCCGGCGAATGAGCGACTATAGTGGCTTTGTGAGTTCAAAAACATTTCCTTACACGCATAACTTTTTACCTCCAAAGCTTCAGTTTAGGATTGTAGAGTAAATGAAAGGTGAAGAAAAGCTAATTAACAATCAATTCAAGGAGTTGGCTCGATAGCGACACAGTACTCATGAATCTAAACATTCCATTTGAGACTTTCCTTCCGCCGCCGTATGTCTTGGACATTGACATGCTACTGATATATGACTGGAATAGAATGAATAACGGTGCTTTTCTAATTCACATTCATCCTTGGTCAATTGAGCTGCTCTCGGCCGCCATTGCCCACCTTATCATGAGTCGTGTAGCTGATCCTGAGGAGCACCCACTATAGAAAGTATCCTGAAATGACCAGTCAGTCTTTAGAGATCTGCTAGAGGCTAATAGCTACTTCTCTCGGTCGGCAGAGTATTTTTCACTTCGCTGATTTAATGCATACATGTCACTGTCAACCGGAGAACTAGACACGAAATATTTTGAATATCTACAAATTCACCTAGGTGACCTTCTCGTTTACTTCCTAAGTACGTGTCTTGACAATGGCAGCAAAACTATGAGGCCCTTCCTGGAGATAGCAGAGGCGAGACGGCCTAATTCGGAGTTGCCTTTGGAGCGTACTGGCTACGCAAAGGTGATAGAGGCTTTCTGGACGGGTGTTTGACCATTAGAAACCTAATTGAAAATCTTTCAACAAAATTCGGTCGCTATTTTTCTTTACCAGTATCAAAAACTAAATTAATGATATTACGTCCCTTGAGAAAGGCACATCTCCAGAATGAAACATACAATTCGTAAATGGAATATTTGAAGCCTGTGAAAGAGGCCCCAGCCAAAAGAAAAGTCTTCAGCCGCATTTCTCTTGAAATTATTGAAAGGCCCCTTTGATGAATTGCTGCTCCACTCTATCAACAAGTTGTAACTGGTCACCCCATGGCTCCGAAGTCTGGCTCTAGGTCAAGTTAGGGCCGCATACACTCGGCGCTAAATTCCGACACAAAGAATACCAAACCAAACATTGGTCGACCACTGGTGACATTAATTGCACGTCCTGAAACAGAATTCGATCGAAGGGCAACAGACGCTAGTTATGTTTCATCTATTTTCAGATCTGCCAGCTGAGCTACGTCTATATATATGGTCTCTTTCATTGGCTGATATAGAGCCTATTATCAGCATCTCATGTGAGAGGGGGGTGTTACCCAACTCGCACCGCTTTGCACGCCTTTTTCGCGCCAGCCGGAACAACCCACCACAATTGTCTGTCAACCAAGAGGCTCGGCAGGAAACGCTACTATCTTATCACCCATATTTCTCTACTCAGCATGCACCGGACTCACGCATTTACCTGGCCCCTGATCGGGATATCGTTCGACTGCCAGACGCCATTCTTGGGTACCTTGGCGTTCCCGAGCAGAGGGGCATTAGTCGTTTAATCGTTGAAGTGAGCGACTACATGGTTTTCGGCCACTATTGGATGGACTCATTGAAAGAAATGAGCAATTTGGCAGATCTGACATTAACGGTGACCCTAAATTTGCCTGCATATACCATCTCAAACGAGCTGGCAGAAGCTGCTGGCCTAAATGACGTACAAACAAATTCTGTTGCCATTCTTAAAGAAGCTTTCATTGAAGGTATACGGGATAATCCAGGATGGAAGATACCCAATATCAAGGTCGCTTCAGTTACGGGCCAGGAATTTGGGGAAATTAAAATTAAGCCTGGGGACATGGAAAACTAAGCGTGTGGAGAGAAATGCCTCAACAAAATGTTTGAGGAAAACAGATATTGTTATTCCATCGGCGGAGAAGTAGTGGTCATTTTTCTTTTATTTTTCTTTGATATCAACGATCAAAATGTCCATCATTCGTAAAGCAAGGTATCCGACGATGTATATAACGTCAATAACTGAGGAGTTCGCGGATATCTATATTTGATTGATAATGTTTGCTTCAACTGACGGTGAACCCGAATACAACACCCAATTCATTTAAAATGGCGACAACCAAAAAAAAAAAAAATGTCAATTGATAATCTAAAGACCATAGTTGTGCGAAAGGTACCATTATTTTAATATAAAAAGGGCAGTGGGATCACTTAGCCAGAAGCAAAGAATAAAAGCACTTGAAGCTGGCATGGTGGCGGGGTAAAGCGGGCACCAAAGGAGAGTACGACGCAATAAGAATCACCCATTTATAACTAGAGAAACACTAGCACGAGTTTGCATTACAGATATTATTTGATGCCTTGATCTCAAAGGGAAAATTTTGGAGTGGAAGAGGGGCAAGCCCGTTCCTTCACTTACTAAAAGCTTCACTGTTTCCTCTGTTGGACAAGGACCCTACGAATCAGCTTAAATGCATTTCGATTCAACCAAGCGCTGGTTTTGAATTTTCAATCTGATGAGTGTATGGGTCGACCTAGGAATAATCGACGGCGAGGGATAGAAATATATGCGATAATAATCGATTTAACACATATTAACCCCAACCTTTGCGTATCAGCACGGTTTAAACCTATACCACTCTTTGACTTTGATATTATGCTACCTGGGACTTAGTAAATGATAGTAAACACCAACAGATACACGCACACTGTAATAACATCAATGTCCATGCATTGACAAGTACAAAGAACAAAGATATATTAAGCAATGGAACCGATACATTTCATTCGAGTATGATCAGTATGCTCTCCAACATTTAAAAGTTGTGGTTGCTTTTGTCAAGTCAAATAATTAAGCACAACCGAGGGATACATTGCATGCCCTCGCATTTTGTATACGCCCCGCAATGAAGACTGATTCTTTCGCAGTGAGATGGCAGCTTCAACGTGAATCTTCGTTGATCAATCTTATAAACTCGGTGATCTCATACCGTAACCCGTCTCCTTTCATGGGGATTGAAAATTTTTGTTGCTCCACTGGATCTTCAAATCTCCCCTTGAAGGAAGTCGTAAGCCACCACGGAGCAGGCACATAAATGTAACCCTTTGTCCCTGCTATCACCAGATCACCCTCTGCCTTGACTCCAATGCCAACCGCGCAAGTAGCCAAAGGATTCTTCAGGTGTATGTCAATTCGTGAGAATATATCGACATCTGATGTGTCATGTCGAATGGACTTAGAAGTTATGCACTCCACTTCATTAACACCAAATATCTCAGCAATTACAAGGAGAGGGTAGCTAGCATGTTCGGTAATACATCCCCCGTCTTGTGAAATATCACATTCCCTCCGAGTCAGTGGCCTTATCATTGTACATATCGCTGTCACGGAGCGACTTCCTATGGTTCCATTTTGGGCGACAACGATCATTCTTTGAAATCCGGGCATATATGCTCTTTTGATGGCTTCTAGAAAATCTACACCTTTTTGGGATGCTAAAATTGAATAGCTCCTCTGCCTCCTGTTTGGGGAAAGGACATGCTTGCCAGAAGCCACAGCTTTCTTCGCATAACTAGCATGAGGATTGTGCGGTGAAGCAATGTAAATACAGTGAGGAGTTTCAAGTAGCTGATCGAAATCGTGGCAGACTTTCGGAATATCCGCTTCCTTTGCGAATACAGAGGCAGATTCGTTTGACTGGGAATATACTGACTCAATGATCACACCACTGACGAACTTGGCCTCTTCAATGAATCGCTTCGTAATCCGGCCACACCCAACAATACCAAGTTTTATCAATCCACACTGAAGTGTACTCGAAATATGTGGTGTTAGTTTCATATATATAACTTCACAGTATTCTTTCAGAACTTATGATTTGAACAGTGATGGACTTGCGTGTTCTATCCCTCGAGGGCATCGGAGGTTGAGTTTAACCTTCTTGGCCTGTACTCAGCCATCCATGGCACGACATGCACACCATCTGTGACTTGGGTACATGTATTTGATACGGAATTGAACTTACTTGTATCTATCTAGAGTTGTCCCTTGATGCCGGATTTGTGCATGACTCCTCCAAGGCCTATGGCAAATGTTAGTTTGGGCAGAATCATTTGTATTGTTGAATTAAGCCATGCTAGGTCAAATGAGTGTTTGTTCATTTAAAATTGAAGTACCTTTTACTACCTAAGGGTACATCACGTGCTACATATTCACTAGATTTCGTAAGAGGATTCTCAAAGAAAGCATTCATGCAATTCGACTACACATAGTTTTGAAATTATCTATATATAAGGAGATTTTCAAAATTTTATTATTTTATGACTAGATACTATACTAATATTATACTAGTTGAACATGGGCCTCCAGTAGCCTCTTTGAAAACCTCCTGTGGTCTACTTTCAGATTTTATCAATGGGTTCTATGCTTAGCATCACATCGATTCCCGCAAAGAAAAACTGAAAAGTTGACGTATGCATAGGTGTTATTCAAACCTTTTGTAAAACTATTGGTGGCAGAGTTGATCAATCAATTTGACCGCATTCTACGGATCTAGTGCTGTATTGCCTTCCACTAAGATCCCATTACGTTGCTACTGTGCGACTCATGCTCATCTGAATTGGCACTCTGTGAAGAAAAAAAGAAAAAGAAAAAGAGAAGAAAAAAGAGGGGGAGGGGCAAAATTCAATAGGATTTGCGGGGGTTTGAAAATCTGTAAAACAGCGCCAGAATGATGCACGGATTCTTACGATGCCGTTTTAAAAACTAGTTCGACTACTGAAATAACGAGAATAGGAATTTGGGTTGATGTCCTCACCTAGGCTTTACCCAATTAGACTCATCTGCGATAGACAAATTAAAACTTCAAGGGTTTGGTTTGATTGAATATTACCATAATTACAAGGTTTCGTAGTCCGTCATTGTCACAACACGCCAAGCAAGAGCATATAGTCGTGTTTACCGAATTTCGCGATTATCATTGATAATTGAGGTAATCAACGGCTTCGGGATATCTGCATTATTAATAGAGTCTGAATGTTGTGGACGCTCGCTGTTTGTAAGCAGATCGAGTCAAAGCCCGTTATCCGAGACTAACCCGGTTTGGCATGTCGTCTTGGAGGTAGGGCAACACGCATTCTGGTTTAAATAAGGGACATGAAGTGCTTGTAAGAGATCTCAATTTTATTCATTTTCCAGAAACAGAGGAAGTCTTTAACATATTTCTCGCGGCAAACAGATTAACTATGTCGGTATACCTAGCCTTCACCTCACCCATCAACCCCCCTGGTGCGAGTCCGCTTCTTAGCCACGACCAGGTATGGAAGGGTCTTCAAAGGAAGGTTGAGCATGCTGAGGAATTTGTTCCTATGGCAATTACGTCCACTGATGTGCTGGACAAGGCAATCGATGAGACAGGGAAAAAAGTAACAACCCGCGAAGTCATTTTCAAAGATGGGAATCGGAAAGTAAAAGAAATATGCGTTCATTTCGAACCATTGAAGATAGTAAGAGCAAATCCTTATTATTATTTGACAGGATAAAGAAATATGTCAAAATTTGAAGCTCACAGGTAAAATTGCGCCAGGAATTTCGACAACCAGATGGAACAACAATCCAAAATATTATCAGTCAAGGGGCTGACGGGTCGTTATATATGACATATGCGTTTGAATTTTTGCACCCGGGTCTTTCAGAAAAGGATTTGGCTGTCAAAACGGAGCAGTACCGGGTAAATTCCAAAATGGCGGTTGAGAGTAGTATTGCAGTGATTAGAAAGATGGTGGAAGAGGGGACTGTCTAAGAGTTTCGATTTCTACACAAGTGCGACCAAAATTCTTGTATTAATCTCAGCCAAGATTGGCCATCTCGATTCATTTTTCCATCTGTCAAAATGCGTGATTACATAGGTAGAATATTCTCATTCACCGAGCAGAACCATAACATTATTCTCCAAACTGCCTCGTTTTTGATTGAATCTACTAACCAATCGTGCCATGAAGCCCACCCGCCGCTTGCACTATGAGTGGGTGCCAGTTCAACGGTGGCTTCAGACAAATGGTTTGCCGACCATCACTAGGCCTAAATAGGCAGATGAAATGATATAAGCACACAGTTGGCCTGTGCTCACTTATGACTCGTTCAAGGTGGATTTTTGATTTGTATGGGTTTCCCTTACAAATTAAAAAAAATAAGTAATTTATTTTAAACACTACAATACAGTTATTTTAATTCAAAATTAAATTATGTATGGAAATATGTATATGAACAATTAATCCCTTTTTTAAGAAAATATAAACAGCGTGAGTGGCGGGTGGGCGGTATAGCACGATTCAATTGGCTTTAAAATGCCCTCTCAACTGACTCGTCACTGAAAGGTGTGAACGAGCTATATGTGGGTTTTTCGCATTGACTATAAACCAATGGAAAAGGCGCTAGATATTGTCGCAATTTCACCGTTGGTTTAAGGATTTCTAACCCGTTGTCAGTCATGATGACTCATACTAGATCAATTGCCTTGATTGGGAGGGTGGATCAATCGCATCTTCATCCGCGCACTCGACAGCCTTAATATTTAAGATGCGTATCGCTGGTCATCCCAATCATTCCTGCCATCTCGGTACGTCCCAGTATATTTCGATTGAATAGAATTGTAGTCGCCTGGAAATTCACAATGGGGGACCCACGAGTTCGCAATATGGACCACTTTACCCCGACTGTCCACACCAACATCACTCCCACTCTCGACCCATCAGCGAACAGCTTCCAACGGCCATTCACCGTCTGCATCATCGGCGCTTCAGGTGCTATTGGAGCTGGTGTTGCTAAGTCCTACGCTCGTGCCGGCTGTAGCGATATCATTCTCGCGGGAAGAGATCTCGAGGCTTTAAACAATGTCTCCAAATCACTCTCGGAATCCATATCTACGTCTCCAAAGATCCATATCCAACATTGCGACATCGCGATAGCAGAATCAGTACGAGCGCTCGCCGAGTTTGCATCTTCAACCTTTGAAACGCTGGACGCGATTGTTCTGGTCAGCGGCGCCTCCGGCTCCGTCGAGCTCCGCATTACTGACGGATCGCCAACTGACGGAGTATGGGCCAGCGTATTCGGCACCAACGCGCTCGGCACATATCATGTCGCCCACTACTTCGTGCCATTGCTATTAAAGTCCCAAACAAAGGCATTCATGGTCGTCGGTTCCATCGCTGCATGCATCACAAAAGGCATTATTGCCAACACGAAATACTGCGTTAGCAAGTTCGCGCAAGCGCGGATTGTGGAATCTGTTGCTGAGCAATTCAAAGCCGAAGGCTTACTGGCGGTTAGCGTCCACCCGGGAGCAGTGGAGAGTAAAAATGCGATTAAGAACTCACCAAAGCAGTTCCTCAAGTGTATGTGAACTTATCTTGAATAACATTGCTTCGAATCTTCAGATCAATGGCGTCTAACAAACAATGGCAGATTTGACAGATGATCCCGATCTTTGCGGGGCTTTCTGTGTATGGCTGACCCGAGATCCTTCCCAATTCCAGTGGCTGAGTGGAAGGCTGGTGAGCGCGACTTGGGATCCAGAGCAGCTGCTTTCGAGGAAAGATGATATTGTAAAGGGGGACTTATTAAAGTTTGAAGCGAGGACAACTCTCGATCAATAGCAAGTCATAAGACCTAGACAAGACACAACATAAACCGAATACTTAAATTATTCATATACAAACATTGAATATTTTAACTAGACAGAATAGATCATCGTTAGGTGTACATGTATGTCTATCCGGCTCAAAATTGTAGTATCTACCCAGGCGTGCGGTTCATAACATTGAATTCAAATGGTATACAAGGGTTCCTTTATCGAAATTTATTATCTAGATCTCCGTGATCTCAATCACTAGATTATATATCAATTCATCAATTGAATGTTGATGATTTTAGCACCCACTAATCGAAGAATGTATGGCACAGAAATCGGGAATTGTTCATGTAGGCTCCACTACTAGAGCAATGTGCATTTGTACGAGCCCTAGTCGATCAATTCTATCCTTTCTTTCCTGTCTCGGAAAGCTCCGTGCCGTCAACAAGGTTGAAAACCAGACCGTAAAGGAAAGAAAGCAAGTAAAAACTGGACCTGTCTGTCGAAAGGGTCTACTATATTTCATCGAAAATATGCTCATACCTCATATGCAGTCTCTGGGTGACTCTGCAGGGACGCCGTCGAAAATCATACGCTCAGGTTTTTCGATACACAGCAACATCCATTCTAGATGATATGTTAAGCGCAACTACAACCGCCGTCTTGTAAAAGAATGGGAAATACAGTTATTTCAGGCAATAAATCATAGCCGGCCTTTAAGAAGTATAGAAACTGCTTCATCTGTTTACGCTCAAGGACATCGGTCGCCCAGACAGCGGCACTACAGCACTTCCACGAAATGATTGTCCATCATACCTGACCGTCGTTTTCCCAACCACATCAAGGATATTATCAACTGTAAGAGCGCCTTTGTTGTTAATATTCTGGCTATTGGACAAATCATAGCCGTCGGGGCGTTTTGTTTCAAGAGCACTAAATGCATTTGCCACCTCAATTGGACTCAAGCTTACGAGACAATGTCGGAGGTCCCACCAACCCCAAAGTTGTGATATCACCGCACCAAGCGCAAGAAGCATAGTAGCCAATGCGGCAACAAGAAATCCATAGTTTGATTGGAATACAAGGATTGGTGCTGTGCGCTCGACTCTGAATGTTTGGCTCGAGTTGGTATTGGTGCTGTTGCTCGCACTGCTAATAGACGCCCGAAAAAGAAAGTCTTGCATGGCGTCCAGTACGTACAAGGTCGGGTCAGACCATTTCAAACCACACAAGTGGATTGTCTCTGGCAGATATGCAGATTCATCTGCTTCGAAGAAAATGTCACCAACGAACCGGCCTGTCTGTCGCGCACCGTTCGGACCAACGATTAAAGAAACGTTGGTGGTGAGAATATCGTCCACAAAAGCATGAATGCCTTGAAGTGGTCCAGCGCCTTGCCCGAGTTTAGCCGTGAGGCTATCTCCGTCTGAGGAATATTTTTCAACAACAATTGGGGGATCGAGCTTCGTTTTTTCTAGTGCCACGGTGCTATTTTCGATTACAATGGGATATTCCACAGTAGCAGCTTCAATGCTGCAGGTACGCAGAGTTAAGGTTGATATGCAATTAGCATCAACCTCAGACGAGTATAGTACTGACAAGGTTAGTGATGGCGCAGCAGACGTCAAATTTGACGAGAGAGTGGAGTTGATCGAAAAGATAAAGGTTCCAGTATTCTCCGCGTCAAGCAGGTCAATATTCCTACTCGTCGACGAGCACTCGTAGGAGATTCCGGCTCCTCGTACTCTACCCCTGCAGGATCCGTCACAGTAGAAGTCAGAGACAGGTCGATTAGAGTTTAAAGGGGGTATTGTTGATATGGTTTTGTTCATCCACCAATCTTGTATCGATGACAGTGAATTCCGTGACCCCACCATAATCCCTTGGGTGGCATTGTATACATAGCCCAGCCATCCATCTGGAATCTGCGGCATGATGTCCAGAGTGATGTTGTCTGGAACGATGGCGTTGCTAAGCGTCGTTTGTGAGGATCGCTGCAATAAAGAGTTGTGTGCAACCTGTGTGATGATGACTATCCAAGCCACTAAAACAACCTGTCTGACTATAGGACTTGACTTTAAGGCAGAAAGATACCTTATCGCAAAACCTCTTTTCCATATACAGTGGAGGGTTTCCAATGTGGTGCCTCGCGAGGCATAACGCCACCATGTGATAGTAATGCTCATTGTAAGGACTGCAGCAAGTGAACTGCTCCAAACCGACGAGAAAAATGCAAGCAACACTGCCGGGCTGATTCGCCATGAGTCAACTGCCTGGTTATTCGACACAACTATGACACCTGCGGAGACCCCCATGCAGCATAGCATAATAAAAATGAGTATTATGGTAGCCCATGGCGTATTGTGCATATAAAATTGGCTATGGGGTCCCTCGAGAACTGTATACATACTGATGGACTCGATATTTCCTAAAATCAAGAGAAAATTTCGTAGTCTGAGAGCATCACAACCAAAGTAATTGATTTGCGGGATGATTTCTGGAGGGAGCAAATGTGAGCCGCATTACTCCACTTGTTTTTATTCCTCGCAAGGATGTCTCCCACACCGTCAAGTATTCTACTCAAATCGTGCGATCAATAAAAAGCAATGGATGATAGATCCTTTTCTTGGCTGAAAAAAATAAATGACTCGGTTGCACAATTCTGTCGTGCTTTATCATACTTTGAGGGGTTGGCACTGGTTTCATCAAACATGGACGGGCCCCCTAATACGAACGCAGCTACCACGCCAATGCTTTAATTTGATAAGAGCCAATGATATTGCGTAGTGTCGCTTGGCGTTATGTGCTGTGCGCCTTGGCTAGTAGAAAGGACGGCAATGATCATCATAGCGTGCACCTCTCAGCCGCTTCAGCTGATGGAAAATACGAATGTAGTGACGGGCCCTAACCTTTCATAGTTAAGCTTGGCGGATGACAAGAAATAAGGATTATGGCAAGGCTGGGGCTGAACTTTCAGAGAAGTGCAGAAATTCGAAGTCAGGAGAAGATATATAGAGAAAAGAACCAGCGATCGATGCTTATCTTGTTTCGCATAAATTGAGAGATTTGGATATCCAAACTAATAGCACATTGGCACATCATGAGACTCGCCACGTTCGCTCCTACAAGCCTTATTTTAGCTTCCGTCGTCAATGCAGGTTCAGCAAACATGAAGCGCGATCAGGTATGCTCTATCACGAGCCCAGACGGCATTAAGACGATACACTGTCGATCCTGTCCTCATCTCAGCTGCAGCATAGTGGCAAATCTGCCTGTCGGAGATAAGGCGAATTTTAGCAGCTATGCAACTGGAGATTGCTATGAAGGCAATTGGTGAGTGAAAGACATTAATGTCGGTAGATTTTTTTTATTTCAGATCTTGGTTCGTTTATTAACGTGAGATGTCTAAAAAGCACCTGGGATTATACTCCAGAACATCAATGCTTTGTGAATGGCTACTATACTACTAGTAACTGCAACCATAGTAAGTACGCTAACGTTAAAAATCAAATTCAGACCCAAATTTTCTAACGTATATGCTGCTCTTTGAAGACGACTTAGCTTTGACGGTTCTCTCATCCACAACGTCACCATCAAGCCAATCTACAGGATTACCCCAATCAACAAGCACTTTTCTGGATACAAGTTTTGGTCCAACAACAACGTTTAATCCAGCGGCTACTGCAACCTCAATGATAACACAAACTCCTTCGGCCACGACGGGGTCCTCTAGCAATATTGCTATTGAAAAAGGAATTTGCGCTGGCCTAGGATTTGCGGCAATTGCCTTTTTGCTTTGCTAATCTGGTATTGATAATGAAAAGCGGATTTTTCTGTTTATAGCATTCGATATTGCCTTGCTACGAAATAGATACAGGGAGATAAGCCTCATTTTCCCAGTTTAAACTACAACGTATTACATCATATCATGTCTCTACTGAGTGTGCTCCACCATAAGCAGTATTTCAACCCCACCTTCTTGGAGATCAAAACCATGTAACGTGAACTGGCGACAATTACTGATTCATACTGGTTCCTAGAGCCGAATCCTTACATTTTATCAAGCGTCCTATACCAGCGATCGGCTTTTTCAGCTAGAATCTTTGTTGTTGATGAAGTCACCACTGAGCACAACACGTGAGGATGATGAAATCCTGATTGATTTTAGTGAGCGGCTCAACTTCCAATTGTTTCAGAGAGAACCATTTGATGTGACTCCATTAGCTACTGGCCCCAACTAGTATGTTAATGACGGTGATATTGTTATATCATCAACCCGACAGAAGTATGGGATTCCCTCTATTTCGCTTTTCAAGCTTTATTTTGTTGCCGCTATCAGGAAAATTGGTTTCGCGAGTACTTGAAGGAAGTATGATATCCACAACTAGACCTAGCTTAACCAGTTCAGAATTAGAATCAGGACCTGCGTATAGATTAACCAATGAAGCATCGTACAGCGGATTTCGAAATGATAAATAATCGTTCTATCGGAATGACGAATTATTGGTCCGTGAGTGATAATGAGTCATCCTCATCACCTGATCAGCGGGTTACACGGGTGGCTCGAAACTCTTGGCGGTGTAGGCCAAAATTTACATAGGTAGGACTGGCAGATAAGAATAATAATTTCATAATAACTCTCCCTTTCAGTTGGCCAATCGGGGAGAAGCAGGAGCCCACACATATTAACAATGCGACGCAACCATCCTTACGCACGAGTACATAAGGCATACAGTGGTATTATTATACTGCCATCATTTTAAAGAAGATAAAACCCCATAGGACATCGACTAAGGGCATCAAGCGTGGAAAATTCCTGCGTTCTATATCTTATCCGCCCACTTGCACCCTACGAACATCATCACTCTCTTGCCATTGTGCAACTCAATTGATATTGTGCAAACCAAACCGAATCATGGGCGCTGAAGAATACCTTCCCGAGCCCCTGAAGACGGAATGTATTCAGTCTCTTTTAGACGAGCTATCTCTCGGACGTCCAAGCGCTATCAACCCGTTGAAAGTGACCGCAGCATTCCATGCCATCTATATTCTCACATATGACGCCGAAAGTCTGCCAGCTGGGGTGACGACCTCTGGTACACCACTACAATCTGTTGATCTTGTTCTTCGCGTGTCTGGTGATCACGTTCCTGGAATCAAGACAAGTAATGAGGCAGCTATTCTCGACTGGGTATCACAGAACACGAGTATCCCTGTGCCCTCTGTTATTCGCTACGATGCAACAACGAATAATCCTCTAAACCGAGAGTTCATTATTTTGACACGCAGCCCTGGAGTGACCTTGTCAGATATCTATGACTCCTTGTCCCAAGAAGATCTGGACAACATCTGCAGACAGCTAATGAAATTTCTTGTCGAGATCCATCAGCACCCCTTTAATCAAATCGGAGGTTTAGTGCACTCTGATGATCAGAAAAAAATCATTCCAGGTCCTATTTTAGACGAGCACTTTTGGTTCACTCCAGATATCAAGAGATACTTCGATACCGAGGAGACGTTTGAGACGCTTAATGTCGGCGGCCCATTCAATTCGTACACAAATTTCACAATTGCACTGATGGAGAAGTACATTCACGTTGCCGAGATTCAAAAAGATCTCAGGTTTATGCTGGAGCACATCCCACGACTTCGTGCCTTTTGCAAGGTTTTGCCAAATTTCTCCGAGCAGCTGGATGAGACAAAGATCCGTCTAGCGCATAAAGATTTGCACTTTGCCAACATGCTTTACGACCAATCGACTGGAAGAATCACGGCAATATTAGACTGGGAATTTGCTTCTGCAGTTCCTTTTCAGATATGGGACCCAGTGCGTGCTTTTCTGTTCAACGCAAAGGACGGTAGTGAGGCATATGAAGAGAAATATCGTCTGCGTGGTCGTTTCCATGAGCTTTGCAAGCAATCAAGCGTCGCATTTCTTGACGACGCCAATTTTACCAGTGATCTTCAGGAGAAGATGCACAATGTATCTAATATAATGCGTATTATAGTGACCCTGATACCCCGAGGACAGTTTGTGGATCGCACCCCAGAATTTGTAAAAGATCTTCTCCAAAATTTGGAGGCGTTTGGAGTTTAGATTACAGTATTAACATATAGCTAACATGTGAAATCACAATATGGATAGTATAACTACATGTAGCCGTTTACCAAATGTTAAGAGGTTTTTTAACACCAATTCCTATGGATATATTGCAATAAACTTAGGCAACAGAAAATTGTGCTTACTGATGTCAGAAATGCACTTTGAAGACTTTTCTGCAGTCAGGCTTTCCCGCCACGAAAGATTCCCAAACAACACAAGAAAACTGTCTAACCCGCGAGACTCCATGAAATATGCCGGAAATGCCCTCTACCAATTTCCAATTTTGTACCATCATTATAATTCAGACCAGAAACGATGAAATGAAAACGAATACACCATCACGGTGACTGCTTCGGCGCAATATGTTTCATGGCTACGTAAGTAGACAAAATATTAGTATTGAGGTCAACATAATGGTATAACCAGGATAACCAACCATCTTTAATTGCTCGCATTAATGATCTCTCTTGCGGGTTATGTTTCAATGTCTCGGTATCGCTGTGGAAAGATGACGCTGAGCTTTCAAACTCTGCTTTCGGGGTGTTCCGATTACTGATCGCTAGGGCCTTCTGATCAAAGTCAGGCAGGGAACGAAAGTTTGGAAATCCACCCGGCATTTTGATTGTTGATATGGACTCTAAGGAGTAGAGGTGTTGCAGAAGATCTATATTTTGAGGGCAAGATGCTCGCAATGGTGGTGGGTTGGTCTTTGCTTGGAATGAAAGGAAGCTCGAGAGGACACTGATACTTTACAGCCTTATATATACCTTTTGTGAGTCATAAAGACTAAATCTACGTCAAACTTTGCTTACTTCACACACAGAGAGCGTTCGCCCAGGCATCAAACATGAGGCGTTCGTAATGTATGTTTTGTTTGGCATGTTTGTTGAAAATGCACAATTGCCCAATCGCATGTCCGTGAGGTTTCGGAGTGGATCCACTCCGAGGAATTTGTCATCCGATTCTTACTCCGAGATGTATCACAGCCCCGAAGGCAGGCCGGAGTAGTACACGGACATCTCTACGGACAGGTACACCGTATGCGGCTAAGAGAGAAGCATGGCTTCAGCAGCAATTCGGCGCAATGGGCTGCTCAGTTCATGTGAGCCGTGTCGCAAATCCAAGCTCCGATGCGATCACGTCCTTCCGTGCGCGAGATGCCGGCGGAGACGCAAACCGAACTTATGCGTGTATCATCCCGCTCCTATGACAAAAGTATCGGAGAGGGACACCATTGATGATCATTTTAGAGAATCCACCCTCGGCGCTGTGCAATCCAGCAGCAGTATAGATCTCACCTCTCCTCCTAGCCGCTCTTGGACCAGAGCATTGCAGCACCAGAATGGCGATCTCCCAGGATCCCTTGGAAATGCCCCTCTGAGAGACAGATACATCGCAGACTGGACTAAACGTGCGACTTCTTTTACGACTGTGGGCGTTCTCGGTCCTACAAGCTATTCTGCCGTGTATAGCGAAAGCGACGACGTCGCTCGTTCGTCTAATGTCGCAGGTTCTCTGCGCGATGTATCTCATTCACTCCAACACAATTTTAGTGCGATCGACGATGGGCAAATCCAGCTGGGTGCGGAGCTGTTGCTCATTCTTTATGATGATTTTACCCTTTACGAAAGAATGGCAACGATGGGCTACGATCAATGTGAAGGCTATCTCTGGGCGCTTCCGGTATTGCGTTTAATTTTTACGTCGGTTCGGCAAATGCTGGATGATGCGATTGAGGATGAATCGGATCCTCTGCCTAGCCTGCGACGTTTATCCAAATGTATATTTGAAAACTGTTCGCAGCCGGTCAATATTTACTTGAATATGACACCGCCTGAGTTCTTTGGGGCCATGCCTCGAAAATGGGAGGTCATCGGCCTGATGTTCTCAATAATCGGCTCCAGCGCATGTCTTCTTCCACAATCAGATTTCAAAATGCACGGCGCACCATCGTTGGATCGCAATGGACTTGCAGTCGTATGCGTGTCGGCGGGTGAGATCTGCTTGAGATTTTGTGATAATGCAGGGGTCATCTCGGAGCAACTCTCTTGGGTACTCTTATCACATACATCACTGCTTACATTTTTGTATGGTGATCATGGTAAGCCAAAAAGAAAAAAAAAAGTTCTCGTCTAGTTCTGTTTCGGCTAATTGTATATGGGTTACAGATTACCGTCCTTGGAAGTCGTTGGGTGATTTATCAACCGTGATATTTGCTTTAGGTTTTCATCAACAAGAAGCTTTCACAAAACTACCGATGTTTATCATTGAATATCGTAGGCGGCTCATGATCGCTGCATATGGATTAGATAAAGAGCTTGCGACATTTCTTGGGCGACCACCGCGAATTAGTTGGCGGCATATCGATATCGAGCTCCCAATTGACTTGGAATATGATGTTCTTATTGCTGAGCCAGAAGTGCGAGATGCAGCGATGGCAAATATCGGAGAAGGGGGCTGGAACACGACAGGAGTAGTATCAAATATCTCATATGCTCGAGTCATGTACACAATGGGTCAGATCCGAGAATATGTGCTCGAGGTATCGCTTAATCCTAAGATATTTGAAGATTTGGAAGGGAGAATCTTGTTGGTTTCCAAATATAGCTGCGAATATACACATTCTAACAGGTACTTTAGGGAAATATCGAATCTCTCACGTAAGGTGCGCGACGACCTACCAGCAGTTTTCAAGTGGAATCTTCAGAGTTTCGAGAACATGGAGCACGGCAGAACACAGGCTTATATTCTACTCTGTATCCACTTGAGCTTCTTGCACAGTGACTTTATTTTGCAGAGGGTTCTCGTCAAAAGAAAGGGGGCGGGATCAGAGACTTTAATGAATATCGCCCATGAGATGCTCAGCACGTTGCTCATTGCTGTGGCCAATCGTTCGCGTGATGGAAGGGATAATAATACCATAGCGTGGACGGTAAGATTCACCATCTTTATATCTCAGCAATTTTTAAAGGAATGGTCATAATTAATTCGATTATAATAGATGTCCCTCTTTGGCCTCCCATCCGCTGGCGCCCTAGCAATAGAACTCCTTCGCCAAACCCAAACGCCGCAATCTAGCGCTTCCTTCCCACGTTCCGAGGTGATTCAAAATCTTAGTCGCTTTGCGGCTGATCTTGAATATGCCATCTTAGAGCACGCTGGCAATTATGAGATATGCCAACAGGCGCGTAAAGTTATAAGGCATGTTCTCGACCGCGTGCTATCGGCACCACCAGCCATGCCCTTTGCTTCTTCATCCTTAGTGACAGAACCTGACTTCGCGCCAATGGATTGGTTAACGAGCGACGATACGTGGTTGAACCAGGACTCTGACTTTATGAAATGGGTGGATAGTTTTGACTGGGGGCAGGAACTAGGTGATCGTTGACTTGTGTCGTGGTAATGGAAGTACTAAATTTATTACTATAATTTTTACGCAAGCAAGATAAGATGTCCTACTCAAAGGATCAAAATACAGCATCGAGAAGCTAACTGTTTGGCTCCAATGACTCAAACTGATTTAAATTGCAATGTCTCGTGTTCCTTGCGACAATCAAGTCAAAGTCTCTAATTGCAAGTGACCACTGATGCAATGTTACAAATCTGAACAATAATGGGTGGTAACCACAGGCCAATATCTTATATTGCATTTGAGGACATGTTTGCCTCCAGTGCTACTTATCGGGTTTGCATACTTGTGCATCTCGGTGAGCAGCCATCCAAAAACTAGCGGAGTATCGGCGAACTGGAGTTTCCAACGCTCCTCAGACGATCAGTCTAGTAACATCCACAGCAACATCCATGGGACTTTAAAGATTCATATTACTGGTATTATGCAAAATGGAAGCCGCCACTGATATTGCTCTTCTCTTGAATACGGAATAGCTTAGTTGATAGGCTAAATCATCTGCGTATAATAGTGGAGATTTTGCCCGGCTCAACGAAACAAATGAGGTTATAAATAAAGTGCAATTCATTCTTAAATGATAAATGGCCTATACATGTTCACAGGTATCCCTTACCATGTCATTAACTCCATTCCAGAGACTTGCAATCTGGCAAAGTATTAGGAATGTATTAAACCCGTAAAAGCAGACCACCTACTTGGCTTCTATCGATATTCAATTTTTATTGTTATGAGCTTCCTAATGTTGTCTGCTCTACTACAGACTTCAGTTTCTGCAAGCTCCCTGGTATCTGGCTCTCTGCATACCACCACATTTTGGACGGCTATATCATTCGGTGCACAAACCATAGCCGTCGGCCAATGCGAGTAGTTGTGGAGACTCATGGGCAGTTGATAACGTTTGCTACCCATATTATTGCACATCTAATAATGAATCAGATACATGTATGGGTTCTTGCTCTGGAAGCTGCAGCACTCCGCCGTTCTTCTATGTGCATGTCTGGAATTATGTGTGAGTAGCTGGGCACTTTCCATTAATTCAAGGCATAAATTCTTGAGGTTAGAGATGCATATACTAAAACTCGGCGAGCCCAAAAAAGGCAGGAGTTCCCGCGGCACTAGAAAATCGGGCAATTTTTCGCCCTCGCCTTCCCTTCCCCAGACTCCCCAGAATTCTATTTCCCCGCAATCCCAGCGCGAGGCTCCACCGCATTCCATTGCCAAATGCCGCTGGACCAACCGGCCTCGACACATTCCAATCTCACCACGGCTCTCCCCGCACGGCTTGTAGGCCTATAAAGTGAATTGATCGACGGCCCCCGTTAATTTCGCTGCATTCACTCGCCGGGACCTTCCTGGTGTGGGTGGGACATAAGATTTGGGCCCGAGCCACAGGCTCCTGGTTGAAGCACAGGCGTCATCGCGAGACCATAAATGAATAAATACATCCTTGGAGCCCATTGTTCAGGCTTGAATCTGTCCAATGTCACCACTCAGTTCACTTGAAATATAGTACTATCGACTACTTGCAGAGCACATCAGCCATGGACCCCGACCTCGAGGCCCGTAAACCCTCTCCTCCAGCGAAGGAAGGGCCGAAGGCAGAGCACGATGAAACGGCCGCCGCTATCCAGGGTACTGTCGAACATGTTCTCGACCCAGTCTCGTACGGTTCAGGAGGCTTGCGAGGTATTTACAGCTCTGGATATGTCTTCGGAACGGCTCTTCTAGCTTCACTCGGGGGGTTTTCAATGGGTTATGATATGGGGGTGATTTCTGTGATTAATACCATGAACCAATTCCATACAGTCTTCCCACGTGCCGAGTCTGGCTTTGGCGAAGGGTTAATGACGGGCATGTTGCTGCTTGGCGCCTTTGTAGGCTGCATTTTCATGCCTTATATGGCTGACAAGATTTCGAGAAAATTGGCTTTAACAGTTGTTGTTGTGATCTTTGATATCGGAGCGATTCTCCAGACGGCAGCGACCAATTATAACATGCTAGTGGCCGGAAGATTCATTGGCGGCATTGGTGTGGGAACTCTTGCTATGGTACTTCTCATTTTCCATGCATATGAATATGCAAATTGCTGACTCGATAAAACAACTAGGGTGCGCCGCTCTATATCTCTGAGATTGCTCCGGCGAATATCAGAGGAACCCTCTTGGTGCTTGAATCCGTTTCCATTACAACAGGGGTCGTCGTTGCTTTCTGGATCACATTTGCTACCAGACATATGTCAGGGGAGGCCGCATTCCGATTGCCATTTGGCCTACAAATGATCACTGCGACGGCTTTGGGTGCTGGCATCCATTTCTTTCCGTATTCGCCGAGATGGCTCGCTCTGGTCAATCGTCTAGACGATTGCCGCTCCAGTCTTGCAAAACTCCGAGGCCTACCAGAGACAGATGAGAGAATTCAGGCGGAATATCGTGGCATCGTCTCTGAGATCCAGTTCCAAAAGTTGGTTATGCAAAAACGACACCCAGGCGCGACAGGTATCAAGCTGGAGCTGCTCTCTTGGCTGGACCTTTTCAATCGCAGGACATGGAAAAGGACCGCTGTAGGATGCGGTGTAGCATTCTTTCAACAGTTTTCTGGCATCAACGCCTTCATATATTACGCACCTACTTTGTTCGGCTCCCTCGGCCAGTCCCCCGAGAAATCTCTAATTCTTTCAGGTGTTTTTGATATTCTGCAATTAATAGCAGCCTTGGTTTGTAGTGTGATCATTGATAATGCTGGTCGACGGTTTTTGGCTATCGCAGGTGGATTCGGTACTTCCATTGCCTATATAATTATTGCAGTCTTGTCCGGGCTCTATGCCGATGACTGGACTGCCCACATATCCGCAGGGTGGGCTTGTGTAGCAATGGCGTTCGTATTCATTCTAATTTACGGCGTTTCGTACTCCCCTCTTGGATGGGCCCTTCCAGCGGAAGTCTACCCAAACACTTCGCGATCCAAAGGAGTAGCATTGGCAACATGTACTATTTGGATATGTGACTTTGTTGTTGGAACAGCCACTCCGTCTATGATGGATAACATTGGTTATGGAACATATATTTTCTTTGCGGCTATGTGCTTTCTCGCTGGTGTTTGGGCATTTTTCCTTGTACCTGAAACTAGCGGTAAGACTTTGGAAGAGATCGACGAGCTCTTTGGCGACTCGAGTGGTCGGGAGGAAACCCAGATCATCAGTGAGAACCTTCTGGTATCCGCTGGAAATGAGGTTGTGGTCAAACCTGTTTAAATTTGCATTTTTTTATCTGATGATTTGAAGATCTGTACACATGGCATATTGTCATATTGTCATATTATCATGATCTAAGTGGTCAAGGGTATATTATGATCCCGCTCGACGTCAAGCTGTAGAGAGAATTTCTGGTCAAAACTTCATTTGACTGTCCAGTTGCATTATTAGGGCTGAAATTAACAATAATGCGACGTTGAAGACATAGCGAATTATACAGTACTAAATTTTTATATCAATTTTATGTCAGCACCGACATCTGGAATTTTGTTGGTCAATATTATCATTAGAGATCATTTGCAATATACAACTTAACTATATATATTTCGATTACATATCGATTCAGACGTAACAACAATTGGATGGTTGTAAACTGCTTCAAATGCTGGCAACATGGTGGAATATCAACTTCAATGCCCAGTAAAATTGAAATCTAGACTTATCCTGAAAGATTGACGATTTATACGGAAACTTTCAGAAACGCATGAATAGGAATGCTTGCCAGACTTAATATCTAGTACCAGCGCGGTATGTAACAGTACTCGTCTGATGTAACAAATAAATACCGGAATGGCAGTATAAAGTTCCAGAGATTCTCATTGGCTGAAATCAAGTGAGACATGGCTATTTTTAAGTTTGGATACTGCCCCAGGCAGCAACATTCCGGCCTGGTAATTTGATCCGCCGCGGGGTTATTTCCCTGCCATACGCCATACCAGCTGGGCCTTGCTGCTAAGGTAGACAATAATGATGATGCGGCCCTTGTTGTTTCGGACGCTGGATATATATTAATGCTATTGATCTGCTGGATGCCACTAAATCGTGTCTCAGCTAGTAAAAGCAAAAACACGTGCCCAAACAGCGACTCGGTGATTCCGATTTCCGGCCTTCTGCGGCAATCCGGCTGTCAAGTCGGGCGTTGCTTAACCACAAATGTGCACTTGGCAAAGATCGCGCGTGTTCTTGTTTGATTATACACACATAAATGAAAGATTAGAAATATTTCCTTGAGAACTGCCAGCCCTGCTATAAAAGTTAAAAGTTAAGAGTATACTCGCGGCAATAGGGGAAGTAAAGAGCCGCATTCAAGCCAGACGATTGCGGGCTCCCAATTGATCAACAGCCAGTTCAGCTGGCATTATCACCCTCCCACTGATAATGACAACACCTTAGCGTCTTGGCGGGATGTGTTGCGACAGCAAAACGTATCCTCTCAGGCCTCGCGTTCAAATCAATGTTTGCCCACGATTGTTGTCGTTATTTTCTAGTTACCAGAAAATTCGAGCCATGCCGTCTGCTTCCACTTTATGAGAGCAGTTTTGTTCAAGCCGGATCTAGGAAACACCTTTCGGGTTTGTGAAGACATCGACTCCATACAGCCAAGCAAATGAAGCGAGATAGTGCCAACTGCCGCCCGTTTTTGATTGCGACCGGAAGGACTCATGGACATACACCAGCAACAGACCTTTCTCACAAGGATCACAGACCTGTCAAAATTGTACATGGACCATGTAAAGACAGAGAAAGAAGGATCAGAATTGAGAGACGCAGTGGAGAGTGTCGGAAATGGTGATATGAGGGGTAGCAGTTCAGCCGCAGCTATAACGGAGCCGTTCGCGACCATAGTCGTGGAAGCCCTGGAGCGAGGAAAATGGAAAGTCGCTGCAGATATTGGGCTGATTTTGGTAGAAACACGAACATCCCTCCTGGGTAGAGAACATTCGTTGACTCTGACGGCCATGGGAAATCTCGCATCCGCCTACTTTGGTCTGGGTCGCTGGCAAGACTCCATAGATCTTGGAGAAACAGTGATAAATACCCGAAAAAGAATCCTCGGAGACAAACACCCCCAAACGTTAACATCAATGTCGAACCTTGCCTCAGCGTATCGTGGTCAAGGTCGGTGGCCGGAAGCCGAGAAGCTTCAGCTAGAATTGATCAAAGTTAAGAGAGAGACATTAGGAAATGATCATCAATCAACAATAAGTTCTGTCGGTAACCTAGCAGCCACGTATGAAAGCATGGGGCGATATCGCGATGCCGAACAGCTTGAAGAGGAGCTGGTGGAACAAAGCAAAAGAGTGTTAGGGGATACACATCGATCCACGTTGACATGGAAGTCCAATTTGGCCTCAACATATCGTGAGGATGGACGTCTTCTCGATGCGGAGTCGTTGGAATCAGAGGTTCTGAAGACAAGGGAAATAGTTCTGGGAAAGAACAATCCATTGACTCTAACGTCGATGGTCAATTTAGCCTTCATTTATCGTGAACAGGATCGACTAGACCAGGCCGCCGCATTGGAAGAACAGGCTCTGGAGAACCTTTCAAGTGTTCTCGGTGACGAGCATCCACAGTCTCTCATGGCAGCAAATAATTTGGCGTTGACTTATCATTGCCAGGGCCGGTTAGAGGAGGCTGCACGTGTTGGGGTGTCAACATCGGAAAAAATGGCCACTGTGCTCGGAGACCAGCACGCAATGACGCTCACAGCGAAAGCGCGACTAGCTATGATTTACCACAGCCAAGGAAAATATAAGGAAGCAGAGACGTTGACTGTCGAAGTGCGACAGTTGATGAGAGACAGCCTCGGCGAGGAACATCCTCATACCATTTCGATCACGGCTAACCTAGGAGCCATATACCAATCACAAGGCAGGTGGGACGAGGCCGAGCCAGTGATCGAGCTCATCACCCAGAAGCGAAAGAGAATTCTGGGCGAGTCGCACCCAGACACTATCGCGTCTATGGAAGAATTGATGAGAATATACCGAGTGCGAGCGGCTGACAGGCATTAATGTGTCATTTATTCGTCGGGCCATCACATTCTGCTGAGATCAGCTAGCAAGTGTTTAACGCCACAAGAGAAGCGGGAATATTGTTAAGATGTTGAAACCGAACCTGTGCTCCGCGCGGGAAAGGAGCAGCTCGACATAGCTATCTCGTGCAGAAGAGGAGGAGAATCAGCAGACGTCGAGATTAAGTACATAAAGTTATTGTTTTAAAGCATGCAAGTTTGGGTTTGGTGTGCCATCAAATAGGAGCCTTTTCCGGCTAATCATGACCACCGACATGGAGTCTTCACGTTTATCTCTAGCGAATAACCAATAGCAAATGCTGGCATTTGCTACATGCCAGTAGGCTCATCCAATCTAAGTATGATGCGGTGATTAGCCCTGTTCACTTTTGCCCCTAGAGTGGGACTGCGGATTGCACAGCCTCCTTGCCAAGGATTCTGTCAAGATGTCGCTTTCCCTTTCACCAACCAATGTCAATAATAATAAGGATTAGAGCACTGCCTTAATTTTGTTGCTGCCTAGCGCGCGGTTCCTTTTTCCCTAGATAAAGTGTAACAGAAAGTTAAGGACTTCTAGGTGCTTCTGGCTTAGGCTTCATGTTTATTGTCACGTGACTCGATGGAGGTGTGATGCTCTTCGCTCATCAGGCACCCGAAATCATAAAAATGGTTGATCGAATGGATTTCCTATATATTCTATTTGCCATAGACTGCGAATGGTTTAAACTACTCATACGGAGACTTGGATCTCCCACAACGCCAATCTCCGTGGCCAAAAGGATTCCCTAGCATATCGGTATCACAAAGTAACAATGATCTTTTTGGCGGAGACACCTTTCTTTAGAATGTCAACCGCCTTCTGGATTTCTTCCAATCCATTTCCAGTCACCTCGGGATCTGGCTTCGGCTTAAGCCGTCCGTTTTCGAGTGCTTTCGAGACAAAGTCTTTCCAGATACCATCGGCAACATATTTGTTGGAGTCAAAGGTCAAGGCATTGGACATGACTAAATCAGGATACGAAGGAAGGGGGGAAAGAAAATGTCAGCCACATGTACATAAGTAGATGAGCGAAAAGAGAAAATAAAGAGCGAAATTGCAAGTGGCCTTACTAAAAACTGGAGCAAATTGTTCCGTAGGTTTATTATATGGTTGAACACATACAGTCTTGACACCTGCTTTCAACTGGTCTAGAATTGCCCTCACCATTTCGAAACTGGAAGGTTCCGAAATGGCGTCGAAGACACCAACAAACTCCGTGTTGGCAAGCGCGGCAGCAATATCCTTGACGACAGTGGGCGATTTGTAGTCAAAAACAGCATTTGCGCCTAGAGACCTCGCCAACTCATGGTTATGAGCTGATGCAGTGGTGATCACTGTCAAACCTGTTGCCTGTGCAAGCTGGATAGCCGTTCCGCCAACCGAAGACGCTCCACCCCAAATAAGAATCGATTTTCCGGTTGGTTTTATATCGGTGGCAGAGGGCAGCGGAAGATCGAGACTGTCTTTCAAAAACAGGCCTGCTGCGGCGGTACAGAGAGCCTGCGGCAGCACAGCGGCTTCTTCAAAGCTAATGGAATCTGGAATTGCCGCTGCATGGCTTTCCTTCGCCAATGTGTACAGCTGGAACCCCGCGTTGGCAGGATTCTGTGATCCTAAAGAGTGGCCATACCTACAGCGGTAGTTAGTAGTCGTCCGCCCTAATTGACCTAGATATTGATGCAGAATCGACTTGTCAACTTACGCGACAACCCGTTGGCCGTTGACGAAGCGAGTCACACCAGAGCCCACATCAACCACCACTCCAGCAACATCTGTGCCTAGGATGAATGGCCATTTTCCTAACCATGGAGCACCATGTGTCCTGTGAGAAGAATGAAATTAACTCATGCTCTGCGTCAAGGGCAAAAAGGTCAATCGTACTGGATTTTCCAGTCAACGGGATTCTACAGGGAAGAAAGTCAGCTGGCATGAATGGACTAGGTGGTGGTGGTAGTGTCGCACAATAGCAAGAGCGGTATTTTTAATCACGACCTCGCCGTGTCCCGCTGTGGGATATGGTGCATCCTGGATGCTAAATGGATGCGTAGGCTGCGCAGCAGAACCTGTAACCCAGGCAGCCTGATTTTGTGTCATATTATAGGAGTTAGGAATGTAGAGCTTAATTGTTGTTGCCAACTTTGAATAATAAAAATAGAAGAACTTTGAGTACAGCGGCGTTACGTTTGCTGATATATAGCAAGTTTATGAATGTGATAGCTTCAACATTTTGAACGGCCCATCATGCTAGCTGGCTAGGCTCCTTCTAAATGTCTCGGTGTTAATGCCGGACTTACAATAGAACCGTACGCTACACTCCGTACTGTTGTTAACGATTTGAAAAGCAGAAGTGTTATATCGTCTATAGAAGCTTAAATTATGTTGCTTATTATTGGTCATTATTACTCATAATCCTCGAATAATATCGGAGGTACAACGGAGCAAGAACACCCGGCGAGCCCGTGCATATGTAAGGCTCGTCGCGGGAACATGTGCCTGGATACGGCAGGGTTTCGGGGATAACCCCACCGTGAGAGTAAAATCACGTGCGAAAATGACGAAACCAAACATGCAAAAAAGCTGGGATTTGTTATGTTGCCCACCCAACTGCTATGGTTCATCTATGGCTAGAAGTCGGGAGATTCATTCAGATCAAGTCCCGAGGCGGAAAACAAGTCTTTTTTTGATGGATGACATTAAAAACTGGTGCTTACATGAGTAAAATGGAACTGTGCTGTCGGCAGCTTCAATTATAGTTGTCAATTTGCAAACGGACCTGATCTATTAATCTACATAGACAGAAAGCTGAAAGTATCATCAATCATTTCCAGGCGAGAAACATTTGGACGACCAGACTACCAATGTCACAAAAAGAGAAAACCGGCGCCATCTGTAAAGGTGCATTATCAACATCTTCTTCAAACACAATGCGAATGAAATTATGGAAGATTGAGCAGAGCATCCCTTAACTTGGGATAGTTAGGTGTGCCCAAACCTGTCACAGGATCCCAGCCCTTGGATGCATAAAATGCGACTTCCGCATTACAACCCCAGTTGTAGCCCCCGACAACATCATTAAAAAGATCTGAATTTTTGTACAGGAATGGATTTAAGAATCCCAGAGGACTCTTTCCAGCTGAAATACGCTCTCCGTTAATCAAGTTAATCATAGACGCGAAAATGGGGGCCGATGCTGAGGTACCCGAATCCACCGCAGTAGAGTTTTGGAAAACCGAGGCAATATTCCAACCGACCGCAGATATGTCAGGGAACCCACGACTAGTAGAGTTATACGTAGTGCTTTTTGGAAGCCGAGTATTGTTCGATAGGAAGCTGGAAACAGCATCGTCCTGGTAGGAAGGGCGCGAGAAGACGTTGGAAAACCCGCCACCACTAGTAAATCCTATATCATTGACAAGAACAGCAACTTCGGGGTCGTGGATAGTGCCATTTGGAGGAATCTGAGTAGCTCCAACAGAAGTCACTGCAAAATAGAATTGTCAACATGCATCATGAGCAGAATTGAAACGAATATAGAGGCTCGTACCATATGGACATGCCGTCGGGAAGCCTGGTCTCTGGGAGCCACCAGCTAGACAACCCTCATCAGGGAATCGAGAAACAGTGCCGTTATCACCTGAAGCGACAATAACAGACGTTCCCATCAAACCTAGTTTCATGTATTCATGGCACTGTCTTGTGGCATAGGCTGGGGTATATGCATCTTCGGCAACAATATATGAAATCGATATGACATTTGTTGGCTTATGAACACCGCATTGTCTAGTCCTGTTCCACGAACGACCATCAGGAAAGTGAGGATCAATCTTAGGGTCGTCGCCACCGTCATATGTGCAATAGCTAGCGTCTAAAGCGTCTAAAAATTGGTTGAAGATGCCAGTCCAGCCATTACTTCCGCCGAGGTCAATACTATAAGTCTGGAAAATCCTAATGCCCTGAGGATAGATAATTGGATAGGCCATTTGGAGGTCCAACAGCGTCTCTGATCCTCCCCGACCAGCTAATTCGGGAGCACGGCCACCGTCGATGTTCTTAGATTCTGGATGAGTACCATTGGGGATGTGAGGCGAATACTGGGAAAGAAACCAATCAAGATTGAATTGGTCATAAGACTGGAGGTATTCGTACAGTCCAAGATCGTTTCCAGTTTGAGTAGTATTCGCAGATGGCGATGAAATTTGGTAAAGGTCTTTTATACACTGTGGAGTGACATTATCTGAACATGAAGCTTCCTTAATCGACTGGGGGTTTTTCACTGCCAACTCCATTTCACTACCATGTGCTAGATTGGCTTTTGCTCTCTTTTCCAACTTCGGATTTCTAGGGCCTAGAGAAAACCCAGAGGCAGTATCTAAACCAATTGTGGGTGTGATGAAGTCGATGTGATGCCGGATATCAGAAGAAACATGATATTCATCACATGAAACACTCATTCTTCCAGTATCGACATGTTCCCACACATCATAACGAGTCCCTAACAAAGCTTCTGCTTCATCAACTGTTGCGTGGAATTGTACATTGCCGCGACTTGGCGCGACATTATGACGATGTTTTTCGATACCACTTAAGACTAACCATTGACGAACCTCCTCAACAACCTCTTTCGAAGGCGAAAAGAAATCATGTACCTGCTCAGGAGTCCAATGCCTACCAAAGTTCTCGGACGTCGGATCGGAAATATCCATTAGGTAATCATGGCCTTGATCGATGTTTTGAGAACTAATACCCACTCGAATCGGCAGGAGCATGTCTCGAGGAGCCTGTGAACGTTTGATCCATGAGGCTGGCGTATATGACCTTCTCTCGTGGAGGATATGAGATCCAGGGGACGGAGATTTGGTCGAACTAGAGACAGTGCATATAGCATTAGCCAGTATTGCTGTGCTTAAGGCTTTGATCCAATGCATTCTTCAACTTATATATTCATAAAAACCATTTGATACTTAAAAAGTAGGAAAGCGTGTGCAATAAGCATTTCACTTTTAAATGATACTCTACCACGCTTTTATAATAGTAATCGTTTCAATTTTCTCTCATTAAGATTCTAGCGATCCAGATTTACATCTGCCGTGGACCCGGTAGGCTTTAAATGTGGATATGTATGGAGTAAGTTACAATGTTGGTTTCCTCATATCCCACTTTTTGTAGACCTGTGCTGCATAACTAGCTTCTACGCGTATTATGATACCCCGTAGAAGGCAGTGGCTCTACCACGACTGTTCACCACTAAGAAAGGGGAGACAGAAAGGTCACACAGCAATGTAACCAATATAATGATCACCATAAATATTGAAGAACGTAACCAACGGTTTCAGTATGAATTGCTACGTATGCATATAAAAAGGCCATGTTCACAAATCACTTTCCGGACCAAATGCAACCACTGCCTCGGAGACTGACTCCACAATCCAAGACCGTACTTGTTCAGCCCCCAACAACTGACGTAACTGAACCAACTAACCAACTCAACAGTAGCTTAAAGATTAGTCATGCAACATGGAACTATCATACCTATTAATAGCCATGACTGCGACGCGATACCGGGAGATGGTAATGTGCCAAGACTTGTGGACAATGGGCATTTCTGTAGACGATTACTACACCTTCTTCCAGTAAGTCGAAAGCATCTTCCAGACAGTGTAAGGCTTACTAATGCGAATAATTTGCGTAACTTATAAAAGAATCCGCTCGTATTTCACTTAAGTTTATTCTTATTATCCACCCAAAGGAGAGTCCGCACATGGTTAAACGTACCAGTCCTTTCAAGACATCAGGACTAGACTTACCAACCATCCACTTGTATCATCTTCAAATGTAGGCCTTCTTTAGGCTTCACTGTTACAGCTCCAGATAAGGTAATCCCGCTTGTTGGGTCTTGCATCTCCATAGCAAAACGACCAACTACACCGGCGACAGCACATCGAAGTTCTGCGCGAGAAAAATCTTTCCCGATACATGAGCGCTGTCCGTGCAAAAACGTGATTTGTGCAAAATTTGTTGAGGCACCTCCATGATGATTGACTGATTGTTTTCCGTTCTCATCTACGTCAATCCAGCGCTCTGGTATGAACTGGTCTGCCGTTTCTCCCCAGAAATGAGGACTACGGTTTATCGCGTAAGGACATAGCACAATTCGTGTGCCCCTGCTGATTTTCATCCCGGCAACCTCTGTCTCCCGTACAGCCTCGCGAATAGTGGCTGGAACAGTAGGCCATAATCGTAAAATTTCCTGACAAACACCGTTGAGGATAGGTAACGATTCTAACTCATCCCAGGTAATCGGACCATCTCCTGAAGGTATATGAGCTCGAATCTCCTCCCGCAGCCTAGTTTGAATGCCTTGATGTAGAGACAGCATCCAGCAAGCCATGGTCAGAGCTCCGGCTGTCGTTTCGTGCTAAAGGAGGGGAAAGAATCAGAGAAGTTAGTAACAGCCAATATACAGATGAGAACTATGCAAACAATCGTCAATTTAGAGAACTTACTCCAGCCGCTAGAAAAGTTAGCATCTGATCTACCAGGTCATTGTCGCTAAATTCTCCTCGGAGCATCAAAGTTCCCAAAATATCCGTTTCCAACTGTTTTTCCTCGAGCTTCTTTCCTCTGAAAGCTAATCTTTTCTCTTGGACGATTTCATGGCACAGTGATCGCAAGTACCCTATATCCTCGCTGACCACTTTATTCAGATGCCACGGTATTCTGACCGCTAGCCACTGAGGTAATACGAAATTAACTGATAAGAAAAGAAGCTTTTCCCATGTAGGCTCCAATATATTTAGAAACACGTCCGCAACTTTGTTTTCTTCGCTGGTTAATGACTGAAAGTCTCGGCCCATGGCGGTTGGGCCAATAATATCTAGTGTTAGACGGCTGCAGGCGCAAAGCTTTAGCAATCACAACCGAACAGAGGGATTGAAATAAGTTACATAATCTTACCTAGCCCAAACAGTCATCTCCACTCTACCCATCGTGCCTTGTCCATGGAGAGTTCGAACTGGATTATCCTTAATTTCTTTCTCTAGTTGCTTTAAGAAAATGCCTGTCTTCTCCCACATGAGATTATACAAAGCTCGAATATTCTTTATATTGAAGGATGGATTGACTGCTTTTCGTTGAGTCTTGTGAGGATCACCCTCAGACAAGATAAGACCAAAACCAATTATACGAGCTAAAAAGTCACGGAATCGCCAAGGCTTTTCGAAATCATATGTTCGTGTGCTCATTATATCCAGGAGAGCTTGGTGGTTCGTAGCTAGTAGATATGTTTGTTTTGGCAGGTAGGCAAAATTGATAAGACCGTCGTTCGGGATGGTCCGTAGCCAGTGAAGAGCGGACTTCCCACGAGGTGTTTCGAATAGCATTTTCAATGTGTTCAGATAACCCTAATACCTCAACGTGTTAGCTCATCATCTTGGTCTTTGAGAAATACCTTGGTATTCAAAAACCTAGATGTCGAACTATATAGAACGAATCGGAAGGATTTTTTGTTAGAATGCTGGACAACGTACTTTTGCTTTGGGAAGACGTCGTAATGGACTAAGCATGCGCGGGAAAATAATAAAATCGTAAATTATTTGAAACCCGAACGCAACAGGAATTGCTCCCACAATAATAAGCCTATAATCCACACCCGGAAAAACACCACCATATGCTAGACTGCATCCTGCCGTCGTAGCGATTATCATGGTGATAACCACTTCTTCAGCCCACAGCAAAGTCATTTTTTCAACACGTATCCTGATACTAGAAATAAAATGGTACAAATTATCTTTTGACGAAAGTTCTTCGGTTGTACCGTAAGAAGAAGACAATTAAACGCTGTTGATTCCAATTTTCCGATGGCAGTTGGATGAGATCATATACAGCACCTAAGTATTGGGTTCTCACCCTAATGTATTATTTTTATTCCCAACGATTTATTGCCTCAATCGCTATATATTGTTCACTAACACGTGAAACTACCTTCCCCGCCTTCGCGTAAGCCAAATGAGCCTAAGTGGAACAATGAGAAGTGGTGTTCCATTCTTAATTAGGAAATCTTCACATGTCAGACGCTATATAGTGGTGGAATCCCGTCCCAACCGTTCCTTGGGACAATGCTGATCACTCCCTACCATATCTGCGGGGAATCCACGGGGTCGGTTACTAACACTTCTAGTGCTAGTATGTTCTACTTCTAGTTAGGTGAATCCACGTCCTGTTGACATCGAGAGTATATTCACATGTTAATGAACTATTTAGCATGAAAGAGAAAATTGACCCCCAACGATTTTTAAGTTTGACCGTCTTACACCGTTGGTTAGGGTACGTGTATAACTAGTCTACAGCCCACAGAATCATGTTAAACGAACCATCGACGCCACCATAATTAGGAATGACTTCAAGTAGTTCTTTATCTTATAATGCATTACTTCTTTAGATCGTTACATATACGGTCAATTGCCAGGTCTCTATTTGAGAAAAAATAAAAGCAGAACCCAAGCTTTATGAAAAGTTTGACCTTTCGTAGGCGACCGAGAATCATTTTCTTTACAAACATTAAATTTTGTTATATAAGATTGGAAACAGAGAAACATCGGAATTTTGCATGAGATTAAAGCTACTGAATACCTTATATTCATACGTGGCGCATCATCTCTGCTACCACATTCGAGGTAAGAATCACCATCTTTGGCCTCCTTCGACCTCGGCTTTTCCTGAATAGGTAAAAGCCTGTGCCACAAATGAATAGCGTTCAGCATGCTTGAAGAAGCACACGATCTGCCACTAGGATAGATATGAAAAGATTCCCGGTTGATTTCAATTGTTGCACTTGGCAGATAGGCAGATACATTGCATGCTAATAATGCTCGGACTTGTTCCCAATGATCCTCGTTTACATCACCTTCTGGACCTGGCTTCGCATTAGCCCTATAGTGATCGATCATCGAGAAGTTGGCTGTGAAATATTAGAGGTCGTGAGAATCGGTTAGGAAATTAAACCCTGCTTTGGCTTGCCCTAAACCTGTCAACATAGTCAAGTATGCAGATTTTTCTAAGCTGTCAGCTATGCCCTGGATATTTGGATACGTTTAATCCCGGTCTAGCGCAGTAAGAGTTGCAGCTGTACCTGGATTGATGGTGTCGAAATTTCCGTCACCAACGTCCACCATGAAACTAGAGTTGATGTTGAAAAGCTGCGGGCATTCGATATCCGTGACGCTGCTATTGTTAGAGGTAAAGAATATGATTCCCTTTCGAATATCAGGCTCTCCATAGTCTGTGGTATTGTAACGAATGTCCTGCATTGTTCGCGTAAGATAGCCATAGTAATCTGAGAGCACAGATTCTCCCCACCAGAGACTCGCCCGATTATCCTTGTCTCGAGCCAAAAATTTCGTAGCCAGAAATGTGTAGAGGTTTGCCCATGAAATCGTTGACGGTATGTAGTCGTAGGTTTGAGTTAAGTTGGATTTAGTCAGTCCGGTGGGACTATAGAAGCCACAAGTGAGATAAATTTGAACGACAGCACCCCATTCAGAGTAGCCAATCCGCGTTGCGGAGCGATCGAGGGCCTCAAACCCCATTTCGATGGAAGTAACCGCGCAGTTCTCAAGAACATTGTTGTGATATGGCAACAGAGACAGAACGGTGTTATTTGTCCCCCCAAGTAGCTGCCAGACAGCTGTCAAAGTATACATTAATGCGGTCTGGTCTGTAAACAGCTGATTACCGACAGGTATGTTTACGGGCTGGCATGTTGACCATATCGTATCAGTCAAGTAGGGCGGCTAGTGATCCAGCCACCGGGAGCTGACAACCGTGGAATTTTGGTCATTTGACGTCTGTAGAACCAGATTGTAACCGTTGGCGGCGAAGTTGAGGAATGTAAATAAGGCAACGTATACAAGTGTTCCTAATATGGCAACTGGGGTAAACCAGCGATAAGGATATGGTCGGGTGATGTTATAGGAGAAGATGTAATTGAGGCGTAGTCACATTATAGTTAAGTGACAAGTTTCAATAAGACTAAAATAATAGTTTCAGGAGTAATTAAAAAGGGTGAAAAGGGTGAGACTATAAATGCAAATACCATTGCAATCGCTTTATTAGTCTTCAGTCGCGCATGGTTATTATTTTGCATTTGGGTTAGGTGATGCTGTATAACCACACGGCACATCACATAGACCGGTTGTCCAGCACCGCGTGCAGAAGCCAATGCTCTCATTAAGTCTAGCTAGATGAGCGTGCTGGAAGCATATGCCAAGTAATATCGTTGGCGATCAATGGTTGAAGCGGCTATATCAAACCGAGAATGTGGTTAGAAGCCGTCATGTGAGGAAATGGTCGTCCAATGAAAGCAGCCATAAAAGCGCCGTTGTGTTCCAATGTCATGCATGGCCACGGAGTTATTGGCAGATTGGTGGAACTGTTTACTTACTGGATGTTCAGTATTATATACCTTCAGCTGTCACTACAACAAGTTGCAGCGCGGAATGGTCATTAGCTATTGATTATATTCCCCCTGATATCAAACTTAAAACTTTAAAGATAGAGATTAGGATATAGTATATTTGAAAAATATTTTATTTATAATATTTCTTACTAGTAAAGCTATAATAAGAATTAGATAATACTTTAGAGTATCTTTTAGTAAGCTTTCTAGGAGGAAGTTCGGTCCAAAATAAGTTTAAAAATGCTTAAAAATGCCAAAAACAGCTGAAAGACATGGGTTTACCAATTTTTGTGGCCAATTTTTACCTGTGTCATCGTTTTTAGCTACTTGACTATTGGGGCGAGGATAAATAAAAAGCGTACTTACGCGGTGGTTATTTCTCTAGTTTACTCTTATCTCTTTCGAATTCGAGTTCATTCACAAGATAACGATAAATAGACCATCGATATTCATTGTCGTAGAGAGGCGAGCGCTAGGCTTAACTTGACAAGATGGTCGGGAGGATTTATCGAATTTCCCCGACGAATGACATTGTAAAACCATTAACATTGAACTATAGTTAGTTTGTGGTGCCGATAACACCTAAGGATGTGCAGATCCGTATCGGTTTTATATTAGCACACAAAGTAACACTGTAGATAAGAAGTCGACCTTAAAGCCTATTAAAAGTCTTCGTATTAACCGTCAGTAATTAGCTGTTGCACCTGAGTCTGAGTGTCTCAGTACAAGTATCGATAATGTACGATTTCCCTTGTTCTTCTACCACTTACAAGGCTGTCTGCATCCACCCCTGTTCCCTCGCTCTCGCCCATTGGCGAACCGTCAACAGCCCCGTCGATGCGCCCGCGGTGCCCCTTACACACCTTACGGTATTGTTTACATTATTAAGTCAATAAATACGCGAAGCGAAATAAAACTCCCGACAGCACATATTTTAACATGTTGGCTAATGAACCGGAGTTCAGAAACGTTGCATGCGGCTAGACGCAGTACTTTATAATGGCGGTTAGTAACGAAAAAGGAAAGAAGAGAATGTCACAAGAAAAGGAAAACGAGCGCCAACCTGAAACATGACGGCGCGAGGACAACCCCAGTAGAAATACTGGTCTTAGTCTAGTCGATTCTAGGAATTCCATTTGCGGCGGCATAATTACATCGGGACGAAAAAGGAGGTTACTCATACATGCACGAAATGAATACGATGATTTCTTCAAGATCTCTTGCAGCCTTCAGGTAAACCGGCTAACTAGTTATTTAAAAATTTCCCCAGAATGTCGTTTGCATCTATGCATTGTTTCCAGTTCCTCAGGATGGGTAGGTCGATGCCCAGCTAAGCGCCATTCTCGCTGAAAAATGGCGCTATCGCATACAGGGGTTTCTTGCCATGATTGGCGCTCAAATCCAGCCCTTATGCACGTTAGCTACCATGCATGGAAATGAAAGATAAATTGCACTGATGTTTTACTGGAGTATATACTTAGTGCCCGACCTACCAATGTAATTCAGGTCGGGTAAGCTGAACAGCTGTTTCGCTTGTACTGGAAGATTGTGCGACGCGCCCTTGGGGCGTTTTGAGCTTTTCACGTTTCTTAAGGGTACTGCCTCCTCCTTCGGTGATTCAAAAATTTCCAGCTCTATTGATCCTTTGTCCTGAAAATCAACCAGCTATTCGTCGAGGACATGTCATGGCGTGGATGCTTCCAATATTCGCATTTTTGGCTCTATCACGCATAGTGTCCTGTACCCAAGGCGACATTTGTTACATCATCGGGGCGAAGAGTATGTTGTAATTCCCTTCACACTCAGGTCGCTTTCCGTCCCCTCTAACCAACCTGACAGCTGGCTTGGTGAACGACTCGCTCTACTTTATCGGTGGCAACTACAGTGTCGTTTCTCTCGACGGCCAAACCATCTCACCTAGTAAGGCTTATCCGGCGTGGAAAATATGTGCACTCTAACCTAGAAATATATAGGTACAACATTGTATTCGCTGGATGTCAATAATCAATTTCCCGTGGAGAGATCTATTCCCCAATCGCTTCTCACTGATACCACTATTGCGTCGCAAATCACAGCCGCCTACAATAGCTCGCTGATCGGAAGTAATGGCGACGCCGCTGGAGCCCTCTGGCATACAAATGACACCATCTATATTTTTGGCGGCGGTTTTGAAACCCCCACGAACAGTGTATCATCATACAATGTCCGAACTAGCGAGTGGAAAGAAGTAGAGGTAAAAGGCGGTAGCTTTAATTTTGGTAACCGAAGCTCTGCGCAGTACGTCAGTGTCCCAGAAAGGAATCTTGGCTTTGTTGGTGGGGGGTTAGCCCTTATATGGGAGGAATGATTCGATTTGATGCGTCAGATCCAAATAATCTCTCTTGGACAAATGAGACGCTGGGAAACGGTTCATACGGTGCAGACGTTCCGAATTTAGATTCTGGCACCATGGTGTATGTTCCTGCAGGAAAGGAGGGGATGCTCATTAGCTTTGGAGGATCGAATGTATGTTGTACTTCATCCTTGGTACGTTTTATATTGCAAAGAGACCTGACAGTACTGCACAGGTTGCTGAAGGAATTAACCCTGCTTGGGGCTGGCCGTACGACTCGGATTGGTATACGATTTACGTCTACGACATTGCGTCACATACATGGTGGCAGCAACTAGCATCAGGTAATGCGCCGAGCCATACAGGTTCCTTTTGCGCGGCTGTCACGACATCACCGGATAACGATGCCTTTCACATAACGACATATGGAGGATGGAGCTTAAATAATGGGCGGTCGTATGAGGATGTACATATTCTGAGTCTTCCATCATTTACCTGGATCAATGCTACACTTCTATCCAACAAAAGCAATAAAGAAGAACAGGTCAACTCGACGATTGGTCGAGACAGCATCACTGGAGGTTGTCAAACATACAGAGGCGCGCAAATGATTGTTCTCGGCGGCGATATCCGTGCTGGTGCTTATCGACTTACCAATGGGGCATGCAACGATGTATTCTCACCAGTTCGAGTGCTGGATCTTTCCACGTACGTGTGGCAAACCGAGCTCAACAATAGTGCCAGCTACGAGGTTCCGGCTGTCATTTATAACGCAATTGGCGGAGGGTGAGTTTGAAAGTTTCAATATTCCTAGAAACTACGCAAATTAATTATGTCCTGTTTTAGAGCAACCGGTGGCGCAACGTCCACAGCTCCGGCCGCTGGCTTCGCAGACCCAACTCTGGCCTCTTTGATTCAATTGCGCGTCACCTCGGCCACGAGTACTTCTATCCCAACATCCTCAGTTCCTACTCCTACTCCTACTCCTACTCTTAATCCATCAGGGGTAGCGTCTGAAAGCCACTCCAGCTCTGTGAATGCTGGCGCTATTGTGGGAGGTGTTGTGGGTGGCGTAATAGGGCTGGGACTAGTTGCGGCTTTTGTATGGTTTCTATTTAAGCGAAATCATAGCCAAGAGGAGAGTCCGGAGATCGAACAAAAGAATGCAGCGAAAGTATTCCCGAGCATACCGCAAGAGATGGAAACGCGCCTGCCACAAAAACCGGAGGCAGATAGTGGTCCGATTTTCGAGATGCCCGAGACAACGAAGTAGATCATATTGTCTTAGAATGCTGAAATCTGCGGATCCTTGTGTCACGCTACGTGGTCTATGAACTTATCCTCTGAGGCAATACATAGCTCCAGCTAAGACAACTCTTTTTGCACCGAAATGTTGCTCGCACACAGTGTGTATATTCATTACCAATGCGCCTTTCAAATATTGTATTGACGGTTACTGCGATTCTACAACAATCCTACGGGGAGATCCGGGGAAAGTGGAACTCGCTCATAGCGCATATACGCTAATATCCCAACAAAGAGACAAAGATGTCTTGTAAATTGACTTCTTGACTCTGGGAAACGACCAGTCGGCTATAGGTGTATTCATCGTGAGACTAATGACTCATGACATTTCTCGATTTTACAGATCCCATATCCTTTAGTATATTTTCTATAATAATACGTTAGTTTCGTTCCTGGTTTCTATCTGGATAGTGTTTATTTGGGTGGCATGGTCTAGATCTAATGAAGGTAGCATTAAACATATCAATTGATACAGAACATCATTAATATCCTTACAACGGGCGCTAGTTGAGTAAGGAGACAAGGCTAGAAAACCAAGGTATCTTCACACCGAACGCCCTGTATATTTTGAATATATTAATTGGCTGGCAATTCACTCAAGACTTGCTGACGGTTTGCATGCGTTGTTGCATCAAGCTCTAACCTTTGGGCTTGCACGGTCGCATCCAGTTCACTCTTTTCATATGTTGTCACTGTGGCCCCTGCTGCATTTATTTGTGGACGATTCCGTCTAGCTGCACGATACCACATAGCTGCTAAGACAATGATGATGATGACAGCGGCTGCTACGCCAACACCGATGCCTGCTTTTGCACCAGATGAAAGAGGAGCGGCCGAGGATGGCGCGGGGGTCGATATCGGAGTCGACGTAACAGAAGGTGAACTTGTAGTGTTGGTGTCGGTTTTTGCTGGTGAACCCGAGGTAGTCGTCGCAGCGGTCATAGTGGGGGCTGTGGTGGAACTGACTGTGTCGCCGAGGATCACAGGGGAAGCAAGCGAAAATATCCCGTGAGAACAGCAGTCGTCCTGGCCTAAGTTATCCGAATCCAAATGGCAGCAATAACTTGTCAGCGCAGCGTTGCAGGCCCAGATATATTGCCCTTTATAGGAATCGTCTGCGATGAATAGAGTTTATGAGCTCAGTCGGGATAACTTATGTTGGGCGACTTCCAGGGACCAGAGCAAATTCAACAGAACGCTAAGCGAACGAAGCAGAACATACATGTTGTACATTGAATAGAGCAGCTATCGTAGGTCTCATTCCGACAAGACGGGGTATAGTATAGACCAGTGTAATTGTACGTTACACCACCTGGAAACGTAACCGTCGATCCATTTTGGAAGTTGTTTTTGTCGCGACACAATCCGTTACTCATACAGGCGTCACCGCTGGGGCAACACATTTCTGAGTTGGCACAGGGCGTATCGTTTTCGGCGACAGTGCCATTGCGGTAGTAGCATGTCGTCGACTCTGACATGGTGCTCTGGGGGAATTCTTTCTTTCGCTGCCGGACGAGTTATCAACTATTGAAAAACATAATAGCATGAACAGTCACAGTTTGCTCGCAATCGGTTGAGAAGGGGTCGTCGGACGGAAAAGCTCCATTTAAGAGGCCGACGGTTGGAGGCCGTGGGAGCTTTGGTTGGAGGAGGGGGCTAATAATAATACCACCGCATCGAACCCCTGCGATCGGCATCAATAGGCGTTGTACCCATTGGTTGCTCAAGTTTAGTGTCGCGCCTGCATAATATTAGCTAGTTACGAATGACGCTTAGTCTATAGAGGCGCAGAGGGGCTGTTTAGTTCGTGGCATTGTACCTCTGCGACGCATCCTAGGCGCTAAAAACATCAATTTGATTGGCTGATATAGTAAGATTGGAGGCGCTACCTGCAACAGGGATCGAGATTGAGATTGAAAAATGCTCCGTTGAAGCGTTTGAAATTAAGCCTAACAAGAAGAGTTTCGGACATAAAACCTCTCTTAAATACGAGAATCGGCCTCCGTGACACTAGGTTCTTTTCATAACTTAATAAGACAATACCCTCAGTTGACAAGAAGCAAAGCGGCACTACTGCGACGCTAATACGGTTGTGGTGTGATAGCGGGCACTATTCCTGTCTTAAAAATACGGCATCTTGGTGGTCTTCTTGGGAGGCATTATTAGGGTCTGTCTGTTGGCTAGTGATGTTGAAATTTCGAAATCGTGATCATATCACCGAAATTAGAACATTTCATTCAAGGAAAATACAAGAATTAGCGCAATATTAATCATGAACAGAATATGGACCAATAGAATCAATATTTAAATGCTTTCGGTAGATTTGTGCACCCAAAAATTTGTATGTGAAATGAAATTTCAGTCACCTTGAAATTTAACATAACATCCCTACCATTAGCAGAACTTATTTCACAAGGTCGAATTATGAGGCTAGCAAGTTGTGTAATATTCCACCTACGAGTCAGGACCACATGGCAATAGCAGCATTTTGAAGTGTGGTTGATTTCCTGGGCATAAGTCCAAGGCCTAAGATGACTATCATTCTAGATAAGTTTAACTACTCTACGTAATGACAACTAAACTAGCCCAAGAAATGAATAAGCTAATGCTGGTGCTGTGTGTCAGGCTGGGGTGAGCATAAATTGTCTTGACCGGGCTGGAATTATATTTGGCTCGTTCTTAGTTGTCATGATGTGCTGCAAGGAGGGAATCACCTCAGCCAACTCAGGTTGTCGAGGTGTATAGCCGTATTGGAGGTACCGGACCAATTACGATTGTCTTGTAACTAGTACGACATTGCCAGGTGTCGCAGTGGAATGAGTTAATCCTGCTACGTCCTAATTTTCATCACAATAATGTACAGCATTGCAGCTGCCCTCCAGGAGTTTGAGGTTCTTGTGCGCAATGGTACCAGCAGCCGAAAGGCTAGGAAGAAGTCTGGATTAGAGACCTGGCTATCCCAAAGCCCAGTTTGCATTCCACACTCCAATTATTGCATTGACAGACAGTAGGGTGTCAGTCAGCTGGTGACAGCCCATTACCCGACTGGAAATTTTAGTATTTTGTTGCCGAACCACATACCCTTCTACCTATAGCTTTTAGTCATATAAAAGGCTGGCAACCGAGAGAAAAGTTAATATGACGTTGCATTGTCAGTATTTCTAATTATAACAACTTAATATATCATATCATATTGAGGGTACGTCAATAATGTACAATATTGCAGCCGCCCTCCCAGGGTCAGGGATGCTTGTTTGCAATGATCTCAGCAGTCAGAAGGCTGAGAAGCAGGTTCGATTAGATTCTTGGCTGTCCCAAAGCCCAATTTGTCTCCAATATGTCCTAGGGCCTTGTGGCATATATTGACCTGCTCTTCAGTGGCAAATGGGCAATGGCTCATCAGCCACAGCGGACCAAGAAGCATGTATGCGCCTCCAGCTTGTCCACTGACCAGTACGTCTGGATTATCGTTTCCAGCGTTTCGTATATCTCCAAGGATTAATTCAATAAGAACACAGAGCCTGGATAATAAATACCCTATTCGCTTCGGGAAAAAGTCCATTTTTTGAATCAATTCATGGCGAGCGCTATTATGGCCAGTGGCCCAAAGCATCGGCGAATGAGCAATGAGGCCGAGACAGGAGATAAGCCTCATATAAAAATAAATCTCGGCGCAGTAGAATATGGCCACGTAGCCAGGAGCCCACAAACCACGTGGATGAATTTCAAATATGTCTTCGTCTATATTGCATCCACTAGGGGGTCGCTCGGAGGTTGGATATTTCCAACTGCTCGGAAGGGTTCGATACCATTGTCCAATCTCATTAATTATATCGGCAGCAAACTGGAAAATAAGCTGTATTTGGAAGTTGCCCATTGCAGAAATACCCGGAGCAGAGCTATTTGTGGCCTGCGATTGCGAGATTCCTGCAGCTTCTAGTGGCTGATTGGTCATTGTCATAAATATAGATATTTTCCCACTAACTCTGACTGCTCGGTGCCAGTGGGTAGAATCATCGGCGATTACTAAAAGGTCTGCTAGACCTGCACATTGATAATCTCCAGTCATTAGAAAGTGCGTCATCTGTTGAAAATTAGCATGCGGAATGGATAACGGCGTCATGGTTTGCGGCCTACCGCATGACAGATCGCCCAGCTGAACAAGGACGAACTACATGTATCGCTTAAATTCCGACGTCCTCGTAATGTCATTAAATGATAAATTCCTGAGGTGTGTTGATTGATGACTCCGTCTCTCTCGCCAGCGACATCCTAAGCACTTATCAGCAAAAAGGGAGGGATTGAGAAAAAGGGGTTTGGGGTGATTCAGACTTACAATAAATAGACTTAAGAGTAAAACAGCGGCAAATATGCGATCGCTGGAGGCCTCCTGAGAAGAACCCAAGGCTGTGTTAATTGAAGCCAGGGCAGCGCCGTAGCTTTTCCTCGCATCAACGTACAAACTCTTGACGCCTATTCGATTATATAGGACAAGGTTGGAGACGGCGCCTAAAGCGAAATTTAAGCTATCATCCTCTTTTGGACTTCGCATCAAACCCGGAAGAAAGTCCAGAAAGCCAGCCGCCCCATCCGAGCCAGCGGATATGCGGTACTGGTTGACAAAAAAACAGAGGGCCTGATCTTGCCATGATGGCGATATTTGGCGAGTTGATAAATTTGAATGGCGAGGCGGTATTGGGGATTTGGCTGTTTTTGCAAGGGGGACAACTGCATCTACAGTTGCTGGCTTGGTAGTAGTAGTTTTGGTTTTACGGGGTTGTGGTTTCTGCACCCTGAAGGTGAAAGTATAAGTGTCTGCATATCCCGGACATTTTCTGCCGTAGTCCGAGCATTGGTGGCATGCAGGACGTGTCTCATCACACTACAGATGTCATCAGTGAACATGTTATGTCATTCGCAGCGCGCGCGAGGCACGTGCTCGGCAGGAAGGGCGAGTTGACCTTAATCTTCCGTTGGCGACAAAGATAGCATCCTCTGCTGCGCCCGCCTGGTAAGACCATGTCCGCGAGCCAGTAAAGTGGTCGATATACAGCGGACGCATGTGGGTAGCGAGAAGCAAAGCAGCGGCGGACTCAGCAAATTCATCGCCAGCGCGGAATTCGGCTGTTTGTTGGGAAACCTCCCCGCTCGGCTTTGCTGCCTGCGTCCGCCGTGGCCCGTTTTCCCCGCAAATCACGCAGCCCGTGGCCAATCAGCAGCCTCTCCGCTCGGACGTTACTAATCATGTGCTTTTGCTCATTATTAAGGCATTTCTCGTTGTATTAAGCTATCTAGTATTCATTGTTTGCATGGTTTGATACCATGACACCGTGCCCTTCCTCTACAACCCTCTTTACTCAATGTCGACCTTCTTGATTTCAACAAATCCAGAGTCGAGCTTCGGGGCGTTGATGATGAGAACTCCGCCCTCCATCCTGGCGGTGATCATATCGGTATCGATCTGGCTTGAGTTGGCACGGCTTCCTAAGCGTACTCTCTCCTCAAAGGTGCCCACCTTATTCTTGTTCTGCCCTGACTCTTTGTTCGCGGATTGTTCGTCCCCGGGTCGCTGCATGGAGCCAGCAATATTGAGCTCATATTTTTTCGAGTCCCAGGTCACCTCGATGTCTTCTTTCCTTGCACCAGGGAGCGAAAGGCAGACGACATAGCTTTCAGGTGTGTCGAAAACATCAACCTGGGGCTTGGACTCACCTACCCGGTCTCTGGTCATCCCATCCTCAAACCCAAACGGGTTCAGGGGGCTAGAACCTCCCTGTGGCATCGGGTTGGAGTTACCGAAAGAGCCAAACCGTGCCCATGGTGCAAAGTTACCCCATGGCCCAAATGCACCCGCAGGTGCAACTCCCCAGGGGCTCGCACCACCCATGGGTCTAAAGCTATTCCAGTGCCCGAAGCCGCCAAAGTTGTTTCCCGGCCATCCCCATGGTCCGAAACCACCAGGCATTCCGGACGTTGGTCCGAACCCATTCATAAGTGCCCACCGGTTTGCAGGATTGAAACTGCCGCCGGGTCCTAGGCCGTATTGATCGCGGGCCTGGTTGCCTAATCCATGTTCACGAAAGTCGCGACGTCTGTCATGAGGCCGTTGCCAAGGGTGAGGCTGCTCTGTGAATGGTGGTGGTGGTCCACGAGGTTCTGGCTGGCCTTCGTTGGGTGCCTGTTCTTTTACCTGGTCATCTTCATGACCTGCTTCTTGCTCAGCGGATGCGAGGTTGCGGTGTTGATTGAAAAAATCCTGTCGGCTTTGCGGTGAGAATGGAAGGCCGGGTGGGCAGCCCCATGCTCCTGGCCATGGGCAGTAGCCATCGTTGGCTTCGTTGCGAGCATTGCCGCTGGGATCCAGGCACGGAAACTGCGACGAGCCTTGTGAATGTGGCTCGGTGTTCGTCGCATATTCCCAGAGTGAAGCTGGATGGGTGTGGTATCGTATGGCTGACATAATGCGAGCAATGATAAATTGTTGTCTCTCTGTGTCAATAGCGGGGTTGGACGAGAGGAGCTGTTTTTAGTTGAAGCCGTAAGAAAGGCCCAGCCTGGCTATTTAAATATAAAATACCCTGGTAGGCAGAAGCGCCTCTGGAATGGTAGCACAACTCCGGAATTGTTCGGGCCCGTCTAGGATCCGGAGAGCCTGCTATATGTTACGGCTCGACGAGGATTCAGAAAGGATCAAAATCCATGAGCCTGATTCAATAACAAGAGGGACTCTGGAGAGAGAAAAGAAAAGACTCCATCCATAGAGAAATGGCCAGTTTATAGACTGAGCCCTACAATATTACTGCAGGAGATTTGGGGAGATTCTCAGCATATCCTTCATTTTGCAGCTAGCATCCTCCGACCAAAACATAACACTATGCCTTTTACCGGAATCTTCCTGCCAAACCATTATACTGTGCCGTTATGGCTGATGCGCGGGAAGTAGAAAAGCCCGTGTCTGGTTGCGGCCCCAGCTCGGGCCCGTCCAAAGTCCGGAGCCTTTCCAAGGCAACAAGGCAGCAAGGCATCAATACTCCGGTCGATGTTTCCTGCCTGCATTGACGCCAATGGATTCACCTTTCTCTCTTCAGTCCGGCATTTGGAACCGCGACAATTCACCAAAGACGGTGGCTGCCTATTATTCTTCGTGCATCTGCTTTGCCCCCAAGGCTCCTCCTCCGTCGTCATTGACATTTCATCCCCGGGTCTTTTGTCGCTGTAATTCCTCGCCGGATGGCAATCCGTCTCTCTTCATCGGGTTCCCATTGTTAAACCTGGCATCGCCGTGGAAATGCTTGGGTGTGGTTTTAGCCGCTTTAACAATGAGCATGCCCTTGGTTTCGTAACACCAGTTACCATATCAAATGCACCTTTTATCATGGCTACTTGCAGTTGCGGCGCTAAATAGTCATTAGCCATTGGTCGAGTATGGCCCCCCAAATATCGAAGCTGAGGTTTGAAGACAAGGATTGGGGTATAGTGTGTTTGAGGAAACGCCTCGTCGGCAATATTTTGATTTATCAGGCTTCATATTAATTAGTTAGAGACAACTTCTTCCGCACCCCGTCCAAGTCTGTATGCAAAGAAGTTCCTACTTATCGTTATATTCTACTCATTTTTAGGAGTATACTATATCTTAATATTATAAATAATGCAGCAGTCGGCAGGTCTCGAGGTTGTCGCTGAACTCCCTGGGGTTGAACCTAAACGAGTGGCAGTATACCCTGATCAAGGACCACAATTCTGGGAGCCCTATAAACAGCGACAGACTGAAAAGGAGCCTAGCATTGCGCGACATATCTGTGGACTGAAAAGAACGACTTTCTGGATCCTGTTCGCCGCGGCATTACTTATCATAACCGCTGCTGCACTTGGAGGTGGACTAGGGGGTGGACTCTCACATCGGGCACAGAACACAGAACAACAGCAAACATCAAACCCCTCGACGTCAACTACATCGACTTCCTCTACCAGCATGAGCAGTACAACATCCTCGGCCGCAAACCCATCAGTCATGGCGGCAGTCGGCACTATTGACGGCCAGCCCGTAACTCTTTATCGCGACTGCCCCTCTGCCAACGATACGCAGTACTCCTTCCAGATAGATTCCACGACATACAAGTTCCGGAAATTATGCAATATGCAGGCTCAGGTTACACAACAACACACAGCCTATGTCAATCAACGAACAGGCAGTTTGAACGACTGTATCAACCTCTGTGCGACGTGGAATGAGAATAACGTCACCAAAAGCAATGCAGGGCAGGTCTGTTCGTCGGTATGCTGGCGGAATGGCTTTGAGAATGATGACTTCCCCGGCCAATGCTTTGGATACACGGGCAATAATATCTCGGCGCCTGGAGGGTTTGATCTTCAGGTTGACAATACCTGCGATTCAGGCATCTGGGTTAATTAGACATAAAATGCATTTCGTTTAGTGAACAGTCTTGTTGTAATAATACCAGTGACTCCTGTTTGGATAACGGAAGGTGAATATACAATAGCGCTTTGATAATTATAAGCCGAAACATTGAATTTATATAATATCTAAGAATTCATTGCCCTGATGTTTAATTAATATCATTCTACTTCACGGCGCATCTAAAGTGGAATTTCATGAGTCTACCTAAAAGGCCTAACGATCTTTAGTCCAATGATGTCAGTGTCTTGAAATCTTACTATAAATAAATAATATTCCTTACCAACAAAGCCATCGCAAGAATTGGACAAGACCTCGGGATCATCCTTCATCAATCTTTCGAGGAGAAAGTTCAGTCCAAAATAACCGTAAATATTCACTGGCTTGATTGCACAATGCTCGCTAGCAAGTTGATATCCCATTGAACGACCTGATATTTAGCTACTCGTGAGAGTAGAACACGTAGCCAAAATGTAAACTGAAAAGCGAACTTTAGGAAGGATTCAACTGCCTTTTGACTTCGTTTTCAATTCACAATTACTTGCTGCTAATCCTGTATGTAAGTCTAAGTGCAATGCGGCGTACTTGAGGAATGGATAGGTGCGAGTCAAATCAAAGAACTGCTGTATTTTTAGATGACCAGTTTCAATGTGAAACTTTTCCGGTGAAAGAAACTGAGAAAAGGAATTTGTGACACTGATGTGGCCATCGGGAAATTTTGTCGTTTTGCTACACAGGCATACATAATTATACATCCGACGCACGTGGGGGCAAATTTCAACAATTCTCAACGATCCAAGCATCATTGAAACACCAATTACACTATTCATCACTTTCTGGGTTACAAATTTGAGGGCATTGGCAATGAAATGGTGGTATCAGCACAGTAGTCCTAGCATCGTTAAAGGGAAAGTTGTCATACCGCAGATCCGCAATCATCTTGGTATCAGGTTGATAAGAAAGTGCCAATCCCAAGTACAAATTTTGCATTTCGAATTCTGAATTCTGAGTTTCGTGGGTGGGGCATCCCTAGCCTTCGGGAGATCAATGCCATTATTCTCAATGCCGTCAGCGGCAGGCTATTCTAGAAGGGCTCGATCCGCCAGATCTTGGCTGTCTACATCCGAAACAAGTCGAGTAGGGTTAAAGCCAATATTGAGGACATCACTCTTGGCGCCAAGCATATTGCCTGGTCGTTGGTATGCTTGCTTGATGGTTGTGGTGATTACAACAACCGTGTTTTGAATTTATATTTACAGACCCTTACCAAAGGACTAGGTTAGCACTTCAATTAAATTCAATGATCGGTGATGAGACCGATCATCGTGTGAATGATTCAGATTTCAAAAATAGATCGACATCCGCCTAGAAAGAATTCTCCACAACACGATACGTAGTACATATTTGCTCCGTGCCTTTGTCCCAAGTAACTTGTGGAGCCTAGCTTGGCAACTTGTGGATACCTAGAATTAACATCCAGGAGTCAAGAGCCTGAGTCTGTTCGGAACGTAAGGAACATGTGAGCTGTCGAAGACTGGCCAAAGCCCACAACCAGAATATGAGCCCGGGAACCAATGAATGACACACGAATGATAAATCGCATCAAGGACTCAGTTTCGTGGCTTTTGTCCGGTACTTTTGCTTGGAGAATCTCGATACCAGGGATCAGATGATCTAGGCACTAGGACCGATAACAGACTATTTTAGTCCTCTATGCAGTATAGATTTTCAACCGTCAGGCTGCAAAGTGAAGTTTCCTTCGAAAAGAACGTGCTCGGGTATAAGTAAACGAGGAAAGGGGGTTGTCCGAGACACCTCAGAGTTCCTTTGCAGGCACAAACAACCCTTTTCAACATTTGTTGGTGGCTGCTCGCTCTCATACCCCTTGATGGCTTCTAAATAGCGGATGCCGATCATCCGTTCGGCTTGCCGGAGCCCAGAAAGAAGGGAGTGTTTCGGGAGCAAATCGTTCACTAAACGGTGACACTAGTGGCTGATCCTCGAGATAGGCATGGGCCATGGATCCGTCATTGTTGCGTACAACAAACGAGCAAGTTGACACGATCTGCGCTGCGACATTCAGGTATCACCAAAGGAATTTCTTTCGTCGATGCCCAATAAATCCTATACACCCTATAATCGAAGATCTAAAACGAATTAAAACCCCTCCAAGAAAGTTCACTTGCTCCTTGCCGCCATTGCATTATATTCACGTTCTGACAGTGTGTCTCAAGAATGGATAGATGATGCGAGCCGACACAAGGCCCGTGGACAACTTATGCATATGGAATAGATCTTCACGGGTATCTAAGAATGTTGACGACACTGCAATTTGTCTGCACCCTCAGGGATATATTCATGCCCATTGAAATACACTTTGAGATTCTTGGCAACGTGTGGATTCTCTAATGACGAGACTTGGCAATGGATATGCAATAACAACAATGGTCAACTAAATTCATCTACTAGCTGGTTGCTCAAGGGGCTTATCTAGTACTAACGGGCGTTGCACTTGGCCAAGAGTATTGAAATATCAGCCTCTTTCTTTTTTCGTGGTTTAGGAGAATGGATCACACTTGAGGTTTATATAGGCACATTTTCCCATCCTGGCCCCTTGCTTTGATGCATCTTATCTTGAATGCTTCTCTTGTCCACTGCTTTGAATTTAAAAAGATTAGCCTTCCGGAGCCTGTATCAAAATGCCACCCGATATTGATACCACCAAGCTTACCGTCCAAGAACATGCCCTGCCATCGCTTTGTGAATCAGCACCCAGTTCATCGGTACCAGGATCACCGGTTTCTAGACCCACAAAAGGACTTATATCGTCATTCTCGTCGTCATCTACGCTCGCAAATCTTGAAACCGAATCATGTAACCGAGATGTAGAGCGAAAACTCACTCAAACTACTGATACTTCTGATCAATTGAACAAGGAAGATGAAGAGCTAGGGGCCTCCGCGTCATCCAAGCAGATTGATCAGCAACCATATCACATCTTCAGCAGAAAAAGAAAGAAGCAAATGGTCTATATTGTCTCGTTTGCTGCTCTATTCTCTCCCTTGTCTTCGAATATTTACTTTCCTGCTCTAGGTGATGTTTCAAAGGTACTGTTTGGCTATGCTCATGCTGGCTATGTACATATGGCGATTAAAGCTAATTAATTTCGATTTTCGATAGAAATTGAACATTTCCATGCCCCTCGCAAACTTGACAATAACCGTATATATGATTGTCCAAGGCATAGCACCTTCCTTCTGGGGCTCTTTGGCAGATTCTGTTGGTCGACGATCCGTTTTCATGGGCACATTCGTCGTGTATCTAATTGCCAATATTGTGCTTGCATTTTCGAATAACTATACCCAAGTCATGGTTTTTCGTGCGGTGCAGGCAGCTGGAAGTGCTGCAACAATCTCTATCGGTATCGCCCATCATCCTTGGCTGGCTTCAAGATGAGGTTACAGACTAACATCTGTTTAGGCGCGGGGGTGATCGGAGACCTTACCACATCAGACGAGCGAGGAGGTTTAGTTGGAACATTCGGTGGAGGTAAGTAATAGACTATAGGGGCAAGTGAGACGATAATTAATGAAAATACACAGTTCGAATGTTAGGCCAGGCCATTGGTCCCGTTTTTGGAGGTCTTTTGACTCAGTACTGCGGTTATCAATCAATATTCTGGTTCCTGACGGCTTTCGGGGGACTCAGTCTCGTCACTATTATTTTTTTTCTGCCAGAAACGTTACGGACCATCGCTGGAGATGGCACAGTCCGACTGAAAGGCTTTCATCATCAACCTATTATCTACATGCTCACTGGCCAGCCAAATGTCAACAAACATTCGATTCCGGATGGAAAGCGAGTTGGTGTTAAGCTTCTGACTATATTCGAGCCGCTCATATTCCTAGCTGAAAAGGATGTTTTCATCACTTTATTTTTTGGCAGCATTGTCTATACAGTATGGAGTATGGTGACGTCCAGTACGATGTCCGTCTTCGAACACGCATACGAGCTAGATTCTTTGAAAGTCGGTCTCATATTTCTCGCCAATGGTAATACTCTATCCATTTATCTGAATTTCGACCACTTTTGAAAGAAGTAAAGAGTAACATATTTGACCAGGAGCCGGATGTGTGAGTGGTTCCTTCTTAATGGGATGTCTCATGGATAGTGATCATCGGCGTTACGAGATGAAATACTGCAAAGCCAACGGATACCCAATCGAGACTCGAATTAATTTACGATCGTACCAAGACTTTCCCATCGAACAAGCTCGGTTGTATAATAACTGGTGGATTGTCTTGATATTCGTTATTTGCATTGCCGGTTATGGGTTCACTCTGGAAGCACCCAAGTCATTGATGCCGTTGGCCATCCTCCTCCAATTCTTCATTGCTTTCACCGCAACTGCTGTTTTCAGCGCCAATAGTGCCTTGATTATTGACTTGTACCCTGGGAAAAGCGCAAGTGCGACAGCAGTCAATAATCTCATTCGCTGCTCCATCGGTGCTGCCGGTGTCGCTGTTATCGAAATCCTCATCGATGCTTTAACTGCCAAGTATACGTTCCTCTTGCTCGCGTGTATAACTGTGGTGACCTCGCCGCTACTTCTTTTGGAGCTTATGAAAGGCGCTGAGTGGCGTTTAGCACGACAGGCACGACTTACCAAAAAATAAATCTTTCTACTCCTAGGTATGATTTGAGGAAACACACTTCCTGTACAAACTTTCCCTTCTTTCAATTTGATTTTCATTGTATATATTTATGAGTCTATTAAAGGTGAGTATACGGAGTGAATATATTTTATATATTGATATATTAATGTTTTCTGGACCTAATATCCAAAATGAATATGAATACGATCCCTCTTGATTCTGAACGATTGATCATCAAATATTACGTGTAGATTGAATCGATACAACACAAGTTTCACAGATACGTATCAATTTATTCAATGTTATAATGTAAACTTAACATCCGTCTGAGAATTGGCGTCTAACTACTACATGTATATTGATATCAATTGATGTAAGCAATTGGTGCTGGTGTCAATATTGAACGCCGAAGGGGGCATATACGTATTTTCCGTCATATCGATGGATGACTGGAACTCAACATATGTACTTATCAAATCAATCCTAAGATTGCTATTAATAAACTATGAAAATAGCCTTAGTTGTAGAATTAGTTCAAGAGAAAAAAAAATCCAACTATTCATTCCTTGCAAACAATTCCCAAGACAAGGTTCTTCTCCAGACGTGTCTAGCCCAAGAATCTCATTCAAATTGTTAAAAATAAGCGATGTAACGTCTCCAGTATCTTTCGAGCCTCTTATAATTGCTAAATCTTCAATGTAGTCGGTTGAGGGTTTGAGATCGTCGTTCTCAATGTCTACTTGGTATAGGGAATAGGCGTGATGTGCCCAAGTATTACAATTTCTTCTCAGATTGAAAGAGCGAGTTTCAATTATAGATGTTTATCATAAATGATCCACTCATAATTACTAGTTGGCAATAGCGGGCTAAGAGGGTCCCAGGAAAAATATCCGCAGCTGATCTGAACCCATTATGCTTTTCGGAAGATGCTTCCTTTTCCGCGATTAAGGAGTTTCTTTCTTTCTTTCTTTTTGAACGCTTCAATTGACAAATATCTCTCTGTTTTATTAGATATTAAAAACTGCCAAAATCCCACAGCTAGATACTTCCATGGTCATTTTCGAACATGAAAAGTTCGCGAGAAATTAGAAATTTACTCCCTATCATGGCCGGATAGTGAGGTCTGCTCGAAATATCTGATTGACATTTTTATGTAACTCCACAGCATTTTGGGAATTTTTTGTTAGAATGCCATTGATAAAACGAACTTTTGCTCTTTATCGGTGACAGCCTAAATTGATTATACAAAGCTTGAGTGCCGTCTCGGGTTTGCACTCCACCGGGAATGAAAATTTCTCAGTATACCGACCCTTCACAAACTCAAAGATGTTATCAGCTCTTGGGTTCGTAAGACAATCTTTTGGAAAGCTGTCTATATAGATTCTTATCCTCCCCTTGACAAGTTCACATCAAGCCTACTTACCTCCTGCATCAACCATCAACTAGATAGGCTATCAAAAAAAGCCAAACAATAAAATATAGTTATCGAACCCAAGGTGACCAGCGGGTGACGGCCTCCGTCACCCGCACGGCTCCCAATAACTGGGTTATTAATCCCTAGTTACTGTAGTGGAAAATTCCCCTACATTGTATGTCCGGGTCGAAGTCGTACCGCCCCGGCCGGTGGTATAAATAGTACCGGGCTTACAGGTCTCTTTTTGTATGTCATGCTCTTTACCAGCGATTTGAAGATACACAATGAATATGATTATCATGCCAATTCTATGAGATGACTAAGGATTATATTGAGTAATTGATTAAGCTGACATATCATAGAGCTATAGTCCGGTTGTGATTCCTGCTCTCGCTTAGGGCTCTGCACTTGCCTACTTTGACAAGCCACCTAGATTTACCCTTCATTATTTTAAAGATGATTTGCCCTTTCTTGGTTTAACTTGACCTTAGTCTGATGCACGTTAGTTTTGCAATAACCGCAGCCTGACCGCTTACAAATTTAAAATAATTTAAATTAATGAATAATATGTACATTTTTAAAGATTCCATCTGACCAGGCCGTCACACATGCTAGCTTTGGCATCGGCGGATAGAGCTTGAATCTTGCGGCTGGAATGAGAAGACAATTCCTATGATGAGCTGTTTGAAAAGCATGGCGTGTTTCTCGTCTCGCCTAGGAATATGCCATTAATACCACCCGCACACGAACAATTTTCATGTGTATGGGGCGATCGACCAACCTGTGGTAGTGTACCAATATTTATCTTATTAGGGCGCGGAGTGCGAATCTGAGCGGATACTCCAATACGATACGGAGACAGTGAACAAGACACTGAGGACAGAGAAGATCACTGGATCCCGACTCATTAACCACCAATTCGGGAAAGCATTGAGTAAGTGAGATCTGAGACACAAGCTCTAAGTTCTAATTAACTGGTAGTTATACGTATGATTGTACAGCGCAGTTTTCCGAATCAGTTTGGTTTTCGTGGGGGCTGAGAGCCTGGGGCTGAGTCTGCCGCGTGGCTAACTTTCCTGATCTTCAGTAGAAATTTCCGGTATAGTCAATTATTGGGACGGGAGAATCGCGGCTGGCTGTACTGTGTATTTTTAGGATGCACGGGCCCGCTGTAAGTGCCCACTGGAAATTCTGAAGAGAAAGGCAGTATTCAGGCGCCGAGATAGCCGGCCACCTGAGCAGCGAGTCCTAAATATTTGGAGCACGGATCGATCAATGCCGTATATTGGTACAGTATTATCAGTTACATGTCGACATGGTAAAAATTTGAGAATAGGAAATAATTTGAGAAAATTTCACCCTCAAGTTTTCAGAAAGGGTATCACTCAGGGCTGTCAGGTTGTTAGCAATGTATAAATTGGATCGACAAAGTTAGTCCATGAACGTACAAGTGTTCTATTCTGCATTCGTGTGTCTGTGGCTCATATTCAAGGCACAAAATACCGGTTCATCCTATAGAACCAGCGCTGTAAAGCACTAGAGATTCGCAGATGTTTCGCACATCAAGGAAATTGGAACATTTGACATTATTCTTGTTCGTCATTCGTCATTAGCTCATTTGAACCTTTGAAAGAGTCTTCCGAGCCGTAAAGCTCAGCCATTTCTAGTAGCAGTCTATATATATATATTGACATGTCGATAGGTCGTAACACTTGTCGTGACCAGGTGGATCCGGATTGGGCGATCTCTGAGGATAATCTCTCGCCTTCTGGGTCATTAACGAGAAAGTCCATCAACGCAGGAAGCTCTTCCATCCCCATGGTCACTGGAACGAAGTGGACCCAGGGGACAAGGCGGTCATCGTGCCATTCTTGAAACCAGCTTTGCTTCAATACGACTGCATGTTGAGATAAAAGACGATAAAACCGTGTGCTCATGCTGTTTCCATCAATATCATAGAGATACCGGTAGTTTAAAGCTGTATCCTCAGGCTCAATGTCGGAAGGACCCATGATACGCTCCATATCTTTACAGGCCTCATTGTCACACTGAATATAAGCTCCCATGTGTACGTCCAACCCGTGACTGAAAAGGTCGATTTTTTTCTGATCGCGGACATCCGGTTTCCAATGTCCAAAGAATTGGCTTGCCTTAATTACACTAGCAGCATCTTTGAGAGACTGTATGAATGTAACAAATCGCTCTCTATGTCCAAACTCCCAATTGAAGCGAGAGGCTCTTCCTCCGGTAGATGAGCCGCGCCAGTACAGTCCCGGCCTTTTATCCAAGAAGGGAATATTATCTTCTTTTGGAATGGGGTGTGAAACATAGCACGGGCATGGAATTAGAATGTCTCTAAAGGCAGACATGCGACCAAAACTCAGTATAGGAGCAAGCGAGTGGGTATACTGAAATGTATCAGGCGAAGAGATGAGGCCATGAAGCTTTCCAGGTTCGGAAAATTGACAAACATCCTTTTCATAGCTAATACGTCTCGTCATCTCGCGAGGAAGTTGTGCACAGGAGTCCTTCACTAGTGCTTCAATCGATTTGCCCGAATGGTCACCAAAAGAAATCTGATCTGGCGGAGGCCCAGGTTTGCTGAGTATTCGCGGTTCGTCAATGACACTCATGTAGAAAACGCTGTCTGGCAACGCTTTGACAAATGGTTCGACAAGCCCTAACCATTGATCGTTATACATATACCACGCTGATGTAGACATAACTCCGTTGTCAATTTTAACACGCCTCGTTCCGGGCCAGTCTGTCTTTCTTTCATTTAGTAGCTGGAAGACTCGCCGACCCTCGGGGGTTCGGTATGGTTCTAGGTCTCGATCGATTTGATCAAAGTCGTCAATCACTTTTGACTGATGACTTAAAGCGAACTCCACCCATTCATTAAACCCTCTAGGAGGGCTTCGTTGATAACGGCGTTTATACTCGGCAACTGCCTCTTCGGGGTTCGATGATTGCGACTCGAAAGACGAATTTGCCCGTGCTTGTGCGGTTTGGATTCGACAGCGAATGGCAACTGATGAGAAATCATTGTCCAATACTTGAGCCGGGCATCCCACCGCAGAAAAGTTGCCACGATATTCGATAGATCTATTAACAAGATATAAGATAAGAAAGACAGCCACAGTCAATACTGTCGCCTCTCTCACTCTCAGCCTCCGAGGAAACCTTAACTTTGATGGCAAAGAAAACAACAGCATCGGGGTGAAGTTTGATACGTTGTGTTATGTTCGACGAGAGTAAATTGAATGGGTATTTATCGCCCGGGGTTTGTGATACATACATATTTTAATATACGGGTGCCAGCTAGCATAAGACACGCCCCGTATAGCCGAAAACATAAGAGGTACAGACTACAGTAAACCCTAGGATTAAGGAATCAATTTTGTACGACATTTTGGTTCCTTAATCCGCGGGATTCCTTTATATAAGGGGCCTAATAGTCAATATTGGCCAATAATACCACTGATCCTTATATTAAGGAACTTCGTATGGCAGCTAAATCTTCTGAAAAATTCCTTATACTCGAGTAATTCCTTATTTCTATATATATTACTGGATAAAAAGTATCCACTTTAACCCACTTAGCTCGTTTCTTGAGCTGAGGTTTCTTAGGTTTACTGTACAAGGTTTCCCATTCGCGGGGGCTAAATAATAGTTACAACATTCTCGTCTTCTTACCGTCTATCCCCACTCTACATAGCTATCTATCATACTGCCCCGGTGAATAAATACGATGGATAATATTTGCCTGATTAGTAATTCAAATTATACACACGTATTACATTTTACAGCTTCTAGGTTGAAACATTCTGTAGTCAGGCCATTTGCGAGGTTAACGGGTGAAATGATGCTTGTGTCTTACCCACCAAATCATTACGATGCCGTGAGCTGATCAATTACCCAACAAAGTCATCAGGAAATCAACGCCATGACAATTTTTCCCCCCACATCAATTAGCGCATTATCGGCTTACTGTGCTTACCACTAAATCTGATTGTCGTACAGAGCGAATTTCTTGATTTTTCAGCTCCAAATCTCAGCTCTGAACTTGGTCCAAACTTGCCCCTACTTCAACTGGTTACGGAGGGTGTTAGGGCTGGGGGTTTTGTTAGGGTTCGGTTGAGTTTATATGTGGACTCTTGGATTTTCTTTGAAGAATCAGAGTGTGAAGTAATAGGGCAAAGGGCAGCCCTATAAATAGTCGGCCAATGGCGAAAATGAGCCCGTGGTGTCACAATGATCCGCTCCCCTGAACGGAGCTCGCCAATCCACTTGGATGGCTTCAACCCGAGATGTTCCGGGTAGTAGAACTCTGGTATTTCTTCTTTCCCTTCAGCACTGCCGCCAGTGTAGTTAAGGTTTTTGCCATCCATGTGGACTATCCAAGATTAAATGACACTATTTATGGTCCAAGTCACTCGATGTGTTCTCCGTAGCTGAGAGGTGTGAATATTTTGAAAGATCTGAGGTCTAGCAGATGTTGTTCTAAGATGGTGTTGCTTCAATATGTCTGCGCCGTGCTTGACCTGAATATAGGCTTCGAACCATGTCTACGACCCCAGGTGCTTCCTATGAGAAAACGAGTTGTCGCTGAACCCTTGGTCATGACTAGTAACCTGGAAGTCAATTCGTCCCACAGGGAGATCTCGCCGGACGACTGAGGAACTTCGCAAATACTAAATCGCAGCATCTTCAGCTTCGCTGATCTGGAGGGCCGAAAAACAGTCGGCTTGACTCACTAACCAATATTCCGCATGATCGAATATCAAGGAGATTATAGATGGAGTAAACCGGCCGAATGACGCCTGTTTAAGGTAGAAGTGAGCCTGAAACTGATCTGTTGGCCTTTGAAGCTCATAAAATTGGACGGATGACGTGGCCCTTATGCGCGAAGCCGACCATTTCCACATTGGTCAGCAATTTGTCATCTTCTATTTGGATCAAAACCAATGAATAGCGTTAGATGCGTGCGGTATCTTCGAAATTTAAACAGCTGTCATCAAAAGTAATCTCATGGTATTAGGCATGCGGTTCTCTGCCGCAATGCACAGAGCAGTCTTACCCGTTAAACCTTCGGCATCAACGTCTGTCTCGCAGTTCAGGAGAATTTTGACCACGTTCCCACCGTTCCCTTTGCTCGCAAGGTACAGAGGGGTTTCTCTTTTCTCATTCAAGGCTTGAATTTCAGCGTGGCTCTGGACTAGATACCATACCACCTCTGCATGGCCTGTCTCAGCTACAGGCGTAATGCTGTGTTCATCCCCGAGTCCTTAGTCTCAATAATACTCTTACTAGGAAATTTTCTAAGAACAGGTTTGACAGTTTCGACTAAGCCACTGCAGACAGCGTGGTGTAGCACCAGACCAATATCTACGATAGCTAGAGCGACTTAAAGTGACGTGCGAGCAGCATATCTACCACGTTGGCTCGTCCGTTTTCGGCGGCGAAAAGCACTGTTCTCGGTTCTTGCTATAATGGCCGGCAACATTCTATAGAGCATTCCGCTATTCCAATTGATGAACAGTTCTGTGATTTCTGCGGGCCTAGAAGAGCATTCTGAATCGCTAGTATACCCTATGGAGGTTTTAACTGCTAGCTGCTGCCCATATCTTGAGTCGAGCACGATTCTGGAGTTTTCGAGATGACCTACTTCAGCAGCGCAGTGTAGCGGGTAATGAAGCAAATCATCACCCAGCTCCAGGACCCAATTCTAAGTCATTCAGACATTGTAAAAAATACTACCAAGTGATCCTTATTCCCCCACCGAGCGGCCTAATGGACAGCAGTCTGCTTTTGATGCATCTTACGCAACAGTGTGGCAGTTCCTTTCTCAGTTGCCAGAATCTCTGAAATAACGCCACTGTGCCTGTTAGCAGCAGCAGGTATCAATGGAGTCACCTTAAATTCTATATTTGTTGTAAAATTCTCACCAGATTCCAAGAGCAAAGTCGTAGAGCTGTGTTGCCTGTGTACCAAAGAAATAACTAGTGGCCTCTCGTCCCCTGGTCCCGTCTGTTCTATGATGTTTTTGGAACTTTCATGGCCTAAGATAGAACGCAAAGTTGATAAGTGATGAAAGTACTGAACGTGCACTGGGGTGTTATAGATCTCTATATCGCTTGGGGGCCTCATGGTTTGATAAAAGATGATCTTAAGGTCTTGTTCAATTCTTGTGATAGCTTTGTTGGTAAGAAATATTATTTATTTGAAGACACGAACAACAATAGACCTAAAATTGTTAGACACTTAGCTAGACTCATAAGACTCTATTTTGATTATTCATTAAACAACATGTAATTAATGTGTCATTGATCTGTCTCATATATCCGAATCCCTGAATCACAGGTATTGTCAACTTGAAGATCAAATCTTCCAGACATCAACACACTATTGCCCGCGTACCCAAAGCATTATCCTAGGACTTTAGTCATCATTATCAAAATCATTCCGCCAGCATACTGATAAACAGATCTGCCCCAAGCCTGCATTGCTTTTGGTGATATTGTTCTTATTCCACTTCATATAGAAATTGATGTAATCGTTTAAACTGCTTTTCTATTAATTAATACAGTCTATATATAGTTGGGTAATCTGAGCCTATATATTATATAATTTATTGGAAGGAGTACTGTATATTATGAATAGTACTGACTTTTGCTTTAATTGATAGATTCATGGTTGAGGATATTATACTAACCATATTAGTAGAGTACATTCAGATAGCCAAAGTTAAAATAGTTAATATGAAAGATGTAATATTTGTTATTAAGATCAGTATTAGTAACACTAAATGATATGCCTTAGCACTCCAATCTCCATTTCTATAGGAAGGCTATATGTAGATATTAAGACTAAACATATTAATTACTTTAGGTAACCTAATATATTCTAGCGTAGATCTGTCGCTAAGAATAAAATAATAGTTACATAATAAGGATAATTCTTTCATTGGTTTTTTATACTATACGTATTTTATTCTTAATTATATGATAATGAAATACCGATTTTCCGATCCTTATCTGAATGATATCCACCTAGATATTGACTGCTGATCAGCTAGCTACACGCCGGCTGGTTAGTAGTTGGGTGGATGACCACTAGCTAATCCTAGCTGTTTGCATGTTTGTATTTTTATATTTTTTTCCTTCTTCTAATTGAAGTTGGGATCTATTCACAAGTTTGTGTCTAAAGAAATCGTCGAACCATCAGATTGAATCGAGTATCCTTCTCCCTCACAAGCTCCGGTGTTAGGCTGTCCAGATACTCTTCCCTCGCTACTTGGCTCCAAGCGTGGTACGCCAGTTGGTTAGAATACAATGCGCCGCCATAGGCTTCCAGCAGGTTCTCCACCTCCAAAACCTCTTCCTCGCTAAGATCATCATGCATATAGCGGATATGCCTATGGGTCCACGTAGGCCAGAAGAAGACGGTTGGAGCGAGCGTGCAAATTTCACTAGGTCGGTCTAAAGACATCTCTTTTGGTAGTAGCACGGAGTGATAGTTCCATTCTGATGGGACAAAATCACTGTACCTGTCAATCCACTGGCCTAGGAATTCTGCATTTGCACGCGCGAGGATGATGGCGTTACAGAGGCCGTGACGGTCACCACCCTCATGACCCAAAATGACGTTTCGTTGGCTATTCAGTAGGGTATCGAAGGTTTGAAGAGCGATAACGTCCGCATCTAGGTAGATGCCGCCTTCACGGTGAAGGATGTCGAGACGGAGAGCATCGGTCATGTGGCTCACCTGCCAGTGCTCTTGAGTTTGTTTGGGATATTCAACTGCCATGTCGTGCTGGACTAATGTGATGCTAGCTTGCAGTCTCTGAAACCAAATATTATCCCTATTGAGCTCTTCGTAATGAAGCTTCAGCGTATCTGGTTTAAGAGAGATTAGGGCGGATCGGATTGCAAGGTAATTCATAAACGTCATTTCAGGATGATTCCCAAATCCCCAGAGGAAGTGCACGACTTTGGGAATCGGGCTTTTCAATACGTCGATGTTGTTGAAACATTGCGCTTCTTCAACAGTTTCTTGAAAGTCGTAAGACTCGGTCAGTCTTTCCGAGTTATTAAAGTGCAGTTTTAAGGTTGGGTGGAAAAAGAAGAGGAAAATTAGCACCCAGATAACTGCAATGGCCAACACGACTGACTTGAGCGGTGACCGAAACATGATATCGATCGTGCAAATTAATAGATAAGACTGCTTCGTTCAATGCTCTCCAGAAAGTAGAGCAATAATTTTGCAGCCTAAAGCGGCAGGTCAGGCAAGACACGTGAGCCTAAGGAGCCGCTTCATAACCAATCGCTTGAACATTGCAAGTAGTTTTACCATTGTCTCCTTCTCATGCTCGGTGTTGTGGATCTTCATGACTCTGGATCGTGCCAAGCTGCCCACAAACATCTGACACAGTTGCAACTGGGTACGAGGTTCAGCCTACGGAGTCAAAGCGCATACAGCATCATCTTAATGGGACTAGCCCGATGATCTTCCGGCGCTAAAACATATTATATATAATCATATTATATAACAAAAGCGGCTCATGAATTGGAAATAAAGCCAATCGGATGATGTCCTTCCTCACGTTTTTCATTTATTCGGCTTGGGAGGCCGATTGAAGGTTGACATGCTGGTGCCAAGGAACTGCTCAAATGCATGTGGTGTATGTGCGTAGATTAAACCCCTAATAATGGTTGTTAGCTTATCCGTTTTATAGCCCCTTTCTTGTCTTCTATACATATTACAGTTTTAATTTCGTTGAATTAATCCTTGTAGGTTCAATATGAATACGTTGCAATATGGAAATAATTGTGGACTATATAGATGCATTTACCGGTGCGCTGCCTATTTTTTCTCGGCCTGTCTCAAAACGAAAGATTGCGGCGCTATCAGTATTCCGCCGAGGCTATATAGCCGAACAGGACTAATTATTAATTAATTTTATCATATTGGACGCCTAAATTGCAGATCCTTGCAGGCGGCTCTTCATCGGCACAAGGCTGCCGACAATGAAAGGATGACCACCAGAGCGCCACCGGGCATTAACCCTGGCGTTTGGATGCCTAGAAGCTGGACAAGAGGGGAAATATATCGTGCATATCCAACTCCATATAAAAATAAAGTTTATTGGTTTATCCAAACATGGGGCTACGTTTCATTAAACTTGAATACTAGTCCATCACTATCAGGCTCATGTCCTGGATGATCTTAACGAGTTTGTTTCCAGATTTCGATGTTGAGAAGGTAGCCGTCGGCCCTTCACTTCGCACTAAAGTCGCCTTCATTCACCCTCATCTCCCTATTAATAGTCCCTTGAACCATGTCCAAGTTACAGCCATTGAAAAATAAACACAAGTCTTACGGAGGTAGAAATTAGGTAGGAAATGGCCTTTCGTTAACATACTGATCCCACATCTTAGCTGAGTTTGAATGGGATTATTGAAGACTACATTTGATGTACCGGAGCCTCATGGATTCTATGGATAGTATCATGTTCACGAAGTTGCTTCGAAATATAGGTATGTATATATATCAATGGAAAGGAGAAACAATTATTGTAATGCCGATCAATTTTTTTCTGTTGTACAACCTGGTCCCTTGTTGAATCTACCTTCAGCAACTTAAACCCTTCCTAGCCATGGTACATACTGATGATCCAGATGTCATCTTCTCAAGTACTCAAAACGCCTATGTACAAGGGCATTGGTTGCCGGAGGTGGAAGCTCACTGGACGCCATTGTATCCGTTTGCGTTGCAAGGACCCTCATACCCATTAGCACTATCACATTTATCATAAGGACAGCTGTTCCAAGTAACCGCAGTACAGATACCTGTGGTGTCGCTTGAGTTGGTAAACACGCCGGGACAGCCGTTTCTGTAGCAGTCACCGAGGTAGTTCTGGCAAGTTTCCTCTGGAGGGTCCCCTAACAAGGACTATTATTATGAGATTGATTTTAAACTTATGAGAAGGGATGATGTACTCTAGCTGCGAGGGAGTAGCAAAGACCAGAGCCGCCAGGGCCGGGATGATAACTATGACCTTGGAGAACTCCATTGTTTCTTGATGGAAGCATCTAAAAGGTTTGAGTTCTTTTATTTGGTCTGTGCCTTTAGATAAGGGATACAGGGTCCTTTTGATACCATGACTTCTCTCAAAATAACTGCAACAAATCCCAATCATATTTAGGCGGAAGAATATCATAGCTGGAGAGCTCTTTGCCTACATACGCATGAGGTTCTCAATACCAAACGAGTATTGACCAACTAATATAAATTGATGATTTCAACTAAGTACCCCGGTTATCTGGGCCAGCTGATGTCACTACTCATTGACTACTGACAATCATAGTTAACATTCCCGATCCTTATGGGGCAGTTTATTCCTTTGTCCATGACTCAGTAGGCGCCGCGAACTGTAAACGAGAGTCGAAGCTATAATTTAATGCCAGATTATTCCACGGTTATTCCTCCTCTATCGGTTCCCATCAGGATTTTCTCGCCGGGCCAATGAAAATATCCTGGAATCCAGCTCGTCCCGCCCTATATCATATTTCTAATATCAGACAACGAAGATTAGCTCGGGCTTTATTCTCGATTTCCAATTTCTATTTCTATCTCGTACAGCTATTAGGCACAACACAGATCAATATCACGCGATGGGGAGCAAATTTTTTGAACAAGGGAACTTACATTGGGGACACTGCTGAATATACAAGATTACAATTCTCTGTAAAAACCGTTAACGCTACAAAAATTACATAACGGAAGCGATGACATAGCTCTCTGCAGCCACACATATCAATTGATATAACTGGGTCACTCATGTAGCGACTCAAGTCACTTTCAAGAGCATAAAAAAGTTGAACTTTGCTATAATAACAGACCACGAAATGAGAAAGGAACTGGCAATGGAGGTAGGATGTCGCTTCAATATGGTCAGAATTAAAAATGAGAACTATCCCATGGCGATAGAACAAGCTTACCAAAAGGGGCGATCATAGCTTGCGCACATTTCGCGGCCCTAGAATGAAAGAAATAGAGATATGGAAGAAATTTTACGATAATATCTGTCATTAGCCATAGCATAGAAAAGCCCGTTCCTACTCGTGTTTCATAACGGAGTTGTTAACATTGATCGTTAAATGGACTCAAAATTGTTGACCTCTTCCGTAAAACGTCCCTGGGGACGTAAAGAACATTGAATTAATTCAATTTGAAAGTAAAAAGATTTCCTGAGATATCATCAATCAAAGAATATCTCACAAGCGTATACTGCTTAAACTACTCAGACAAATACATAGAATCCAGGTCAAACACAATCATTATTAAGATGTATTTCAGTATAAAAGTCAAATTAACTAAGAATACAGCGTTTTTCCCCTTATTGTTACAACCATTATTACTTTCTTTATTTACTAATATCTTTAGGTACCAATATAATGTTAGTAATACCTGATATTTGTTAAAGTCTTACTAAAATTTCAATCAACTATAACATAATATCCACTAAGATTATCCAAATAAGATCACTTATTTTATTAATAAAATCTTAATAAACATCTATTATATTATAACTATATTACTATATTCCTCTCTCATTCTCATAGCTCCTTAGTCAATTATACCTATACAAGTAAACCACACATAACAATAAAAGCGAAATAAATCAAATACCCTATAACCAGCAGCTAGAAAGAATTGTATTTTGTGAATAAAGGGAATTGATGAAAGCAACAAGGCCAACGTTGGACAATGTTATCTTGACTTTAGGCCGGTGGTAGAGAAATATGGCTAGATAGCATGGAAGCAAATTCACCATTTCTGAAAGTTGTATCCCTAGACCCAAGAGACCACAGGTTCGTTGAAATCGTACTTTAACCTTTATTTTGCAAACATGGGAGAGAGATAGGGGTCTCATATAGCGATTGATTGTACACCTCGATTATACATTCATTGATTCATTACTGAATCAGAGTAGAGAAATAGACTAAGATATTTGCTATTATTGATATGGATTAGAATAAATTTCAATTTCTTGCAGTGTATTTCATCTTTATCCTCTGAGTATTGATATTGGAAGCGAGCAGTATAATGAAACAAAGTGCTCAAGCAACCACCGAACAGTCAAACAAAAAGCGCCACCAATTAAGGGTCGGCTTATATCAATTTACCACCCTAAATGCTGAGGACCGCCACAGCTGTCTGCTCCGAAGGGCTTAATTAAGGTGAAAGTCACAGTCGCACACGAGCAACTGCCGGAACCACCTCCACCAGTAGAAGTAGGCTTTGAGGTTGAGGTTGGTGGAACGGTTGTCGGAGGTGTCGTAGTCGGTCCTGAGCCTGGGCCTGAACTGCTTCCACTCGTTGTGACTCCACCACCTGAACTGGTAGGGGTTCCGACACCTGTGCTAGTAGGGTTTCCACCACCTGTACTGGTTGGGCCACCACCTGGAGTGGTAGGGGTGCTGCTACCATCTCCAGCTGGGCAGGAGGACGGACTGGATGAACCGGTGGTGGTAGTGGACACTGGTGAGGTTCCTGGTGTTGAGGTAGGAGTCGAAGGCGGGCTAGACGATGCAGAGGTTGCAGAGGTTGCAGAAGTTGCAGAGGTTGCGGTAGTGGACGAGCATTGCCCAGAGAATGCGGTGACGCCATTCTGAATTGCTGAAGAAATACCAGCAGTCAAACCCGTAGCAATTGATTGAAGTTCTGCTGGAACTTTAGAAACGATTGCAGTCGACAACGCGTTTGCCCCTGTCAACTGTTGCTGAAGTATTTGCAGAGTTGTGCATCCATAGCCAAGTGATACGATGTTGCTCTTGATTTTGATTAAGTTCGTGATGGTTGTGTTCACATCATTGGAAAGTGTCTGAGCCGGGCTAACAAGGCCGAGGGCGTCGGAGTCGCTAAGATTAGCAGACGCCTGAACCGTTGTGACACCAGACGCAATTATCGAGTTCAGGCTGTTAGAAGCTGAAACGATTTGAGTTGGATTGGGTGGACTAGTGGTTATATAGCCGTTTAGAGTATTGACTTGGGAATCAACAGCACTGAGTACGCTCTCGATTGAGGCGATATCACGTTTCACTCTTGTTGGCAACTGCCCTACAGTCGGACCGGCGAAGACATTGACAGAAAACCCCACTGCCAGGAGGGCTACTGTGTTACTTAGGTATTTCATTGAAATGGAAGAGATTGTTCCTTAGAAGTAAAAATTAAAAACTTTGAGAAGCGAGGGACGAAAATGAAGGATAAATTGTCCGTAGAAAGCCTGGACCGCCTAGCAGCTTCACTGAAATGAAAGTATCCCATTTATTCACAATGGACTACATCCTGTATTTATACAGGGTATCTGGGGCTTCTTGAAAACCCCAATGATCATATGTTAATATTCACCTGCTCTCATCATTGATGCCTCGGTCGCAGCGGCGTTGCATTTGCTAGGAAGACGAAGAATACCTAGGAATAATGGATTCCGCGATATTAGTACGAAGAGGTGGCTTAAGCCATAATTTGACGTTGTCGGCCTGGAACCGCTTGAGAATAATCAAACACTAAAAAATGTGGAAATGGAGACGCATGTCTCACTGAATTGAAGTGTACGATGTCGGTTCTGTCGGATGACTATTTTTTCAAACTAGTCCCAATTCAATCGTCGCCCAGTGATTCTACCGCGAAACGAATAAGTATTGCCAGGAACGCAGCAACTTTGTTGGTGGCTCGTTCAACTAGGTAGTTAGTGGGAGTTTTAGCGGCAAAACGTCGAAAACCCCCGGATTTTTCGAGCCTATTCATGCATTTCCCCTCAGCGCTAACACGGATTTGGGAGGGTAGGCTAATTCGTGGGCTTTATTCTTACCAACAGTAAGACCGTGGCGTCTGTAATAAAGCGCCTACCTCGGCGGAGCATTAACCATTGATCCAGCTGTCAGGGGCATTTTGTATGGGATCTTTCCTTCACATGGACCATAATGTTGAATGTGGCTAGTTGTCCGTTTGCCTAAGCAAGCCACACATGGTCGCTTAATATATTTATGAGCTATCGACATTGCTAGTAAAGCTACTGATTTAGGTAAATTAAATACTAGTCACGTCACCTGATGGTTGAGGATATATGGTATGAATACCTACTCCGTACATGAACTTCTTCCCCGCATTCTCGGAGGATTTGCGGATTGGAAGAACAGCAAATTGCCTATAGATAGACCGAATGAAAAACCACAACTGTGCCTCGAAGTAGCATTGGAAAATAAATAAGAGTGGCCTAATTGAAAGTGGGCGTCAACATTAGCTTCTAGAAATGTAAACAAGACGGATATCCCATGTGTATCTTCGCTAGGAATAAAAGATGTTACTCTCTAGCGTACAAGTCACAGTAAACTTCAAGTATATACCTGTTGGGTTTTTTTTCAGCTTTAATTTTGTCTCGGTCGCGGTAACAGCTAATTCTAAATTCGGTTAACTGAGTTCATTCATGGCCACCCTAGATGGCATGTCCTGGTGTATTGTAAGCCCAGTGAAGTACCACATGACCAACACGTGCTAATAAACTGTACGCCTCTCTTGGGTGGACAGATTCGATACATTTTAGGCGAGCCAATCGATGGCAGCTGGCGTTGTACTTTCTGCGAAAATTTCCAGCCACTTCAACAGTTGTTTAGTCGAGTGGTTGACAAATTCTCACTTAAAATTAATATTACCTGTTGGAATTAATTTGTGTGGTATCTTTCACTCAAGATTCTGCTAGAAAGCCCTTCGTTATCACATATGAGAGAGCATCTCCAAAGTTCAAGCTATAACTGGAAAGCGAAAGTTGCCACTGAGCAAAATGAACCCGAAGATTCCTTGTCCCTATGTAGTGTGTAGAAAAAACCAGACTCAGAAAGAAAAAAAGAAAAATTTCAATGTGAGAGCTCCTAAATATTCACATTTGATCATCATTGCAGGTTTTTGCATTTCGATTATGTTGTCAATTCTAGACCGAAAAGTAGATAATGGAAGATAGGCTAATTGGTTCTATCCTTTAACGAACAAGCATATCACTCGACGGCTAACTACTTAATGTTGTGCGATTACGTGAAGTAATTTAGGAAGTCAATCATGCATGACAGCACATGTGCAACCGACAATATAGTTGGCTTTTATTATGGGGCCACATAGCTTTATGAGGATCCAAAGGAAAGTTACACTGTTGAAGTTATTTAGATCTTAAAATGACGCGAACATTCGATACGGCATCGTCAACGGTGCCAATTCTTCTTAACCTGATGGAGAAAACCAGAAACACGTATGATTTCTATGATATATGTATATACGGTTGATTGCAAAATTGGTACATGTTTTACAATGTGCGATTGTTTACCAAACCCTAATGCCAAGGGACGCTAAAGTATGTTCATAAGTTATTCTAAAGCCCTTGCCTCAGATTTCAGTGACAAAGCAGCACAGTATATTCAGGACTAAGCTAAGCGCGTGTAATTTTAATCTAGGAAGAAAAGCTTGCGATGGGGTAAATTCATGAAGACAGAAGGCTTCCGAATGTCGTTTGACAGTTGGTGCTGCTTTTATCTTGACAGCGGTTCCACATGTAACCTTTGAGCTAATAGTTGCAACTTGCGTACTATGCAAGTCACAGAAGAGCAGCCGGTGCTCACTATTCTGATAGGAAGTGGGAATGACACTGATGTCGGTCCCCCGTAACTATTTTGGGAACCCTGCATCGTTGTATTCCAAGAACACCAATGGTTATCGACAACCCCGGATCACACCTTGAACGGGAAAGACCATTGCTATAGGCGCCGTGGCGCCCAGGTCGCCAGTTAATTGGACACAACGACAGAAGTGATTCGGCGATTAAGGTCCAACAGCTCACGGGCCAGCAATACATTTAAGCTCCATTTGCTTGCTACTAAGGCTGTTTGCACCGTAGCAGTCTTCCCTACCGTCCATGTGCTTACCCCACTACTGGGTCATGGTCCGCAGCCCCCGATGATATCTAGTTCTCGCGCGACATCCACAAGACTCAACTCCAGCACTGGATGCTAGTGGTTAAGTACCGCAAGTTTGAACTGGTGCCGATGGCCGAGGGCGACTATCGGTTTGTTTGCGACTATGAGCCTGGCTGGACGCTGGAAGGCGAGCAACAGAAGCCGAGTAGCAGGCAGCTCGGTGGCTTGGACCACTGCTATGACGGCTGGTGCATGTTGCGCATCGGTTGGTCGCGCTTGTCCGAGAGGGAAATAAACCGGTGCTTCGCTGCTACGCTTGCATACTACCGGCCTCAAGTTTCACGGACACAGTGCCAGGACTTCCTCCGTCACTTCGCCAACCAGTTCGTTGACCGTCATGACCTTCACTGGCGATTGTTCATCGACAATACCCCCATCGAAGGTCGGTCTGTCCCGCATCTCCCTACACCACCGGCGGCCCTCGTGCAGCAGACACAGCAAGCGCAGGAACAGGGAAGTTTCATGCGTCGCGTGGATAATCGTAATACCTAGCAGGGGGCCTATTTCAAGGCGCAGCAACAGAACGTTGCGCTGAACAACCAGATCATGCAGAATAACCCAAACTTCGGCGTGGGTTGCGGAAGCTGATGTGGCTATTGGGCATCGGTGTTTACTCATACATAATCCTCATCCTCACTGAGACAATCAAGGTCTGAGATACGGCCACGGGAGTCCAACAATAGACCCTGAATGAGCCATTTTGTTCATATTTAGATGGTATCATTCTTACCAGGTGACACCTGTTCGTAATTCAGGTTTATATTTCAAAAGATAACAACTACGTACTATGTGTAAGTGTCTGTGATATTGTAGGTGTTACTGCTGTTTGCATATGGCTAGACTACAAGCAAACAGGTGCCTGGCAATCCCGGTAATCTGTCAATAATTTTCTTCCTACTCCCATTCAACGTCTATACATTTTGTATACATTGTTCACGAGTAATATAAAGAAGGCTTCAAGATCAAATCTTGTTTAATATCAACACATAATTATTCAAAATTACCGTCTAATATGCATTCGATTAGACAGTTATATATGTCGGTGTATCTTTCTCATATAATATCAATAATATAACTGCTTCTTGTCTGGTGATGGAAGCGGTCATGATCAACTAGGTTGATATATTATTAACTTGGTCCTGTGTATTAGAGAATTTTCTTTTCTCATTAGGGCTTATTATAATCTATTTCAAACCTTTTTAGTGTTCTAACACATGCCTGAGGGTCTAGCTAGCGGTGACCTGAGACTACAAGGCCATCTGACGAGAAAAGGATTCGCAAAGTAATAAAGACACCAAAACCCTCATGTAATTTAGTTTCTTCCTTATGCTTAGTATTCTAGATCAACGACACTAGTAATATGGATTGTTGACTGGTCCTTCTCACTATTTGAGGCATTGAGGTGGAATATTCAACATATATAATTCAGAAACGGATAATAAACAGATATGGACAAGTAGTATATCGTTATTGAAGTTATCTGGGGTGAGATCATAGAATAAATGCTATTCCTCAGTACTTGTTGAAGTAGTGATGTAATAATTGAACAAATAAAATCCCCATTTGTAGCGCAATGGATGTTACTAAGAAATCTAATTTTTTTTATTTTCTGTTGTTATTACTCATACACGTAACTAGTATAAGGAAAGGTTGTCAATTAGTGAAAATAAGCCTGAGAGAATAATAAGCGAATTCCTTATTAGTAATGCTCTAGTTAGTTACTTCCTGCATACCCTAAGTTAGTGACCAATTGTATGAGCAGAATTGCAAGATATGAATACAAAGTTAAACAGGGTGTTGACAGCTTGCCAGAGCTGCTTGATACGGTCATTGTAGACTGGTTCTAGTGTTGATTGGTGGCGTACAAGCTCAACGAACCTCTCGATACGTTAAATTAGTATTTCGTTTATCCAACCACTTTGCTCATATGGGGCAAGTGTTTTTAATTGAACGATTTAATTGATGTGGAGTATGAGCTTATGATCTACGGTCAGCAAATAAGCATTCAATGTTACACAAATAGTATGGTGGTGTCGTATGTCAGGTGAGGCTGAGTAACTACCCAAAAGAAAAATGTTGACATGATATTTTTCCGAGGATGAATACAACACTTCAACTCATATTTCAGATACGAATTCTATTATAGTACGATATTGAACTTTTCGAGATTTCCGACACTCGGTTTGAATTTCAGTCTACTGGCAAGTCCACAATCAAGTATGATGCTCTACACTATTGTTTTCACCTTGATGTCAGTAATGGTATTAAGTCAAGGAGCTGGAGACCCCTGCTACAATATGCAAACGGGGATATGTTTATTAAGACGTTTTTGATTTATCCTCAAGCTATATTAGGTACAAAAAGTGATCCCGATCTAGTTTACTAACAATATCTGTTTGAGAACTATAGGCCCACGGGATTTGTAAATCAACAACATGATGAGGTCAAAATAAGGAAGCATCATACCCGAACTTCTGCCCTGATGTCCCAAATTATGTACAATGCTGTATGACACCCAAGCGTGATGGGTTATCTCTTATTCTGCGAGCGACTTGGCCAAATGGCAACAATGTGCGATAGGCTCCTGGATGGTCATTACGCCAGGTGTGTATTCAATTTCGATATCGGTCCTCCTTAAACACCAGTACAGAGATTGCCTGAAATCGTCTAAATATTTCTATACCGGAGAGATGGCTTACAATGGATACTGTTAGTGGTAAATGTCCCGACCCAAGCGATCACGAATGCTGTGTCTACCAGCTAGAGGGGAGCAAATGATTATAAGGTGGAAGGTGGATATTGAAGTTAACTACTTTGAAACATCAGTCTTTTAATGACATAGAATTGCGTCAACGTCTTCTAGGGCTATTCCACTTAAGAAAGGTGAAAATGCGAACTGACGTCGGTCACGGGTCGTCCGCCGACGTTACATAAAGTTGAAAGTTTGGAACATCAAATTTCTCTTTTATCTCATATACAGTAAACTTTCATTCTATTTACATATTTATAACGTCGTGGTTCCAATGAAACATTTGAAGTGGAATCATTTTAGTGAGCCCAGCTCGGAGCCTTGGATCTATCAATTGCAATCCGAGTCGCCGCATCAATATCTTCTCCAGGTAGGTCGAGCAAACTATTAATGGTCCCTTTATTATGCTCGAAATCTCCGCAACCATCGGGAAAGAAAACTCGAGTATACATCATCTTAGCAAATCCAATACGCTTACCCTCCTGTATCTCATCAAGGCCGGTGCTGTATCGCTCTTGGGATGGCTCCTTCGTAATAGTCCAGTCCTCCATTTTAGTATCAGTGACCCGTAGGACCGACTCAAGCATATCCATTTGACTGATTGTGAATGAATTGATATAAACAACTTTATTTTTCAGATTTTCCAGACAACCTTGTTGAGTTTGGTCTACGGCTTGGATTGGGAGGCTAAGAAGGGCCGCAACGGCACGGCCGACCTAATATTAAAAATAGAGTCAGCGGCGAACTCCTATACAACAAACATATTCATACCTGAGGCCATGTCGAGATAGAAATTTTTGTCTTGCCCTCGTCAAAGAGAGTAACTGATCGATCCGAGAAATTGAATCCGAATGCAGGAGCGATTGCCAAGCTCCATTCATACCAGAATCCCGTGGAAACGCAGATATAGGAGCTCTTCCCAATTGCTTCGATTATTCTTCGCGTTGCAGCTAATTTCTCATTATCAGCAAGCTTTCCAACTATGTTCACATCGGATTGATTCACGCTTTGGCTGAAAGACCGATACATCGTTAACTAATGCCTCATTTTCTGTATCCGGACACCATTCATTCGGCAGTATCCATTTCACATTTGCCTCACCAGCAGCTTCGATAAGCCGCTTCTCGGTCTCCTTGGGGGTGAAGCCACTTAAGGTAATTACTAGAGCGTCCTGGCCCTTGAGTGCCTCGACGAGCGTGTCGGGCTGATCGTAATCAACCCTTTTAACGATTACCCCGTCTGGTAGCTTGCTATCACTATCCACCCTTGTAATTGCCGTGATTATGTGCTTTCCGGTCCCTAGCAAGGCCTCGGCCATGAACTTGCCACTATTACCACCTGCCTGTCGTTTCATCCTCGGCATTAACTTTATAAACATCGAATGTATTGGCAGTGTGATGTGACTTACCCCGACAACAGCAACTTTGCTGATGTAGTTTGAGACAGGCATTATCCAAGACCTGTAGGCTCGACAATGCAGGCGTTGGTTTATAATTATCAAGATAAAAAATAATAATTCATCTATTGTGAGGTTTTATGTGTGCCTTTCAAACTCTTATAAATGTAGGTCAATCGAAGGCTCATCAACGACCTCCGGTCTAGTCTCGGCGTTTATCGGGGTTTAGCAATCGTTACATATTCATACCCAGGTTCAAAATGAAATGGAACTAAGGAAAAAGGAATAAACTCTTATTTGCTTAACAGATCATTGATTCACCCAAACACCAAACTCCCCACCTTTTTCGGCCGATCTGGTCCGTTCGAACAGTTCACCTTTACATATATGTCAGTGGCATTGATTCAATTACGATGCTGTTACACAAATGGCAAACTATTTGGACTTTCAGGCCCTCGTCCTGTCAGCCTAACGCTTCAATGAGTGGAATGTCTCAGCTCCCAACTTTCTTTCGCTTCTCCATGCCCCTTATCCTCACACCACGACCACTGCGCAACGAGAATTCTCTGGAATACACAAGCGGCCAAAAAACGGAGTAAGTTAGTATTTGTTTCCACAAAAGAGGTTGAGAAAAATCGGGGTTGAATGTCCGATATGCCGACTATAATAATCTGTTTATAGTCGATGAGCCGTCTCGCTGTGCAGCGATATAATCGTGTGATCTGATTGGCTGCGGCTTTATCATCGGTTTTTCGGGCGGCTTTGGTACCTTCATGAAACCAAAAAAAATAACCACCCACGAGTATATATATAGGCGGAATTCATAGTGTTGGGATTTTTCTTGACACTAGGCCAAGATTCAGCCCGTCGAAATTTCAAGTCCTCCACACTGTCAACATGAGTAAAATTCTCGCAGTACTTGGCGCAACCGGAAACCAGGGAGGTTCCGTTGCCAATTATGTCGTCACCGACCCTGTGTTGTCAAAAGAATACTCTATTCGCGCCATTACACGTGACACGACAAAAACAGAGGCCCAGAAGCTAGCTGACAAGGGTATCGAGGTCGTCAAGGCGGACATTGATGAGGTCGACTCTCTGAAAAAAGCCCTAGCCGGTGCTCATACCGTTTTTGCCGTAACCACGACTATATACGATGAGCAAACCAAGGAACGTGAGGTACGACAAGGCAAAACAATTGCTGATGTGGCAGTCGAGGTGGGTGCCAAATACTTGATATTCAGCACTCTATCGTCTCCTACACTTGTCTCGGGCGGAAAGTATACCAACGTAGTGCATTTCGACTCCAAGTATGAGGCAGAACAGTACATTCGCACCTTGCCGATCAAAAGTGCCTTCTTTGCACCTGGAACGTTCATGCAGAACTTTACAACACATATGTCACCTCGTCCAGCGGGCGATGGAACCTATACCTGGCCCGGCGTTGTCAAGTCCGATACCGATTGGGCCATGATTGATATTGAAGATACTGGCAAATATGTCGCTGCAATCCTTGCTGAGCCCGAAAAGTTCGAAGGAAAGGTGCTCTCTGCGGCAACTAAAATCTACAAGACAGAAGAGCTGGCGCAAATTATCGGTCATGTTACAGGAAAACCGGTCAAATATGTCCAGGTTCCTGTTGATGCGTACAAAAAGCACCTCCCCCCAGCTGCAGCAGATCCTTTGGTCGAAATGCTATTGTATATCCAAGACTTTGGATATTATGGCCCTGGAACAAAGGAGAAGATAGATTGGACAGCAAAGATTGCAAGAGGAAAGTTGACCACGTTTGAGGAGCATGTCGCGAAAAATACCCCCGTAGGGATGCAATAGATAGTCGCTCGGATAGATGAAAGGTCTCTGGAAGAAAGCACATCAATTTTCAATTGTTTTTTGTAAAAGGACCCTAGATAATCAGTCTTATTTCAATACAAGATTATTCTTGTGGTGGGCAAGATTGGCGAAAGACAAAAATGCCTTCCTAAAGAGTGCAAGCAAGCGTATTGGGCAATCCATTCTTTAACACGAGATATAGATCGTGACCTAGGATTGATATTTGTTGTAGATGTTCTATCGATGAATAACCCAGCATCATGGCGGTTTCGCGGGGCTGAAGAGGAATGTGGTGTTCTGTTTGCCAAAGCCCTTTGTAAGGCCAACAATTTGACAAGGAGATTGATCTTACCAGACACAGATATGAGCAGCCAGCACACAAGGAGCGAAATCCACAATACTTACCAAGTTAAATCAATAGTAATAACTTCTTCGCATCAGAAACGGCCATGTTGTTGGAAACAGAACGTCACGCCGGCTAAAAAAGAAGAGGCAGTAGGGACTTCCCGGGAGGTCGCGGTGTCTCCTTCCTCTTTAGTGCTCGCAGAACAACACGCTGACCGCTCGACATACTTGTTCTAGGCGACTCCCTGCAATGTCTCCCTCAGTGCAGTGCTCAGGCTGAGTACATCTTCTCCGCCATTGCCATGTTGCCCCAACGAGGTTTCCTTGAGTCAAACGTCGTCATATCTCCGCGGATAACTCCTTCACATGGCGACAATTCAACAACCGACTCACAACAAACAGAGCTTCTCCCAGAAAACTATCCTAGTCCACCAAGTGTGATATTTTCAGACACAATGAGCCCGGTTTCCTCGTTTACTCCGCCTCGACTTGCCTCAGTCTCATCTCCTCACATCATTTCCAAGTGGCCAACCATTGCGCCGATAGTAATTAGCAAGATCGAGGATTTATCACTGGACTGGGCAGCAGTGGAATGCTTCTAGCGCTGTCAAATAGATTCCGGTCTACAAAACGGGGAAATTATAATCATTGTTACCTTGCGAAAGATGCCCTCTATCACTCACGATGTGAATAGAACTTTGGACAACATCACACGCCTATCTGGTCTTCCAGTAGGACTAGAACCTAGAGACCTGCAGAGGCAGGCTGACCCCAACCCTACTATTCCATATATGCATTTCGCTCCTGTTGGAAGCACAGTCTCTTTGAGGAAAGGCCTCGATAGTGCCACAGAGACGACTGCTGGAGGTATTGTAGAGCTCCTGGATAAGGATGGACAAGTGAAAAATAGGTGTATTCTGACGTGCTGTCATAATGTACCTTCATTCTAACCACCTCAACCCTCTGCGATTGATCTTTATTCCAGTAAGTCTGTCCTAGCGCAATAGCATCATTAACCAAACTGATAACCACGGATAGGCGCCCCACGACAACCAGTGAACCATTATGGCACCATTCGTTGTGCTTATCCAAGTGAGATCGCACATACACGGATGATGTCTGAAATGCGAGATAATAGAGCCGTGATCAGGAAACAAATAAACGTACTTAATGAACGAGACGAAAACTTACAGCCCCCCGAACAGACCGCGCCTCGGAACCAGGTGATGAACACTCTGAAATTTATAAACGACAACCTTGCCCAAAGCTATGATTATTTGAATAATGTCGATTGCAACATCGGTGAACTATTGGTTACTTCAGATATAGGTAATCACCGAGGCCATCATCTTGATTGGGCATTGGTCTCGTTGCGCGAAGATCGGTTTCTCGCAGACGCGGCAAATATGGTCCCCAATATTCTGACACGAACTGAGACGACCATCCAATTAAGAGACTGGGTCGACGAGCCTCTAGGTGGAAACAAGGTTCATAAAGCGAAGTACGGCAACCATATCGAGGGTGTGATTAATCCGCCGCTCAGTTATGTGCGTTTCAAAAACAGCGATGGAACTGCATATAGGACGACTGAACGGGCAATTGTTCCCAGCATGCCCTACAAGGTCTTCAGCGAGCTGGGCGACTCGGGAACTTGGGTTATCCATCGCCTTGCCAATGCTCTCGTTGGAGTAATATGGGGCGGCAACACTCGTCTTGGTATATCCTATATTACCCCAATTAAGCATATCACTGATGACATTACGCGTAATACTGGCTGTAGGGTCCAACTTCCGAATGGGAAGGAAATTTAGGAAAGCTGTACTTGAGATACGTGTAAATTATGCCGGAACTATTTCCTTTTGATCAACTTGTACCCTTGGAAACAACAACCATGGCTTGTATCTGTGGCAAATAGGAACCAAAATGCGATTACAATCCCACTTGAGCAGAAATCAATCATTATTTATGTAGAGTGTTTATAGAGAATTAAATTGCCAACTACTCGCTGAAGAATATTATCAAATACATATATGAACGGACTGCGCCGTTCTGTAAACGACACCTGGATTCTTACATCAATCCACAGATTTTACACTACTCAATGCTGCACAATTATTTCTTGTTTTCTAATATCTCTCATGCTCTGTTAGCACCAAACCTTTTAAACACGATCAATTGATCTACGGCTGTCCCGCGGACTCCCTTGTTAGCTACGGATGTCACTTATTATTTATTCGTTTGGGACTTCTGTTTGTCTAGCTACTCAGATAACACCTCACGGAAAATAAATTGCCATCATTAAAGATAATCCACTCATGAACTGGCTGTTTAAACATGCTATAGATAAGCCACAGAGCACCCGACTCGTTACAGATAACCCTAACTTGATGAGTGGGCTAAGGCAGGAAAAGATAAATCTTGGAACACGTAAAGGCAGGTTTTCTGCAATTTCATCATAGATACCCCTCTCACTTTCTTGATGTCACATTTAGATTAAACAAAATTGAAGCTGTCATGCGTTACTTAGAATGGGTACTGTTAATCCAGAGGTGTTTTAAGATTTGCATCTAAGGAGCGATATTTCTTTGGAACTTTCTATTTATAAATGAGCTTAACACACAGAGCACATAGCAGAATAATAATCGGTAATATCCTACCTATGTAGAGCGTTTGGTAACGCGTGTTGCCAGGACACTGCGTCGACATATATATCACCCATCAAGACGTATCAAGAATTTTATGCAAAACCAATGCTTCTCTGGCTGATTAGGACATGGACGGGAGCTTATAAATGCATATCATCATATCATGTCTGCATAGACCAAAGGATCTATCCATTCATCAAAGTCTATGTCATCGATTTGTTGGCTTGATAGAGAGGTCAGGTTAAGGGACTCCAGACTCCCCTGACTGTTATTTACCCGAACGTAAGGTATTGAAGGCTGAGACTGGGAAAGAGATATAAGTTCGCCTGGAAGATATTCTGGAGGTTCATATTGAAGATAGATATCTTTTTCTTGTCCTAGATTTGGGATCATTGAGATTGGGTTGGGAGAAACAAAGGCGCTTGTCTCAGTAGCGGTTTCCGTTTCAAGAGAAGCAGCAGGAGCGGAAAGAGCAGGAGAGTCATCTGTCGCATTGGACGGACCAGCACAATCATCAGGGTCACATGTTACAGAGCACATATCCTCGAATTCTCCCAATGGTATCCCTAGACGACGCATTATTTTGCATGGCTTTTCGTTGCGGAATGTGCAGGATGGCCCTCGGCGAGACCAGGCGCAATTTGTGCACGTTCCTCGATATCGATATTGACCATCATCTTCCAGCAAAACAATACACTCATTCATGGGAATCGCGTGAAACTTGCAATGCTTACAAACTGCGGCTTTTGGAACTTCAACACCAGCCAAATATGCCCACAGTGCCCGTCTGTAGTTGGAGTTCTTTGGGTCAAATTTGCGCTGCACACCATTCTCCCAGTTTATTTGTCGACGAAGCTTGCCATCTTCCTTCAACTGGGCAATTATCCTCTCTATGCACTGTGTCTCCACTAGGAATAAAGGGCACTTTGTTAGCCATGCTTAGGAAATAGACTTCATATCTTACTCGTAATGAACGGATATGGCTAGATACGGTTTGTAAGGACTGAAGATAGAGCAATCCGTCGTAGGACAACAGTTGTGTAGAGGTCCAAAATTCTATCATAGAAAAGAAAGAAAGAAATATTAATGAGAGAAGATGGTTTGTACGGTCAAACAGTTGGAAGACCAGATGATGATTCTTTAAATAGTGAGTAGAGTAGAAGAGAAATAAGCAACTAATTGACCGTCTAGATGATCGAGTATACCGTTGCTATCAAGTCAGAGTAAAGAGGATTGAAGGATAGCATCGTGTGACACATCAAGAATACTGCGTCATATATAGTGTTTGATACTATTGTCAGAGAGCTGGCATGGTTTGAATTCTGGTGGTGGGTCGAGTCCCCTTTGGGTACTGCCTGTCCCCATGTGTGCTGATTTCCGTAATGGTGGCAATTTTCCGTCTCAAGATCTGCTTCAGGTGCCGCAACATACACGATTTACAGGAGAAAGCCCACGAATATTAACAAAATTGCACAACACCGTAATGGGTAGACAATAAGCCGTTTCAGCTGAGACTTATGAGGTTGTTGCTGGATTCTGCACATAAAAGGGATTACTGACTGGACTTGAGTAAGGAAAGATGGGGAAATTTTGGCACATAAACAAATGCGTTTGCAATACATGTGACTGAGAGTGCCTTAGATAACTCACAATGCCGTTTCTGAGGCGCTAGAACCTAACGCAAACGAGAAATATTAAATTTATCAAGTCTAACACTATCGATTCATGTAGAAGACGGGCTACAGACCTCAAATAATACGCTTACAGCAGCCTCTAAGGTGTAGTATATGCGAAGGATATTAGTCAAGTCACTCAGATTCAACCTGCTTAGAGTGGCGAGTTGTATATGACTTCTGAATTCAAGTACATGAAGTAACTGGGCAAAGCGAGGCTCGCGATGCCAGTGTCAGGCTGTGGAATCAATGCGGTCAGAAGCGTAGCAAAGGCAGTCAACTGACGTTTGACGTGACCCCAGACCTAAGGAAACTGATAAGAAACAATGTTAAAACTACCATCCTTAACTCCTTGCCAAAGGCTAATACTGTTGCTCTAACGACAGTAGCATGGATTCGTCCCGATTACAATGCCCCTATCAAAGACATGAAACACTGCAAGCTACCTCTATTTGAGATTAGTGAGACTAGGAGATAATCCTCTTTTTGGAATTGACAGTAACAAAGGCGCGACGTGGAGTGCCACCTGCTGCAAACTTCACACAGGGAGATGGGCTGTCCTCACGCTTCAGGATCGGCTTGTCGTCTTGCTCAGCTTCCTCGTCAGCGCGCTCTTTCCGTTTAGCAGCTCGCCTTTCAGCAGCTCGGCGTAAATCCTCTTTGTACGTTTCCGGGTGGTAGATTTTGAGCTTTTGCTTGGTGGTAAGGTGTTCACCAAAGCAGTAGTTGGCACAAGCCTGCCCCCACGGACCCATGGGAAGTTTGGCTTCAGCGAGAGCAGCGCATGGGAGAGGGTTGCGCAAGGTGCAGACGTCGGTACGATGGTACCAGACGCAGTTGGCACAGCAGCCCCTGGCAATATATCCTTGCTCGTCATAGGCCACAACGCACTTTGGAAAAGGGCCAATACTGTTGCGGCATCTGGTACACTCGAGTAGTGGGCCGACCTCGTAGCCATGAGTGTAGATTTTGGCCGCTCTGCGCTGGTAGCTATCGTCAGGATTGACCTGTAACTCACGCTCACGCCACTCAAGGTCACGCTTAGGATGATTAAGCTTGCTGCGGCATTTGCTGAGATTGAGAGTGTGCACAGGAGTAACATGAGGCTCCGCGAACAGGTTGGTTCTGTGGCTGGATGGGGTCTGTGGAGCATCAGAGGGCTGCTCAGGGTTGATAGATTGCTGCGAATGAGTGATAAGCGCCATTTCAACAGCCCTATCCATTGTACGTACAGGTTAGTATGTGAAGTTATCAGGAACATAGATGCGTATCGCTACTTACAGTGAACAATGAGTAGTCTTTGTGAATGGCTAATAATGGCCACAAACTAAAGTCTAGATAGAGCGTTTCCAAACCAATGCTCAGGAAGAAGGAAGAGGTGAAAGAGGAGGGAAAGGCATTCATCTTTTACCAAATATACAGTGGGAGGCGCTATGCCTAAAAAGAATGTTAACAAACGGTGATTTTTGAACAAGTCTCCACGTGCTAACTAATATCTTGAGAGTTACGTTACTTTCATTGTATCATCCTGCTCATTATCAAATACAAGATGTGTAATGGATTACTAAAATGATATATAAAAGCGTTTGTCTTTGAGAAAACATGAATTATGAGGCAATAGTATATTGTGTTGTCTATTGACAATGAAATATTGATTGACCTTGTACTGGAAGATATGGGGTATGTCGAGTTCTGATGTCGGCCTTGGCTTTTCGCCATCCTAATACAGTGTTTAGCAGTAGAATCCCGGTTTATTCTATGATATTTTCACCTATACTGCGTTATCAGAACACCTTGCCGTAGTTCGAAATGGGGTTAAGAGAGACTGACGTAACGCACAATATGCTTGATGGCAAACGGGACTGGTTGCTGATTTTCAGTGAACAATGGCATTCTTTGTCTCTTTTATGCCATTTAAATTTACAGAAGCAACAAAAGTCCTTCAGATTAAGAAGCAGCAAACGAACAACTCTAGCCACCCAGTACAGAAGTAAACACATGCAGTTGATATATGAGTTTCTAGAGAGTGGGCCTGGGCAAACCCGAATAGGGCAGCTTTTGTTCTGCGAATATGGAGATGCGGTCCCAACGCAGCTGGACCGTGCCAAATTGACGTAAGAATTGCCTTCCTCTCTTTTGGGTTAAACACTATTTTCTTCTGAAATTGACAGAGCAGTGATAATTTGCTAAAACCAGACTCGCCAATTGATATCGAAAGTCAAAAGGCAAAAGTAAACAAGGTTGCCGCTAAACTAGCGACATAGTCTGTGGCCTCTCGGATTGAGCGGGAGAACAACGTGGTTATCGCCGGTGAAATTGCCGATGCCCTCATAAATGGTACAGCTCGGAGCGATGTAACATGGGCGCACGTGGAGAAAAACATTATATGGATAGCAGTTTCTATATAAGTCAAACTTTGCTATCAATTGAACAAGATTTGACGCAAAGAATTTTTTTCAACATTCTCCAACTAGAGATTAGTGGTAGCGTTCGTGAACACCATGCATTGGGTTATTCTTGGGCTTTTTTTGGGGAGATGCGCGTCGGGATTGTCGGTGCCCAAGCCGCTTCGATTTACGTCTAGTGGTACTTTTCAGATAGCGGTATTTTCAGATCTGCATTATGGAGAGGGTATGTCCAGCCTTTCACACCAATTAGTAAATATGCTTACGACTGTCTCACTATCACAGCTGAGGACTTGGACTGGGGTCCGGAGCAGGATATCAACTCAACACGCGTGATGAATGCCATCCTCGATGTTGAAGAGCCTCAGCTTATCGTCTTGAATGGAGATTTGATCACCGGTGAAAACACGTACAAACAGAATTCCAGCAGCTACCTCGACCGAATCGTTGAACCTCTTGTTGAGCGGGGTCTGTCGTGGGCATCAACATATGGTAACCATGACAGTCAGTTCAACCTATCACGGCAAGATATATTTTGGCGTGAGAAGCGATATCGAAACAGTCTCACTCAAAGTATGGTGTGGACTGAGACATCGGGTGTTTCAAATTACTTCCTCCCAGTTTACTCCTCAGATGAGCGTGACCCTGTGCCCAAGGCGATTCTTTGGTTTTTCGATAGCCGTGGTGGAGTTAAATATCAGCAGACAGACGACAGGGGCAATACCGTAGCAATTTCCGACTTTGTCGATGAGTCAGTACGTGCACAGAATCCGAGAACAGCGAAGCAGAAACCACTAATCTATCAACAGGTCGTCAATTGGTTTACTACCACCAATGAGGTTCTTACTCGACTCTATCGCAAGACTATTCCATCCCTTGCTTTTGTACACATACCGACCACAGCAATGCTCGCATTTCAGCAAGAAACTGGGGTGGATAAAAATAGGGAACCTGGGATCAATGACGACTACCCTCTCGCTGCACAAGGCCCGTCGGATGGATCGTTCAATTACACTGACCAGGATATGCCTTTCATGAAAGCGCTGGCCAGTACGGGAGGCTTAATTGCTTCATTCAGTGGCCACGACCACGGCGATGATTGGTAAGCATAACGCAATAGTATAATTTACTTCTCGATCACTGATATGTTCACTATTCAGGTGCTTTAAATGGGATAAGCGGCTTCCAGGTATGGATGTAGCCGGAAACGGCGTCATTCTTTGCTTCGATCGACACAGTGGATACGGGGGATACGGTACCTGGACGCGTGGATCCCGTCAGATTCTGCTTGATGAAAAAACGTTAGGATCTCAGACCAAGTCATGGGTTCGTCTCGAGGACAGCACTATCTCAGGGGCTGTTACTCTAAATGCAACTTACGGACAAGACAAGTACCCTGCGGTATTGGACACCTTCACCTAAACCAATGGATCAACTTTCTAATAACATTTTGTTCAACCTGTCGTGGATATCCCCCAAGTGTGACATGTTTCTGTGAAGAAATACAAATCCCTGGCCAGTCGGAGTCATCTAAGCATTACTTCTCTTTGTCCCTTGTGTAATTTTTGTTCTTGCTTCATCACCGCGTATTCCACCCACAAAATGAGGCCATGGGCTCATAAAATTTACTATTCTACCACCGAAGTCCGGGACCAACTATAGATACCGTATAATTCGCCGGCTATTACCGGTAAAAGTCTACCTATACAGGATCAAACACACGCTCTAAATTAACTTGACCTGATGACCTTTTTCCCCTTCTCACTATCATCTTTCAATATTTCTTGATTTTCTTGCTCTACGTGAAGACAGCAGATCATTGGACCAGGACTCTGCTGGGATCGTCCTCCAGCATCCACAACCCATGTGCCAGGCAGTCAGTACCAGTACCCTATGATGCTAGTGAGACGCCACCAAATGACGAATTTCAGTTCCATAGCAATGGGTTCCTCGTATTTTGCTCGGGGGTTCAGCATGAAAAGCGCCGTTTGAGGTGTCCCCGGCAGGTCCCCTGTCCCCCGCCAGAGACTTACTATGGGAAAGTAATCTCTATAGCTGGACAACATGGAATGGCTTTCTACACTCGTTTTTTGTGTCACATCTCATCTCATGTCCCTCGATGCGTGGCCGACTATTCCGGTTTCATCTATCGCCAGTGCAGTTCTTTCCATCATAATCAGCCCCACGAGGTCTACCAACCGCAGCATGGTCCTGGGTATGGGGTTTATTATCAACCGCAAGCCCCGCAATTCGAAGCCCATTTTCGATCGTGGAAAAAGTATACACGATATTGGGATCAAGTTCAGCTACAGATAGAAGCCCGCAGGGCACGAACACGTTCACCTCGAGGCCAGGGCTGCATGTATATTCCAAGCGGCCTCGATGATACCGATGACTCTGACAATATCTTGGCTGGTCTGGAGGACAAAGAGGATTTGGAGATAATCGGTGCCGGTGATAGATGGGATCCACAGGATAGTGACGAGTCTAAAGGGTTTGAACAAGATGTGGTCTTCGTTGACCACGGGCCTGTAAAAAGAATAAATACACACTACGCTGTTGTCGAAGAGGATGAAGATTGGGTTGGCGTGGAGTGTTCTTGAGACTTCCTCACATTTCTAAGATTCCCATCCCATAGCCACGGAGTATTTACATAAGGAATTTTGGCAAAATGGTTGTGGATGGCATATGGTAATGATCAATTCTGCACCGATTTAGAAGGGTCAATCGACCATGCCACGAATTTCAAATTGCATCGCATAACTGCTGCTTTTACCTGCCACTAAAAGAACGATGATATCGTAATCAAGTTCATCGAGGACAAATTGTTAGGCATCGAATTTATTGCGGTCTTGGAATCAACAATTCCATTTCAATTGACTTCTCTCCTGGTCAGAACAATGTGGAGAAGATGCCCTCCAAATTTGCGTTTACTCAGGGCACGCGAATAATACCAGATCTGTGACTTCTAGGCTCTAGTTTGAGTAGAGTAACTGGAACCACGATAGTAGGAGGCGCTGGTCTCTATTGGCGAGGTTCGTCGCTGGCATTTGTGGTAAGCTCTAGTGTATATCAAGCTGGATAGTATTTGAGATACTTGATATGACGCTTGAGCTGGAGATATTCCAATACTTCTAAGACGAAAGATTACGTGGTTATCATATCGTGATTAGGCAGAGGATGCTTTTCTATTAGATCAGTGTGCAGTCGGTCTAACGATGTTATGTAGGGATTCACAAAACTTCACTATACGATCATATGACCATAAATAAGAATTAAAACGCTCCTTATGAAACCCACTTTTGATTGGAGACATACAATTTCGAAAGTCTTACATGTCGAGCCGGAGGACATGGGTGGGATTTTTTAATATTCAATTTTTAGACTAAGCCTCACGCAACAGTCTATTCGTCTAACACGATGCCAACATGTAATATCGCTCTCAGAACAAGGCTATCGATCTCATCTACACTCCTCGCTATGCCATAGACGTAGTTATCCGGTCTAACCAAAACTGCCACTGCGCGGTGCTCCTGCAACCACTTCAGGATGTTTCCGGTCATATCTCTAGCGTACTGGTCTCCTTCACCGAATTTTATTATTTTCCCCCTCAGGACATCTGAAAAAAGATTGTTCGTTTTTGCACCTAAAGTTTCCTGGCCATCGACATTTCCATACTGTTTAAGCAGGAGCCATCGTTTGCTTCCAAAATGGTCACACAACCGTCCCTGCTTGCATTTGATCTCCACCACTCCGTCCATGAATAACTTTCCGGCAACGGATTCCTGCTCAGCGGAGTTATCGAACAAACCAGGAGTTCCCAGATGCTCTGGATTCGGCACCGGAGATCTTAGAAGTTCCAAAAAGTTCTCATCTCGCGCTGCCGCCTGAACAGAATCCGTCATTGTAACCATGCTCTCTATGGAGACCGAAGTGGATATCAGCTTCCTTACTCTCCCTAATTGTTCGGCGGTCCAGTCATCGAAAATCTGCTCCGAAGTCCTATCTGGGTATCGAAGAGCAAGATCCAGTCTCCACGAAAGAGAAGCGGCATCGCGGACTCCAGAGTTCAAGCCCTGGCCCGTAAATGGAGGGGTGACGTGAGCAGCATCACCAGCGAGAAATATGCGTCCTTTGTTAAACGTCTCCGCCCAGGCGCCTTTCAATACGTACATTGCCGCCCTATCAAGAACTGCATTTTCCGGGCCCAGGCCAGAATCCTTCAAGAGTGGCCAGATGAACCCTGGATCAACAGCTTTTTCAGGAGACTCTCCGGGAAGGATCAAAAATTCCCATCTTCTTCGTTCCCGCACACGGAATACAGCAGATCGAGGTCGTTGGGGGTCAAGGTATTGCCGTGGGCCACTGTAGTCCTTCCAATTGCGGGCGATTTCTTCCGAGACAGGTGCAACATCGACAACCAACCAACGTGATTTATTACCTGGGCAATCAACGAGGTCAATTCCGGCTGATTCACGAACAATGCTATTGGCTCCGTCGCAGCCGACGACAAATCGTGCTGTCCACTTCTTTTTCTCGGCGTCGGTCCAGATCTCCACGTGCGTTTGCAAATCCCTAACATGCTCAACCTGTGTCGCACGAATCACACAAATATTTTCCTTCTCCGCACATGCAGTTCCCAAGACTTCTTCTAGAGACGGTTGATGTAGAGCAAAGGTTGAGCTGGTACCGGATTTTGAATCCCAATTGTATGGAATACGAGCTAGCGTCTGGCCAGAGGCGCCGATAAATTCACAGATGTTGGATACGCTATCGCGAATATCTGTGATGGCACTCTTGAATGCCGCGTCATGTAGGCCGAGCCCATCGTAAACTCTTAGATTATCGTGGCTAAGGCTCACAGCACGTGGAAGAGGAAACAGGGCAGGATGTCGTTCTAAAACAATAATTTTGTAGTCGCGGTATTCACTAAGCAATAGAGCAAGTGTTAGCCCAACAGGCCCGGCGCCTACGATGAGAACATCACAATCCAGCTGTGGCTCGGGGTCTTTCGTTTGGTCCGCCATTGTATCGATACGAAGCAGTATGGCCTCAATTTTGAACTGGAGAGGAGATGTTTAGGTAAGGAAGTATGTCGTAAATTAAAATGCTGTCGAAAATCCATCGACCAATTTCTTTGTTTCTCCCCCTTTTTATAGTAAATCTGATCAGAAACCTAGCTAGTTCGCGACAATTAGTCTGTCAACAGCACCCACACATCGTCTAGCATCCTTATCCCTATTTAACCAAAGGGTATCGATCGGATAGACACCATCTCGCAATAGTTTCATTGCATATTTTACTCGATTGCAATTTTTTTTTCTTCCTTATTAGGAGTAATTGATGACTTGCGAAAACGTAAATCTGTTAGTTGATTGGTTCTTCGGAGTTTTAGAAAGGATCGGCAGTCAAAAAATTTTTCTTTTGATTTTGGAAAAGAGAAATTACGAAGGCAAGAAAATGGTTCAGGCGCTATTGCTTTGTGGATGACATCATAGATTTTTGGAATTACTCACAAGGGTGAGAAGGAACGACTCCTTGTTTGTTGTTCTTGATGGCGTGGTTGCCAAGGATAAAGATGGGAATCAATGTTCTCCGCTGATCTACCACCTCGTAGGAAGAAATTGTTTGAGGTAAAGCACGGACCACAAAAGCAAGTCATCTTAGTCTTCGATAGTTTCAATTGCATATGTGTGCTCCGATTAAATGACGAAGATCATAGCAACAAACGATAGTTAAAAATATTCGGGTATCCCAGGCACTAAAATCATTTATCTATTAGCTATCACTGAAGAGCCAAGCTATACAATACGGAAAATATATTGAGAAATTAAGAACATTGTACAAAAGCATTTTTACATAAATTCTAAATATCATTCAGATTTATTTTATATTAACTCAGAAGGGAGGGCGATTAAATTTGGAATCGGATCAAATGACGTCAACTATCAATTTAGAAGACAATTCTCTTGACATCAATGTTAAGCATCAGTACATATGTATTTTATATACATGTCAACTAGTAGGGTCACATGAAAATATCGTGGATTGTAACTAAACTCAATACCTCAAAAATGTTCCGTTTTCTTTAAGTCAGTGAAGTGTGAATACTTCAATGACAGAATACTAGGTTCTTATCATCGTTCCACCTGCTGCACATGCCTTACTGACCACTTGCAAATCCAGCCCCCGCTACTTCTCGGTGCTACTACAGCCACAGCCATACCCTTACTTAAGAACCAGTCCAAAGTGCTGGGCCGGGAATTGTATAGTTGGAGATGGCCTCATAGATGTCAATCAAAATTCCCGGGTCTGTATCTTTGTACAGTTGCTCGCCCAATGTACCAGTCGGTGTTGCCGTTCCCGAGCCCGAAATAGCAATGTTGAAGCATTGTGGATAATTCTGCGCCCCGTCGGTTTGGCCCGCCGAATGTAGGGCAATGATCTCGTGACGGAGGACATAGTTTCCCGGTGCTATGCTCGTAGGAAGAGTGAGACTATACTGATTTCCAGCGGCGATAAGGTCATCGGTCGCCCAAGTCCCTGGTGGTGTGGCATCATTGATAAGACCGGTCGCGTCGAATTTGACGAATTTCAGCGTTGTTTTGTCAACAGTGGAGCAGTCACCATTGCAATTCGCTAAATAGTTAATTATAGGCCCGTGGTGTGAGCTAGGCCACGTCGTCCATTGGAAAACCACTTTGGCACCAGCAGTGGCATTGGCCGTCAGAGCACCCGGCGTCGCGTTTCGGTGGCAGATAATATTTGGACCGGCATATTCGGCACCATCCTCGAAACCGAGATCCGTTGCTGTGTTGGCCCATGCGATCGTTTTTGGTGGGGAGCTTTCGTAAGGATAGACGTCCTCGAGGTAGCCAGTGTAACTAGACTTGATGTCAATGTTTGTACAATTTCCACCTTAAAGAAAGATATAATGCCAACTATGATCATTGGTAAAAAAAAGACAAAAAGTCAATGGGACTTACTTGGTTGAACCGATAGTGATACTGCTTACGTAGCCATGGGCTGAAACTAAAGGGGCTGTAAACAGAACAGCTACCCCAGTTAGGGCGATAGTTGAGAGATGCACCATTTTATCGAGTTTTCCGTTCAGATAAGCAGCTGAGTAAATGCTGAACCAAATGATTCTCAAAATACCTTTTCAATGAAGAGCATTTAGTCCTCTTTATATTACGTTTTTGAAATGTTTTGCTCCAGCTGCCGATACTCCAATGCTTCATAGGTCACAGATCAACATATGACCTAGATGGTTTCATTTAGAAAGTAGAGTCCCATCCTAATTGGAACGGCTAGGTCGTGGCTTGCATTTGTCCATATATCCGAAGTATTGCAAAGACGAGTATTATTTCTCCCTACGTCCGAGGTATCTACATCCCGAATGGATCGTCTATCAAACCCGATATTCCATGCTATCCGACTTAACGTTGTAGTGAGCAAAATGCACATTAGCATTATCATATAAACAATTTATCAGTCGGGCAACTTGGTAAGTGAGAACTCCTATTATGTTTTACTGTCTTGTGGTCATGCCCAGGAAGTGGCGTTGGAGTGTTAAGTCTAGTCTATGTGCATAACCGACGCATAAATTGTAGATCGCTACTCTGATGCGGAAATGTAACTTGAAGCTAATTGCTCTTCTTAGCTTTGAGACCGATACCCCGCGAAATACCGGACTGAGATGCAGGAAATCAAATTTAACACTAAAGCAACGATCGTTAGTAGCGGGGAGTATCGGATGCAAAGCTTAGGCGCACTGCTCTTAAAATAAAAAAAATTTATTGTTTCGAGAGAGAATAAGCACCCACAGCCTGCTAAGCAGAAAATTCACAGTATTTTTCATATTCCAGAGGGCTTGTTAACTTTCATAATAGAGATTTCCCAGGTTCACATGAATTTCTTCGCCTTGCCAACGAATCCTCCATACCTGCTGCCCTCCAATCGATGCAAAGTGTGTAGCTTAGGCTAATTGTATATCTAGGTTGTTGCCGGCGTGATCGGGTTCGTTTTGTAGAATAGATTGTCAGGGTCATATCGGGCTTTGAGCACAGCTAATTTATTGGAATTGGCTCCAAAGAGAGTCCCTGACGTTACATCACCAGCTGCTCAAGTTTCAGCATTTACACGTCGCTTATCTCATATTAGAACCGGAGAGGAAGTACTCACGCTCTAGATAGTTAGCATACTCAAAAACAGTTGCTTGAGACGTTTGATTTCGTACGCGAAGAATTTCCTCCCGGCACATTATCTGCAAAAAACGAGCCCAACTGCGAAACTTTTCGTCGTTTTCGGGTTCCGACCATGACAGGTTAATAATACCCATATGAAGCTTCCCCCGTGTAGGAAATGCAGTGCTCTCCACAGCCACAGATCTTGTTTTGGTCATGTCGTAAAATTCTATAGCCAATATCGACTTTTGTAAGTCAGGTTCTTCACTAAGCTTCTTCGAAAATACTTGGAAAACGGATTCCACAAACTCCTTCCGAATCGGGGGTGAAAAAGCGGCCCCTTTACCAGTCTTTCGCCCGCCTGGTTCTGTCATCGGGTTGAGAAGGCTGTTCATCTGGGCGTAAGGGATTGGCCCAAGAGTGTTTGCTATTGGGCCAAGATCCAATACCGGGGTAAAGTGCTCCGTTGCTATTTGCTCTGTTCCGTTGTAGAAGCAAATCAAGACGATAATTGCGCTCGAAAATCGTGGCGGCACACCAAAAACACACATAACAGCAGCACGAGGGGTATTATTTTCGTTCAGCACATCAACGAGACTTCCGAGTTTGTCTGGTGTGAAAAAGAGTAACCCAGCGTATACCATATCTGGTTGATCGTAAGCCTTATATTGAAATTCAACGGCAACCCCAAAATTGTGACCCGCGCCGCGGATGGCCCAGAAGAGATCACGATTCTCGGTCTCTGTTGCCCTCAATACATCTCCGTTCGCAATGACCACAGTCGCTGAGACTAGGTTGTCGATTACTGCACCGTGCATTCCAGACAGCCAGCCAAATCCACCCCCAAGAGTTAAGCCACCAATTCCAGTATGGTTTACCGTCCCACCAACGGTGGCCAGACCATACTCTGCTGCAGCCTTGTCAACATCCTCCCACAATGCACCACCCTGAGCAATAATAATTTTCTTGTCATAATCCACTGTGACCTTTCGCATTTTGCTCAAGTCAATAACGAGTCCACCGTTGGTAGAGCTAGTACCACCAGTTGAGTGGCCACCACCCTTGACGGCAAGTTTGAGGTTATTTCTTGACGCAAATGTAACAAGTTTTGACACCTCACTTGCGGTTTTAGGGTAGCTGACGGCTCCCTATCGCAAATTATTAGTGTGCTATCAGCGTCTTTTGTCCAGAATCAGCTTACCGCACGTTTAACAGCGGTGGCGGACCATCTCTTGATGGCATCCTCATACTCTGAGGAGCTTGGCGTGACTAAATTGGTTTCGACACTGAGCTGTGAGGTAAGCTCTCTTATGTGTTTTGTATTGATATCAATTCGCTTCATTCTCGATTCTTAGCAATTATGGTTCGGTCTGAATCAATGCTTTGCCCGTCTTGATTGGTGAATGCAGAGTGAGACGAGAAGAAATGGCAATTGAATCACCATTGACTGAGTGAAATATCGAGGGAGGCTGTATGACCTCGAAATTAAACCCTTTATATAGACTAAATTTACCGTCAGCTATGGATCAATAGCGTCCGAAGCTTTAGCGATCTCAAAGAAAAGCCTTTTCTTTGTTTGGTATACGGACCCTGTCCATCACCACATTGACTGGTCACGGAGGTTGATCCTGAACTAAGCAAAGCTTTAGTTTCTAGACATTGACTACCTGGAACACAAATCTCATGACAACTGTGGAATTGCACTGTAAAGCAAATAATATTATCTAATTTTTTCATGTTTGTGAATATTGGAAGAAATAAACCCATCAATTAAGGACGGTCATAGGGGTAGAGCATCGTGGAATCTGAGCCAGCAATAGGTTTATTGTTCTTCCTGCCAGTTTTTACCTCCAGCAACTTTTATAGCAATTTTCCTCCTTTCTGCTGTAGATCGGGGGGTAGGCGAGCGATATGATACTAATATTGTGGGTTGGTAATGGTGCTGCCTCCATCTATGGAGCCTGGACAAAGAGATGGTAGACCAGCTGAACCTTAATATCCACATAGGTGGCTATCACCCTTTGTATGAGACCTCGTAGTTCAATTCGCGGAGGCAAACCAAGGTCACCTTCGAACAAAGATTGGTCAAGATATTAATCATCGACTCACTGGCTTCTCGTTTGCGAGACAGACGGAGCGGATGTCACCTGCACTGACTCGCGATTACATCTATATATGCTGGGCGAAAACAAAACCCTCACTAATGAGAATAAACAATAAAAGATAGCCACAGCGACTGGCATGTACCTTTATCATTTTACCCCGGCGTGAAAAGGGGAGCGGGTTGAGATCATGGCAAGCTTTTCAGACCAAATGCCATACCATCAAGAGTTTTGGAGGGAAAAAATGACCGAAAGCTTGATCCGATAAATTACTCAGCGTTTACTAGACAACACAATTGGTTTTGGTTTGAGGGAAATAGTAATATTGAAGTAGAGGAAGGTTCTGTCTACCTCAGTATTTAAGCTTTTACGACAACCAGTGAGGTGGGGAGTGCATTGCATTCTTAGTATCATCAAATTAGGAATAAAGCTTACCCCACTAACTGGTTCCTGCACTGCAATTTTAGCGTCCTCGAGGCGTTGAACCTCGACGGTCGTTTGGCGACTTGGCGACTAGGGCTAAGCGAACCTAACGATCGGGCACCGCGGGCGCTGGAATTACAAGTTAACATTTTCAAATAAACACAGGAATATAAAACTGAGGTATTGGTTAGGTCATAATTTATTGCTAATACTAAAATTACTATTGCTCTATATTCTAATCAGAGACAATTTAAATTAGATTCAAAGATGGCACTACATGAATGATAGCGAATTATATTTATGCCTTCCCGAAGAAAGACAGATCTTCGACGGCATGCACTGCATTTTTAGTTTTTTCGAGACGATGTATAGTTGTCAAGTGATTTATCACCTAGCACTAAGTAGGATTAGTCATTAAGTAGGTGGAAAGAAATTAAACACTGCACTGCAATTTTAGTGTCGTCGAGGTGCTGAAGTTTGGCCATTTGTAACTAGGACTAGGTAAGTCTGAAAGCATCAGTTATTACATTTAATGATGGATCAAATACCTCACATACCACTTCACTACACTCTATATATCTATTACAAAGCCACATTGATAATCTTGAATGATGCTTAACATGTTTACCTCCTTTTGTCGTGTATTTTCTCGTGCCTATTTCTATCGTACCGCCTAGAAAACGCCTTTGTGCACTGTGAACATTCAAACGGTTTTTCGCCTGTATGACTTCTCATATGGTCTTTCAGAATCCCTCGTCGAACAAAACTCTTGTGGCAATTGGGACATGGAAACTTTGCTGCTGTTTGTGATAGACTCCTCGTTAAGGTTGAAAATGATTCACCCAGATCACATTTTTCTGGATGGAAATTTTTCACGTGCTTTTCTAATGCATTATTGGACTTAAATCCCATTCCACCAGCCACACAGTTCTCGACTAGGCAGTGGAATGGCCGATCGTGGCAATCGACATGGTCTTTACGAGCCTGTCCATTCGTAAAGCCTTCATGAAAGTAGAAGCACAGAACCTTAGGGCAGCGGAATAAACGATCACCATATACCTTACCTAGTTCCACTCCTGCTTCGGCTGTCAATGACTCCAGAAGATTGCGATTTCGGGCTAAGGTATTCTTAAGCAGACTGATACTGACATTATTACGAGTCGCCACATCGTCGGCTTGCTGTAAACAAATGTGGTTCCAAATCCGAACGAGATATGGATAGAACTCATACTGGCTGAAGGACTCGCAATCCCAGACTGCCTGGTCAATGATACCTTCTTCCGGAAAGCCTTCTTCGTAGAACTTCAGAAAGCGATGCAACTGATGAGAAATTTTTGCAAGTCCTAGACCGTAGCTTGGCGATACTAGGCCTTCTTCAATAACCACTGGTTGTTTCTCAACTATGCTTTTGATATGCATAAACCAAGTTGATATCGCATAGTCCTGGAAAGCAAAGTCGCCTCTCAGTGCGTAAAGGCGAAGCTGCTCATCCTGGATGTCAGGCTGGAAGATATTTAGTGTGAGGTATCGTAAACAGCGGAGAGTGAGATCGCATTCTGCGGCAGCTATTACTAGCTCGTTCTGTTCCAATATAAATCTAAGCACGGGATGCGCAGAGGCCATGTCAGTCATAACTGGCCGGACTAAAAGTTTTGATGGGGTGATTTACGATCTCGCGGTACTGTGAACAAGCTCAACCCGGTTTCCCTTCAAGACTTGTACAAGCGATCCGCACAATTCCTCCACGCCATCGTTTAATCTACGGCCAACATCAAGCTCTTCAAGCCCATTCCATGGCTCCAAATCAACAGACACTGCCGCCTGTATTTCAGTCCATTTGAGAGGTCTTTTAGAGCAAACCATCCAGCCCAGTAACAACTGCGTGTATCTAAATTGTGATTCCCCCAGGTCTCTCTTCAATCGCTGTAATATCCTTGAATATCTGTATTGAAAGTCAATATAGATATTATAAGCAACGGTCCCATCAACTAACGCTTCATTGAGCTTGGTGGGAAGCCTTGCCGCTGTAATCTCTTCAAAGAATAGCGCCCTTGTCGGCTGTTTCGCCAGATTGTTCATGACCAATTTTGCAAAAAGGAACATTCCTAGGGTTGTGTAAGCGATTATTCAAAGACAAAGAAGCCAAATCATACCATCCGCCCTACTACTTATCATCTCTAGGACACGCTTCAGAGTATCAGGGCTAAAGTCAAATTTTAGCAGCTCACGGGCCCTCAGTTGGCAATATTTCTGAATATCCTTCTCGTTGTGCCGCGCAGTTAATGAAAGTGTACATTTCTCGTTAGTAGAAAATGCCTTTTTTATGTCCTCTGTTTGAGGTTGACTGAACCAAAGGACGCGATGTCTACCAGTTGTGGCGCCATCGTATTTCAAGACCGACTTTGAAAATGTGTCAAATAACTGTTTTCTCTGCTCTCTTGATTCGCATTCATCAATCCCGTCAATGACCACATATAAATGCGGGATTATCTCACAAAATACTTTAAGGATCGACTCAGCGGTTGGCAAACCAGACAGAACTGGAGTGTTTGATTGTGTCATTCTTTCGTGGCAGTAAGGAACTAGGTTGGGGTGTTGGCGGATCAACTGAAGCAGAACACTACGAATGATTTCAATGGCAGTGTCTCTTTCGTTGGACTCTCCCTGACAATAGAAATACACCGTAGTCCAGAAATATTTTGCTTTGCAAGCCTCGATGACGATCGAAGCTAAATAAGTTTTTCCTGGTCGATATTCGAGTGAGCATAATTTATTACCGTGAGTTTGCACTAAATGGAAAATCATACCTATGCCTGGACGTCCATTGACCCAATACATGGAACCAGGAAGCTCGGTGACATCGTCGGATAACCATGTTTTAACCTTTTGCTCTTCCAAAATCCACTCACCTATCTTAGGAAAACAATTGCGGTCGTGACAAATACTGTGGTGTCGACTTTCCATGTCTAGGCTAGCAAACCACTCACAAACTTTGTTAAATCTCTTTTCTTGCCGTTCTGTTTCCTTTCTCTCAAACTGAAGCGCATCTTGTTCAATTCTCAAGTTATGCTCACGGACTTCGTGAGCATCGTCAATGGGTTGTCCTTGACTATTAAGATATACTCGGATATTGTCTTCTATGATAGTGTTATGAGAGCGTATGCGGAGTAGGAGATGTGTGAGCCTGTCACTGAAGTCGTTCCAAAGAGACCGGAAAACAGGTTTCGGCCCTAAATTGCCGTTTGAATGAGAACCATTCTTTGACAAATAGGAAGACAAAGCAAACCTCTAACACTGTATATTTTGATAATCCATTCATGTAACTCGGAGAAATCGGAAATTAGTGCCGCGAGAACTCGTACCAAACTTGGATTCCATTTAAACACTTCTTTGGAATCTTCCAGCATGGGAAATTCATCTCCAACTTTCTCGTAGGCAGATAGAAGCGTATCAAATAAATCGTCGCGGTCTCTCGCAACCTAGCGCATTGGTATTTGTCAGAAGAGTAACGTATGAGTCCGTTGTTAGATAAAAAATACCTGGAAAAGCATCATGATAGGTCCCCAGACTAGGCACATAATGTTGGGGATGCACAGCTCGTCCTGCACTAATGTATTCAATTGTCTGACCACTTTCAAAAAGCCCTCGATACGCTGGAGATTTCGCAGAGACTGGTTCCGATTCTGTTTATTCTGGATTGCTTTCAATAGTTTTATGACCTTCGATGAGGTTCCTTGCTTGAAACTATCGAGCTGTTGCGGAGTGAACCTTCTCGCCGAATCCTTAAAAACCCTATCAAATAACCTTATTAACGTCGCATTATCGAATGCAACCTGCTCCTCGATGGATCTTTCCACATATGACAAAAGGGAGACTTCCGAATGAGATGTGTATATTTCTGTTACTCCGTTAGATGTAATCGCATTTCATGTTATATTTGTTATCAAACTTACCATTCGCATATTCTGTCTGCGGCGAATTCTGTGGAGATACATACTGTAGCAGAACTTCTTTTGCGGCACAAGCCGCAACGGCGGCAGCATAGTGTTGCCAGTCCTTACTCTTGTGACTATCACAATAGTCGCACACTCCCTTGATGATTAAACAGTTGAATTTGTCCCAAACGCCAGCTCCTTCCATCTCAAAGGCTATAATGTTCTCTAATTCGGCGTAATAATCACGATGCTGAGCGGATCTTATCACCGAGTTTGAGGTGCCAATACATCCAAAATGTATTTCAGGGATTGGCATGTAATCATCGATACTACTGAAAGACGATTTCGCCATACCCAGTCGCCGGCGGGCGATTAGCATATTATCATCGCAATGCAGATCCCTGCATGAAGATACCTTAGCTTCCTCGCATTCTGAACCCGACTTGGTGCATATTTCGCAGCTCCAATGATGCTTGTGGGTGTACTCTGGTGGAAATAATTTATCCTGACTTGGACCGGGATAAAATGGTTCCACTTGCGATGAAGCCTGCATCAAGGTTTTTAAATGGTCCATTGTGCCCGCACGAAATTTCTTTAGCAGAATTGGCGTCTTCCATCGATTCAAAAGTGCGAGGATTTCCTCATTAGGTCGGCCATGGACATCTAAGATGGTGTCCTTTCTATTGAACCTGTCCGCATATTGTCGGCCAAAGTCTAACTGAACGATTACTTCGCTCATAATAACATCGCCAAGAAGTATTTCCGACGCCTTATTATCAGGTCTGAAAGGGACAGCGCCACAGATGCCAACAAGAAGTGCGAGCCTTATGGAGTTGAAGCTTATTTTGAGGGATTGCGCAGAACTTGATGATGTGACGTTGCCCATGCCTGGCAATTTCGCAATGACGACAGGGTGGTCACCGACTTTGCCGAAGTCGTAGTCATTAGGATCGCCGACGCTTTTTCCATAGTACTGGCGACTATCATCCCATGTTTCATCCAGAGAACAGAGAACGGCGTTAACCTCCAGTGGCAGTGCACATATTATAGCTATTTCGAACCCGGCACGGTTCCGAGGGCGAGATTTTGAATGATTCATTTTTCGTACCAGAAGCCGTACTCTTCGGTTGTCATACTAGGGCCCGATGGTCAATGTCTGGACGTAAAAGTTAATAGTGGAGATACGACCTAACTCGAAAAGGGAGAGAGAAAATAAAGGGCTGGTCTTGGATTCTCTAAATTATCGTCTGTCTCAATGTCAGAAAAGCAAGGATCATGTTCTCGCCTGAGTACTTTGGTCTAGTTACCTATGCCCATATATATATGATAGAACAGTTTAAGAATTTGTACGATTTAGAGTACCAAAATAACTGAATCGAACGATCATTGATGAATGAATGTTCCCTAATTTTAGGGTGAGATGCCCCAATGATATCGACATCCGCCACCAATGAGATAGAAAGCCATCAGATCCGGACAATTCACTCACAGGTCAGCCTTGCCTGGAACTCCGTCATCCCTGGACAGTGTACACCGCCTTTTTATTTATAAAAAAAAGAAAAGAAAAAGAATGTCAACCTCGTCTCATAAGCCCTGATGAGAACACTGTGATTAGTAGTATATGGAACAAGATCAACGGATTCAAAAAGTTCATATTGGACATCTCGTATCAATAGTCCTCCAAGAATTTTGTTTGAGCAATTCAAATGTCCGAAGACGTTCTAATGCTGCCACGATGCCACTTCCAATTACCCGTGTGTGACAACAACAAGGCTGTCTGCAAAATCCGGCTGACAGGACGGCGCCACATCACAATTCAGCCTTGTTCCACCAGGCTTATCATTGGGCATCCGTGATCTCCATCTAAGGTCAGATGTGTGCCTCAACCAATCATGGCTTTGAAAACGAAAAAGTAGTTTCCGGTCAGTGCCACGCTCTAGTGAATGTGATTAGTTACTGGCAACTTGCTGCAGGCCTTAGTGATAGCCTGATAGAAAAGGAGGAAATGGGCAGTGCGGGTCCACACGAGGTTAGCCTCGAAATGCATATTTTAGACTTGCTTCAGTGTACTGAAGCCCAAATCATTTGGTCGTTTTCACATCCTTCTAGACGTTGTCGATTGTGATAGTCTTCCTTCGCCAATTCGATCCCTAAAAGTTTACAAGAGTCAATGTAAGGTGTTATCTAACACAGTATATACAACAAAGCTTTTCATATACCTTTCGCGCGCATGGGTGATGGGGTAAGCCCCAAATATCGCACCGGCCACGTAAACATTTCATTCACTGGTTGACATAATATAAAAGCCAAATTCATCACATCCAGCAAATGATGTATGTTTGTGGTTCTGCTTGACAGGGGGAAAAGTATATGTACACTCAGGTCATACTCGCGGCCACTCTTCATTTTTCCATTGAATCGACTACTGATACATATTCACTAGGAGCAGTTACCGGTAGTAACTCTTTCCAAAGTCAGGATCGACATCTGATATAAAGAAAAAAAACCATTTAGAACAACCCAAAAACGCGATGTCACTCAAGCGAATACTAAACCCTGTGGATCATCACGAGAGCTATGATGAATATACGTCTGAAAGCGATCGTTCTCTTAGCCGCAGAAGAATCGAGGACGAAAGTGAACAGCCTAGGTATGCACTTATAATCTCTACTTCATATTCATCTGCTTAACCCTAAGTTGTATCCTTCAATGCTGGCATTTCCCCCGTATCCCCCTCAAACGCGAAACATGTTAAAATACATGTACATAAACAAACAAATGGCGAGCTTGTCAATTCACAAAGAATATAAATCTTGCTCAGGAATTACAGTTTAATTCTGCTTAACAGATATGACAGATCAGTGGACAGTGGTCTCTGCTTCTTCTTCTTCTTCTTCTTCTTCTTCTTCTTCTTCTTCTTCTTCTTCTTCTTCTTCTTCTTCTTCTATTTTCTTCTCTCTCTTTCAATTGGATCAAATCTTGGATCAAACAATGAATTTCGCAACATATGACGAATATTAAATCTCTGCACAGTACCGACACCCTCTCTTCGATAGCTCCAAGTGACACTCTTTTGGATCCTACGGAAACTTTCGAAGGGTTTATGGTTGGGGTTGAGCCTACTCGTGTGGAGCTTATATGCTATGGGATGGTTAACACACCGCTTCTTCTGCACGTCATACTTTTCCTAACATTTTATGAACTAACTTGTTTTCGTACCAGATCGTTCATGAATTAGCTAAATTGGTTGGAAAGGGTGAAGAATTAGAGAAAAAGCTTCAGTATCTACTGAAGCATGGCAGTAGCTACACCCCCCCTTCGACTCATACATTGGCACTTTCCAAATCCAGAGATAATCAGATTTTTCTAAAATTCGCAGATGGTATGGAATTGGGATACCTATCCGAAAAAATGAAACATGGGTTGGATAATCTCATTGATAAACCCCTGGTCGAGTTCAATGCGGTGATCCATTTGAGAAATGTCATAGATGCCATTAGCCGAGCTCGCAAGTCATCGGAGGCCAGATTTCGAGTCAATATAAATGTTTACGGCCCTGAAGAAGATAGAAGACACGTGGGAAAAGAGCTTTCAGACAAGGGTCTTTTCTTACAGAAACCTGACGAGCGCAGACAGGGAACCCTTTATGATAATCCTCATATTCTCCCATTGGATGATATGGATGATTCAGTTGACAATGATACCGATCATGCTGAACATGATCATAGCGATCAAGGAGAAATTTTAAACTCGTCATCTGATAGCAGGGATGAGAATATTCAACAGACTATGGCAGGAGTTTTTAGCTCCTTGACACGGGGAGACGAACTTAATTGTGTATCGGGAAGCGAAATCTTGAACTGTCCACTGTATCCGTAAGTAGCATGACATTCCATCACGCTTAGTATCAAAGTCTGAAACATAGATCGCGTCCTATAGCCATCAAGAACAAGCTTTAGACTTCATGCTACAGCGTGAGACCGGGGATATTCCTGCCAAATATCGGATGTGGCAATCTAAAGATATCGATGGCCAGAAAATGTAGCTATAATCCCTCAAATCCCTTATTGAATAATTAATTACTGTGAGAATAGGTACTGCCATACCATCACAAACTTCCAACATCGCGACCCCCCGGATGAAAGTGGAGGTGGAATTCTAGCCGACGAAATGGGAATGGGAAAGACCTTGACAACTCTAGTACTCATCGGAAGAACTCTTAATGATTCATATAGTTGGGTTTCTGGAAGAAAGAATCATATTGAAGGTCCTTTTTGTAAAAAGCCTTGTCACGCAACTCTGATTATTGTCCCGTCACTTGGTTTGTGATCAAAACTCTAAATTTTTAGTATTTTGCTAACGTCGTCCAGTTTTGATCAACACATGGACTCGTGAAGTCGAGAAGTAAGCGAGTTTCGATATTTAGAATTGGGTTATATGCACTAATAGAGAAAACTTTAGACGTCTGAATGACAAGACAACTGTTCTAAAGTACCATGGGCGAGGAAGGAAACAAGATATTTCAAACATTGAAAAAGTTGACATCGTCATAACGACTTACAGCAGCCTTGCCAAAGAGTATGGTATGGAGGTAGAAGGACGCAGTCAAAGCCTATTACATGGATATGATTGGTATCGAGTGGTATTGGATGAAGGTGCGTTTGACTTCCTTCGAAGGTTACACATCACCATAGTAATTCGACTCAGCACATACAATTCGCCGCCAGGCAACAACTTTTCATAAAGCCGTAACTAGTCTATCAGCTCATTCGCGATGGTGTCTCTCCGGAACTCCTGTGCAAAACACTTTGATGGATCTGGGCGCTCTACTGGCTTTCATTCAGGTGAAACCGTTCCATAATGTCGGAAACTTTAGGCATTGGATCGCTACGCCGTTTCAAGAGAAGGCCAGGAGGCACCAAGCAATAGAAAGACTTGTTTTTCTCCTGGATTCAATGTGTCTTCGTCGCACAATTGATCGGATTGACCTTCCAGGTCATCGTGAATGCATACGCGAAGTTGTCTTTAGTCCTGAGGAACGTGAACAGTACGTAGATACTTGGCAAACGATGCGCAGGATATTTGATCAGCAGGCAGGTCAGTATAGTCACCAAGAAGCCTCGTTCCGTATGCTCCAAGTTCATTTGGAGCTCAGGAGCCTTTGCAATCATGGCACATACCAACCACAGTTTTCATGGGCCAAGAGATATAGCTTGCTCGACGATGAAAATAATTCATTATGCTCACTCACGCGCACAAGCATGACCCGTTGCTTATACTGTCGGAATCCAATGCCCATTACACCTCGAAACCAACGTTCACAATACATAGAACAATGCAGTCACGCTCTATGCAGCGAGTGCTTACAAGTTACTAACAAACAGCTGGGCCCCATGGAGGAAGTACATTGCCCGTTATGCAAGTCGCTCAGAACAAAGACAACAGCTGGAGATACCAACGGCTACTTTAAGACTATTGGTCGCTCGACGAAACTTGAAATCCTTGTTTCTGACGTACAGGACAATTTGGCGAATACAAGCAGGTATATAATCTAACGTTTCAATTTCACCATATCTCTCGTTTCGCCGCTATTTCCGCGTATGCCTGACTAATTCTCTATAGCATCATATTTTCTTGCTGGACAAGAACTCTAGATCTGATCGGAGCATACCTGAGCAATGCCAAGATCCAGTTTTCTCGCATCGATGGCAAAACTCCTTCAACCGTTCGCCAGAAGATTTTGGATGAATTTGTGGAATGCAAAAACTCCTCGGTTTTGATAATGACAACCGGGACTGGTGCCTTTGGGTTAGTGCTTTCCTTCCCTCCCCTTGCCTTAATAAGAAAAGAAATCCTGAAAGAAATTGAGGTTAAATCTCCGCTCGGTCAATCGGGTCTTCATTGTCGAGCCTCAATGGAATCCTAGTGTAGAGAATCAAGCAATCGCCCGTGCTATTCGCCTAGGTCAGAAAGAGCAGGTTTTGGTAATTCGATACCGCGTTCAGGATAGTATTGAGCAAGTGAGTCACCCCCTTTCATGCATGGATTCCCATCTCACACACATGTATTATTTATCAATAGGACATGTATTCTCAACAGAAGCAAAAGTTGAGAATCAGCAAAATGGATTTTCAAAAAGATTTGCAGTCATTCAGAGATGGTGGACAATAACACTTCTGACCTTCTTTTATGTTCCCAAATGTCAACTGGTCTTTATGTTTCTTTGATATTTTATATTTCCATGGTTTCTCTTATGTGGATTTTGAATGTGAATGCTCCTTGGCATCAGGTCGTTCTTTCAATATTTCATTGAGTGCATCATTGATTAATTTATTGAATATTGACCTGATCTTTGGGTTACTATCGCGCCTGAGGGTGTGCGTATAGCATTAATTTCGATTAGCAGGGTGGATGATTCATAATGGGGCATTATAGGGACTGGTTAAGCCATCAAGAAGATACTTTCAGGCGTCCCCGAGGAGGCTGGCCCAAGACAGCCAACTCTTATAGTATCTCCTACACTACCTCGATCAATGTTTATCCCATGCCAATTATACGCCGGCTAGTTTATAGTATCAGAAAACGTGGCCACATTTTCATATAACCAATTAATGGTCACAAAGGTAAAGACTATGCTTTAATAAGACACTATTGCCTGTGTATTTTGTTTATGAATTTTGAAATACAACGAAATACTACTATAAAATGTTCACCATTCCAATTTTGCCACAACTACTACATATTTCTCTTAATCAATTTCGCTAAAACGCCGGAAAGTCACCCAGTCTAAGTTTTCGCTCACTGCTTGTAATCTACCATCTGCCATGAAAGCCATGAAATCTCTTCCACTCTCGATATACTCTCCCAAGCCACCAAGTCTGTGAGCAACGATGATTGTTGTGTGACCCTTCTCAGTAAATTCATCGTTAATGATTCGATAGATAGTGGATTCTGTAACGGTATCGAGTGAGGATGTCACCTCGTCCAACATAATGACTGGTTTAAATCCAGAACGTCGTAACATACCGACCTTTACAAGCGCTCGACAGAGCGCAAACAGCTGGCGCTGTCCTACAGAGAGCTCTTGGAGCTGCGAAACCTTCTGGTCAAGAATGGGGTGTCTGCCAATACCCGGGATAGCGACAGCAGTGTCTCTTTCTCCACCAGACTCTGTGAAATGTAACCATAAGTCCATTTTGGTTAATGCATCAACTAAAATTTCGTCTGAGACTGAAGCTTCTGGGTTTAGGTTGAAGCGTAAAGTCTCCATGGGTAGAATCAGAGGGTCCTGAGACACCACAATGAAGCAGCGCTGTCGTAAAATATCTAGTCTGACGTCTTTAATATCAATACCATCTAGCTCAATCTTGCCGGACTGAAGCTTTAAAAGGCGCAACAGTGTTAATAATAAGGTGCTCTTTCCACTGAAATAGAAAATCAGTGATTAAAAAGAATTTGTGGAGTTTTTGACGGCTTACCTTCCTGTACGCCCGCAGACGATCAATTTCTGTCCTGCGGAGATATTCAGGCTCAAATTTCGTATGGCTACCGACTCGGGTACGGACCTTGCACTTGTAAGCTTGATACCAGCAATAGATTTAGAGTACATACTGATAGGATGCAGTGACATCTTTGAGCTGAATTTCTCCTCTGGAAGGCCAATTGGGCGGTTCCAAACTCTCGTTTTTTATACCCTCAGATAGGGTCATTTCCTCCAGGGTTTTCAAACGAGCAATAGCACCAAGCGAGGTCTCTAATGAAATCCAACTTTCCACAAGTTTTAGCAATGTCGTGTTTGCTACAAGCATAACATTGAGAGCAATTCCAACTTGTGCACCACGAACATGCCCTCTAAACGCCACGGCTAGAGCGACGGTACCTGTGGCAATAGCCGCAGCTAAAATATCAAGGACAACATTCAGCCATCGCTGTAGACACATATGGAGAAATTCCGGACGTTGTGAGTTGTCGACAATGCGGATGTTGTTTTCTATCGCAACTTTGGACCAGCCAAAGGATCTTATGGTTTCTAGTCCTTCAAGCTGCAAGAATTTCTCAGTTTAACCATTTATAATCATCAAATTTGAGCCCTTACAGATTCCAAGAAGTTTGAGAAAACCTCAGCCCTTCCTTCGAGCTCTAGAAATCGAAGTTGTCTCGACGTACGAAGATAGACCTTTTGGACGACATACAGGACAACCAAGCAGACCGGTAAAGACAGTGATAGCCATTTTTCGGCCATGAATAGCAGGACTATTTGCATGAGGAGTTTACATATTTCTATAAATTATGTTACTCAGCATTCTTTCACCGCGCAGTATTTAGTACTTACGAGTCACAATAGTTTGAAGCGCCGATGGTAGCTGCTTGTCAATAAGCTGGATGTCCTGACTGAATCTAGTGATCATTAGCATTGAAAGAAAAACCTCGGCATATAACCTACCTATTTAGAATTGATCCACTATCCGTTCTGGAGAAAAAAGACAAAGGAGCGCTATTTATCGTTAGTAGCTGCTGTGTTATCCTATTGGCTCTGGACGATAGGATATTTACCTTGTCACAATAGCTAGAAGACGTTGGTGTAACTGCGACCCAGACTGCGGGGCAATTTGAATTAGAACAGACCTATTTCATGTTTAATGACAATAAACATCCTGAACTTGTGGGCTACTTACCACATCTGAGCACTGGTGAACATCCATGCCATTGTCGATAGAAACAGAAATCCACCAACAAAGAACGCTGTATTATCCCTGTCCGCCTCGGTCCACAGTTGAAGCCAGTATTGTGGGATGATGATGAAGAAAGCATATGTGGCGGTGATAGAAACGAGTAAGAAAAGGTTCCTAAAACCAATGAAACCAAAATAGTATCCTGATCGATTATTAGTTACTGGTATGCACAAGAGAGGATAAATTACCATATAGAGTGGGATCTCCACTCCTCCTTGCGAGATCTATCTCGGCCTCATTTTTTGCTTGTAACTGGCCGCTGAGCTTATGAAAGCTTGCCGACGAACTTCTATTGTCTGCAACATGGCGGCTGGACGAGTACTTGGCTAGGGATGCAGCTTTGTGCATGATATTTTTCCAATGTCCTTGATCAATTATTGTATTACTTCCCAAAATGACTATTTGATCCGCAGCTTGGAAGTATTGAGCTATGCGAGAATCAGCTAGAATATCAGATAACGAGGTCTTGGAAATCTACATGAATTTGAAGCGAGAATCACTGTGGTTTTCAGCCTCCGGATAAGACCTTTTGGTCCAAAAAGACTATTAAAAACGGATTTCTCTGTTTCACCGTCGAGCCCACTGAAGGTGTCATCCAAAAGGAGAATGTCGCATTTTGCAAACAAAGCACGTGCCAGTGTCTGCAATAATTAACTTAGCTCATACTTATCGATGCTGGGAAACATACCACTCGCTGTTTCTGTCCCCCTGATAAATTGAGTCCCCTACTACCAATTTGTGTCTGGTCACCATCCGGGAGCGAATCAAAGTCATGGTCAAGACAACAGATATTTGTCACCTCAAGATACCATGTCTCATTTCTTTGGCCATTGACATCGTTAGTGTCAGATAAACCGTAAATTACCTCTTTGATAGTACCGCTAGGTAGCCATGGTCTCTGGGAGCAGTATGCTATCTTTTTTGTTGAGAGATTAATTGATCCATGGGTGGAAGTCACTTCCCCAAGTATAGCGCGCAACAAAGTCGACTTGCCGCTACCAGTCGGACCTGATATAATATAGAAGGATCCAGTGGGTAACTCAATATTTACGTTATTCAACACGAGATTCTCGTGGCCGATTCTTAGATCACGGATTTGAATAGCAGGAGCATGCGGAGAGAGTTTTTTTTCAGCACTTTCGGATACCTTTCCACGGTTAGCTTGTATGGGTTGTCGAAGAAGAAACGATTGGATCCTTTCAAATCCAGTAAAGGCTGCCACTGCACGGGGTACAATAGTCATGATCATGTTTGCAGGATGTGTGACCATGCTCAGGATGGCCATGGTCGTGAATGCAGTTTCTGTAGCCAGTTTTCCACCCCGAGCTACTGCTATTCCAGTAAAAGTAATCAGGGTTAAAGCTGGAGAGAATATACCGAGTGCATTTGCTATACTCACGTCAGTTCGTTTTTAGGTACAGAGTCCAATGCGAATGGCAAACCGAACCGGAGGCGTTATAGTACACCATTACCCATCTAAGCTTTGAAGCTGCGAAGAGTTCCAATTGCCGAAGCTCTTGAATACGAAACATGAGACTGTCTTGAAACCCGAGCATTTTGGCAGTTTTCATTGCGCCTAGCATAGCAGTTGTAGCAGCCAGGCGGTTTTGAGTTGCAGCATTCCAAGCCCTTTGACGCACGTGTAGATGTTTTGCAACAAATCGACTGACGTGCGAGCATACTGAAATTATTAGTATTGAGTTGATGTATGGTTTAAATCTACTCACAATAAATCAAAACAAGTGGAAGAGGCCAGATCCAACCGACTTTAGTGGCTAGAAATGCCATACCAATAAGTACTTCGATAACTTGGGCCCATGTTTCGTGGACCATTTCTCCAATTCCCTCCAGACCCTCGGCATCGGTACTCATTAGTGTCGTCGCCTCTCCATCATCGTAAGCGACACTTGGTGACTTCATAGCCTTTTCATGGATAAGCCCCACGAGGGAACTCCTAATCATGAGTTTCAGTCTATTTAAACGGTGCTGATACACGGCTGTTGATACCTAGTTTTAAAGTCAGCGCCCGAAGAGAATGTTGGGATTGAACCTTACTGCAAGCCCAACATAGACAGCCGCTGCTGATAAAACAATCCAAAACCCACGACTGCTCCCCGCATCAGAAGGGTGTGTCATGACGTATCTAATAGACTCTGATATGAGGGCAGGCTGAGAATACCGAAAGATAATTAAGAACAGTCGAGGTAGAATAGCAGCAAAAAAGGGTTTCTTCAGACACCTCAGTAGAGCGAGAGGTAGGCTCTTCTTCGTTTCGGGTTTAGCTAGCCTTGTGAGAATGATAAAGAAGAGTACTTCGAAATTTCTTACTAACCTCGCTGAGACCACGCTGAAAGCATTCGCCTTCTTGTGACTTCTGGTTTCGTATCCGGACTGAGCGGCGGCGCATCTTGGTTGACGAGGATATTCTTATATCCCCGCAGAAGAACCCGATTGATCCATATGAGAAATACCCTGCTCAAAACGCCATGTAGTTCTTCAGGTGACTGGTGCATTCTGAGAGCATTAGATATAACCCGTGTTCAAGGAATTCCAGCCAGTGAGTATGGGCTTGGCTCATAGAAAACAAGGCCAACAGTAAGCCAACTCTGAAGCTATCCTGACATAACGGTCATCCAAGCTCGCTCACTTCTGCATGTTACTACAGGAGTTCAAAGACGTGATCGATGGCCAGTGGGGACGGGAGGAAGACTTCCGCACACACTAGCAATGCACCGAGCCGATGCTAATTGGCGTCAGTTGCATGACGCAAGGCCTTGTGAGAGATAAGAGGCGGAGATGTCTCAGATCCTTGAGAATTTGCTTCGTGTCGCTTGTGGAATTGAAGGTCTAGCTCACTATAGAGCGGTCACTAAGTCCAACAATAAACAGTATGCTGAGATACCTTTTAGTGGGATGCTTTTCATCTCTGGAGATCATTAAATTCAAAGTCAGATAAGAAATAATTATATCGCCAATGAAGTTGTTCGTTGCTGTTTCCTTCACCTAATGAAATAAATACAGCACTCCATTTTCCATTAATATATTCAGAAAATGTAGAGTGATATAGAAATTATAGCAAATAAATTATTGACTATCGAATCAATTTTATAACTTTAGAAACACATTGGTTATGATTTTCTGTTTGAAGCCTTCATATATTCTACATAAATACGATAAGGCCTAAGCATAGCGACCAGATTGTCGCATAATCTAATCCATGGAGAAAATATAATAGCTTACTAAAACATCATTCCGCGTTTGGGACCCAGTCTAGAATGTGATTCTGTTTGCTCTGCTATGGGTCTTCTTTGTGGTCCAGATGTTCACCACTTTCTTCATTTGCTTTTGTTTTCCACAATCATGATGGATGTGAACAAACTTTGAATAATTCCTAAACCTATATTCCCTCTTCCATCCACGTTTCTATGCGTTCCTAGTTTCCCGCTAAAACATAATTGCTTCAGCATTACTTCCCCGATCACTTGGATTGCTAAGCACGGTTACTCCTTCCGATTCGACGCATACTGAAGGTCAAGGGCCTATGAGAGAGCACAAGCCCAGATTTCCAACCTTTCGCCGGTCTCCTCTCCATACTTCCCATGCGTAACCCCATTTCATGGCTTGTTCAAGGTCATGATAGGATATCTTCAAGTCGAGCGACATCGTCGCGGAACATACATTCTACTTAGACACATTACGCAGCTATACAGAGCAAAAGCTATCGTCAATATTGCGCAAGATGAGACTTGTGAAGCCATCACAGTGCGATCATTCTGGCAGGAATATGATTCTAATTGGAGTAGACTCTGGGAAAGCGCAGAATTATTATCATGAAAAACCCGTATCTGAAATTAACGGATGACGACGAATATGGAACCGGCGCGGATCACATCTCTGGCCTTTTTCAATACGAAACGCTTGACGCGCAAGCCATCAACCAGGTTAGAGAAAAGGAATACGAGAAGTATCCTTAGAAAGACATGCACGCCGAAGCAAACGTCTTCGATCTGTTCAGCTGGACCATGCAGGTTATATTAGTCCAGTATCAGTAAAAAATCCCGGTTCTCGGGGACTTGGGCTTTTTACCACAAAAGAAGTGAAAGCCGGCGATCTTTTACTATATAAGAAAGCGTTTGTACACACCTATAATTACATGAGAGACCCGGAACCCGACACCCTGCCACTGAATAGCTCGGAGCTCAAAATGATGGCATCGAAAGCTCATTCGGATCTCATGCGAAAGTGTCCAAAATTTCGCCGGAACTCCTCATTGGCCCAACCCTCTTACAATCTTTTCCATAGCTCATACCATCGAATCACTACCTTCGATAGCTATAACAATCCTGTGATTGATACGTAAGAGTTCCCTGGTTCTCTAGTCAATTGGGATAGATCACCAAAATATCGCAGGTTTTGACAAATCGAATCCTAGTGTTGAATAGTTTTAGCTACCCTCTATCATCTACATACTAGAGGAAAATCAACATTGAATCCCGCAGAGACAATATATTCTGCTTGCGAAAGATGGTCTATGGTATCACTCATTAAACACTCATGTGATCCCAATGCTCAACGTGCATTTATGGGTAACATGTTGACTGTCCGTGCAACTCAGGATCTCCTAATCGACACAGAGATGTCATGTTGTTATATTGTTCCCTTAACTACAACCACAATGAGAGACGGGCGGGGTGGGATTAGGGGTTAGAGGTATGGGACTTCGATTGAGAATGCAGGTTATGCAAATATGAATCTAGTACGGACCAGAACATCATCGACAAAAGAATCGAATTACAAAACGAACTCTACGACATTTCTAGCTGCCTAATAGGCTGGGTGCGACTAAAATCGAGAGCAGACTCGGACTGCTGGAAGCTACCTATAGTCATCCTGCTGATGAGGTACCTCAACTCAACCTTTGGGATACTCAACTTGCTTCCTTGGAGCTAAACATGAGTCGCGGTCAATCTTCAAAGACGGTTGAATTTGCTCTAAAGCGCCGGAGTCCCCTGGAATGTTGTTGCTGGCGGGCAACTTCCTCATGCGCCTGGCACACTATAGTTATTCAACGATGGGGTTTAATGATGGAACTTGTGCTGGATTGCAGACTGATTCTTTCCAGCGCCTACAATATAGTTGCGCCAAAGCTCCAACCCCAAGCTGAAAGCTATGCTCGTGTCACCTAAGTGTATTAATTGGGGAAGATAAGACTTTGAGGAGTTACATAAAGCACAGGCTAACATGGATGACCTCGGTGGCTACACTTGTATTAATCGAGCATACTTGATTGAAGAATTTTAAACTGAACCTTGTATCGAAAACTAGATGCGTTGGTGGTTCTGCAACAACGAAGTTATCCTTGCCACGAAGATTTCCTATGATAAACAATTTTACCGAGGTAACTGAACTGTTAAGATGAACAGCTGCTATTTCTCTTTTGCTACGTAAAGTGAAAACGGGGAAACAACTATTGTCCCCAACATAGAGCTAATCTCATACGAAGAAAAGTCTACACATCAATGCTAACAACGCAGAAGTCGCAGCCTAAGCAGGGACATCGACGTCACCAGCAACCCTAGAAGGTTCTTCGGGAGAGCGGATATACGAACCTGGGTTATTATTCTCTTCGTTCGTTTTAGCCGCATTGTACTTTTTAAATGCTTCCTCGACTAGTAGGCCAACTTCCTTGCGGTTCCTTCCGATAATGCCGACGCTGAGCAATGACTCGGTTTCTTCAATCCAATCCTGGATGATCCGAAATCCGATTTGGTCCTTTCTAATTCGATCCGGTAGTCCTTGTCCGCTGATCAAAGCCAGCAAGCCGGCGATGACGGTGTTTAAGGCGCCTAGGAAGGTAATAATGCCGCTGTGGTCGCTGGCTAGCGGACCGAGCGCCGTCAGGGCTGCACCAACAATAATCTGGCCAAAGTGGCAAAGCAGAACGAATGTGCTGAGAAAGTAGAACAGTCGCTGCTTGTTGTTTTTGGCGTGGATGACTGCTCGGTATATTCCCACTGCTTCTTTCCTTCCCTCTTCCATTGTACCGGGATCGGTAGCGGCGAGATAGTAATTGATGCCGACGGCGCGACGGAAAATAATCAAGCGCTCATCATCGTCATCGCGAGGCGGTAGTCCCGCAGGAGTCGGCCAGGCTGCCTTTGGAGGTGCAGCTGGCGGCGGCGATTGTCCTTCTGGCTGTGTCTGGGGCTGTGCGGGAGGCTCCTCTATCGGAGGGCCGACAACTTGCGCCTCAGGCTGTTGCTCTTGAACAGCAGACTTTTTAGACGGCGTAGAGTTGGATTTTTTATCGGACTTTGGCAGCAGTGGCGAAGATTCAGTTGGCTCCTCCTCCTCGTGGTCTTCCTCGTGGTCTTCCTCGTGGTCCTCATGGGGGTCATCAGGCTTTGGCGGCATGTTGGCTAGCAATAATTTCAAAAATAGCTGGAGTGACCGACTGGGATTTCAAATTGCAGTAATAAGCAAACAAGTGCAGATACAACAGCACAATAATAAATTTAGGAGCCACGCGGGATGATACACTCATAAATACTTCAGTCGGTGGAAAATCGATCATCTTGATGGCGGCTGACCTACTCCATAGATGCATGGCGCGCTCAACCATGATGATTGGCGCAGATAAGGCATCATCGGGCTAGTTCATGCAGGTGGTACAGTGCGAATCCAATAGTGCCGGATGGCGCGTGAATTGGCTTTGCTAAGCCAGACGCAAGTCCCATGATTGGGCTAGTGTAGTATTAATTCCTTTGGCGGTGAGAATTATTATTTGACCGTCCACGGTACTGGCGTATACGAGTTCGGTATTGGCATCACCACTAGTAAATATTTGGTCGAGGGAGTGTCAAGATGCTGCTGATCGTTGAGCTTCAAATGTCGCATACATTATTAGTGCGCGGGGTCGCTCTTGGCGAGTGACCGGTCAGTTAGTATATTCACAGCTCACGTATTTGTCTACAGTAAAGGATCCGTCCCAAAACCATTCTCCAAACCGCCTAGGTTCTGCCGCTGTGGCGCATCTTGGACAAGAAATTGCTCCAGATCAAATTCTCTCAGGCTGGGCATATCTGCAATGAGATCTTCCAGCCATGAAAACTCGACAGAATCCGTTGGCGGCGGCTGCATGTTATTGAAACTGCCAAACTGCATTGTCGAGTCCGGCGTCATTGCAGGCGCAGTCGAGTGCATTTCGAGAACATCCCGCAACGTTCTCGCGTCTTCTTCTTTGCGTCGCTGATGCAGAAGAATTAGTAGATATGCTGTATTATACGCCTCTCGCATAACGGGGCTGTTCCATGTACTCGTCACGTTTTGAAGCACGTTCATCGCGTCCGACAATAATGCAAGAGAGGCGCGGCTATCAATAGCGAGGAGCAGACAGACCACCTGGAACGGGACGTTGGCAGCGTGGTGCCAGGGACTATAAGTCGAAACCATATTTTCAGCCGCTCGAAGACCTTTTGTCGCCAATGCCAGAATACGCTCCATCTGCAGGTTCAGCATATTCGACTTTTGAGCCCGTAGTCGCCTAAATATGCAAAGCATTAAATTCACCTGTGCCATGATAACAGGCGATACATCACGCTCTTCGTCTAAGACGCGCCTCATATCCGCTTCGAGATCCTCGACTGACCGGGTTTTGTTGGGGTCTAGCGGCTCTGTGAGAGGGATAAGCCCTAGAAGTTGGGATGTGTAGTCGCCGGGCTTTGGTGCAACCGGCCTTGTGGACGCATTGAGCAGCGTGATCTTCGTCCGGCCAAGATCAAATGACGCCCATATATTGAGATGCTGAGCCATTCCCCATAGTCGCCGACGGATATCAAGATCAATCTCCTCTGCGGATCCATCAAAGACGGTATGTGATGGTGATTCAAGGTGAATGTTGGCAGATTCTACAACGTGCATCAATGAACAACTTGCCAGCCAGGCTGCATGTGGCAGGGAAGTCATTCGCAAGTATGCGACTCGAAGCACCCAGCCGGTGACTGTATCAATCGATGGGGGCGTCACGAGTGAGTTCTGCTCGAGCAAAACCTTGGCCGTCTCAACCAAATCAGACTCAAATGGAGGCGGGACCTTTTGCGAAAAATGCAGTCCAAGAGCTGCCACTCCACACAGAACTGAGTCGTATGAATCGTGCAGTGCCGGACTCAGCCATCTTCTGCCGAGACGCTCGAAAAAGATGTCGCGATCGATGAATCCGTAGGCAACTCCCACTTTATCAAAGTAGACCAGCGCGAGATTCCTCATTTGAGCCTGCGACAGCGTCGCCGTCACGCTTCTTAGCGTGCCGGGAGGGCATCCTGCAAGACGCTCTCCCGTGTTCCAGGCAAACAAGTGCAGTCGCGGCGCGTTATACGGGTCGATTTTCAAGCCAAGCTTTCTCACAAACGCAGCGCCTGAATTTGCCTCGAGCGACTGCATATGACCCCGAACTTCAGCGGCAGGCGATTCAGCAGGTCCGCTTGTCCCTCTACTTTGCGTATACTGCTTGTTGATATTTTCTGGAATGGCATGGATAGCAGACTCGGTAGCTTCACCCGTCGTAAGGGGAGAGCGCGGGGATTGCAGCTGTCTCGGAGGATTAAGTGTCGAGATCGTCTTGTTCTTCGATTTAATTTGTGCATAAAAGCAGTCATACTCGAACTGCACGCAGGTATCACAGGGCTCATGGCCGTCGCACTTGCGTTTGCGTTCGCGGCATGGCTCGCAGGCGACTTTGGCGCGGCGCCGCTTGCGTGGTATGACTACATTTTCTGTTGACGGGGCTAATTGGTGCTGATCCATAGCCGACTTAATCGACCCCACGTTGGGATTAATATCTGGCCTTGTTGCTGCCAGTTGTCTGTTGGTGGTGTGCGTTGTAGGAAGATGGAAAACTCGGGAACTGCGGGAAAGGCGGGGTATTTTTTTTCCTTGCCTGATGTTTAATGTTGGCGGTAGGACGGCTATCATAAAGCCTTCAGTCCTCGCATTTTGTTCGCACATCCCATCTCTCTATTTTCCAACGACTACTTTGGAATTGTATACCTCCAAATTTCCATTCACATGCAATCATTGACCGAGTCTCCCGGCATCATCGGAATCAACGGGATTTGCGGGTTGCTTCGAGATCCCTCGGTCTGACTCATCTCTTTTATTCGTTTTTTGCTACCAGGATGAGGAACGCGGATATCGAGACGGTGAAATGTCTCGACCGAGAAAACAGTATGACTGTTCTATAACGTGGAATCGGGCCAATTGCGGGCTCAAGAGCTGGAAATGATATATAACTTTCTGCAACTCCAAACATCTTTGTCTGCTACCGTTATAACCGATAAAGCGCCTCGTAAAGTCATCAATATAATCAGCTTGCGTTCAATATTCCTGTGCCAGCAGAAGCTCTACTAGTCCACTATTAACTATACACCATGCAAGCAGATCCCGAATCGCTCAATAGCATGGATGACCTCAATTGGAAGGATGAAACCTCTCTAGAGACTGTCGAGCTCCCCACACCACCTGACGGGGGAAGTCGTGCTTGGTTTCACGTCTTTCTCTGCCACATGGTCTTCTTCAACACGTGGGGCGTCGTAAACAGCTACGGCGTCTTTCAACAGTACTACACACAGACTCTTGGGCACGCGCCCAGCGACATCGGATGGATTGGAGGAGTTCAGATGTTTCTTCTCTTCGGCGCCGGTGTCTTTTCAGGTCGTGCCAGTGATGCTGGCTATTTCAGGCACTGCTTCATTGCCGGCGTTGTGCTTCAAGTCCTTGGGGTTTGTCTTACTTCTCTCTGCACACGCTACTATCAAATCTTCCTCAGTCAGGCAGTCTGTGTTGGAATTGGAAATGGTCTCGTCTTTACTCCTGGGCTGTCTGTTATGAGTTCTTATTTCCATAATAAACGCCTTGTCGCCGTCGGTTTATCGGCTGCCGGAGCTGCTACTGGCGGCATGGTCTACCCAGCCACAGTCAATGCACTTCTATATCACTCTAATGTCGGATATCCGTGGACAATGCGGGTTCTTGGATTGATAATGCTTGTCACGCATATTCCGTCTATAGTTGGGTACCGACCATATCTTCCGCCCCGTATTACAGGACCGATTGTGGAATGGCAGGCGTTTCGTGAGAAGCCCTTCGTATTCTTCACGGCCAGCATGTTCTTCAACTTTTGGGGGTTATACATGGCCTTTTTCTACCTGGGCATCTTTGCTCGAGAGACAATTCATCTGGCTGATTCTTTGAATCTCCTCATTGTGTTGAACGGAGTGGGCGTGATTGGCCGGACTGTGCCAAACTTCATCGGCCAGAAATACACTGGTATTATGAACATTACTATAGTTATGTCGCTCATATCTGCCGTTTGTATCTATTGCTGGGCCGCGCTTCACGATTCCGCAGGTCTCTATGGCTGGACTGTCATATACGGGTTGGTTGCGGGCGGCGCACAGGCACTATTCCCGGCGATGGCGACTCGTCAAACGACAGAGCTAAACAAAGTTGGTACAAGAACAGGCATGGTGTTGAGTATTGTCAGCTTCTCCTGTCTTACCGCCCCGGCAATACAGGGTGCGTTGTGTGAGCGTGATGGAGGTGGGTATTTGGCAGCCCAGCTGTTTTCTGCATCGTCTGTGGTTGTTGGTGCAGGGTTTTTAGTTCTCAGTCGGTGGAGTCGAGTAGGATTGAAGCTGAGAGTGAAGATTTGACTAAAGCGTTTTGTTATGATGATGATAGATCTCGAGGGAATCCTTACACTTTTTGCATAGCAATGATATCTCTACTAGGCGGCATTCTAGCGTTTAATCAAAACCTAGGCTCTGATTCGATACATTTACCTATTACCTATTTCAAGCATGACCACTTAGCTCCATACAAGCGTCAGCTAATAACAGGACGAGGATATCCTTTTCCTGGAAATAAACAACGGGGACTGAGCGGGGTGGCTGCATCGGGGCTTACTGTGCAAACCCTCGTCATTCCATCACCACATGCACGATCACCACTATCATCTTCCATTCTCCCATCGCTCAATCTGACATTTCTTGGTATTGAAAACCTGGATATCGCCTCCCTCGCCATTGGCGGGCTGTTCCTTTCACATCCGACAGAGCCCGACTCCACGTGGAGTCATGGAGCTCACCCCGGGTTTTGAATGCAACCACAGGTTTTTGTTACGTGAGATGTCGGGCGACGATTGGATTCTCAACGACCCACCAGAAACACTGGCAGCCTCGAATACGGTGCGGGGATTTCTGTGCTTCCAGTAATATAAACGCCTAGTCTACCCTACGATTTTGCCTAGATCGCTGCATTGCCGGTATATCCTCATCCATCAGTCATGGCTACCACATATTATGACACGCCTGCAGATCTCGAACATGGAGAAACCGATCAGAGGCTAAATCATGATAAGAAAGAGGACGTCCGCGATCGGTCGCCTGAAGGCCGCGCAGAAGAACCGTTTGGCGACGAGGTAAATGCGGAGGTGAGATATCGCACGATGGCTTGGTGGTGAGTAGAATGTGCACGAGTACATGTATTTGGGCCAATATTGATAGTTTTTGTAGGCAGTGTGGAATGAGTAGGTTTCTGCACTTTGATATTCAATGTTATTAACTCTAGCACAGTCATGGTCGCAGAAACAATATCGCTCGGAATCTTGTCGCTACCATCAGCAGTTGCAAGCCTCGGCCTAGTACCGTGAGTATTTTTCCTCGATAGAATATCACGGCTGACAAGACAGGGCGATTATTCTGATCCTGGGACTATCCGCCATCGCAACATACACGGGCTACGTCATCGGCCAGTTTAAGCTACGATATCCCCACGTTCACAGCATGGGAGACGCAGGAGAAATACTGCTGGGCAAATTCGGGCGTGAGCTCCTCGGCTCTGCCCAGCTTTTATTCTTGGTCTTTATTATGGGAAGTCACATACTGACATTCACTGTCATGATGAATACTCTTACCGACCATGGGACCTGTTCGATTGTTTTTGGGGTTGTCGGGCTGGTGGTTTCGTTCATTGGAGCTGTGCCTCGGACCTTGCAGAAAGTGTCGTGGTTTTCAGTAGTTTGTACGTATTTCCCATCCCATCATTTTCGTTACTTTCTCTAATCCAACCCAGCCTTCATTAGCATATTTGCAGCTGTCCTCATTACAATGATCGCCATTGGCGTTGAGAAGCCGGGAACCGGACATGTCGACGCCACGGTAAAGACCAACGTGTACCACGGGTTCCTTGCTGTAACCAATATAGTCTTTGCATACGGCAAGTCTATTCTTATCTAATTCGAAGTATCTACTAATGTGGTATAGCCGGTCATGTCGCATTCTTTGGGTTCATTTCCGAGATGAAGAAGCCAACTGACTATCCCAAAACTCTCTATATGCTTCAATTTACGGACACTGTCATGTATCTCGTTGCTGCCGTGGTCATTTACCGTTATGCTGGTAAGGATGTCGCATCGCCGGCTCTGGGGTCTACAGGACACATTATGAGCAAGGTCGCATACGGCATTGCTATTCCAACGGTGAGCACATCGTCCTCGCATTCCGAGATTTATCTAATAAAGATATCTAGATCGTTATAGCCGGTGTAATCAATGGCCATGTTGCCTGCAAGTACATCTATGTACGCATCCTTCGTGGCACCGACCATATGCACAAGCGCAGCTTCCTGGCCGTCGGCAGCTGGATCGCAATCGCCCTTGTTCTGTGGATTGTTGCATGGATTATTGCCGAAGCTATCCCAGTCTTCAATACACTTTTGAGTTTGATCGTACGTCTACTCATATTTTCTACCCCCTAGTCCCATCTACTTGGGTTTGTCTAATTGTGTATAGACTGCGTTATTCGCTAGTTGGTTTACATGTGAGTCAGGGTGCAGCTAAAATTTAATAAGAAATACTAACGCAAATTGCAGATGGATTAAGTGGGATTTTCTGGCTACATCTTAACAAAGGTAGATATTTCTCATCGCCCATGAAGATCTTCCTTACTATTCTCAACTTGATTATCGTCGGCATTGGTGGCTGTCTAGTGAGTTACCCTCCTTTTCCAACATTTAAAACTCATCCAGGCTGATTATGGCAGTGTGGTCTTGGACTGTATGTTTCTGGGAAAGCTATTCACGATAACCCCAGCAATGCCAGTTTCTCCTGCGCAAATAATGCGTCATAAATAAGAGGCATGGTAGTTGCGTGGCCAGCTTCTCGCTTTAAGAATCTTGAATGATTGCGAATCTGGAAATGGGAAATTGAGTTATAAATTGGGCTTTATTCTGAATGGTTGTTCGTCACTTTCACTGACGTACAATTGGATACTGAGTATCAACTACATATTTGATCGTGAGGTTTTATGATCTAAATGTAGCAATCATCCAATATCACTAGTTTCCCTATAATACTTGCATAGAAATCTTTGTAACGTCAGCGACCTATTCTTGTAGTAGCCCAAGGCAGCCAAAGGTATCTGTTCTAGGACTAACAACATAAATATGGAAAAATAGAAAAAAAATAGAATGTGAAGGTATCCTTCGTCCTGCAGATTATGAGCCTAGCATTCTTCCTCTGAAATAACATGCTGTTATGTGGAACTTCCAGGCAAATAGTCCCAACACATTCAGACACAAGTCTATTCTATATACACGAAACTGGTCGCTCAAATCAAACCAGCCACTGATCAAATGCCATGCCAAAGTCCACGTTATCCAAAAATGCCCCATTGTTGATAAAATTCAGCGCATCATCATTCTCATTCCACGTCGCGGAGATTGATTCATCTCCACTATGCTTGACTGCTGCGTAATTACCACGGTTATTGCTGACACTCAACCTGGGCTCTAGAATCTCGTCGATGATCGCTGAGAATGCTTTTGATGCGCGGCTGAATAAAGCGTGATTGCCGTGGCCCGGTCGCTCCAGTGTGTCGAGGTGAGAGATGAATACGCTTAGATTGCGTATGAGTTCTGAGCGCGAGCCTGTGTAGTTGAATTCGGTGCCGTGGCGTGCTTCGGATTGCAGGGCTTTGATGAGAACACCAGCTGCTGGGAAGCCATATATGAGGGTCTAAGTCATCTTATTATTAGCAAGGTCCTCTTTGTTTGTGGCTAGCTACGCACCGTCCACGTCAAGTCTCTGTGTATTTGATGCGTGTGTTGGCGATGAGCGCCGAGGAAAAGAACTGTCGAGAGGATATGCGAGCTGACAGACAGCAACGCAGCACCGTTACATACTTGGGATTGCCGGGCTAACAGGCCCTGGATAAGGAGGTCGTTATATAGATATGCGAGATAAGCGATTATTCGCATCATGTTTATCGCAAATGAAAGATTGTCGTCCCAAGAATTTGGCGTGAAACGAAGGTGCGCGGGGTTGGATTGCCAGCTTTCATTGCAGCGGCGTGAGATATCGCTGTTTCAATCTCTTAGAGGATGGCTTCCAAGTGTAACTATCAGGGAAAAGGTGACTAAGACTTACTTCAATTGCTCTACAGCGTCTGGACTGAGTGTCCGTACAGACATCTCCAGAATTTCCTCACGAAAGGTCGCATTCACGTATCGTAGTCGAATCCATGCAGATGGTTGGAAAATCGGCTGAGGACTCCAGCCATTCTCATCGACTGCTTCGCATCCCCGCTCAAAGACCTCGCTGGTGGCACCAAATAGTTCGTCCTTAATGCATAACGGTATGCGACAATCGGAATGTCTACTGGACACACGTGGAGGTCGACCTAGTGAAGTGGCTACATTCTTGTCTAACTGGTAAGAAGCAGAAAACAGGCGTTTCCGGAGTTGAATCATGAATGGCGGAACGCCAGAGGAAGGTTTAATTTCTCGATGTGCTCCTAGGGCGAAAATATTGGTAGATAAATCTCCCAATCGAGTCCATATTGCTTCGCCTGTAAACCGATTCTATCTTAGCTAGGATTCCTAGCTGCTAGGCAAAAGAATAAATTTGTAGAAAGGGACTTACTGGAATCTCCATGAACGAAGCATGATAATAGCATATTTTCGTACACCAACCAGACGAGCAAATCATTAATAGGTGTCAGCATTTTGCATATCCTCAAAGTTATATCGCTCGCTAAAAGCATCTTTTGAGCAAACTCTGCTCTTTTCTGTGGTTCGCCATGTATAACAAATGCGCCAGACCCCAGTCCAAAACGAGTGCTGCGGCCTGCGAGGGCAAACATAATTCCCAATATCTCTAGGCGAGTATTCTCACCAGTAAACAGTGTGTGAAATTCACTTCCTTGTGTTGAAAACGGTACATGGAATGCCTTGGCAGTGTTCTCAACAATTCGACTGCAAAGCTTCGCAGCACGTTGGCCAGTTCGCCTTTCCAGACGATGCTGTTCAGATAGCTTTCTAATAGGACCAATGGCGTTTCGAATGAAAGGGCCTGGAATGAGGGCGGTCTGGGTCACGTCATAAAATTCCCTAATAAGTCTCTCCAACAGTGGGAAATCTTCCAATAGTGTCAAGATGTCTGATATCCTGCTGAACCAATACGGCGGCAGATGACGCGAAATTTCGTCTTGGTTCGTTGCATCATTGCAGTGGTCGCCAGCGAGCTCGTTGTCAGTAATAAACTCAGCTACAAAACTGGTAGGACCAACATAACCCATATGGAAAGGAAAAGTCGTCTCTGGGCTTTGATAAGAGTCTAACTCTGAACTAGGGGGCGAGTGCAATGTCTCGCTTAATCTGGATGCCCCGTGGCTAGTTTCAGTCAAGGGAGAAGGCAACGACGCTCTTTGTCGGGTCAGTGGTGCCGGGTGGTAGAAGCACTGATTGGAAATCCGACGATCCCTGCAACGAGTACAAACAGGAAGTCTGTGGTCACATCGCACTTTATCGTGCCTGCATGGCTCGCAGCTCGCTGGCTTGCCATTGCGTCTGCGGGAACTCCTGCAAGCTTATCAACTGGGTTCATAGATATTCATTGTCATTGCAACTTACATAGAGGGCCAATTGACTAAAATATATGCAGCTAATCATGTATAATCTCGGTGCAGCCGTCGATTAGTCGTACTAGTAAAAGTCAGTCGATATTTGCCCCGCTTCAGCCAGTATGGTGGTCCGCACTTGTCAGAAATGACGGAATGGTTCAAAAAATTGTTTAGTAAATACACAAATCTATTCCCCAAACCTTAGAGTCATCCAAAAGAAAGAAAGCGTATCACGGATTATTTTGGCAGACGGGAGTTGGGGAATATGTGCTCGAGTGGACATCATCTCGCTTTCGGCGTTCGAATTCCGAAATAGCTAGTACTTCCGAACAATTCCGAAACCAACTCCGAAACCAACTCCGAACCCTTTCCGAACATGTATTGTACTAATGCTGTGTAAGATGATATCAGTATACATGGAATTAAGAACAATATGGTGATTACCTGTTTCAAAGTATTGACGAATTTCTACCATCCAGCTTTCAAGTCCGATTCGTTTAGTGTAGGGAGGATCTTCAGATATATCAACTTATGGAAACCACAATTGCAGTTGGCGCAGTAAGATTTGAAGATAGGTTTCAACATTGAAGGTTCAAAAAATCATTTTGTAAAAATACTTTAGGTCTACAAGCTTGTGGTTTGTTCTCGCCAGTTGTAAATGGCCATTCAATGCTATCGATCGACTTGCTACATCAGTAACCTCAGATATAAACTCCGTGAGCATAATAACAAGAGAAACACCACCATGGCGCACCCATCTTAACAATGAGAGGCACATTAAGAAAGAAGAGTCATACGGTGGTGTTCAAGATGGCTTCTATATTTTAATTATTTCAAGATTATAAGATCTACATAATAAAAAATATATGAATCTATATGGAGCTGAATATCATACTAGGCTTCTGTATAAAGAGTTACATTATCGATTGATATTATATAAACAATCAAATCACAGCCGTTGAATAGAGTGCCAGTATAAAATGTATAAACTTTGCTGGAAAGTCCTGTCGCAGCCTGGTCAAATTAACCTATCGGGTATGTTTCTCAATAGCAATAAAGCTTCTTTATACACTTTCTTTTGCTGGTCGAGCCCTTACATATCAATGTAGGCTAACGTTTCCTTTCACTTCCCAGATCCGACCATCACGCCACTCAAATGTCTTCGGTCCGATTTAACTCAATTCTTCCAGTCAACCCTCTATCTGCAATATCTTACCCTCAATCTCCATATCCAGTAATTTCTTGACTGGACGGCTTTCTGCTCGATTTGAACGCTCTTTCAACAACCCAAGGATTACCACCTTGAAATTCTGCCCCAAATCTTCCCATACAAACTCTGGCTTAAGAGCCTTGATGAAAACACGCATTGCGGATACAGGAACCTTGACAATGTCGCAGACATCTTCAGCCGACAGGTCTCTCTGCATTGTAGAAATGAAACGAGCCTGCAGCGACGATCCAAATTCGGAGAATTCGTCATTCATGCTCTGTGCGATTACAGATGTCTTCATTGTTATTGATTTGGTATCTGAATCAATAACTGCGACAGACTCCGTCCTTTCCCCAGTAAGAACTTCGTGAAGGAAAGCCTCATCGAGAGGCTCAATGTCGTCACCGAATTGACCTGCCTTTCCAACTTGCCAAGGAACACGATTTCTCTCTGCATCGCCGAGAACCTGTCTAGTTAGCTGGTGGTTCTTCATCGCAGTCTCTTGGTCAATGTCGTCTCCAAAATCCGCATCCAAAACATCTCTGTACGCCTTCATATTTTGAATACTCAATGATCCAGGAGGAACGTGCCAAAAAGCTGCAACTTGGGCATGTTTGTCTATCAATGCTTGACAGGACTCCTTCGCCCCAACCCAGTCATTGGTTATACACATTTCTGACACTTTATTCTTGAGCTCACTAAAGGCAGCTGAGCGCTTGGTGTATACACTGGCGGCAATGAGGTCGTCGGTGACACGCTGTTGACCTCCTTTAGCGAGATGTTCAAGATAATTAATCATCCTTGTGTAGCTTTTAGTCTGTCTCTCCAACTTTCGTGGAAGCTGCTCTAATAGACGTGCTGCAACGGCCGCGAGGTCAACATTTTCCGTTGTAAGCATTCGCATAAAAATGGTAATAATAGTGCGAGAATGATCGAGCTCTATGTTTCGTAACTTGCAATATTTGATCATTTCAGCTGTCCGGCTTTCCTTGATCTGAGCCACGTTTTCGTTCTTAGTAACTACACGAATTATCGCTTTATCAAGGAGCTTCTCTAGGTTCCCGTAGAATTGCTTGAGAGGCCAGCCTGTATAGGGATATAAAGCGACAACTGTCTCATACCAAATCCAATCGACATGGTTTGTTGGGATATCATATTGTGGATTCAGACCAAATAACTGCCAGACCATGCTCAGAGGACGCACCCCTGACCCAGCTATTGTCAACAAATTGCCAAACAGTCCTCGCATTAATCTTGTGACAGTATCTTCGGCCTTGTCTGACACAACCGGCGCCGTTGTCCTCATCGCCGCGAGTTTCGACATAGCCGCCATCAACAATGCGCTCATCAGGTGACCAGTTTCTGGGCTGCCAGGCTGAATATCATGCTCTCTGGATGCCACTGCTTGACTAAGAGTGCTTCTCATCATGATTCTCAGCGCAGCGATGTGTGCTTCATTGCACTTCTCCATCCATCTCACGGTGTAAGGGCTTTCAAGGTTGACAAATTCATCCCAGCAGACCCAAGCTAGCATTGATCCGTTCCCCTTTCCTTGGTTCAGGTATGGTACAGCCAAAATTGGCTGGGATGGTCCAGCCTGGCTTCTGAGTGGGCCATCATGGTTGTTTTGTGACTGCTCTATGATTATCCCAGCATCAAATCCCTCGAGATACAAAACTCTCGAGTCAAGCTCACAGCATGCCCTGTGAATCGAAGGTTAGCGCTATACATAGCGAATTGTTTTAGAAAAGCGAAGGAAGTAATAATGGAATATTGGAAGAGGAAAAGTATTGGCAAGCTGGTTGTACATACCTGACATCAATAGCGGCATTTTTCAAGTTCCCCAAGAGCTGCCGATATGGTACGGTTTCAATATTCAATAGCATAACACCCATATCCGCTGCATATGTTTCAAGGTATCCTGCCAGAGTGTCGAAGGTCATGGTCTTGACGGCCTCGATGTTTCCCTGGATCTGAGCTTGGCGAACAAGTCGCTTCAGATCGTGTGTTCGCTTCGAAGTCGTCTGCGAAGACATCATGTTGGCCAGGTTTGAAATAGCTGGCTCAAGAGCCTTTTGTAGCTCCTTTGTAGTCTTTCTCAAATTTCCAAGCAATTGATTCTTTATTTTCACCGATTCTGGGTCTTCTGCTTTGTATTCTCGGGCCAGGAATGTGACGTAGGCGTCCCGCAATGGAGCCGTCACGTTGCTTACCTTTGCGGAGAGAGCAGACACCAAGGCTTTGGAGAGTTCCTGCAGGTCTGTCTGGTTTAAAAGTAGCTGTAGCTGTGGAACTGCTGCAGCTATGTCTTCTTCCATGTTTTGCACCTTTTCAACTGGAAGCTCTTCGAAAACCCTCTGAAGATCTTGTGGTCGGAGAAACTCTCCTGAAATTGGGAGAATGATAGTATTCGAATCGTCAAGATTAACTATCCGCTTTACTCTTGGATCTATCAGTGATTTTGTGCTCACGGACTCGATTATAGATGTTACATCCGAACCAAAAGCTAGTCCGAACGTGTTGAGGTGCGCCCGATTAGCAAGGCCTCTATAGAAATAATACTTGTCAAATATTTGGATCAAAACCAAGGATTGCGGTCCTGCGAGTGCTGTCACCGCATTGATGTTGGCTGAATTCAACAACGATAGGACATCTTCGGTACTCTTCGGCTCGTTTTCTGGGTTCAATTGCAAGATAAAGAGTGCATTAATTCTGTAGGCAGTTGCGAGGTTACGGGCATTATCGGTCATTCGGTCGTCAACAATTACCACAATGTCCTTCAGCTGTTCATAGTATCCCCGAAGAGCAACTTCATCAAGAAATGGAATATTCAAGGGAGTCGTTCCTGTAGCCAGCAGAACCGGGCCTTGAAGCTGGGAACCAAAAATACAGGGCAAAACAACAGCAGATTGCTGCGCTTCAGTGGGTCCCCCTTTTTTCATCTCAAACTCAATACCAGTGCCGAATCGTATTATCTGCGTGTTTTCAAAAGAAAGGAATGAGGGAAAAGTGGCAGAATTTGTGCTGATAACAGCATTTTCTTTGCCAGTGATCTTGAGCAATGTTTCTGACTTCAAACTCGAGTCTTCTTTATCAGAATAGTTCTTTGGGGCTGTACCTGTATAAGCAACACATTCTTTTGAAAATCTGTAATGTTGAAAATTGGGAATATTTACCTCGTGTAACAGTTGGCTCGGGCACAGAGATTGTAAAGTCCGCTCGCTTAATAGCCTCTGGAAAGGCAGGGCTTATTAACTTGCTGCTGTGGCACATCATTCCTCGATCTGTGGTTGCAGTTGGCAGTATTGAACAGACCAGCGAGTCCCCATCTCGCTTGACTACCAATGGGCAACAGATGGTGGCGTCTCCAATTGTGGCTGCATCCAAAGGCACAGGGATAATATAAAGAACCTGTCAACAACAATTAATCCATACCCTCTTCAAAGGAAGAAAAAGGTTTATTTTAGGATTACCTTGTCCACATGATTAGCAACAAGCAGCGCAGGATTTGTTCCTAGAAACCTTGTGATTTGTGTGGACTGGTAACCGGATATGAAAACGCAGATTTCTTTCTCTGTGAGAGAGTCCTTGTGGATGGTGACAAAATCTAAGAGATCTTGGCCATTGAGGATATCGCCACTATGGGTTATGCCAGCAAACGTATTTCTCGCAAGCCAACAACACGCGTTACATGATGCGTCGGCGAAGCAGAAGTCATAGTAAGTGGGTGTTCTTTCAGAGACTGCCAAGATGGTAATTTGGCCTGACACTATTGGTATCTTAAATGTTGAAGCTGGAGCTTGCTGGATTTGGAAGTCTTCAAATACTCCTAGTAATAATTAGTGTTTGCATTTTGATTGCGGTCGTTAGATGAAAAATCTACTCAGATGAGACTGGAAGCCAGCCATTCGCCTTAAAAGGATCTCGCCCATCTCACCCAAATCCACGGCATTGAAAAAGAAGTCTTCCGGATAGGAAGAGATGTCAATTTCATCGATTCCACTGTCTGTCCGACATAGAAGAACGCGCTCAGGGCTGAAAGGGTGCGCAGAGCCGATAGGAAGTTCTGCTAGAATATCTCGAATCTGAGCTTTGGATGTAGCCAGAGGGTCGAAAAACGTTTTCCTCACTGACTCCATAGTTGCTTGAGCAATCGTGTACGGCGAATTGTAGGATTGGATATGAATACTGACGACTTTGAAGAAGGGATATTCTAGGTTGAATTTATAGTGCGGCTGAACTTATCTTTGTTCGCTCCCCGCCCATGAGTCATGGCGGCCTTCCAAAAACAGGAAAGTTCAGTTCTAGGCAGAGGCCGTTTTGTTCTGGGCCATTGGTGATTAAAGAAAGCTAAATTTGAATAATTTTTTAAAAAGGCTGTAGTGTTAGACAGATCGCAATTGCTATAATAAATATAACGTACCTATGTTTGTGTGGAGAAATCTGCCGTGTAAAGATAGACTTATAGCGCCGAATTCCGCAAGAAATGAAATGTTGCGATCCACGCTTTTTCAGATATTTTATGTTCCATGTTTCGTAGATACACTGGATATTTAATAAAAATCATGTCAAACCCAAACTAGAAGTGATAATGTTTCAGACAATTATGCCTTTGTTATGTAGAGTGAACAGATCCAATGTGCCATTAAGTGCAGCAAACCAATCAACATATAATAATTAGTCAACTGGCAATGCCTAGCGGGGTAAAGCACACGGAAGTTATTCAGCCTAACATCCATCGAGTACCATGGGTTAAAACTAGAAGCTCCGTAAGATACAGTGTTAATATATGGAATGATAGGTGCATGATAGGGCAGAACGGCTATGCATGTTGCTTAACATTCACATTGTAGATGTAGTGTCTCTTTGAAAATTCGGCCTTATTCACCGGCCATGACCGAATTTCACGTTTATCGAAGTCAAGCATATCTTGCCGATATAATAAGGTTTCCTCGTGCCCTTCCACGCAGTCTTTTAACTCAAGGAAAGCTATATAAGGAAGTCACAAATTCGTTTTCGGTGATCTCTTGCTATATGATGTAATCAGAATTATCTCACAAATGGCAATTTTCTCGGTAACTTCTGCGGTAGAATTCCACAAAAACCCAGATTCCGCTCGAGAGAAGAAAATCAGTCTCGGTGGGCAGTATAAAGTTGATTTTCTACATCTTATAGGAAGGATATGCGTTGGTAGCCGGGAAAACGCAGTTCTGCTAAGGAGTAAGCGGAAGAGAGGTGGATGCGTAGACAATTATCGGCGTGGATCAGACTCAAGTTTTATATGATAGTGCGACCTTCAATTAAGGGATTCTTATTCTAGTCCTACTGAAGAGGAATCCTGGGATGTATCAAGGCTGCGGGCTTCGATACCTAATTATGATCGAGATTTTATAGCTGACTTCAAGGATGCCTTCGCCCCTGTCCACGACCGCCTTAAGGGGCGTCTATTTTCAGACTGGCCAACGTAGGATAGATATCTTCTATAAGAGATTCTATCGCAGCTCTGAAGAGTCTTGGATGATCAAATATGGAGAGATTGGGTATGTGTTCAAAACCCAATGCCAGACCAATCGCAAAATCAGAGATCCAAAATCTTCAGATCAAACATCAGATTCTGGATGACGCTGGTATCGGGAATTCCTGTTACAATCATTCCGTGTTAGAAGATGTTCCGATTTACAATACCGAAGAGATGGATTGGATACTCATGACGATCATTCAAGATTTTTCTACATCTTCTAGAAGTTGATGCGCGCTACATACTCTAAAATTTGACTGTGACCGACTTTCTGTCCTGTCTTGAGGTAAATGATCAAGGACCAGTACACCTGTAATGTAATTTATACTCCCTATTTATTCCCTATTTATATTTATACTTATTTTGATTTTAGAAATACGACTCAGGAGCAAGTCAGCAATCGATAATTACTACTTAAGGACACATACCAAAACCTATTCCGCTTTTTTTCTTTTTCTTTTTTTTAACGTGCAGATTACAGCCAATTCCGGCAAGCTGTTCCAAAAAAAAATGTGGTGTCAACTCAAAGCGAAATCAACCACAACTTAACAAAAGTATCGAAAAAGGAAAATGAGCCTAATATTAATTAGGCAAAGTCCCTTCGAGCTTTACAGTTAACGAGAATAAAAAGGGCAGCTTGGGTTTCGGGCTGGGGTTTTGCATGCTCAATATGACGCATTCCTCTGCCTCGGATTCTGCAACTTCTGGAGGGTATTACTAGACAAGTACTCCGGAAGTGATTACGAATAAACAAACGGACGGACGTGACGGCCACCCCGCGTCAAAGCGGTTTCCCATCTTCCTCGTTTTCAGGGGCCTTGCAGGGCCGCAACCTTATTCTCCACTGCCTGTGCTTCGTTCTATTAAAAGCCACTGGGAGATTGGGCTTCAATTGATCACTTTTGGGAGAGGGATCCAGTCGGTTTTCTCTTCTTCCATCTCTGCAAAATATCTGGCGTTCGCGCTCTAGATCAACTACAAACGATGAATAAGAATGCTCGGACGCATCTTAGCCTGGGTGCACTAAACTTTGCGTATGAAACTTGTCATTTTAAAAAAGATATGAGAGAATGTAGTGACTGGAAAACAACCCCTTTTCTGCATGGTCCAGTGCCAGAATAACGAAAATCTGATAGATACGACGGGCCTGGTGGCGGTAGCACCAGTACCTAGTTAGGGGCTTGGATGCATTTCTGCCATGCTGGGCAAAGACCAGCTGCAAATTACGAGACTGCATGATATACCCATTGAAATAGAACCTTTTACACAAAATCTATGACGCGTATTTCCAATATTTGTGGGGAACGTCTTCTGATATTTTCTTTTATGGTTGGTTTTTTGGAGGATAATTTCAAAAATATGAAACACCAGTTGATATTCTTTGCTAATTCAACGTTTGAAGCCTTTCACGCTTTTTTAACTGAATAAATCAACGATACTATCAATACGCATAAAGTACATGCTCTAAGAGCCTACGGCATATAAACGTACGCTTGATCTGCCAGAGAATACTGTCTGGCTCAATAGTGCCCACGGGTGGCGCAAGTCTAGACTCGTCTCTTGTAAGGGTGAAGGCTTGGCAGTGGGGCTGCTAATAGCCTGTTGTTTGCTAGCCAGCGGGATCCGGCAATGGCTGATGCTAATAATAATACCGAGGCATTTTAACATTTTATTCTGATGCAGTGTTAACATCAATAATGAGAAATGGTGATTATAATATCTATAATAATGGCAACAATACTACTAGTACTGTAGTAGCAATAAATACTATGTGGAGAGATCTGGATGCAGTGGGCTTCACGTGACCGCGAGACAGTGGACATGGAACCACACTCGCAGCAAACAACCCTGGTACTGTGTTGTCTGCTTGCTTGGCTCTTTTCAGGTCTGCAGTCAGGCAATAGTCTCCACCGGGTGAAACATGGTACCGCATCCGGGCATCCGATGAACCATATAAATATCCATAGCCATATAAACCTGCCATAATATAAACATGCCTCCTTATATAGGCAGTAGTAATAAAAATCATCGAAGATCCAGAAGAATTGTCTCAGCCATTGTGGCGGAGTAGTCCCACTCTCCGTGGCTTCTTTAGGTTTAGTTAGATCCGACAACCAATAAGGCGCGCTCGGGGCCCGGATGACGTTGTAATGGGGCCTCCGTGTCAGCAAACGCGGAATATGATTGGCTTCTCTGACGTGGCCCTGGCCTGATCCAAAGTCAGCAAAACTCTCTTGGTCTCACTCTTCTCGTCCCTGCCCGTTGGTCATTATTATCCAATTCCAACTTTTTTCGACACTCTTTTGTTGGTCTGATTCTACCATACTTTCTTGTTCTTTCCTTTTCTTCTATCATTCTGTCTTTTCCAACCTTCTCGACGCTCGTTGCATCATTTCGATACGCCCATCATGTATCTCACCACCGCACTCGCTTTCGCTCTCTCCCTATCGCCCGCCGCCGCCGTGTCGAAGGGCTTCAACTACGGCTCAACTCACAACGACGGCTCCTTCAAGAATCAGGACGACTTCCAGAATGAATTTAAGACCGCCAAGGGTCTGGTTGGCACCGAGGGTTTTACCAGTGCCCGTTTGTACACTATGATCGTGAGTTTACGCGTGAAGATATGATAAGCAAAAGGACTCGAGCCACTGACTTCTTGCAGCAAGGTGGTACAACCAACACCCCCATCTCCGCCATTCCTGCTGCTATCCAAGAAAAGACAACCCTGCTCCTCGGCCTGTGGGCTTCAGGTGATACCTTCAACGATGAAGTCGCTGCCTTGAAGTCTGCCATCGACACCTACGGCGACGACTTCGCCAAGTTGGTTGTTGGTATCTCCGTCGGCAGTGAGGATCTCTATCGTGACTCAACCACTGGAATCCAGGCCCTGGCTGGTATTGGCAAGGGCCCCGACGTCATCGTGGACTACATCAAGACCGTCCGCTCAGCCATCTCGGGAACTTCTTTGGCCAAGGCTCCCGTTGGTCACGTCGACACCTGGACCGCCTACGCCAACGACTCCAACTCCGCTGTCATTGATAACTGCGACTTCCTTGGTCTTGATGCTTACCCCTACTTCCAGAACACCCAGTCCAACGCTGTCAGCAGCGGCAAGTCCCTCTTCCAAGATGCCATCAACAGGGTCACGGCGCATGCCAACGGCAAGCCCATCTGGGTTACTGAGACTGGCTGGCCCGTGAGCGGCAAGACTGAGAACTTGGGTATCCCCTCTACCGAAAACGCCAAGACCTACTGGGACGACGTCGGTTGCGGCCTCCTTTTCGACAAGGTCAACACCTGGTGGTACATCCTCCAAGACGCTGATGGAACCACTCCCAACCCCAGCTTCGGTATCACCGGTACTTCTCTGACCACCACCCCGTTGTACAACCTGACCTGCCCTGCCGTCACAAGCACAAGCACCTCGTCTTCTGCTACTGGCACTGCCTCTTCCGGCTCTTCTACTGGTGGCTCCACTGGTGCTTCCACCGGCGCCTCTACTGGTGCTTCCACTGGCGCTTCTACCGGCTTCGCCACCAGCCCTGGCTCTGCCACCGGCACCCCTGGCTCCAGCGGCACCGGCTCTAGCGGTGTCACTCCCACCCCAACCCCCGGCAGCAACGCCTCTGGAACCCCTGGTTCTTCGAGCACTACTCCCACTAGCCCCGCCCACACTGGCGCTGCCACCAGCGTCTCTGCTTCCATGACTGGCGTCGTTGCCGCTCTTTTCGCTTTGATTGTTGCTTTTTAAGTTTGTAATCAATACGTGGATTGAACGTGGTATGGAAGGGTTCTTCGGAAGAGTGTATGTTTGTTTTTTGATATGAGAGGCTTGTACTGGACTTTTACCTGGACAATGTATTGTTTGAAATTTCCTTCTAGATTTATAATTCAATAGAGCAAAGCCTGTTTCCAGTTTCGAGTTGCAGATACTTGCATGTTCACGATATCTATCTCTCGTTATGCAAGAGTGTTTACGTCAAGACAGTCGGTAATGACCAGTGTAGCTAATCCCCATTATATTTCCATTTAGATTCTGTTTTATCGTAGAAACGTGGCATCAGTTGATAATATTGATTGATTTTTGAAAAGAATCGAGGTGTGATCAGGTAATTAGGGCTGGCCGCGAAGCCCTCAACTCCCTGTACCAAATTTGCCAGGCTTGAAAGGCTTGCTTGTACAGAGTTAATGTGTTATTCTAGATTGATTTCGGGTTCTATAGCTTGTGAGGTTGGCCAGATGTATGTCTTTATGTCGCAGGTCAACTGATGGTCTTTATATGTGAGGATCTCCATAAGTTTTTTAAAGGGTATATCAATGATATTTTGCCAAGTTCTCTTAGAGAGTCGCGAAAGAGCACTGGGAAAAGAATAAAGAGTGTCCTAGCATAATGTTTCCTAGCATAAACAGATGGGTTTGTCGACAACGGTCTCCTATTTGAGAGAAAGAGAAGAAACAAAGAAACAAAGCTCGTACCAAACTCATCATAATTACATATCCATAACTTTCACTTCACACCTTTTGCAATAATCGGCAACACCATTTTGCCTCGTCCATTATCAAATGCCGCAAAAAACTCCTGTACTAACGGATGAAGTCCTCTTCCACTTGCTTCCGCCAACCATCCCGTCATGCTGATATCTTGCAGGGATCGTCCAGCCATGTCTTCTAGATATTTTCCAAATTTCTCATGTGGAACTTTCATATCGCTACAGTGGTTCATGAAAATGAGAACTTTTCCTTGTTTTTGTTGTTTTAAATCTGGCGGATTACTACCATCGATCGCAGATTCGACAGCTGATTTGATCAAATCCCTCACCATATCTTGCACCATGATAAAGTCCCACTGACCTCTCACATCCTCTACCTTGATCCGCGGCATTTTACCAACCAACAGTGAGTACTTAGTAAGCATGCCCACAGCGTCTAGCTCGGATGCGTCGTTGCCTACGACATGAGCGAGTCGATGAATAAACACAGGGAGCCCATTATCCTCCGCAACTTTCTCTAGAAGCATCTCACTAACCCATTTTGAGGATGCATACCCATCCACTGAGTTTAGAAGCTCGGGAACGGCGGGCGATGCGGGCACTTCGAGGAGCGACTCCTCGTTATCGAGTTCAATCACCTTGGCCACGGACGCCGTAGATACATAGTGTAGTGGTATCCGGCGGGGTATGGCTATCTCGCATAATGTGCGCGTCGAAACAACATTTGCGCGACGTAGAGACCGGTATGTTTTTAGAAGAGACACATCGGCACCGTTATGGATGATGAAGCTAGCGTGTTGGGCCAGGAAGGCGAATTGGGAGTCTGTGAGGCCGAGGTTGAGAGATGATAGGTCTCCGACATACTCAACAATCTTTTCGCTTTTTATGGAAACGTGCCGTGCGTTTCCGTTCTCGTCGGACCTTATTGCTAGACAGTGTACCTCGGCAACTCTTGGATCTTGTACGAGGTGCGACAGCAGGTGTCTTCCAACGAATCCGGTAGCACCAGTCAACACGACCAACAGGCCTCCCATCCCATTCAATTGCCTTTGATCAGACAATGTGAATATGGATTTGGGTTGAGGGAGCCCATCGGCCATGCTTGCAATTTCAAGATCCCAGTTGATCGTCGGCTGGGCACCTGTAGGTCCAAAGAACGATGACGCGGTGGCCGATGAAGACGCTGTATTTTGGGAAGCCTCCGCGGCATTTGCAACAAGAGTAGCCATCCTACTCAAAGTACTGGAATGGAAGAGATCGGGCATAGACACCGTCGCACCGAACTGGACTTCCAGAAGCGCTTTGAGTTTGATCATTAAAATTGAACTCCCGCCAACTTGGAAAAAGTCTGAGCTAGGCTGAATGACTGGCGCATTATAATTTTGTCCGGAAATATGGACTATTCGAGTCGAGAGAACCTCGTCCCAAACTTCTTTAATTGAATTTTCCCAGGGGCTGAAGCTGTTCGTGAAAGTATCTTCATTACTCGAAGCACCGGACTCGGCGATATGCAGTTTATCTACAGCGCGCCTGTCCGTCTTTCCGTTGGCGGTAGCTGGTATTCGTTCTGTCGGAATTATGAAAGTCGGCTTCATGACTGGTGGCAGAGGAATATTGGGCTGGAGCCACTCTATAAAATCGGACTTGTTTCCGGTAAACTCGACGTCGAAAACGACAAAGGCGACGAGTATGTCCGTAGGCTGACCAACTCTCAACGAAGCAGCAGCATTGACAATTGCTCCTTTGGAGACATTTACAATGGCATTGGCAATCTCATCAAGCTCAACACGGAAGCCATTTATCTTGACCTGGCTATCTCCGTCCAATCGTCCTAGAACTTTAAGCGTTCCATTTGGTAGAATCCTACCCTTGTCACCTGAACGATAGATCCTGATCACCGAAGATGGTGACGTGACTGACTTTCTCTGAGTAAATTTGTAGCTGGATTCTTCAACTCTTTGGAGATATCCAATACCAACACCCTGTCCAGAGATACAGATTTCACCCGGAAAGCCAACGGGTAGGATGTTCATATCAGCGTCAGTAATTTCAAGACTGTAGTTTGGCGACGGGAGAAGATAATCAATGCTGCTGTTATCATCCACGTCATCCAACGGTACAATACCTCTCGCGCAAGCCACTGTAATCTCCGCTGGGCCATACACATTAACAAGATTCAAAGTATCAGAGTCTAGCTTGCGGAAAGCTTTATGCAGCTCCCGGCCTAGCTTCTCTCCACCTGACATCGCATAGCGCCATGAGTGGGATTTTGTAAGAATATGATGTCCGTAGTTTAGCAGCGCTAAATACTCAGACGGCACAAAGTGTGTTAGGGTTACGCCATGTTTGACCATGAGATTGGCCATGTGTATTGGGTCGCCTCGTCCGGATTTGCCTACTATGACAATCGTACCCCCGTTACATATGGCTAGGAAGATTTGGTCGAGCATCAGGTCGAAGCCAAGGGGGCTCTGCTGAAGTGTTGTCTCACGCTCGAGGCTAAGAGTAGTGATTGTGCCGTAGATTTGGTTCACCAGACCTCCATGTGTGAGTACGACACCCTTTGGAACGCCAGTCGATCCGCTTGTGTAGAGAATCATTGCGGGTTGATTGATTCTATTACTGTTGGTTTTGACTGTATCTTGACAAATAGACGTATTGTACTTGTCATCAACAATACCATCAATATTATCGTTATTATCAATACTTAATATTGATGTGAAGTCCGTGTCGGCCGAAATCTGTTGTGCGAGCTTCTCTGTAGCATTGTGGCACAACAACACGCGCGGTCGGCTTTCTTCAACCACGGCATGAAGCCGCTGATGATGATTGCGCGTATCCAGAGGAATCCAAACAAAACCCAAGCGCAAGATAGCAAGAATACAACAGACAGCGTCAGCGACAGGGTCGAGAAGCATAGCTACGTGCGAGCCAAGAGGGAGCGAGGGCGTAACGGCTTGTAGTTGATGTGTGATTTGAATCATCCTGGACGTCATTTGCGAATACGTGAGGGTTTCACTTTGACCATCTTTAATTGCGATGCTTTCTGGCAGCTTGGCCGCGACTTCCTCGACGCGGTCAGTGAGTGTGCCTTTCCATGGCACTTCAACATCACGACCACGCCCGAGCCTGATCGCTTCTGCAATATCGGCCTCGTCGGATACCGGACACCTACCGACTTCAAAGTCGGGGTCTCGAGCTAAAGCTTCAAGGGCACGTGTATACCATTTCAGTAGCAGCTCGCCGTCGGATGCCTCGAACAAATTCCGCTGCAGGACGAAACTGATATAGGTCCAGTCCGACGTCGCGGCAATATTGAGAAGCATATCGTATGGGTGCCCTCCCGGCACACCCTTTTCCCACTCGATGCTCCCATCGCTCCCGAAATCAGTGGCACTGGGGAACCCTTTGCGATAGTTGACGGCAACCTGGAACAATGGATGGTGTTCCGTTGATTTCGAAACCCCCAGGTTATCCAGTATCATGTCAAGAGGCGCAAGCGAATGGCCTAGGGCTGCCAAAACAGCATCACGCGATCTCCTAGCCACCGCATTGAATTGCTCAGAATGATCGAGCATGATACGCACCGGAAGCATATTCAGGAAGTAGCCGATAGTTCTCATATCTTCCGCCTCGTTTCTGTTTGCGTCTACAAGTCCGACGGCGACATCGCCGATCCCCAGGCAACGTGCAAGAAATGTGACAAAGCTTGCAATGTAAAAATGAAACGCGGTGACGCCAATTTTCGCAGAGGTTCCCTCCACTAACTTCGTCAAGTCTCCAGAAAGTTTTACATCGCAAATAATAACATTGTAGTCCTTGACAGCCGGGCGATTGTTCACTTTGGCGAATGGAAAGAGAGGAAGTGGCTCGGGAATCGTTTGGTAGATTTCCTTCCAAAAGGCAAGGTCGGTATAGAGATCATGGTGTTTTAATGCCTTCTGCTGTCTTTTTGCCATTTCAATACATTGCGGGATACCAGTACCCATTGCGGTACTCGTTACGCGTCCCGAGTATGCATTTGCGAGATCAGCAAGGAACACGCTCCAAGAGGCACCGTCGAGCGCAATATGGTGATGGGTGAATAGTATGAAATGAAGAGACGTTGAGTATGATAAGGCTGTTACCTTCATAACAACTCCTTTCTCTATCTCGAATCTAGACTCCTTGACGGTCTCGATCTCGGTGTGCACCTCGCTGTCTTCCTGAATTGTTCTGTGTACGAGTTCGATTTGAGGCTCGCGCAGTACCGCTTGTACGGGCCGCATAGTGGATACGTCCATGAAGTAGGCGCTTCTAATAGCCTCGTGTCGCTTTCCAACCACGCGAAGGGCCGTTTGCAATCTTTTTATGTCCAGCTGACCGTGAAAGTGTCCGAAGTAAGCGATGTTGTATGCATTTGTTTGGAGATATTCGTGCAAGAAGAACAGTTGGGCCTGCGCAAGAGACATATCACCAATCCTCTCATATTCAATCTGTCCTGGTTCCTTATCTGCCTTGCTAATTCCATTGGGAACTTCCAAATGAATGGCCGCAGTGTTGTGTATACCGTTCAATTTAGGTCTTGTCTTAGGTTCTTGGTCAGAGGGGTCCATGGCTATGCCACTGGTTTCCCCATTTTGTTTCTTGTCATCCTTATCATTCCCGTTGACCCGTGGCCTCAACGTCTCGAATTTGACCAGCACTTCCTGGCAGATCTCAAGCAATGACACACCACTCAAAAATTTCAAAGCTGGATAATCAACTTTGATAGTTGCAAGGAGCCATGAGCGGATCTCAACAGCTACCAGCGAATCGATACCCAGAGCCACGAAGCTGACATTTTCATTCAACTCCGCACCGGGGGAACCAAGGGCTAAACTTACTCTAGAAGCAATGGCAACTTTCAGAATAGATAAGGCCTGTGTACCATCGTTAGCCTCTATGAGCTGATCTTGAAGACTTTGGGTTAATTTATATTGATCACGTTGACGTCCTTGAATAAGTCTCTCCTCGCCCTTAACGCGACAATGCCAAAACCGCGGGTTATAACGCCAGGAAGTTTCGATTGCAGTTCCAAGCCCAGCAATGAGTTGGGGATCCAAACCAGAATCTGCACGACCGGATAGGATTGCTTGTGCAAATATTTCATGAAAGTCGGCCTCTGAAATGGCTTCAAAATCGTCCTGACGAACCTTAGCTTCGACGGTTGGCCCGGCTTGTCCATGCACGAAGCCTAATCCAAGTAGCATCCCAAAGTGCATAACTGACGCAGCCAAGCCTCTTCTGCGTCTTCGCTCGGCCAGTGTTGACATAAACATATTAGCGGCATTGTAATTGGCCTGACCAGGTCTGCCGGTAATGCTTGTGACTGATGAGAAGAGAATGAAGAAATCGAGGGGTGTTGAAAAAAACAATTTATCCAGGTTCTCACTTCCAGTAACCTTGGGCTTTAAGACAGCCTCTAGGTCCTCAAATGACATCCCATCAAAGGGACAGTCACGCATCACTAGTGCAGCATTAGCTACTCCGGCGATAGGTGGCATGGACGAAATTATTTCTTGGTGAACTTCTGTCAAATTTTCCATGTCCGTAACATCTAGAGAAAATACGCGAACGACTACACCATTCTCTTGGAAATTTTCTACAATTTCTGGAGGCACGTTTGGGCGTCGGCTTGCAATGGCGATGTATTTGGCTCCATGATCCGCCATCCACTGGCAGAGTGATAGTCCCAAGTCGCCTGTAAGTCCAACGAGAAAATACGTCTTCCCAATCGCAAAAGGGTGACAACTCTTCGTGGCTGGCATCACTTGGACTTGAATGGATTGAATATCAGTCCAAGATATGATGCTTGTTGGGGTCGCTCTTTCTGGCTGCTCGTGTACTATATCCGCTTTGACGACATTCTTCAGCGCTTGAGGTCCTGTTATATGTGGAAAATCTGGTTGAAAACAGTAATCCGTCAAAATCTTTACAAGCTTCGATTTGTCGTAGGATAAGGATATTGCCTCCCTCACACTGAAATTCTGCATACTTGGTTGAACATCCATTTTATGTCCAGTAAAAGTTGTTGCAAATTCTGCAAGACCATTTGCATCAACTCCCATATTGACAAACCGTCTGATGTTGCGAGGAATTCGAGATCTTAGTTCCCTTTCCGGTGCCTGTGGATGGACATAAGTTACCATACCGGTAGGTATCAATGCCGATGTCCTTTTGCTTGTGGACAAGAATACGGAAACACCCTGATGACTGGCCAAGTGAGATATGATCCGAGCAGTGCAGTCATCCGCATCATGTACCCACACGAGTCCGACACAGCCTGATAGAATACTTTCACACATAATGACCGTCAATATCGACGCCAGTGTCTCGTCGGCGCTTGCACTCGCTTTACAAACGAAAGCGCAATCAGGAGCTATTGGGGTTATTGAGCTATTTGTCTCTGAAATAGCTAAATAATTCTCGTTTTTACCGTCCATAAGGCCCAAGCAAATGTAAAATGGCTGGCTACCATCCGTGCAAGCAAACTGGAACAGCGAGGATGAGACGACTTGGAGTGGACTAAAGCTCGCTTCGTGTTCTTGCTTGCGGCCACATGCAATTTCTTCCATGGCAATACTTGCATCCCTAGTAGACAATTCAACAACAGTTGAAATTGGAGACACGCTTTTAGTGATGGCTCGTCTCGCAGAGTTGAAGCAAGTATTTAGATCGTGGTCTAGAACAACTCTCGGAATAAGAACAGTCCCATCCACCACGGCTACCTCTGTCTCATTACTCCAAAGGATATCATCGAAACTCGGCAGATCCAAATAAATCATCTGTAGAAGCATCTCACAGAACATGGTAGCTTCGGGTTGCTGCTTTTGGGTTCGAATACGGTCAACGTCGACAAATTTAAGCCGGAGATGGGCCATTTCTCGGGTAGCAGAGCGACCAAGGCCAACTATCATGTTTGCATATGGATCGTCAGAACGGCAACCTCGCGTAGCCCATAGAATGTATTTAGCTTCGCAGAATAGCGCATGTATAGCTGAAATGCGTCGCCGATCTATTTGTGCAAAAGTTGCTCCCTCTAGGTCTGAAAGACAGATCACCACACTTTCGTGGTAGCTTGAACGACTTTCTATCACGTCTTCCAGCGTACTGATGACTTTCGTATGTTCTACAAATGGGCTGAGAAGGAACTGCACCTTGTTCGCCATCTTAGACAATGTCAGAGAGTGTCCACCGATGATCAGCAACTTCTCGATGCGTTTCACATCGTTTGCCTGATATAGAGGATCCCTCAAAAAGTCTATTCGTTCATCTACAGCCTGACTCACTATAGCAGAGAAGGTGTGCAGGGAATCATCCTCAAAGTCTCTAAGAGAATGATCCACTCCTGAAAATAGATTCTCCCTCAGAACTGCATCCCACTGTGACTCTGTGATCATCGGACTTTGAATTCGGCCATCTTCACGACCGAGCCACCATCCAGGGAAACCGGAGAACAGAAATGGAGTACGTAGCGTCGTCGAGCTGGTCAGCTCTAGTAGGATTAAATAGCCTCCAGGCCGCAAGAGCTCCCGGCAATGCTGTACAGTTTCGGAGATGGATTTAGTTGCATGGAGCACATGCGCAGCGATAATAAGATCGTACGAATGCGCTTGGAACCCCTGTTCCACTGGTGATTGCTCGATATCAAGGACTTTAAATGTCATAACATTCTCATGCTCTGCGAAACGGGCTTCGGCTGCCGGAAAGAATCCCGGGGAGACGTCCGTGAATGTGTAGTCCTCGAGTTTAATCCCAAGATGCTTCAACGCAATGGATGTAGATCCACCAGTACCAGCACCGATTTCAAGGACTCGCATTCGGGGATATCGGTGGACAATTTGATCTAGGAGTAGCCCAAGACGACTATTTGTTTCGCAGAATCCTAGACCCTCTGTATAAAGTCTATCAAGCATGTCATCTTCTTTGAGAACCTGCAATATTGGCACCGAACCCCGCACAATGGACGGGAGTCTTTGACCCAGCTGATGGATGAGCTTTATATCAATCTGATCCTCAAATTCCCGGTCCACGAGCATATTTATCGGTTCAACAGTATCATTTTCCCAATGCATTTTCCAGCGAGAATGTTTACCCGATTGAGCTGCTGGAAATACGTATTCCAGGGCCCAATGCATTAAGCATTGAAAATACCATTCTTTCGACTCCATCTCTTCTTGCCCAACCTCTCTTAAAAGCTGGCGGAGGTAGAAATATGCGGTTCTTTCGCATACCTCATGCAGTTTCCGGTCCTCCGCCAATGGTGTTCGCGTATATACTTCTTCATCTGGCTCTATTGAGGACAATATATCCCTCTTCCAGACCGTGCGCCAAAACATGCCACGGTCGTTAGCCACAGCGGGGGTCTCGAGGGAGGCAAAAACAGCGCCCTGAATCTGGATTTCGGCATGGTTGTCTTCTAGAGAGAACACATCAATATCACCACTGATTTCACGCGCTGAAGACTCTGAGAGGTAGCAATCAGCAACAAGTTGCGAACTCGTTTGCTGGCGAGCATGCATGTCAAAGTGAACTCGCCGAAAGCTCTTTGGCAGATACGTAGTCCACATTCGTCCATCACCTGGGTAAGAAAATGCAACAAAAAGGCTCTGGACAATACTATCTAATGTTGCTGGATGAATTGTGTACTGATCAGTCACTATACGCTTCGTAGTAACAGTGGCTAGATTCAGTCGTCTTTTGATTGAGTCTAGTACGAAGGGCCCCGAATACTGTAGGCCGACCTTTTGCATCCAAGAGTAGAAACGGTCGACAGCTACGTCTTTCATGGGAAGGTCGGGAGCTATTCTACTAGGCAAGGCGTCTTCAACAGGAGCGCCTAATTTCACAAAGGCGCGACCAGTGAAAACCTCCTTGTCAAATTCGGGAGATGCAGTGTCGACATTGCTGCTGTAACAAGAAAACTCGGCTGTTTTACCAACAGAAGTCTCTTCAACCAGTCTGATGACAAAGTTTATGTCAACCCCAGGTGAGCCTTCTTCTAGTGAGACTCCATTATGTATCACAACATCTTGCAATTCCACCAGTTGGATCGGCTGGCCCTGTCCACCAAGAGACACGGCCGCATTTAATGCCATTGCCAAATAGCTGGCGGCAGGAAGCAAAGCATGGTTCTGGAACTGATGGCCTCGCAACCACTCCACGTCGCCGATTCTAAGGATGTTTCGCCAGCGGATCTCCCGGTGCCCGAAGCTCGAGCTTGGATAGCCGAGTAACTCGTGAAATGGAGTGCTACGTGAGCGCCATGTCTTCGATCTCTTAGATTCTTTAAGCATTGGCCGGTCGTGATCCCACGGATATGAGGGTAAACCCTTGTAGACGCGGGGAATCGTCCAGTTAGGCCCGTCACAGGCTCTTCGAAAGCCTCCAAAGTCGACGGGCGAGTCGGGAGAGTTAGTGCAGCTCCACACAAAGCCTAGAGCACTGGAAAATGTATCTAGTGCATCTTTGTTTCTCTCGAGCACCCCTTGATATCGAATAATGCTGCCTGATGCATCTTTAATAGACTCGGCTGCAGGGCCGCGCAACGCTGGATGGGGCCCGACTTCGAGAGCTAGATCAAATTGTTCTTTCTGTACTGCTGAAGAAATGGCGTCGGAAAATAAGACAGGGTTTACCATATTTTCGACCCAGTACATATGCTCGAATAAGATGCTGTCGTACATGCCCCTACTGTCATCCGGGCCATATACACTTGAGTACCAGTTACAAGAACCTCCGAAACAGTTTCTTATTGGTTGAATATTGGCATCTTTGAGCGATGTGAAATATGCCTCTCGCACACATTCCATGTGATGGGAATGATACGCAGTATCGACCTTGAGGGTCCTAGCAAATGCTGCCTGCTCATGCAGAACCATTTTAGCTTCTTCAATGGCCTTGGAATCTCCTGAGAGAGTGACACATGAAGGCGAATTCTTTGCGGCCACATTAATTCTGCCCGAAAAGCGCGTCTGTCGACAGAAAACCTCCGCATCTTCCGGAGCCATATCCACTGCCATCATCTTCCCGCGCATCGTGCTCGCATTTTGAATTTGTCGAGAGTGATGGCCTCTGTAGAATGCAATTTTGATGGAATCTTCTGCACTGAGAACCCCGGCAGCATATGCAGCAGCGATTTCCCCTGACGAATGGCCCACAACAGCACTAAACATTATCCCGCATTCCTTAAGCAAATCGACTAGCGCCACCTGAAGAGCTGTGCAAAGGGGCTGTGAAATTTCGGCAGATGAAGTCCTTACTGGGTTATGTTGTTCCAGCAATTCTTCTGCCAAAGACCAATCAGGGCTTTCCGGGATATCCTTGAGTGCTATATCGAGTTTCTGGATAGTATTCCTAAACTTTTCTGAATGCAGGTACAGGCTCGCCCCCATAGTGGCCCATTGAGCTCCTTGTCCTGTGAAGACGCCTAGTATGCGGATATATGAACTCGTCGTTGGCTGGATAGCTATAGGAAACTTCTCCTTGTCTCTAAGGGAGGAATCCAGCCTAGCAATGAGCTCTTCTTTGCTAGTTGCTGAAAACGACGCTCTGTACATAAATTGTGTTCGTCGGGTTTGTAGAGTCCATGCTAAGCTAGAAATGTCGATGTTGCTTTGGCGCTCGAGTGTTGCAGAAAGGGTGCTAATTGTAGCCGCGAGGGATTTCTCAGAGTGGGCAGACAAGATAAAAGGCCCCCAACAGGGTGACGAAGAGTGAGGACTTGCAGCTACGAGCGGGTCTACCCAGCTCTCGAGGATAGCATGGGAATTTGTACCTCCGAATCCGAAGCTGTTGACACTAGCCCGTCTTGGTACTCCTTCTGGTAATTTTGGCCAGGGTTGTAGTCTCATTGCCACTTCTAACCCGTGGTAATACGGCTCTATCGCTGGATTTAGCTGGTTAAAGTGTAGATTTGGTGGTATCAGTCCGTGTTGCACTGCTTGGGAGGCCTTCAAAAGGCTTGCTAGTCCAGCTGTGCCCTCTAGATGCCCTATAACTGTCTTGATCGAGCCAACGTGAATTTTATTTTTCATGATCCCATTCTCGGCTTGAAGACTAAACCTTTCATTGTGATAATTAGGAAAGAAGGCCGTACTTATGCCTTCCGCCTCTTTTGGATCTCCAGCTTGTGTTCCTGAAGCAAGTTAGGTGCTCTAGTAAGAATTTACGGCTGGAGATCAAAGACTAACCTGTTCCATGAGCCTCAAAATATTGACAACGGTCTTCTTCCCTTCCGCAATCTAGCCCACATCTGGCATATGTTGACTTCATAAGCTCGGATTGAGAAGCCGCATTCGGAACTGTAAGACCTGTCGATCGGCCGTCTTGATTGACTCCTGTGTTGCGTATTATACTCTCTACATCGTCACCATCTTCAAGGGCTCTCTTTAATGTCTTTATAACAACAACAGCGAAGCCCTCTCCGCGAGCATAGCCGTCTGCACTAGCATCCCACATGCGGGAGCTCCCAGTCGGAGACAGCATACGCAGCTTTAGTTATCTCAGCTTCTAACCAATATTTCTCTGGTATGGAAAGAAAACTTACACTGTTCACGAAGCCGAAAAATTCGGGGCTCATCATGAGATTCGTTCCAGCAACGACAGCCATCTCAGACTCTCCATTCCTTAGCGACTGAACTGCTAGATGTAGAGCCACGAGACTGGAAGAACAGGCCGTGTCGATGTTCATCGAAGGGCCCTTCCAGTCAAATGTATATGACACCCGGTTGGCAACTATAGAACGAGAAGTACCCGTTGCTGCATGCTGTGGGTGGCAGTCTATATCCCGTAGTAGGAGGTCTCGGTAGTCATCTGCCATTTGGCCCAAAAACACGCCAGTCGAGGAACCTCTGAGGCGGGATATCGAGTATCCCGCAGACTCGATAGACTCATAGACTGTTTCTAAAATGACTCGCTGTTGAGGGTCCATTGATTCGGCCTCTCTGGCACTAATATTGAAAAAGTCATTGTCAAAGGCCCATGGGTCATTTTCAAGAAAGTATCCTTTCGTCACGTTCGTTGTCTGTTAGGTTCACGTCAGTTGTAGACCACATCTATAATGACATCCTTACTGACCCCAGGATGCTCTGCATTCTCATGATAGAACCCCGCAGGGTTGAAGCGGCTGGGTGGGATTTCGGTAAGAAGATCAACAGGATGCTTCAATAGTTCCCACAGTTTGCTTGGAGAGTCTGTACCTCCAGGAAACCTACAACTACTACCAATAATGGCAATAGGCTCTACGGTGCCGCTAGTCCTGTCGCTCATCTTTTGAGTATCTCTGTCTGTCTGTCCATGGGTGGGCTGGATGCAACATTTGCAAGGCAGATGATACCTCAGCGCAATATTTAAAGTGATACCAAGCGAAATGCTGTTCTTTCATCGGTAGTTATACTAGGCGACAGCTCCCATTCTGTCATGGCTGCATAATTGGTTTTCATATAGCCTCGCCAGTATCTAGTTAGCTAGAATGACGTGTGATAAGCGCCGTGGCTACAAGACTATCAGCTTCTAAGTACATAGTGCTTCGTACATGTATTGAAAGCGCGCACATACTTGTACCTGGAAGTGGGTATCGCATGTCTGGGCCTGCATACAGTTGGCAAATTCGCGTATTTGGACCGAAGTTGGTCCAGCTGAACCAATCACGTGTACTATGAAAACCCACGGATGCCTGTTTCCCTGTTAAATCAACTCTAGCCTTCATTTAGTTGCATTATCACTACTCCAAGCGCGTTGTGGTGGAAATAATTAGTACGGGCCTTCTCCCAATTGACATTTTCCAACCGACTTCCCGAATCTTCGCACGGAGTGCTCGGTGTAATCACTAACATCGCATCGGCACTTTGACCATTGGCGGGTTTGAAAGGTCTAGAGAGCAACCCTCCATGCCGGAGATTACCCGTATGAGATCAACGATACTGTTACAAATCTACTCCGCAATTAGGATAAAACATGCACCCTTGCAAGCATGACTGTGGCTGATGGGCTGCATTTTAACCCCCAGATAACTAGAGCTGGAGGCTTAGAAGACGCGCAAGTGATATTAATATGACAAACAAGCGCCGCTTACCTAAGTACTCGTATTGCATAAGTTAACTTACTTGAGAGGCTGTGTACGGGTGAGCTAACCCTCAGCCGGTTCAGTTCGTGAGACTTCAAGACTCTAAGATCTCGTTGGTTGATGGAATTTTTGACATATGAGCATGCGTAAAACGTACGGCTGGGGTTGTGGGGGGGGAGGGGGATATACGCGTGTCTTGTGTATTAAGATGATAGTATATTACGGTCCTTGTAAGCTTTTTAGTAGTATGCGTAATTACATCGTGAAAAGTATTCAATATTCGATGATTGTTTTATGTTGAAAATAGCGACAGAAAAAAATAATATTGAGTTCATGGAGATTGGTTTAATTGATTCACAGTTGAAGTATATATAATAATGAAATATGAAATAATATGCTCACCTTTTTCAATCGCAACGTTAGATGATTGCATATCAACCTTATATATGTAAATGTTCAAATATACCCATTGTCGTATGATTACCGCCCCCCTCTTCGGCGATTCTCTTGCCAAATAATGTACCAAGAGTCCAAGACTTTTCAGCCGTCCCAGCTGCAGCTCACAGTGCCGGTTGCGCAAGATGCTTAGTTATCTCGTTTGATTCTGTCATCTCAATGCACTTGTATGACTCTAAGACACGCGAAGATATTATTATGCGCCGATGAACTCTCTACAAAGTTGGCTGGCGACCATCATTTAAAAAGGGCCTCGACCTGAGAAACGGGCATTTTAACTTCCATATTTACACGAAAATGCTTGTCCATGATCTTGGTATCCATAATTTGATTCTTATCCTTCCAAATCAGCGGTATCCGCCAATGCTTACTATTGGATGAAATTCGCTCAGTTGACGCCACCATTACTAGCTTCTCAAAACAGGCGCAGAATATAACTAAGGGAGGACTATATTCTCTGTATTATTCATTCTGTCTTAGACATTATTCTGACGGCACACGCGGCGACTACGTGCGGGCCGCAGCCATCTAGGATGACTTCTTCCGTCACTTCCGAAGCAGTTTTATTGGATATACTTGCATCTTGCATCTGTCCCAGCGCTTCCAGACCCGTTGTTGGAGTTCAGACAGAGGTGTCCTTAGTTCCTTTCATCCTGCTAGGCTTTTATGCACTGTGTAAATCTAGCCAATTCTACCCCTCTTCCCTACCACTTCAAACTCCTTTGTGGCTGTCTTTTTAATTCGCAATACCGCGCACTGATGAGTCTTCTCCCAGCTCGCGAGCTTTATATGTTACTGAGTATCAGTCTCAAGGAAATGTGCGGGTCATATAAATTTTTTCATTCTCAAATGCTAGCTACAACGTAGTCGAGTATCCAAGGTTGAGTATGCTCTGCCCAACAGCATATATTCCCCGGAAACTTTGGAAATATTTTTCGAAAATTCATCACTTTGGCAAGACCACAGCCTCTCCCTTTTGAAAGTACGTGGTTGCATATCCCAGCGACACCAAGGCCTTCGGGACATCAACCCAGTCGAACTGGTCAGCGCACGCTTCCAACCACTCTGGATCCGGCATGATCTTGTCTATGACGTCTATGCTAGGGAAAATGTACTCAATAACACAGTCGTAGTCCGCAACATCCCAGGTTGGTCGGCTACCTTGGACTCGCTGATTCATAAAGTCACTGAGAGCAGGCGGCGTAACGAACTTTATTTTAGACGTCAGATGCCAGCCCCTGTGGGCAGTTCATAGGCTCAGTATGGAGCACTTACGAGCGTATAATCAATGACCCCGTACTTCCTAAAGACCGGAATAGCTTTTGGAATGTGCACCTCGACAATCCACTTGATGAAGTCCTCGTGTGAGTGTTTCGGTAAGCGATAGTGGGTGATTGCGAATTTCACTGGTTTGTCGGCCATCCTGCCGGTCTCGTGGTGGGTATAGTGAGGTAAGTAGGAGTTTATCTTTTGATGTTGTCAAAATAGAGTCGTGGCGAGGGGTTAATATTATTTATTGCCTTTGTTTGCCTTACGTCACCCTTTCCTTAGTGTCCAGGACTAATCGGCGCATAAATATAAACACCGGTTCACCTGTTGGTTGTGAGATAATGAGTCCGTGATCCCTCAATTCCCCGTATAGAACCGTCCAGGTGCCTATGTTGACGCCGGTACGTAGGATAGCATACTACAAAATAAATCGGTCTCAGCTAGCTACTACTACCGCCTGTCAACCTCTCAGCGGCATTGTTAGTAGTAAGGACTAGCATCTGTGCATCCGAACAACCGGCAGTTGAGTAATACATTCGGTCAATGCTCCTACATACATGTAATTACGAAACTGTTGGGGGCCGAAATTTTCGATCGTTATCTTGGAGGGTGCGTGACCGATACACGCATTGTTTCAAGCATGTGCGATCAGCTGTCCATTCTCCAACGGACAAGGGCTTGGCGCTTATAAAGGGCCATGGATTGGGCACGATTCCGCAATATCCTTGCTCATAAATAAGCTCGATTACTTGTTTCAGTACGCGACCTCCAAAAAGGAAGGCCGGCGCTGCCAGTGTAACTGGTTATATTGTAAGTTAACTATGGTATTGTTCAGTAAACACTAAGCCGAGTCATAGCCGTCAGATGGCCCTGAGTCTGTGGAGAGTGTAGACTTCATGGCGATCATGGCGATCATGCTTTCATTGGTCAGATCTCCAGAATACTAGCTCCTAGGAGTCAGGACTGAGGCTGCACACCATCTGACATCCGCAGCATAAGGCAACCTAGTTAGCCAAGTCTTTTAGCTAGGCGCCTGGCCGATGTGCGTTTGCGTGATTAGAACACATTAGTGCACATCCCGGTCTTGGAGTGCCGCCGGAATACCCAATGGCCGATGCAACAACACGATTTATACGCCTAATTAGTTGGGCTTTATGTGATTACCAACCTAGACGGCGTACTTACTACTATCCAGTTAGTGAGCTGCACGGGCAGCGCTTGTCAGAAGTTTGTCAGCTGTCTAAAATCGTTATCGTGCACAGGTTATCAGTGTACCATGGCTGATAATAAGACATTAATTCTATCGCGAGCCAACATCGTTGAACAGTAGAGCAATTTTGAACACTGCTATGATTCTCACATTATTCCGTGGCATATACAGCACGGTTTTAATTTAGAAGACAGAATTCAAACAAGGTAGCAATTCTTCCGAACGCAATGTGACGCCATGTCAAGTGAATGGCGTGGCTGCGCCCCAAGTACATGGGTGATTCGAGACCTAATTATGTTATATGGAGCTGAATTCATAGAACCGCGGAGCTATTGTTGGCGCTTCTGGCCTAGTTGCTGGTCTCTCCGCCATTTTTTGTGCTCTCCACTGAGATCGACGATTGCCACCCCCTTCTTGTATTTGTTTCTTACGCTTATGTTAATTACCCCTATCACCACAGTGGGCGACAACAGGGGTGGTGCGGATCATTTACTCAAATCTGCATACACAGCGAGCTCCGAAGTCAATCCCGCCTAAACAGGGCTAATTAATCGTGCAAGTTGCATCGAATAACTAAGATGTCTGCGCTGAATTTTCCTACAGAGTACCCTGCTCATCTCCAGCTGCATATAATTTGCATTTTGATACCTACTTGAGCTGGGGGCCGTAAAAACAGGGTTTTAATAAAATCATTTGTCTGAATCTGCCCCGCGATCAAATGCAGGAGCTGCTAAGCTGAGCTGCCTTCCGGCCTAATGTTTTCAATTTTCGCTCAGTTTTCATAGCAACCCGACGATTTAGGATATTCAGCTCAACAGTTTCTCCCTTGTTTCCCCACACACATCCACGAAGCGCACTGTTTACTAGAAGACATGGCGTCAGAAGATAGGGTCCCAACCGAGAAAACTACACCAGAAGATGTATCTCCAAACCGAGGATGGCGTTTTTGGGTAATAACGGCCTCGAGCTCGCTGTAAAAAAAAAATGATGCTAATATTTGTGAAAGGCCATAATGACATCCATGGCAGTAGCAAGTCTCCTCGCGGGCCTTGATGCCACAGCTGTCTCGACAGCCATGCCTTCGATCATAGCCGACCTGGGGGCCAGTCAAGGCTACATGTGGATCGCCAATTCCTATCTACTCACAACGACAGCATTTACCCCAATATTCGGTCAGACGGCCAATATCTTCGGGCGCCGTGCAATGACGCTGTTAGCCATATCCGTTTTCGCCATTGGATCGGCAATCGCAGGTCCGGCTCCTAACCTAGGCGTCCTCGTGGTCGGCCGTGCCGTCCAGGGAATAGGCTGTGCCGGTATAAATGCAATGGTGGAGATGGTGGTCTGTGATCTGGTACCTCTACGTGAGCGCGGCAAGTTCATGGGCTTTATCTTTGCCATATACGCTATTTCCACCACTGTCGGGCCTCTCATTGGCGGCGCATTTTCTAGTTATGTGACATGGAGATGGATATTCTACTTGAATCTCCCGTTAGCTGGTTTGACACTTGCTATGGTCGTAATATCCCTTGGGGCATTGCCCAAAGGATCAAGCATGTCCACCAACTCACTAAAACGAGTCGACTTCGCCGGAAATGCTCTACTTGTGGCCGCCATCACCTCGATCCTCATTGCTTTGACTTGGGGCGGAGGTCAACAGCCTTGGTCATCTTGGAGAACCATACTGCCCCTAGTCCTAGGCCTAGTAGGGCTACCTTTGTTTCTCCTATTTGAAACAAGAGTCCCCGAACCAACTACACCTTTCCGACTATTCTCCAATCGCACATCGCTCGCTGGCTTATGGTGCGCTTTCGTGCATAATATGCTGGTATTTTACATCCTCTTCGTCCTCCCCATCTACTTCCAGGCCGTCCTTCGAACTTCTGCATTCAGGTCTGGTGTCAACATACTACCCACAGCAGCCGTCTGTATGCCTTTTACAATACTAAGCGGCGGGATCATGACTAAATTGGGCCGTTATCGCCCGCTGCTGATGGTGGGATTTGCCCTTTTCCCCATCGCCATCGGGCTCTTCACCTTGCTCGATCAGAACTCAACTACGGGTTACTGGGCTGGAATCCAAATTATAGGCGCTGTCGCCATTGGCGTCATCATACCGGTCACTTTGCCAACAATTCTGACTCCTCTCCCGGAGTCCGATGTCGCTGTAGCAACGGCCACATGGGCTTTCATGCGCGGTTTTGGAACGATCTGGGGAGCTGCTATACCTCTAGCCGTGTTCAACTCTAAAACCGATGCATTAGTCGCCGCTCGTCTACAAGGCAACGAGACTGTGAATGCATTGCTAACCAATGGAGGAGCTTATACGTTAGCCGCTGGCGGATCATTATATTCTGCGCTGGACTTGGACAGCAATCCGGCTCTTGAGGCTATCGTGAAGGGAATCTACGTCGACAGCCTCAAGTTGTGTTGGCAAGTGGGCCTGGCCTTTGCACTGTTCGGCGTCCTCCTCACATTCGTCGCCAAGGAGATTCCTATGCGTACCGAATTAGAGACCGAGTTCGGACTAGTCGAGGAATCGAAAAAGAGCGATGGGGATACGGAAAAGCAGTCTGCGTCAGTGTCGATATCGTGATGGATTGTTAAACACCTTGCCGATTCTCGTGTATTTTCATATTCTGTCGTGGACTCGTATTAGTGAGGCGCAGGGATAAGAAGTAGGTGAGACAAACATTCTCTGAATACGATAATATTTATAAGCCCCATTCAAATCTTATTGGTGGTCGAAGAGGGGCTGGCACGATGAGGGAAGGAGGGGTTTTCGCGTACTGCCGTGTCTCTCAGCCTTCTTGCTTGCATTTCGGCGTCGTCTGCATATCCCTTGTATCATTCCGATGCACTGCACGGCTTAGAGACCAAGCTCTCGCGGTGCGTTGCATAACGCAGATTAAGGTCCTTTCAAGGCTTCATCTCCCTTCCGGGAACTAATAACTAGCAGCCGAAATGGGTCCCGAACCGTACATTCCGGCATTAACTTGCTTCGGAAAGAGGAGACTAGTCTGCCTTACTTTAGTCCTTTAAGAAGATGGGACCCCGCAATAGTAATGATGGCTGAAGAGTGGACGAACTTTTGGCCCCTTTCCTTACCCCCTTAACCAACATCCACTCGGCATCCGCTGCGTGGATCTGTCTAACCAGGTGTAGTAAGATGTATGCATGAGATGCATAGTATTCACCAGGATTAACAGACCCTTGTATTTCTCTCCCCAATAAAATAGCTCTGCCGGTTGTGCCGTGGCAGCCAGGCTATGGCAGTCTCTTAAGGGGGAGAGTCACAATAATAAGCCCGACTCGTAGTCTCTCGAGCGGAGACTGTGGTGCATGTAGGGTTGCAGAAATGAGAATTTGCTCATCAGCAACAAGTGTGCAACCACACCCACACACGTCATCCTAACAACCTGCTGAAGAAATGAATGTCCGTTTCTGCCAACAATGCTTAGTAGAGGCATCTGGATTATGCTACCCCACCCTTCTCCTCCTCTCGCGGGTCTCTCTTCGGCTTGAACGACTGTCAGGTAGTCTTGAGCTTTCGATGCCGCCAGCATGCTATACGCAACATCCGGAGTCTTCCCACGGGAAGACTCGCCGGCAATGGCGAGTCTCTTGAATGGGCCAGCAACTCCTGCCCCGAACGGCACCGAGTCGAATCTAGATAATCCGCCGAACGGAAACTACATTGCGATTCCCATCATCTCCGTCTGCGTCGTCGTTACTGTACTATCCTATGCGCTCCGCTTCTATGCAAAATATCTCTTGAAGTCCATCAATGTCGCCGACTGTGAGTTTTGAATGCTGTATCAAACTCTTTTGCCGAGACTTAAGCTAATCTGTGACTAGATTTGACAATTATTGCATTCGTACGTTGACCGATCCGACCGACGTTATCCAACCCGAATAATGCTAATTGTCTGTTCAGCCACTCTACTGGGCATATATCTACTATAGCTATCGCCTCAGCTGGACTCCCGGCTATCTCGTCCATGAATGGGATATCCGCTTGAAGGATATGGCTGCCTTCTCATATGTACTCGCTCACATTTTTTCACCGCTGCGGAACGAGTATCTAACTGTATAATTCAATTAGATTTGTTGGATTGCAACCATCCTGTACCTCTTCATCGTCGCCTTGGTTAAATGCGCAATTCTGTCGGAATGGACAAACTTGTTTTTCCCAAAAGGAACACGCAACTGGTTAACTTATATATGGTGGACATCTGGCGCGCTCATTTCTAGCCTCTCGTTTATACTATTTGTCTTGGACCTTGTCAACTGTACACCCTTTTCCGGAAATTGGGATCCATTGGCCCAGGGTAGATATTGTCGCTTCAGCGTCCCGGCATTCAGCGTCGCATCGGCAGCTACCAATCTCGGGCTAGAACTGATCCCTCTCACCATCGCGCAGAAGGTGATCTGGAGCATGCATCTGACCTGGAAGAAGAGACTGGGCGTCAGTGTCATATTCCTCATCAGTATCGTGTACGTCATATGCCCCCAAACCCTCTTATTTTTTACCTGTTCTAACAATACATGTCTAGTGGCTGCGTTTCAAGCACGGTGCGACTATACTACTCAACGCGTTTTTATACATCCAGCGATAGCAGTTATTATTTCTCTATACTGGCGCTTTGTACCCTATGCGAAACGACTTGCGCCAATCTGGTGCTATGCGTGCCGTCCGTACCGAAGGTTGTCAGAGGTCTGATGCAGAGCAGAGTATTTAAAAGGCTGAGGTCCCGCTTCACCAGGACCAATGCATCGAACACTACGGACAATTCCAAAGATACCGGGCTTTCCTCCAAACTGCAACCAGATTGGTTTATGATGGGAGCTAGGGGTAAACCCGACAAGACGACATATACAAAGGATGTTTACCATGAAATAGTGTGACGCCCGATGGGCCAGTATTTCAACAATATAATGAAAAGAAACGTGTAACGAATTCAGGTTGGTCCGATTCCAAACTACATATACTTCAGAGTATATCTAAACGTTACAGCTGAGCTAACTTGTCACAGGGTGACTGCTTCACCTTTGCATACCTTTCATATGTACTTGTACTACGGAGCCACTTGCAGTTGAAGCCTATTTATAATGTCATATTTATTTGATGACGGCTTTGCTTTTTGAACACTAAATGGCCATTATTTTCATTTACTCTGTTTCAGAGTAATCACTCCATCTGTACATATATAGACAATGCCATTTTACTAACGAGATACCATGACACTAGTTAGCAACTGGTGAAACTATAATATTTATTATTATCGTCTAATTTCCCCCTCTAAATGAGATTAATCTACTGCAACTACTATAAAGAAGAATAGTTGCTCTCAGACACTAATAGTTTTCATATCTAGAGTAAGGCTTTATACAACTCTTGTGAATTAGCAGCCTTGTTAGTCAAGACATAATTCTAATATATTTGGAAAGATAGAGTCGACCTTTAAGGTTACAAATTAGATCCTTAGGCTCATTATAAAGCTTTGAAGGCATTGTTTTTGTATTAAATATTGTTATTTTTTAAACTAAAGTTATTTTGATTCAGTAGAAATCGAATGAAACTTCTATTTGTCTCCTTAGCTCTCAATATCTAGTCCCAACATTTGTTCGAGGATAAGGGAAACCACCAGTGGATACAACCTTATTGAGACCTAGCCATGTCATAGAGTAGCTTTCTGCTGATGTAGATGCTGTAGACCATACCATCGAAGTATACATCCCCTTTGAAATTAGCAAATCAGATCATTAAAGAAGGATTCACACACGCAGAAGACCTGTAGGTATGACATCCGCCGCTATGAAAATCGCCGCGCCTATTCCTAGACCGTGGGCTTGAATTCCAAACGTCTGGGCAGCTAACTAGATACACAATACGGCTTCGACAGAATTCAATCGTAACCTACGCTAACGTTAATAATTTATTGATAAGGGAAGCTATCGGCTGCCCATGAAAAGACAGACTAGGTCAATACTCACTCTATACATCGCCACGATTGTGTTTAGCCAACCATTTGCACATATTGGCCACCTACTAATCAATCAAAGCCACAACGTACGCCCTAAATCACCGCACACATTTGTCAGCTACGACATTAAACATTCACTGGTAGAGCGGGCTCAATGTATACTTCCTAAATCGTCGCAGCTGTTCGTCAGCCTTAAGAGTCAACCATCCGCTATTCATGGACTATACATACACACCAAATCACAGTGATAATTCGTCAATGACAAGATTTGACCCAAAAACAATCCACTGTATCAGGCTGTCTTAGCACATACAAGCTAAAACCCGCCCCCTCGATTCCTCAGTTATCGCATATCAAACACCAGCCGATTGAGCAGGGTCAACACATACAATCTAAAACTCCGCACGCTATTTTTAGTTATCAGATTTCATACAATAGTCATGCATTAAGGAAGGAGTCTCCCCACATACGTTTCAAATCACCGCAAGAATTAGTCAGTGAGAGCATAAGCTATACTTCAGTGAGCCTGGCTCAGTACCCACCAACTAACCAGCAGAAATTTGTTAGTTCCAGTACTCCAGAAAAAATGTTTATTGGGTAGAGTCAATAAATACACTCTAAATTACAACGGTTATTCATCCACGATAGCATCTCAAATGTCAGACTAGTCTGAAGGGCTCAGAACATACTTGCTGAGTCCATGTAATAAACATGTCAGCTATCTGCATGCCACATATTGTTCGTTGACTGATTTAACAGGTGTCAATACGTACACACTGAATCACTATAGTTGTTCGTCTGTCATCTCATCCATCAGTAATCCAGTGATATTGCAGGATCAAAACATACACCCTATATTGCCAAAAATTAGCTGTAGAGATCCCTGCTGATTACAGCAGTGATAATACATACAGTCTAGATTGCAGCACATTAGTAATTCGCTACGTGGTAATCCACTGATCAGGTATGAACAGCACTTACAGACTATATTATCACAAATTTCATAAGTCATAGCGGTTTTACTCATCAACTGTCTGACTGAACAGGGTCGAGACATACGGTCTAATCACCCAAATTTGGCATTAGTCGCACCTCACATTAACCACCCACCCATTAAACAAATCAATACGTACAGCCTAAGAATGGTCATATACATATGACAGCCACCATATATATATCAACATGCATTGAGAAACTCGGATATGCCGCACTCTCTGAATCACCAGGTGTATATATTAGCCATAGTGCCTCTCGTTAGCCTTCCATTGATTGAGCAGTATCAATACATACACACTAGATTGCCACATATTATAGAGCATTCCACAGGTCAAGCAATAATTCGTACAGGCTATACTAGCAAAAGGGTTTATCATCATAGAATTTCACATGTCAGGTATCCACTGATCCAATGAATTCAATACATACAGCCTAATAATCTCAAGCATATATTAGCAAACGCACCTTACTAGCACACACTTACTGCCTAAGATGAGTGCAGACCTCCTAAATCACTACGCATATTCATAGGTTATTAGATATCGTATACCACATTGCTGCTCAGTCATAGACATCACATACAGACTAAATCCGCCACCCATATCGTCAGTTATAGCAACCCACATTAACCATGCATTCATCCATCAAAGTCAACATATACCGACTAAATCACTCAAATCGTTCATCAGCCATTGCGCTTGGCAAATTAGCCGTCCAACCCAAAGAATAACGGCACTTGCCGGGAATTGTCTATATATCATTATGGAGAAAGGAAACTTAACTGGCTTAAATATTTTTAGTCTCACATCTCTTTGGGATGTTGATTGTGTAGTATCAATCAACCAGTCAATCCCGTTGATATCAAGTTTTTACAATCGAAATACTAAATTGACCATGTAAGTGCGATTAAAAAAATGTTGTGTTCTAGCTTTTGCAAATTTAAAATATTTGTCTGCCATGTTCAAATACATGATGAATTAATATGAGAATCAGTCATACATGTACACATTGATAGTGCAAATTTGAGTCACCAAGCTAACTATTCCTAGCAACAGACACAACTGATATTATAAATTGAAACTTTTCACCACATTGCCGATTTTGGCTTTGACGCTATTGAATATTATCTTCAAAGACTGCAGTGGTTTGACATCAATACCTGAAGTCTTTTCTTGAATCTCTAAACTAGGCTCATCCAAACACCACGCTAGTGAAATATGAAAGCGGTCCGATAAATCTTGACTCGTAACATCATCATTGGAATACTTTCCAGCCAACGAGAGATTTTTATTAGAGCCTCTCTTTTTCGAACTTCGAGTGATGCTGGTTTGAGATTCATACAGAGATGGCTGGTTGAATTTGGCTAATGTTTGGTTCGATATTCGAAGTAAGGCGTTCAGCTCGTCATTGGGGGGTTTTCTTATTCTCATGACTAAGAACCAGCGTGTCTTTTCTGAATTTGATACCCAGTCCAGTGTTTCAGGTATGACAGTGAACCTGTATAGTGTTAGCATTTATTACAGTCCAATATACTGAACTAAATAATCCCTTACGGCTTAATAGGAGACTCTTGAATAGAGTTTTCGAATAATTCTGCGAATGCATGTTTCTGCTCCGTAGCTAGCACCACAGGTCGTGAAAGAGAAATATGCAATGGTAGCTGGACCCCAAGATCACTATGGAGAAGACTATGAATATGTGAGTCATCATCTGCGAGTTTCGTTTTACATCGTTGCACAACGTCACTCAAAACTTCCATTTCTTCTCGACGTGGACTCCCTATCGAAATCAGCGGAGCTTATTCTTACACTGAGCACAATATTTACATTCAAGATAAATATGCGTAGGCCAGTTTCCCTCTACATGAGGAATCACCCGTTTCCGGCCACCGTGTAAGCTAGGGTCATCTCGGACACTCACCCGGGTGCTCGAAGCGTAAAGGTCGTGGAATCCAGTGGGGAGAGGCGGGAGAGAAGATCTCGAATCTGCCGGAGTCATACTCGTACTGTTTCCCCGCAGTTTCTTCCTGGTGGATAAATCAATTTTCACTCTTTCGTCGTCGAGTTCATGTTCTGAGTCTGAATCGGAGTACTGGACGAGTGCCATTGCATTCTCGTTTATGACGACGTCGAGAATCGTTATTTTGTTTCGTTTGGTGGGGAGGATTTATGGATAAGCTCAATCAGGAAAGGCGGTGATTAGAAGTGCCAAGAAATGGCATATCTTGGAGGCTGCATAAAACATCAATTTGGTGAAACTTCAATTTCAATGTTCATAATGAGTGTCTATATATATTAATTCTTTAATCTGCCATTGTTTTGAATTCACGCGCGTTAACCTGGTTAAGTCACTGGAGACTCAAATGGCAGGGCAATATAGAACATGCCCACCCAACAAGATAAATCATTAACATCCCGAAAAAAGAACTTCTGCGGCGCTACATAATATAAAGTCTAATCTTCAATTTATAAGTTGTATTATGGAAAATATAATAGGTAAGAATTTCGGAATTACTGCGTGTAGCATACCCACTTCACTGTTGCGCCGAAGATGGCATCGTCGCGAACATGATAACAATATGCGGAAAAGCCGTCCTTGCATGCATCAATACCCATTTACAGCTAGCGGTTTGGGTCCAGATGATAGAGGAACATGGCTGTGGAGATGATGTATGGAGATTGTTGACCTGTGTTGTCTTTCGAAAAGAGCTCTTCGCGTTTCCGATAGATCGTGTCGAAGCGGCCTTTTTCGGTGCTCATATTCTTTTGTTGAGCAAGGCACACCAAACAATGGTGGTTCTTTCCACTGTGGCTTCCAACATGTTTGCGCCAGAATGTGATACTGAAAATCCTTCGATCCAACAGGGCTCGCTTCTAAGTTGTATCTATGCCCCTTCTTGATGTTAATACGGATTAGGAGCCAAAGTTGTCCTATAAAAATCAACTAGGACCAACTAGGACTAGTCACTGGTAAAGTCGAATCATCACCCTGTCCCTAGATTCGAACGATCCAAATGTGATATTTATCGTAAGTGCGCCTCCATGCCCATTGTTGCAGGCCTGAAGCTCTTTGAGTTGGAGTTCATCTGAAGAGTAAATTCTTGGGCAACAAGGTAGGATCGAAGAGCTTCGCTCCCAGCAGGATTGATTTAAATATCTGTACAGGGGCAAGAAACATGACTTTAAGCATGTCTACTCCAAATGAAAATCGTGAAACCGCCTATCCTCCACCATGATTTGTAGGTAATAAGGGTCAATATGGGGATGACATGCATGTAAGCCTCAGTACGATGATAATTGGATAAATGTCTGAGTTGGAGGATGAAACGGGAAGAGAGATTTTGACATAAGAAATATGCAAGGCGTTTGCTGTACACGTGACCGAGTGCCTGTGGTAAATATATGTGCCGACACCAATTAATCCGATTTCCACTTTCGTGAATCTGGCTACGTTTGCTGCTCTTGACCGTCAGGGAAATGTGTTCTGCTTCAAAAAGGCTTAATGTATGGTGATAGGATGAACTGTGAGACGAAGACCAACTTGGCCTTTCGAGTAAGTCTTCGCGTCAATTGACCGCTGTCGTCATCTATACCAGTAGTCAATGCTTGATAAGTTAGTTATAGAACTTCTACTTACGTATATAGAAAAGGTCTAGAACCCGAAGTCTTGGCACATCCGCGTCTTCCGGCCGGATGCGGCACCGCTAATCCCTATTAGGACGAACTCGGCGGGGCGCAGTGAGGTCATCGGACGAGATGCCGCGCGCAGGCATCCGCGTCACCTGTCTTATATTCTCTCTACGCATATATCGTACATATTCATTATTCTTTCTTTCGTACGTGCAGCGACAACAGCCTTGCATTTGTGACCAGCCATCCGACTAACTGACGGACTGTCCGTAGATAGTCGAGTATATTCAACACCTCTCTACGACCCTACAAGGCTACACCATCTCCGATGGACAGTCCCGATACGCACCTCTTCGTTGAGGACAAGAATCCGTTTCGTGCGCGGATGGCACTGGCCGACTCGTCGCTTCAACCGCCGCTCCAGCGTCAACGGTCCAGCTCGTCGCCCTCTTCATCCATCGAGCACACTCGCAACGAGTTCCGCGATAACTTGAAGCAACAGCAGACCGTCCAGCGCAGAAAGTCACATCGGCACAGCAGTCGCCCGCACCCACGCAAGAACCGGGTGCTGCCGGATGTGATTGATCAGCTAGACAATGTCAATTTTATGCAGTATCATCACGAAGGGCCGTATGATGCGGTGTATCCGGAACGCAATGTGTATAGTAAACGGAGTCCACTAGAAGCAGTCAGAGATTCAAACGAGGAGACTCTTCGAGCTACGCCTATGTATAAGATTATCGACAGCGTGTATCGACATCGGCCACTGGATGGAGTTGCATATTACCCGCCGGGCGTGACAGATGAGATGGGACACACGTACATGTACACCGAGGGCGATAATATGATGACCGAAACGCATGGTAGATTTCCAAGGGCTCCTGGAGCGGTAAGTAACACAGTTCACGTCCTGCATATTATTGGGATTGATATTGATGATTGCGATAGAAGTTCACCGAAGAAGACTTCAAGAATGACCCATTTTACCAGAACGACAATCAACGCCCACCACGACGCATGGGAAGTCTGCGCAAAGCATTGTCAACTTTAAAGACACGCTCCGGGAAGAACACTGCCTAGAGACCAGTTCGCTGTACTTTTATCGTTAGATTGGTTTATAGACGGAAATGATGTATATGATTATTGCTTGTCGTTTGGTTGGGAGTGCAGTGTAATATCCTCCAGCCTAACGTATTGTACTTTCTCGATTGAAATAGTGCTAGTAGTTAGTGCGTACGAAGTAAATCCAACGTTAACTCAAAACCTCAAACTTCAAACTTCAACCCGTCCAGTTCCAGAATACAACCATAGATCCACAATTTTATTGAATAAGAAGCGATTCAAGCATATTTAAACCTCAACAACCCCGATCGCCGATTCGCCGGTTCGCCGGTTCATTTAAAGGTGAAGCACATTCACTTTCCATTTCGCCCCATTCCAATCTTCATGATCGACAGTGGTACACCATCAAAAGAATTAAATAAATTGAAAAGAATGGTGATTTGCGGTGGGCCTTAATAAATACCCCCACTGATCTGCACCACCTGCAACTTAACCGCATAATCTAATATAAAGCCAACCACTAATGCCGTTGGTGTGCCAGGTCTGACACTGAGTTTTTCATCTTTCGATCCAGGGTGGATGAATGAGGAAGACATGTAACAGAGCACGTTGTTACATAGATCTTCGTTTTTAACTTTTTAATTAACCGCATTGGGGACGGATGTGTCGAGTTTGTTTCAGGTTAGAATCTCGACGTCTTGTATCTAATTCTATCAAGTATTGATAATTTGTAGTGCTGTGGAAGCGTAGTATTCAGTTAAATTAGTTCCCACATGGATTGGCTTGGATACAATGTAAGGACTGCTGTGTCTTTAAGTCTTTAGGTATATGGAGCGTAGTCAGGACAGTGGATACCCGCCAGTGTCAGGCACGGGCAGTTAGTGATACATGGCAGACTAGCCTCAGATAAGCAGCTCAGATTTGAAGCGCGATTTATTACGGGTTATGATGATAGCGATTATCAATTGATACAAGCAATCTTTAATACAGTCGTAATTACGGATAGAGATGAGGTTATTATGTATATTTTTTGAAAAAATGCTTGTCATAGTATAGAATAGGTTGTCACCAGACATTTAAGTTATTTAGATGACCCTAAATATCAAACGATGCCTATACGGAGCATCGATCTATGATAAATGTACTGACTGAAGTACTTTACCACCCGAACACATGGCTAGAACATAATGCGTAATGAATGCATGAGCAGATAACCGATACAGACACAATATGGCAAGTGATGATAGTTATAAGAAACACCTCAACCAAAAGTCTTCCAACGTAAAAGTTTTGAAAGGCTCGACCCTGTATATTTGCCAATCAACTTAATTAGCTCTATAAACATCGTGGACGGTCAACTCCGTGAATCCATGGCTTCTCTGTATCGAAAGATTAAGCACATGAATATATGTAAAGCTTGGTTACGTGATATTCCGACCACATAAAAGCTCAATTTAGATGCGTACATATATCATGGGTATAGAATTGTACAAAAAATATTCCAGTATTTAGATAGTATCAATTATATAAATCATAATTCAGAATAAACAATACTTGCTTGACGAGATCAATTTATGATATTCAGTATGGCATTATCTAAACCAAATACTTATAAGATTATTTCCTATCACAGCGCATTCATTATATTAACAATATTCGAACGTCTAGTTTACATTATTCCTATCCAAGCGATGGACATCAGTTTAATTCTAATCTAACACGACCTTGCAATAAATAAACCATCAATCCAACCACTTCCTTCCGTGCCATGTCGACTAACGTCATCTGGACAATAAACAACCTGTTATTCGAAGCCCAATTCATTGAGCTATTCGACAATTCTTCTTTACACAGACATTATATGAATATCAATAGTAAATGCAGGATCTTGATAATTACTGTGGTTGACTATCAAATAAAAATGGTATTTCACTGCGCACAATTCCGTTGAAATATAAAATAATTCTCAAACAAATCAAAAACATTGCACTGCAAGCCACAGCTTTAATCTAATCTAATAATTTGGCGACATAGCATTTGAACGCGACCATTCTATATAAAACTATACATATTGATATATATATACCGAGTACACCGGATGTAATTAATTACACTATGATACCGGAATTAATTACAGGGACAGTCCGAACCAAACATACGGATACGTGAAATGATAAAACGGCTCGTCGGAACCTGCTAATAAGATCATGGCTGAAAGATACGCTCAGTCCTCCCCACCATAAGCTTTCTTGGGGCACGGACTTATCGAAACAAAACCTGTAACGAATCGGTCGACAACAAGCAACAGATTAAATATCAACATTCGCTTCACAAATAGGGGAAAAAAGGGTTATATTTTTGTATTGTATATCATGCGTAGTATTTATTAGATGATTTGAAGACTATCAGTCTTGGCAGTGATACAACTTGGTGATCAATCTGACAATAATCTCGACTCGCGTGACTAGTCAAGCACAGACAAAAAATCTATCCGCCAGGTGGGTCCCGTTCGGGGTTCACCGCCAATCAGATACTGCCTGCCTAATTCAGCCTGCAATCCGGATCGGCTGTTGGGACGAAATAAATATCTGACGCTGTACCAGTCTGGAGATTGTCATTTGAGAAGATTCAGCCACGAAAAAAATACAAATGCAGATACATATACATATACATGTACATATCAACACCGTGTTGACGACTGTCCTCCTCAGCGCGCATGTGAAGCTCAGAGAATTTAAGAGTCGTCGTCATCGCTCCTCTATCTCCGCGACGCCGCTTCTTGGCACTCGACTGTCGACGCTGTTGATTGGCTGACTTGCCGCAGATCACAATCCCCAGGTTGAAAATCAAAAATTACACCAATGACAGGGCGTCAGCCGCGCCGAGGATTCCAAGGAATGATTGAACTAAAAAGGGGGCATTTTAAGCTTCGTCACTATACTCCCTCGGCACCCAAAGCCACCCGATAGAGCCCTATCATGGCTTTCCGACCCCAAGCTAGCTCCATCACACCCATGGCTGGACCACTGGACTGGCCCCTTTCTCATGCGATGAATAATGGGTAATAATACGAACAGCATTAATTACAGTACGTTTTTTATGCTGTGAGATGGCTGGATAAACTTGTAAATGGTTTATGACAAAAGGAAAAATAGCTAGTATTGAACACGTAATCAACGTGCCTTGCCAATCTGTTGAATCTTCTCTTCCTTCTATTTGCTCAGACCCGCAGGTTCAACGTTCCGGCGAATGGAAATAGAATTCCTGATCAATAACATCGCGATATCCGAGAGCACATGTCTATCAATAGTCTTGATAAATAATAACAGCATGTAGCAGATTAGTCACGATGCACTTCGGACTCAATAGTAGAAGCAATTCGTCCCCTTCAGGCTTTCAGGGATCACCCGTTGAAGATGAAATCGGCAATAACTAATAGTAGTAATCAATATTGGATTTGCCAAGCGAAGCCCCTTTTCTATCTCCAATAATATCCATTACCGAGAGTCCCAGACACCGGAGTTTGGCAGAGCAACTTCCGTAGGAGCGGGAATCGGCTCTTTCCGGGCTTCCCTCCGCGACGAGGGCTTGTTACTGGTTAGTCGCATATGGAGAGGAATTGACTGGTATGCAAGCAGAATACTAGGAGAAGAAAAGAACAGAGATCAGGGACTGGGATTCTGCATGGAGGCCTGACAGTGAACAGGGCTGGCTTGGCATGGGGAATAGAGGGCTTGGCGCGAAGCATTCGAGGACCTTTGTAGTGACGAGTCATGGCTTCTTGAGTCAATGTCCTGCCAGCTCATTAAATGTAATACGAAGCACCGGTAGCTTGGCATGGAATTTCTTTTCTTTCTCAGAGTACTCCGTACAGGGGTGAGTATTAAGGGGGGTTTAAAAAATACGTACAATGAGTGACTATAATACCAAAGAACAATACCATAAGGATTAGGATAAAGACTCGGAGTGTATTACTATTACTGTATCCAACGTTAGGTAGCTAGGTGTTGGTCAAAATTATTCTTGAAAATCGACATGTCCGATCAATGCAGAACGCGTAATGGCAGCTTACCGCCGAATGTTATCGATAACAGCGGTTCCACGTGCAGATCTTCCGATGCTACTCAAATAAATGTAATTAATTGTGCGATGAATATCCATTATGACGTGCTTTGTTTAGCCCCAAGTATACGTGTCTTCATACGTATGCCAAAGGATTCGAACATGGATGAGAATGTAGTATTAATTTTATATACAATAAATAATATGGTGGTAGAATAGTATGTAGATGAGCGGTATATGCGTGTATATGCATGTACAACACCGAACCCCGGTATCCAAATCAATACATGGAAACAGTAAAATGCAATATGTGCTCCAAAAAAAAGAGATGTACAGATGTACAAGTTGTAGATAAGTATGTAGAAGAATACAATTTTATACCAAGTCCAGAGACAGACATTACCTCATTATCGCGACTAGATTCAGGTCGTAGGCATCGGCCGCGAGGCCATGGGAATCAATTCAGGTCCCTTCTCGTCTTCTTCATCGAAGAATTGCTTTTCAATTTTGGCGGTGATTTTCGCGCATACGGGATCAACGTAGCTCGTCCAGAGACTGGCGCAGCCGTAGAGCAGCACCAGCCAACACGGGATGCCTACGGCGAACACCCACGGTGCACGGCGTGGTAGCCAAGGAGGGGGGATTTCATTGCCCTCATCATCTGTCGTAAATACCCATGGCTGACCAGAAATACCGTAGATAATCCAGACTAGAACAGTGCGCAAGAGAGTACCATGAAGCAAGTACACGGCAAAACTCTGCTTGCCCAGCCACAGCAGAACAGTGCTCGACAGAAATTCCTTGGACCAGTTTGTTAAGAAGATAGACATGATGATCATATCGATTCCAATGGCCGTCCATCGCTTGCCCCAGTTGGAACCCGGCGGGAACATGTATGGGGACATCTCAGCCATGCGTTGAGACCACGGCGCCCATTCAGGGTGTTCGCCAGGGTACGAGCAGACAAATAGACCGCCAGCTAGCAGAGCCCAGGCGACAATACGGCGAGGCCATCGCCAGGTGGCGCTCTGCATCAAATCTTTGTAGCGCTGCTCGTACGATAAGTCGCTCAGAATCATCCCGTACAGGGCCTGGATCTGGAAAGTTTCGCGATCAAGTTTGAAGTCTTGGTGAAAGTACAAAACCAGCATAACGCAGATAAAGAAACGCCAGCGGTATTTGCATAGAGCAGTAGCGAAACAGACGATAAAAATCAACATGGAGCACTTGAGCAGCGGCAACAGCGCCCACTGATGCTCATCATACACCATATGAATCCGGTAGTCAGTATTGGTCCAGGCAATCAAAAATGCATTGAACAGGCGAATGATCTCCTTGTAGAGGCTGTCTTCGATATCGGGGGACGCATCTCGGGTCCAGGACGAGTCGCAGCGGTTGCCAACAGTGTATGCTCCAAACTGTGCCAACATCCAGGAAATACACATGGCAAACGTCGCAGGCAACATTAGACGAGGTGGACGACGGAATGCACTCTTGGCTATGGTGGTGAAAGCGGCATTTGTGTTTCCAGCACGAGCCAGTTTCATGGGTTTCAGAGCGCACACATAGCCGGTCAGGAAAGCGAAGATGGTGACACCCAGTCGACCCTGCCAGGGAATCCGCAGAACAATCTGCTGCAACAGCCGGGGGGGCACGTCTGGGTTGTCCCGAGGAGAAAACAGATCGTAGTCGTAAGATCGAGCCAAGTGTGTCATGACGACCATAATCGAAGCGATGCCTCGCAGACCCTATATCTCGATTAGCATGGCTCTTTCCTCCGGCACAGTTTTATACACACATCAATCCATTTGACGGTCTTTCGCGGGTCCCCTTTAGCATTCGGGTCACCGCTGGTCCATGGGAGCGCGGAGGGAATGCTCTCCCACAGCCGGGTGTAAAAATACGGCTGGTCGGCCATTTATGCACGCCAAACAGAAAAGAACGACAGCAAACGAAATGGAACAAGTAGCAAAAGATTAACGAGTGAATAGTATGGGCGTCATAAGGGGACAGGGGAGGTGCGATAGAGACAGCAGCACACAGAGACGAGGATGGGAGGAATGGAAGCGGGTTGGACATGAAAGAGAGACTGCCGAGTAATAATAGTATTAATACGAGGCGAGCCAGCAGCCACCATGGATCATGAGCGATGACATGGGACGGGCCAGTGGGCGAAAAACACAAAAGCGCCGCACTAGCGGGCGGCCAACGGGGAGACATCAGGGGAACGCTGTGGACTGGGCGGTGGAGCAGCATGAAACGAGCCTCCACAGGCTACCTGCCGCGGTCGACCGGCATTGCGCTGGCACTATTGTACTATGCGCCTCTTATTGATTAGATACTGATCCTGGCTGATCGTGGATCAGCTGCCAAGAGACCGTCGGCTCGGCACTGTGTCGTATCTGCACAGGGTCATCGACGTATCGATAGGAGACGCCGCGATGGGATATCCGGTCTGCAGACTGTCTTCGGTAGCAAGCTCGGTTGTCACTGGAAGCTCTGCGCGATGACAATGGCACAAACGGATTATGATCAACGATAAGGATAAGTGATAAGGATCAATGGTCAACGAGTGATTCGGGTTCATGTTGATGATGACATGAAACACGCCAGTCTCCAGATCGAATCCGGCGCCAAGGCTGCCAAGCGGTAGTAAAGAACAAGCAGGGCACGCCGGCCCCGCGAACGAGGCAGGCTCCATCCGCCAATGACGAGCCGCCGCCGGGGCCAAGCCACTAGCGTTATCGTAGGCGTGGGGCCAGGCACATTGTGGACGGCAGGCGCGGGCTTTCTTCAGTGCTGCCCTGCCTCCTTCCCGGTGCGTCTGACTGGCAATTGCAGAGGCAATTGCAACGGAGTACGGCCAGCTCGCTCCTTCCCACAATGGCATTCTGCTCGCCTGCTGACATAACCCGCTTCTGCTGGTCTTGGTTACCTGCGAATTGTGACCAAGACCCATATGATACCCGCCGTACCGCCGCTTACATCGTTACGCGCGGCCTCCCCTCGCCAAGCCAGGCGTCCTGTCACACCGTGTACCAGGTATCCCCTAGTACCGCGAAACACCCGCCAAGTGGCAACATGGCAACATTGGCCGCCCACAAGCTTTGGGGCGGCCATCGGGTTACCGCTAACCCCAAAACTGCCTTGGAGGGCTTGGCTGCACGCGGGCGTACGTAGGCGTGTCTCCAGATTCCAGCTAAGGAACTGTCCTATTAATCACTTTTCCTTCTGGCGTTGACCTTTCTCTCCATCCTCCTCCTCCCCTTCACTCTCTCACTCCTCGTGCTGTTGTTCGGTCGTCACGACGTCGTCGGTCCTGTCGCCTCTCGCCTCTCGCTTCCTCCGACCGCCCGATCCTCCCATCTTGAGTGCTAGGTCGAGCCGTCATGTCAGTGTAGCACACTCGTTACCGTCCTTGACCAGACATTGATCGTCCTACCTAAGACCCGTGCGCCATGGCGTCTTTCCGCGATCACTACCACCGGTCGCGGATATCAACCGTTCTGAAGTTTCTTGTTGCTGGCTTTCTATTCCTGCATTTTGCCTCCGTCTACAGCTGGCTGCCCTTTAATAGCGGCAATACCAGGGGTGAGTGGCCTCGAAATTGACGTGGGAACATACACTTACCTTGTGCGAATCCAGGCTTTTTCATATCACCTAACTACATACCTGAAAACAGGACAATAACCGCCGAAGATCGTGCAATCGTGGTCGCAAAAACAAGGGATGAGAACATCGACTGGGTTCTCCCTTTTTGTGAAGAATAGTATGTCGCTGGAGAGATGAATTCAAGTGCAATTGCTAAATATTTGATTCCTCATATGCAGTGGCTGCACTCCCTTTGTCTATAGCATGGAGCCTACCAACCCCGAGGACGGTCTCCTGATTCCCGCCACCACACAGGGCCACGAGGCCGCCGCATACCTAACTTACATTGTGCAATATTACGACACTCTCCCTCCTTACACCATTTTTGTCCATGCCAATGATGACCAGTGGCATAACGATCTTTTTGGCTCCAAAACCAGCACCGCTCTACGTCACTTGCGCTACGAGTCTGTCGACGCCAACGGCTTCGTTAACCTGCGCTGCACGGGCATTCCTGGCTGCCCCAACACCTTGATCCCGATCAAGCGCGAACCCGTCGACGACGAATACGCCTACGTCTCAGACGCCTTCTTCCAGCTATACTCGCATCTGTTGCAGGTGCCCATGGACCAAGTCCCAGAGACCGTCGGCCATCTCTGCTGTGGTCAATTCGTGTTGACTCGCGAGCGCATCCACGCCAGACCTCGCGAGGACTACGAGCGCATTCTCAACTGGGCTGCAAACACCGATTTTACTGACAGCTATGGCATTGGCTGGACGATTGAGAAGATCTGGCATGTTCTCTTTGGAAAGCAACCGGTTGAGTATGTTCTATATTTAGCCCCCTGTATCAAGGGATGGAAGCTAACATTCTTTAGCTGCCCGCGTCTAGAGCAGTGCCGGTGCGATAATTACGGATGGTGTGGTCCCTTGCCCTCGGGCGAGATTTTGACTCCTATTATGCCTCACCGATAGTGACAAACGATCAATTATTTCTTGAAAATTGACTATACGAGATCGATACACCTGGACCATCTAGTTTGGTTCATCACTGCTGCGGTTTGTCCAATTTATAAAAAATCGACATTCAACCGCGACGATTTATTGAACAGATTTTAGCGTTGATTGCGCTATGTATTACATACGATTTAGACTCGCTCGGTAATTGGCTGCAAGGTGTGGCCTGGGAGAGCGCGAAACATTGTGGTTTCGTTGTACGTGGTCCTTTTTTGCATAGGTTTAAATTTGGGGTTTACCTTTTTTTTCACTTCACAAGCGTTTATTTTTTATTTTCATATACGGGCTGATACAAGATACCTCGTTGCATTTTCAACTCTGTACAAATCTCTTCCTTTTTTTTCAAAAATTTTCTTTCGGTCCGTATGTTCTTGTCGGTGTCGGTATGGTATCTATCGGTATCCTTTTGTTATTATCTTCGGGACTGCCAAACTATGATGTGTATAGAACGGCTGGCTAGGTATGTACGAAATAAACCACCTTCATATGAGCTGGCTGGTTGCGAATTGGACTCTTCGGATTGAAGTCTGAATATTGAATTATTGGGTGACAGGTCATGTTACACGGCCGGGTTCGGGAATGCACCCGTTAGCGGTGGGAGGTTCGACGTTTAGAAGTGATATTTGTATATAAAGTGATTGGATTGTAATATATATCTAAACGGTCATCATGGTCAGGGAAATAACGCCCACGAAACCGGAAGGTTGATCTTCATCCATCCTATTTAGTAGGCAACTTATGCACATCAATTCATTGTTGATATGAGCAACCACCCCAAACTAAACTTCAAGATTAAAACCATGTATCACCCATGCCAACCAATTCACGCCAATACAAATCCCAGTCTCGCAGTAAATTAGTTCCCCACCAGCTCTTTATTACATATATTTAGAGGTTCATCGTAGCCCTAGCTCCAGGCTACGAAAGCGATCAGGGACGCTGGTACGAGAGAACATCGCCAAACCCGTCTCTCGGGTCAGCTGTTTATGTACACGGACCAATTGATCTCAGTTTCAAATGATTTGGTGGGTCAGCGGGCTTAAAACAAGGCTCACATTCCAGAGCGTTTGGTCGTATGTCATTGCTAGAGGGATCCATATCCTCTTGGGGATAAAGTCCTTAAATGATTAGTGAGACGAGTTGTATGATGTTCAGGTAAGAATCACTCTGCGGCAATTAAAAATTATTTGGGAAATGACGGCCTTGGAAAAACATATGTATCAAGTAATTTTTTAGGGGTTCATCAATTGATATTGTGCTGATTCGGTCTAATCATCGTAGAGTACACCTGCAATTGAAACACTCAAAACTATCGATACTGATATTATTTCAACATTACTCTAATGTTTGACTGGTCAACTAGTAGGTATGCATGTTCAACATTGAATGTCGATATGAAAATGGTGTTGGAAATGAGGTATCAATCACTGCGCACTATCAGGATTAGGCAGGACATAATGATCGCTAATCCTAGCAATTGATATAATTGCACCATTTTGCATATCAGCTGTGTTATATATATCAATTGATATTTATTTATTCATATTTTCCCCAGATGCGCTTAATATACATATGTAATATGTAACTGTGTATATATGTAAATTACAGGCCTCACACTCAGTGGTGTGGTTATGACTGCTCTCTTAATTTTCAATTGTCTGGTATGTAGATATAGAAAGGCTAGTTAGCATATAATTATACATGTAAGATACATGTTCAAAGAGAATATTTCATATTTAATCATGTATTTCGCCGTCCTTGGATATTCCTGGTGCTGTCGTCGCGATATGTTATATTTCCAACAATCTGAATCATTTGATATTAATGAGCAGACATGAATGAGTATAGTGATAAACGGATTGAGTACGATGTAAGCAATTAAAGTAATACTCAATATTAAATATCCACGTGAACAATAGACAACTTCAATTACTAAACACACTTTGCCATCTCAATTGATATGAAGTGGGTTCTCAGTCTCAGAGCGATTAGGGCTTCGTTCTGAGCATGTGACAGTGGCATCAAGCCTACGGCGGACTATTTGCCCAAAATTCGAAGTCCACTAGTAAACTTCATTGATACGCGTAATTCAATATTTCCATATTTTGAAAATTAATATATAGTATTTTATATGGTAGAATACTGTGCAGCGTTTTAGCATAGCATTAATATAAATATAACAAGGCATATTTATATCAAGTAGGCCTTTAAAGAGGCCCTCAAAAGGCAACGCCTTACCTTGTAAAAATCAATCTTCAAAAAAACGCTGCGTGGGGCTGGGCTTGCCTTATATAAGTTAACTTTATTATATAAAACTCAACATTATTTTATAAATATTATATAGTATTCCATTATAGAAAAAACACTATATTAAAAATTTTCGATATATAGTAACATTGAATTTTACTATTTCAACATGTAAGATTGTAAGATTACGAATTTTGGCCGTAAGACCTAAATAATCCGCCGTAGAGCCTCATCACGTGCCTTCTCGGATCATGATTCAAGCCGATAAATCAGGCAACCAAACGCGTCTCAAGGTTGTTGCCCCACACCAGCTCTTTCCTGTTGGTTTTTTTTTGACCTGACATCAACATTGAATATCACGGAAGACGATAGCATGAGAACGGCCACATAATTTTCACACCAATCGCTCTATCTACAAGAATGCAGGATATCCAGATCCCGACGGTGACACCGGTAAGTCGAATCGACCACCTACAACAGCTCCCACTGACTCGTTGTCTAGGAAGATCTCGTCAAGTTTCAGAAAGACCACTTTCCTAGCGCCCACCAAACGTATCCACACCCACTTGTCTACCCCGATAACGAAGAACATGGTGATGAAGAGGTTTACGAGGAAGATGATTTGGGATACTACGAGGACGGCGTGAAGCGCACGCTGACGGACGAGCAAATCCGAATTTTTCGACATAGCGAGATCCATAATCTTTTGCGAGAAAGGGAGCGGCAGAGGGAGGAGACTGAAGAGGAAGATAGGCTATTGAAAGGGGATGAGTCGAGTCCCGAACGTGATGATTCTCAGGGGGTTGGCGGTGATGGCCTTGCAGCGAAGATGAGGCCACAGAAGACCGCTCAGCATAATGCTGAGAAGCGGGAGAGAGATGTTGATGCCAACACTGAGCATGTGGAACAGAATGAGACGCTGGACGATAAAGGCAGGGTTACGCAAAAAGCTAGGGGCCCTGTGGATAGCTACGCGGGACGGAAAATCGTCTCATACTCGGATGATTGAAAGCTCTGATCAAAATCAAGGTACGTTGGAATGGATTTTTCTTTTTCTTCTTTTTTCTTTTTCTGTCATAAAATACATGATGAAAACTTTTATCGTCATCCTTAGTCGGATGCTATACCTTCCTAACGCCTCATTGGTTACACAATTTGGAATTGGATATGTGTATTGCTATGGCGAACAAATCTTCTCTCTGAACAATGGCCTTTTAACTTTGATTATATTTGGTTTTATATATGTGTGTCTTTACCTGATATGAGTTAGGGTATCTCAGTTCCTAGCTGCCAGCATTCAAACCACCAACAGTCCATAACTCGATCGGGCCCTTCAGAGCTGCGCCCTTCAGAGCTGCGCCCTTCAGAGCTGCGCTGCTGATGAATTTATAAGAACTTCTTATATTTTCTCAACCCCGCGTTCTGGTTGCCAGACCTCCTTAAAAGTGGCGGGAAGAAAGGCCCAACGGAAAGGAGAAGTTTTGCACCGACACAAGGTTCGAGGAACTACTGCAGGGATATTTATATCTTAGGGTTTTGGATGCGCTGTTGTCTGGTTGATGGACGGACAAATGATCACGCTGATTTCCGGATCCACTTTTCACTGCCAGTCAGTTGAAAGTGGACCTGGTAAGCGCTAGGAAAGAGCCTTTCTCAAGTTACCTGGCATCAGTCAAGTGCTGTCTGAGCGTCGCAACACAAGCTTGATACCCACTTGGATCGATGATGTGGCCTGCCCATCCAATGATCCATCTACTGCCACCTCTTGACTAGCACGAAACAGCAACCACTAACAGGTCTCGATGATGACCTATAAGATGGCAAGTAGTTGCCTAGTCAGCCAAGTAGCGGCAGCCTTGCAGATCGCGATTCAGACTGCCCTATTTTTCTATTGTATCTGTGCTTTGACCTTGGACCATCGATCGGAGAAACCTGGATCAGACCTAGTCTAGTGTGCAACTTCATTTCTTCATTTTTCTGAAAAGGCCGTGGCCTGTTTATCATGTATATAGAATATTTTGCAGTGACCTGTTGATATAAGCTAGCTAACTAGCTGCGCGATATGTGGGCCCTGCAAATACCCGCCGCCACCACTGCTCACCCATATCAAACGTCCTATCTATACTGGACGGGTCTATATGGGCAGAGTTGCGGAAAGATTTCTCCTGGTCTTCTCTGAGAAACTCGAATTTTTATCAACTGTCGTTACAATATTGTAACGAATAGATTTGACGGCTCTCATTTGCCCAGCGTCCCACCGAATTGACCCCCAAACCAGGCTAAATCTTGATCATCACTATCTGGAATACTAGGTGGCGGGCTCAAAGATATATCAGAATTGGAAAAATTGGGTTCTCTATCGTATACTAGTATGTTAGCACTTAGATCTAGCTGCTGGGTTTTGGTGCTAGTAACCCATACCCAGCACTCCCGTCAACTCCGCCGGTAGTTGATGATATAGACTTGCGCGAGTTAGTCTTATTGATACTAATCGATAATAATGGACGACGTACCTTGGTAGTGACGGCAGCCCGCTGATTAAGACCCTCTTGAAACTCGGTAGCATTGGAAGCTACTTTTCTGGTACCACTGTGACCTTGTCAGCAAAAGCTGGTTTGTAGTAAACGGTTCAGGTTTTGCGGACTTAGTGGATTGGTTGCTGTAAGACATATTGTATAGTTTTACGATGTGTGACTGAGAGGGTTTCTCTATGAATTTGATATTGTAGTTCGGTCTGATAGATTTTATTTTTGAGGGAGCTACCATGTCTTTTTATACTCAATTTTTCAATATGCATCAACTCGGAGGTCTCCAGTTTACCAAAATTTAAGCTCCTTTTTTTCTCAGAAAATAAATCCCGCAGGTGAAATGATAAGATTTCTTTTTCTTTTACTCTCTTACCACATAAAGGCAACGTGGATGCAGGTCGGCGCGACAGACTACACAAGATACATGTACTATTGGAAGGGGCTTGCATCATATTCTGATTAATACGCGAGAATTATGTATGTATATAGCCACTTTCAGAGCAACAAGGAGAGTGTATTGATAACATCAGCAGGAACCTTCGCTTATTGGCCAATGCCAAGTCAAGCGAAGGGCGCAAGTCTGTACAAAAACGGCCTTCTACGCCCTTTTCCAATATGGTATTGATTTTCCTCCGCTCACATCAACTTGTTTTCTTTTTCCTTGGACAATCTCAGACGACTATTTTCCCTTTGAGGAACTGGCCTCGAATGTTCTATAGTGTCTACAGGGATGTATGTTTAATGTTTGATCAGCGCCAATTATGCCGCTTGACACTATTGATCATTGAAACAACCCCTGCACGTGGATGACCCTCCACAGTCATTAGCATGCAAATAGTCATTTTGTTTGTGGGCTCACATGACCATGCCCACAATAGCCGAATGCGGTGCGTGGTGCATAGCAGCTGAACTGACTGCCATGGCACTAATATTAACGGGGATATAATGACATCCCCAGGTTATTATCCCAAAGGAAAAGACCCTAGTGGCACCCTTAGCTCGATACGATGCTGCTACTAGTCCTGTTTTTGGCCCCTGGGTACGGGGAAACGCGACGCCCGAAGACAATGCATGAGGAAGCGGCAATCACACGATTTATACTCTTTGGATTGATGTGCGACGTACTAAATTAGCGAGTGATTCAGCAGAAGACTTGGAGTTGATAGTTATATCTTCAGTAGCTAATTGGCGGTATTGGCTGATCTCGATATAATCCTGTGGCCCGGTGGCGTAGCTCCTTTGTCTGAAATAATGGTACCCGTGAGGCGCCGCATGTGCAGCATTTCTCCTGAATTCTGCAGGACTTATTGCAGTAGTAGCCAATGGTGCAAATGCGCTTTGCATGAAGAAAAAAAAATTTTTCATCTCGTAAAGGAAAACCTAAACACCGAGATCGAGACCACGCATTGTTGAGCAACTTTGTAATTGACAATGAGAATGATTTGTGTGGGCCTACCGGTCAACTTGGTATGCGGCGCGCGCCACGGATAGCTCTCGCTTGGAAAAGACATCCAGCATGTTAGAATCAATCAAAACTTGTTGACTCATCAGGGACCAACTGCTCGCCCTTTGGCCTCTCTGAAACAGATGAGTCGACCTGTGAGATGTCGTATGAGCGCTAAAACCGCGATGGCATTTGTTTTTTGGTTCTACTAGACCAATGTCAGTCCAGCATTACTCTAAACCGTCTTGACATGCCTAATAAAGCTCTGCGTATCACCTCCGGCAATGGTTTGACACAGGAACCAGACTGATAGTCTTCCGAGTATGAGCTATCGTTCGTCAGCCGAACATTATCCGTGGCTGTACGATGTCGGCCGTCGATGTAATAATCAATGTCTGCTGCCTGTGGCCAACTCTGCAGACTGAATCCTATTTTCGCCTAAGCGGTATATTAGCGAGTTAAAAAACCAGGAGGGGACTCCGAATGCAAAGTAACGCAGCTGACACCGTGATAGGAGAGTGTCAAGAGTGTCCCAGTAATTACCTTCCTGGAATGGTGTTTTCTGAGCTGGGTGGCCTCCAGCTGGGTGGCCTTGAGCTGAACGGGAATCTCGTACGATTAGAAATATAGTGTAGTTAGTATTACCAGTATGAGGGTTGTTATTAGCAGCCAGACACCCCGATCGTAGAGCTGCCACCGGTTTTAACGTGGATTGTAACGTATCCGACAGGTCGCGAGTGAGTTGGGTTATAAGCTGCTCGCAGACTACAACGGACTTACGTGGGCGCGGCGATGTAGTTGCAGTTGCCATTCAGATTCGCACATATGGAAAAGGATCGATGAGCTAAGGCGCATTCTGTCGTCTTTGCTGGGGCAGCCTTGCGGTGCTCAGTCGGGAGCCTCGCGGTGGCCCTGTGGCCCTTTCCTTGCTCCGTCACATTCTCCCTTCTCTCCCGCAACCTCTTCTTGCCCCTTGCCATCGCACATTCCTTGAAAACCACTGCTATCATGACCGAATCAATCCTTGGACACTGCTATTTTTCTTTATTGTTTTTTTATTTCGATCCCACACAGTTCAGCCGATTTGGACGCTCGAAAATATCGGCCGGTGAATCCTATCACAACATCGTCGGTCGGTAACACCGAATAGACTGTCAACCAGCGTCGCCTTTGCCTCAGGGTCTCCTACTGCCGTGAGCTGGACTCGATAGCGTTTATTTATGACTTCTCTGTCATTAAATTATCCCACCTCGAACTCTGCCGATTGCCTCTGTCGCACGCCTAATGCTCTTTGAAGAGCCTCGACGCTTCGGATGTGACACAAGCGACGCGTCAGGAACCAGATAGGAAGGAACCAGATAGGAAAGTACGATTCCCTGTCTAGTTCTTGCAAAGCGCTTTTATTTTTCGATATTTGCTGTTCGCGTCGACAACTACGCTGTGCCATGTCCTCATTTTGGTGCTCGAGCATACCGCGTCGGTGCCTTAATCGGCGAGAGATTGCTGTTGGAAGACGACAAAATATGAATCATCCCACACCAGAGTTACTCTTTCTATGAGCCTTAATACTGGCCGACATTTATTCTAGCGGCGTTGTCATGTACCGTTTCGCAACAACTATCGGGTTCCTGCCGTTTTCGCTGTCGCATTTTACAACGCCTCAAATGCGGTATATGCCGACGTGCTCACCAATGCTAAGCCTATGGCAAAAGGTACCGCCTTATAAAGACGCGACAATTTATTCCAGTCGAGAATGCCAGGTTTGGAGGACGTAAACAGTCCACCCACGCCAATCTAGCATCGACCTGTCTGAGAGGGCTCGGAGTTGGATCAGAAGAAGTTGAATTAGACTCACTGCTGGCTTTTAGGGTCCGCAGGCTAGCAGTCTGGGTCCTGAAGGCAGATAAGATTCAGCGTTTCATGCGTGATGCGAGAAACCTAAAGGCTAAGAGCATGCAGACGGTTGCAAGATCCGATAATAGAATGGATCATAACCCTGCAGCTCCCAATTGGTCTAGGCTTTGTTATTAACCAGGGCCTAAGCGTTCTACGCTTTCGCTCACGACAAGGAATTGTCTCCGAATGGCTGGAAGAACCTTTCTCAAATTCGACTTGTCACAATACTAATGAAGGTCGCTGTTCTTCCTATCTACTCTTTGTTGCTATCGGTCTTATAGCATGGAGCCTGAGGGCGAATGTTGGCTGCGGGTATTCATTAGATTCGAAACTCCTGATTCAACTTAAGAGGTTGTCACGCAAGCAAGTCCCTGCCTAACCGCGAGTAGGCTAAACGGCCCTGATGGGGGCGACAGAGATGGAGGCTATGCTGAACCAGTGGCCCGAGACTCAAGCTACAGACTAAGAAAACGGATAGTGCGACACTACTTAGCTCTTGGATATCAATTGATTTGAGTTTGACTTGACGCGCCCCTGATTATGTTTGTTGGTCTGGACCCGGCCCAGTAGCGCACTGAATTTCCCGGCCAGAAGCACGGCTTACAGGGCCCTCGGAACACGGTTGAAAAACGAGGTTGAGAACAGGTTGTCGTTCTCCAGAAAATATAAGTTTCCATCAGATGCACATCCTGTTGATAAGACTGAAGGCTGCCTATCGCCCGTGAACGGTTTACATAACCTCATCACGGCGTTTTGTTTGACCAAGCCAACGGTCGGCAAGGGGGGGGGAGAGGGGGAAGGCACTGAGTCACTGATGCCTCACCAAACACTATAACGACTATATTAAGAGGAAACTGGGTCTATGTATGAGGAATTCTGGGACCCTGCCTTAGAAGGAATACATTATTATCCCAGATTTGGAAGTGGGTCTTCAGGAGTCCACCGGCTGCGGAGTATGAAGTAGGCACGATTCTGTACAGCATGGATACAGGCTACTTTGACATCACGCAGGACGAAGGCTCGACCACTTTTCTAGATCAACCACAGGGTCATCTACGAATAATTGGTTTTGACCGCTTGTGATGGCCGGGAGTGGTTCTCTGGCTGGTGAAACGGGACAGATCTTTGCTTTTTCGTGCCCGAGTCTGCGGAGACCCAAAGCCTACCAACAAATAATAATTGATTTAGAAAGGCATTAGCGGACCAGACGAGCGTCAGGCGCCGTTAGCAGAGTGCAGGATGCTGAGGAAGGCAGTGGAGCTTGAGGAATGAGACTTGATTTTTGCTATTATCATGGATCAATATCGCTCTTTCAAGCATATGCTCCATAGCTCAACTCCTGCTAGTCTATTCCTCGGACCACATTCGATTAATTTTCACATCGTCGTTAATACACCTGTATCGACGACTCATGAAGGGTCGACCTAAGAGGCTACTGGATCGTGAGGGTCGACGGGCGGGTCCTCCCTCCCGCCCGTCCGGAACCAGGGCATCCAACTACGACGGCCTATCTTTGGCATAGGAACACTGGCGGCAGCAATGTGACGTGGTGTGCCCCCTTCTCGGCACGGGTTAGCTTCTATGAGATAGCGCTGCACCGCGCAGTCTTCCAATGAAACTAAATGCTACTACTGCCAAATAGGCATACTCTTCCCGTCTCGCGGTCGCCTTGCATGAAAAATGGCGATCGCAAACTAGCGTGTGCGTGGGAATCGATGCTTTGATCAAAATAGAAACGACCATTCTGAGAGGATCGAACCAGGCCCCGGAGATATGTGAGCTGTCATTTATTCCGAATCCAGATTAGCGAAGCATGATAAATAGGGGAGTCGGGACTGAGTCATTGAATGCATCAAAGATCATGCCGACTACCGTGGATAAGGCTGGCCTGCGTTGCCCACGACTTGACCCAACCCTTCAGCAAATCCGAGCCGAGGCCTCTGTACACATTGATATAAAAGTATCCACAACATCCTGGTGCTAATCACAGAGGAATCATACAGTTCGTATTCTTTTGACTTTGGGCTGACATTCATAGACCCTGAAATATATTGATACTTATATTGTGATTCATTAGCTTGGGGCTTTAGTTTTTTGGTTTGTCTCGTCTTCACACCATCGTCCCCTCTGCACTCGGTTGTTATGACGAGGCATTCACTTTGCTTTTTTAATGGATATCCCAAAGTTATCGGATAGAAGTTAATAGCGAGTAGTTTATTCACAGGTTTAGTCGTGAACTATCGGCATCTGCCTGAGGCACTGAGTAGCATGCAGGGTAAACTTTCTTGTTTATACGTCAAACTTTTAACTCAACCATCAACGTTTGTCAACCTGTCTATCTATTTTCAATGCTACTCAAATTGAAAGCATTCTATGCTATTTTATCCAAATTTAGCTAATCCTCGTTTTACCCATATAAAATTTGAATAATATATTTGGAGAAAAGTAGTTTCATTATTTTCGTGAAGATTTCAAGAAGTTTTGAAGCGTTTGATAGTAAATGTTCTAGTCAATTTGAGCAATTTTACATCAGATTTCTGCTAAGCTATACTGTATTCGCGAGAATTTTCATGCTACATCCCGTTACATTTTCATTTGAGGCTATGAAAAAGAAATCCACGATATAGGGCGAGTGGATGGGCTATTTATGACACTGAGAACTGGCTAATAAACTAGATCAGAGTAACCGCAGGATAAAAACGGCACCGATTTGCACCGTTAGGATGAGGATGGGTTATGCGGGGTTTGTCTCAGACTGGGCGACTATGACACTATGATTTTCCGGCATCTCATCGAAGAGACTACCAATTTTTCCAAAGTCCTGCTCCTTATCCTCTGGGGAGGAAGAGACAGGCGGTTTTGGCGGAGACTTGGGGGCGGCAGTACCGTTTCTATTGCCATATCGCGTCAATGTTATCAGGGGCTGTATATGTCTGGTGGTTGTGACTCATACCCGACTGTTCCAATCACTGCATGCATACCCCAAGACGGCGCGGACTGCTGCGAGTTAGTTAATTTTATATTCTCTCTTTTAATACAATGTTTCAAAACATACTTGTTTCTGTTTCCAATCGGTATTTTGTTCCTCCAGCTCCTTTAATGCCTTTTGGAATTCGACAGCTTTGGCCGCCGCCTCTTCGTCGCTACTCTCATCCCGTTACTCAAAGCTTGTCTGTATTGGGCATGGAATTTAATTACCCCTCAACATGCGACTTGCCTCCGATCGACATGGTGTAAAGAGTAGAGTTGTGTTGTGAAACAATAATTCGAACGGAAGAAAGAAGAGAAGCCGTTGTTTGTAGACCGTCGGATTAGACTCGGTGGTAGATGCAATACCATCTGATTTTAAGGGGATGAGCTCTGCCTTTATATGCACAAATTACTCGACATATGCATCAGCTAATGAAGCCATAATTATTGAAAAAACTCATTTCCCTCTTCTCTGCTTTCTTTTTTTGACCCGCCACTACTCATTCGTCATGTCTTGTAGGTCGGAAGTATGTCCGCGGGATCAATGGTATCCGAATAATACCCTTGTTATTTTAGTCGATCCGTGCGCCGTGTAGGCGTCTAGCATGCAGACAATGCTGTCACTGGGAACACGTTCATCACAAATGTGAGAGGTAAACTTTAGAGTCACAGGAGTTCGGGATCTGCAAGAAGACCCCGGTGGTTTCAGATGGGGGGGGGATCCGATTTAGAGCAATCGAATCGGTGAATTGGCTGTTTAATCATGATGGGAATGGCGGGGCAGGACTACACCCACCATGCTCTGAGTGATGTTCTCCTTTTTTGTTTGTGCAGACTATAATCCTGGTCAATGTAATCCAATCACAGCTGCATGGTCATTGATTCCCGCCTCGCCACATTGTGAAGGATGAAGAAACTTTAGCTCACACTAAATAGTTATCACAGCTATTGCGTGTCAGACATCGTCATCCTTGCAGCTACCCGAGTTCCCCGTTATCATGTTCTTTCTTTTCCAGCAGTACTCCGTATAGATAGATGGTCGTCCAAGCTTTTACTAAGCCCACTCACAGCCCCAGAGAATGTTGGCAGATCGCTAGGCAGAGAAGGCTAGCGGATCTTCGCGGGTGGCTGTACGAGATGGCATATTGAAAATAGCGTG